AAAAACAAAAAAGCTCAAAGATATATATTTATATATATGTCTATGGGAAATTCATGTTAGTAATCATTTGGAAGAGTCCAAAAGCTGAAAATGTAAATGAAATGATAATCAGAATCCAAGAGATAAACATGATACTTTCACTGAATCAATTTCATGATAATGATCATTGTCAGAATTGCAAATTAATGTACATATAAGTTACATAGGAAGAAAAAGTTTCCATTCCCTTAATCATGGCAACTGAATCAGATCAGATTACAAGTTTTTCCTTAAATTTGATGATAAAATTTTCATCCTGATTATCATGGTGATTATCTTGCTGATGATTATGATGATCACCATCATCGTTAATATTAATGAACTTGAAATTAAATCATTAAATTATATTTCTTACTTCATCTCGCTCTGTGGTTTTCTCAGTTACTTTTTTTTTAAATTCACTTGTTATTTATTTTCATTCACTTTTCACCCATGGTAATTGAATTGAGTTTCATATCATGAACATGATATTATTATATATTAATGGTTAATATGTTTGACAGAATTGAAATTTTTTCGTTATCTCAATTGTCTGAGTTAAGTTCATTTCTAACTTTGTTTTCTCATGATGTTATTTCATGAGCGAGTTTATTTTTCATCAGATTCTTACACTTGAACTTCATGAATATAAGGTGATGAGGATGCTGAGAGAGATGATGATGATGATGATGAGAAACTTATTATTATTATTATTAGATTTAAGTTCTTGTCTATTTTTTTTCTTTCAGAAAAAATTTGGAATTTCTTTCAATTTCTTTTTTTCTTTTCGATTCCATTCATTTTCATTTACTATCATGAAACCTGAAAGAAATTCATGAAACGATAATATTGAAGAATAGGAATTGAAATTTAATCGTTATCTTCATCAATTGTTATCTCATAATACAAATAATTGTGATCAGATTATTGAACATGAAAACTAATTGAAAGTTAACAGTTAATTTTAACAATCAAGAAAAAGATTAATCAACAATCAAATTTCCCGAATCTTGATTGATCATTACAATTGATTGTTTCTCATCACATTGGCACTGATATTAAATTGCTCCAGGTAAAAGAAACAACCAGCAACAATTTGATTGTTTACCATTGGGTTGCTTATTAGTGTGATACGTGAATCTGTTTAATTTGATTGTTAATATTACACCTTGATTGTTGACTCATTGATATAAATTGTGATTTTCTGCATTCTCATTGATTGTAAATCTATATAATGCTAATTATCGTATATGTAACTTATGATTATCATCTAATCATATGCATTGTCAGTTGTCGTTCATTTAAAAATAATAATAATAATATAAGGTAAATATCTTGTTTCCCAGGTTTCTCACTCTAGTTAATCACAATCAGAAATAATAATAATGATATTAAATTGTTAATCCAGTTGGATTATCAATCTATTGGCTTTAAATACAGTAACAAGATTGAAAATCCGATTACCAAACGTGACTTGAGTTGGAAACAAAATCTTACCTGGGATACTTAAAGTAATATATGTTAGCTTAAAGTCTTGTCTTTTTTTTCATCCTCATGATGATGATGAAGATGATGATTGTTGCATTATTTGTCTATTGCATGTCACAGGTAAACAAATGGCTAAGGTAAACTGACCTAACCTTGACCTGGCCCCGATTTTATAAATAAAGCAAATTTAGATTGATCATTTTTACCTTAATCTTTTGTAAAGGTAAAAAAGCAAAGTTGAAAAAACAAATTCGTATGATATTAGCTGATTGGAAAATCATTTTATTGTATTGTGTTGATTGTTAATCTTTAATTGTTAGAGAGCAATTAAGTGACAATGTTGATCAATATCATTATTTGTTGTTTGCTTCTGATCATGTTCACAAGATTGTCTATTAGTTAATGATTAAAACTTAACTGATTAAGCTAACAAACTAATTGACAGTTTGTGAGTGAGAGAGAGAGACTGGTCAGTTTAGGTTTGGTCATCAGAGTGAAAAATAAAAGGTAATCAATATGATAAATAGGATGAGCAATCAAGTAGATGATAAAAGTAGTTGATTACCTGTGGAGAGTTAAGATTGTAGTTTATTATGGTCAAGGAGGAGAGAGAGAGAGAGAGATGAACAAAAAATTGACCTCTAAGAGGGATGAGAAACAGGTAAGATGCACAATTGACCAATAGTGAGCTGAGGTCAGTTTTCGGTCTCTTTTTTTAAGATGTAACTTTATTCAGTTGCAAAAACTATCAATCAGATTATAACTCACACACACAAAGATGATTAAGATGATGATGATGTCTCTTTTTCTCATCTTCATCTTTTACCTTTTTCCAAAGATGAAGTCGTTAAGGGTAAATGGCATGGCTCATCTTCCTCCTCTTTCAGGCCACTTTTTTTTGCCTTTTCTTACCTGTACATTCATTTGGTCGGTGACCGTGTAGGATGTGTGTAAGTGCTCATCTTTCAACCAACAGGTAACAGTGAAAATCACTTAAAAAAAGGTTCATTTTTTTTTCTTTTTACTATTCAATAGACACTCACACATAATCATTATCAAGAAGTTCATTCTTAAACAGGTTCTTCCTCTGTAACTATTACAGTTTGTAACGAGCAATGGTCATCATCATCATCATCATTATCATCATAAGATTTTACCTGTAGGAAAATAAAGGAGAAGAGGAAGAAACAGTAAAAAAGAATAACTTTTTTAGAAGAAAAAACAGAATCTTTTTCTTCTCATCTTCCAAATACCTTTTTCCTCTTTTTTGTTTATCATCTTCACTATTTTCCTCTTTTTCTCTGTCATCATCATCATCATCATCATCTCTCTCTCTCTTTTCTATCTTTCTCTCTTTGTAACAAGGTCTATTTTACCCTGAGGGCAAAACGCAAATACCTTTAGGTGTATGAGGAAAGTGTATATTTGGTTTCCAATGTTTTCATTATGATCACAATTATATCATCATAATCATCATAATCATCAAAGGTTAGTGTAAATAAGAGGGTGGATGTGAGGTTGATGATTATGACGATGATAATCATCGAGTTACAATTAAGATGAATCCTAATCTACGAAGACAACAACAAGGTAACATGATAATGAGAATTTGAAGAAATTTTTTTTCTTCTTCTTTCCTTTGGTCATCTAATACTGACCATATGATGATGACATTAGATCTTGTTAAATTACATGGTCATCTCGTAATCATCTTATCATCATCTTAGATCAAATGATAAATCAACTAATTGAATCTATTTTTTTCCGCCTCTTATAATAGTAATACAAGTAATTGTATCACAATTTAACCATTTGATGAGTGTCTTAAATTGTTACAATCAAGGTTCAAGGAATCAATCTCACGCATTGGAATTAAGGAAAATGATGATGAAAATTGTTAGTTAGATGATGATGATGATGATGATGATGATAAGATACATTATCATTATCATCAAATTGTCAGGAATGTTGATCAGAAATGAGTATCTCCTGTTAACAGAATCGTTGGTAACGAGTATGATTTGTAAATTACAATTTAGTAACAATCTAAATGTAATTTAAAAATTGAAAAAAAAATCTCTCATCATGATAATCATTGTCATTATAATGATCATCATGAGCAACAATCAATTTTAAACGTGGGCCATAATCATAATCATAATCATCAGCTAAGGTGTCATCAACAATCAGGTTTACAGCAATCAAATTAAATCACTGGTTAGTTAACAATCAACGGATCAGCAAACAAACAACAAGAAAAAACAAAACTTATAAATAAATTTAAATTGTTAGTTAAGTAAATCAAACAATCAAATCAACACGGTAACAGCAACAATTTGATGATTTACAATTGGAGGAAAACGTTGATTGTTACCTTGAAAATTGATTGACCAAGAGATACACTTTTTTTTTTAATTCAAGTGAATTAAGTTAATTGGATATTGGAAAATTAATTTACCAATCGATTTACCAACAAGTTTCAAATTAACTGCTACAATCTCAGTGGGTGAAGATTAACAAAAAAAATAACATCATGCTGATCATGATGATGATCATATTGAAACAGAATCATAATATTTATCCAATGTAATAATATCATATTGTTGTACTGGTCAATCAATGTTGATTGTTGTGATTAAAAGTTTGTTTCAACATTTTCATCAGTTTAATTGCTTGATAATATTGACTTTTGCCAATGTAAACAGAGTAACAATATATACACCCAACGAAGATATTAGTTTGTATTATATTAGATTGAGAAAAGAAAATTTTTTTTTTCTTGTTTAACTTTCCCTTCATTTCCAATGGATTAACAATTTAAAGATTTAGCTTTTACTACTGATTAATAGTGAACAATTTAGCTAAATTGTTCATCTCACATGCTGAGTCTCAAGGAGATCACAAAAAAAGCAAAAATCATCATGATAAATCAAAGCCTCCACCATAATAATCAACATCATCATCAGCATCATCATCGTAATCATTGATTATTATGATTAACCAAATTAATGAATAGTAATATTTAGCAATGGTAATATAAATTATCTTGTTGATTGACTTACAATTAACTGCTAATGATAATTGGTAAACTTAACATTTTTTCAAAGTAATTAAAGTTTTTCAAAAGTTTTTAAGTTTTGAGTAAAAAAAATAATCAAATCAAATGAAAATTTATCTCGGTCATTGATTAACTTAAAACTTTGGGCTAAATGATTAAGATGATTAAGATTAGTTAATAATTATGGTTTTGTATTTATTTATATAAAGTTAATTAGATTCACTGATTACTGTTAATTGTTGTAGGCTGATTATTAAAGTTTCACACAATCAAGTAGGTTGTAATTAAAGTTTGTCTTGTAGGCGGTTTTAAATTGTCATAGTGTGATGATGATTAGTTTTAATTGTTGCTCTAATACTGGAATAAATATTTAATGGTGGTAATTTGTAGGAGAGTTAATTGTTTACTAATTATATTGATTAAAGATTGTACTTACCTCCATTGATATGAATGCCAATGAGCTGGAAGTAGGACAAAAAGTACCATCAGCTGAAACAAAATGGCGGGCGAGGTGTGAAACTTTTTCCTAAACTCAATGGATAACATAGTTAATAATAATAAGATGATTAAGACAATTAATAGTAATAAAGTTGATGCAGTTAATTGTAAAGTTAATCCGTTAATTGAATAGATTATTGAACGTTTAAGTGATGATGATTGTGATGATGATGATGGTAAAGGCCAGATAAATGATAGATGATGATAAGAATCAGCTGATGATGATAATAGAGATGAAGTTTGTTGTTGTTGGTACGAGTTAATGATTAGACTAATTGTTGATTTAATTTAATTGCAGTTTATTGTAATTATTTAAAAGGTTAGAAAACAAAATATCAACAACGAATGAGAGCAAAAAAGAAAAGTTTGTCCGAAAAAAAGTTTATCAACTAAAACTAATTGTTGGCGATTATGTTGATTGTTATTATGATGATGATTGGTGATTTATGAATATATCAAAATTTGCTTGTATAAAAAAAAACACTGAAAATCAATTAGGTTAATTGTTGAGGTTATCAAAATGATTAGTTTTCTTGGTTGAAGGTAAGTTAACCTCCTTTTCACTGTCAAAGGTAAAAATCATAATCTTGAGACTTCAATGGTACATTAGGTTGAGAACAGTTTTGTATTTGGATTCATCTCTGAAGTGAGTGAACAAGATGAAGATGATGATGATGATGATAAAGTGGGGAGGTTGAAGATGTAAGAGAGGATGAAGATGAAGATGAAGATGAAGATGATGATACTAACTGATGAAAATGTTTACGAAATTAAATTTTGAGTTTCAAGTGACATCTATTATCTCTCGTTGTAACTTAACTTTTTAAGAATAAGTTTAATTATTATTAATTGTAAAGCTAATCAATCTAATTTGGTTCATATAATATATGATATAAGAATTCAATTCTCCAAAGTGATAAAAGGTCTGAAATTTGTCGGGTTCTAACCTCGAATTTGAAAAGGCCGCCCAAGAAAATATTTTCCACCACAGGAAAGTTTGACACCAAAGGTTCATGATTTTCGTTTTGTGGTTGTTATTAACAAGTTGTTATTGGAATAAGTTCTTTCAAATAATACGATAAATCAATTGTTTCTTTACAATGGAAAACACTTTCTCTATTTTCTTTGTGGCTCCTTATATTAACACACCTAATAACGATCACTCCACAAAGAATGACTTAGCCGATGCCAATGGATTGCTTCATTCAAATATTTTGGACTGTGTTGTTGAAGGATGTATGCAAGATGGATATCGCGTCGAACTGGAACTGGATGGTCGTGCTCGCTGGTTATTGGATAAAACTGAGCTGAAGATCGCAAGTGAGGAGCGAGTTTTACCTGCTTTCGATTCGGTAAACATAACTGAGAATATGGATTGGTATAAATATCGATCGGGCGGCATTAAGAAAGTTTATCTCCAATATGAAGACGATCTGATGGCGAAATTCGGTGGCAACCGCGAAGTAGTAAATGGTGTGGAGCGTTTAGTGGTCCATCTCTAAAACACTTCTAAATGTATGAATCGGCTGAGAAAAGTTTTGTATTTCGATTGACCTCTTCAAGTATTGTCGTAACAAGATGGTGATTCTAACCGATGAAAATGATGAAATTGAATTTGGATTTTGAATCGACATCTATTGTCGTTCATTGTAACTTAACATTCTGAAAATAAGTTTAATAATAAACTGATTGGAGAATCAATCAATTGGTTCGATTGATTTAATTGATTTTCTTTCCTACAATTTATAAGAAACAACAAGATGAGATTAAGAAAATTCAACATTGGCATCGGATTCTTGACCTGATTATCTTAATTAGCGCAACAATCGGTTGTATCTATCAGACCATTTTGGTTACCGCCATTTACCTTGAGAAACAAGTGATCACCGATATAAGAATTCAATTCTCGAAAGTGGTCAAAGGTCTGACATTTGTCGGGGTTGAATTTGAAAAGGCCGCCCAAGAAAATATTTTCCACCAAAGAAAAGTTTGAAATTTACACCAGTGTTGTGTGATACCGATAGAAAGTATTGATTGAACGTATCGGTTTGATTGTCTCAGGCCCCCCGGGCCTTTTTTTGGTCATGGTGACCCTTATTAGCGAAGACCTAACCTAACCTAATTTAAACAAACACAATTAACTGAATAATTAAGTCCATTTTCATATGTAGCTTGAACTTTAAGCCGAAAAAAACAGCTCAAAGTGAAGATATCGAGCTGACGGACATATCTTATGCCTTACCCGGTATTGTCAAGCGAAAGTATCGATAATATTACTCGTGAAAAAATTATCAGCTCAACACTAATTGACACACGTTTTGCGGTTGTTATTGAAATAAGCTATTTCAAATATCACAATAAATCAATTGTTTCTCTACAATGGCAAATACTTTTTCTATTTTCTTTTTTCCCAATGACATACCGGATGACGAACACTCCACAAAGAATCATTTAGCCGGTGCCAATGGCTTGAATGAACGCCATATTTTGAACTGTGTTGTTGAACTCTATAGATTTGGATATCGTGTAGAACTGGAGCTGGATAGTTTTGCTCGCCTCTTCTTGGATCAAACTAACATGACGATCGTATGCGTCGGTACAATTTATGCAGCTTTCGACTTGCACATAACTAGGAATACGGATTGGTCTAAATTTTCATCGATTGGTGTTAAAAGTATTTATCTCCCTGAAGACAGTGATTTGGCGGTGAGAACTCGTGGAAGACTCGATTGGTTTAGATGTGGTGGTCCGCCGTGGCGTTTTGTGGTACCAATAACCAATATCTTGAGCCGACCGATCTGCCCCGATCGCTAAGACATTCAAACTGGTGTTTCGCTGGAGCCATTTGATCATTGGCTAAGTTGACCAAAGCCAGTTGATTAACATATCACTCAGCTAACTAACTCTCTTAATTTTTTCACTTTCTCTTACCCATCAATAAATTTTTCCCTTTGGAATCTCATCATTTTTCAGCAGCTCGAAATTGAAGAGTTGAGGCTGCCTTGAGCCGAACGAACCATTTAATTTACTTGATAATAAAACTGATTGGAAAACTAATCAATTCAATTTGTTTCCTTATTTATTGATTATTCACCTGTAAATGATTGGTTATGATTAATTTTTCTCGTCTAATAATAAGAGGAAAAGTTTTTCTTGTGCTCTGATTGATTGGGTTTCACTTTTGTATCAATATTGTAGGTTACAATGATTAGTTAATCAAGTTAATCATGTTGATTAAGGTTAACCTAGCCCTAGGTAACTAATTCAAATCAAAACAATAACCATAGGGAATATTGATTAAAAGGTATTACATTTGTATTTGCTTTTCATTGGTGATCAATGAAAGACAATTTAAAATTTTTGCTACTAATAAGTAATAGTTGTTAATTATAATGTTTAATCATGGGCTCAAATTGGCAGGAATCAGTGAGGACAATTGATACAATTGAAGAATCGATTTCACCAAAATTAAAGCAGCAATTGGTAAGTTAGAAAATAACAATTAGAGTTTAAATTGGTTCGATTGCTTTAATTGATTTTATTTTCTACAATTTAAAAGCAACAACAACAAGATGAGATTAAGAAAATTCAACATTGGCATCGGATTCTTGACCTGATTATCTTGATTAGTGCAACAATCGGTTGTATCTATCAGACTATTTTGGTTACCGCCGTTTACCTTGAGCAACAAGTGATTACCGATATAAGAATTCAATTCTCGGAAGTGGTCAGAATTCCCGATCTATCGATTTGCCTTTATTTTTACAATTTCGTTGACTATCATCGGTTAAAAGCTCGAGCACCGAAAATATTTTCCCGTTTAAAGATACAATTCCCTTTGGTAAACAATCAAAGTCAATTCAATGAATGGAAATTTTCATCTGATGCAATAACCTTTCTGACCATTGAATTTTCCCGTTTGACCATTAAACAGATGATGGAAATGATGCCCGATACCGAACAATTAATCGCCAAAGTAATACCAACACTTCGTCAAATTGACCTGGTAAACAACATGAACATCGATGAACTAAACGATTGCCTTGTAAACACATCGGTTAAAGAGCCATACATATGTATGACGATTAATTGTCCAATTTTATCGGTTCGACAATTACAACAAAAAGATCTCGAACTGACCAAATACCTTGGAACGATAGTATCGATCTACTTTAACCACGAACTATTTGTAACCACGGAAGAGTATTATGTTTACCTTCACCCGACGGGGACACTTCCCTATGGTAATCAAATGTCCTCGGTGACAATTGTCAACGAGGGAAGTGCCCATAAGTTTTTCATTGAATACAAAGGTTTCGAGGCGAACCTTTTACCTTCACCTTATACAACCAATTGTAAAAATTATTCGCAAGTTGGTTTCAAGTCACAAGCTCACGCACTTGAAACTTGTCGCAACAACGTTTCCCTTGAACGCTTTGGCTGTGGATTTTATTCCGATGTGATGCCAACAGGTTCCAATGCAAAACTGGCCACTTCCGATTATTATCTCAACTATGATGATCCAAAACGGCGAAAGTTAATCAATGAGATTTACGATAATTGTAGTAAAATTTACCCGGAACCCGATTGTAAGCAGAAATATTTTGTCCCAAGGATTCAGAAAGTCGCTCGAATCGATTCATCTTTCACCATAATCTGCCTATCGTTTCCCACCGAGCCCGATATAACCAATACTTGTCTACCCAAGTTACCACTTTTCGAGTATCTTATTTACATTGGTTCAATTCTTGGAACTTGGTTCGGCTTTAGTATACTCGATTCGGCGCCCATGATTTTCAAAGGTCTATTTGACTTTTGTCGAGTTCTAACCTCATCTAAACCCGCCAAGGGACACATTCTAAGAAATGAGAGTAACAGTAATTCAACTCGTCAGGCCAAGTTTAGGGAACGACGTTCAAGCTCAGCTTCTTGGAGAAAGTTCAGAACTTCAATGAAATCGGTGAAAAAAATTCGACCCCATGTTGAATCTCAAGTATTTTCACTTGATCGTAATGATTACATGAGAAGATGATGATTAGCTAATTGTGATTAAACTCATTTTCTATTATTATTATTCTAATCAATTCATTTTCTTTTCATCCAATTGATCATCTTAATTGCTACAAATTTATTATTCCAAGTTAATGTCAAGGTTAATTAACTGATTGTTACCACAACTAAACAACTATTTAATTTGCTGTTTCTTTAATCACTCCTTCAGATTTGACCTTAATTGGATCATAATTGATTGTTATCAATTATGTACATAAATAAATTATTATTATATGATTAGTGTAACAATCAATGTAATTAAAAACATTGTTTCTAATTGTTGACTAACTTTCCTTATAAATTATCATGCCATCAGCAATGACAATTAAATTACAATCAATTTCAGTCACAATCAATATCTAAATTTGATTCAACTGTTAATTGTTGATTTGAATTTTTTAATTTTCTTTCAAATAATCCAAACAATTAACATTGAATTTCAGTAATGTTGAGACAAACAATCAACTAATTGTTCAAAGTGATATTCATTTAGATAATTAATTCTAGTTATTATTTAATTTCCAGAATTTAAATTGTATTAATAGTTAGTTAACTATATTTCCAAGCTAAATTGTAATTAAAAGTTTGCTGGCATTTTGTTGTTATCTAATTGATTCAATGATTACGATTCACAATTAACTGGTTTCACTATTTAACTTTTTAATTTGGTTTGGATATTAAATAAAATTGAAAACAAAAAATATACTTTCAAGTGATTAGATTAATTTACCCTGGAGTTAAATTGTTATCAGATTTGGTATTAAATTGTCATTACGTAATCACTAGCAATTAATTAATCACTGACAAAATGTTAAAGGTAAAAAAACAAATTAATACACTAATTGAAAAACAACAAGATTTAAATTGTTGAGTGTTTGAAATCAATAAAATTTAAACAATCAATGGTAACAATTAACAGTTACAATTTGTATTATAATAGTAATGGTTAAATTGAATGGTGAATTTAATTTCTGGTTAATTGTTGACTTTTGAGTTTAATCAACCTCACTTGTCAAGAGGTTGATAGTCAAACAATTAAGGCTGATTAACAATTAAATCAACATACTGGTCCTTTTGTCCGGTCAATTATTTGGACTGGACACTTGATGATTAGTTTAATGACCGATCATCAAGTTGATTGTGACAATTAAACAATCAAAACGATAATAACAATAAGAAAAGTTCACCAACAATTAACAAATGATTTACCAAATTGTTTCCCTTTTGATATTTATTGATTTGATTTGATTTTTTACTTTGGTTTTTCCTCCTTATTGATTAACGTAATCAAATTAATATAATCACAGAACTGAATCAAATTTGATTGCTCAATTTAAATTGTTAAAAATAACCACTGACAAAATCAATTTCATATAAATAAAGAAACAGTTAAACACAAGTTAACTTATTAGGTCCCAAAAATAATTTACTAATTTAGTTAATCATATAAATCGGAGGCAACAATCAAAATGATAATTCAAATTACCAGAGAGTTAATTAGCTAATCAATTGGTGAGCAATTATGATTTTCTAATGATAATCTGAGATTTTTTTTTCTTCAGTCAAAATCAAATCAAAATCAATTGATTGTTACATGATAAACAACTACAATTATCTATGGGAAATTGTGATAACCAATGATTTAAGTTAATTGTTGTGTAAATAATTTACTGATTATCACAATTGAACAACGAAAAAGTCACAACAATTTATTTATATATAAAAACGAGATACTGAAAATGAAATAGCCAAGGACAAATTAAACAACTATTACAATCAGAATTAAATTGTTCATAATATCAACAACAATTAACGATGATGTTAACAACCATTATGAGAGATGAATTAAATTTGGAGAAATTAAATTGGATTGAAAGTTTTTTTTTTCTAAATTTTGAAAAGTTCGAAAAAAAAAGAAAATAAAAAACTTTCGATTTCAACCTTGAACCATTTGAACGTGTTCGAAGTCAGAAATTAATATTCTATGATTATGATTGCGATTATGATTAAAGATGATGATTAGAAAAGAGGAAAATCAAGTTACTTGCTTTCGGCTAAATTGTGAATAAAAAGCAAGTTGATGAACAATTTGAACGATCATTCAGTTGAAAGTTTCCCTTTGATAAACTTTAACAATCAGTAAATTGTTTACAATCAAAAGTACCAACAGTAACAATAATCCTCTTAATCCACTTAATCCAAGTAATCCACTTTCATCTTATAAGTTAATTGCGTTTCCTCATCTTGTGATTTAATTGTTTCCATTTTTATCTCAAAAAGATAAACACAATTAAGCTTGATTAAGTTTTCTCATTTTCCAACAATCAACACACGACAATTGATAACAATCAGCTAATCGCTACTACCCAACCTTTTTTCATACCACATAACAGGATTTACCGATTAACCTTTAACCTTTTCGTTAATCTTTACTCTTTCTCATCATCATGGTTAATAATTCAATGAGTGATTCTGATTCTGATTCAGGAGGCGGTGGAATTGATAACAATTTATCAGCCATGATACAACAGATAAGGTCAATGTTTACCGAGGAAGTGAAAACCAATGGTCATCTTTATGATCAGATTGATATTGACAGAGTGATCAGTGATGATTATACAATTGAACGATATCTTAAACATCAACGTGATGATATTGATAAAGGATTTAACATGTTAGTTGAATCAATGAGATGGAGACACTCATTTGGAGTTAACCAAATACAATTAACTGATTTTCCTAAGGAATATTTTGAAACCGGTGAGGCTCATCTTTACACCGAGGATCAGAATGGTGTATCAACCGTTTACGTGAGAGTTAAATTGCACAAGAAGATCAATGAATTAAGTTTATTGTCTCAAAAGTTTCTCGTTTATCTGTTTGAACGATGTGAGATCGAAGGCCGTAAATCGGGTAAAGGGTAAGTTCAATTATCGTCCAACCATTAACAGTTGATTTCTCTCCTTTAATCAATGATTAACGATCATCATGATTGATTAGAAATACCAAATTTACTGGAAAAATTGATTTTTTGGATTCTATTAACTTTGATTAGTTTACTTTTTTGTTTTGTTTTCTCAATTGCTTGTCACTTGATGATTGATAATAATCTAGGTTGATTTACTAATTATGATAACAATTAGTGTATTAAAATACAATATTTAGTATTAGATTTGCCTTTTGGTTTATTAATTGTTAGCTTTAGACTTGTATTGTGTGTGTCTGTTAATTGTTGTTGATTATGATGATGATGATGATGTTGCCTCTTTATTGTATTGAAAACTAAATTGTCAATCTAATCATGTGATGGATTAATTGTTTAATCAATAAATCAAAAGATCAACTATTTCCCTAGGTAATCAATTGAACTGTTTATCCCTTAATCATGTCAGATAATAAACAATTAAGGAAGATGGTAAGAACTTAGAGTAATTAATTAACGTTATTTATAGTAGATTAGTAACAATTAACTAATATGTTTTTTCCACCAACAATTAAAACAAAGATCAAACATTTCCATAAGGTATTGATAATTGAATCATCATTATCGTCGTCATTGATTGTTTATAAAGGGTGTTTCAGAAGTAGAGAGACAACTCAAATCGTTATTATCCATCATCTGTTGCAGCTAACAAATTGTAAATTTCACATTAAAAAGGTACGAGTTTAAATTACACTTTGAGCTTTCAATCATTCAAATTGATAAATGGCTATTTTATTTTACGCCATTTTGTCTTGATGTCGAACGAAAGTTTTGCCAGAGATTTTCGCTATTTATGATATTTTATTCATAATTATGATGAAATCTTGGAACTTTTTTTGTGTAAAATATTGAGTTCTACATTTCTTTAATATTTTACCAAAAAATTTCAATCAGTCAAGCCTAAGGCTAATTATTTAGTTTATCTGTGAATTGAAATGATAAATTTTTCTATGGGCTTCGATTGACCATCGATTTGGCGAAAACTTTTATGTCGTAGCTCGTTTACGACACGTTTTTCGGACATAATACAATATAAGGTGATGAAAATTTTATATTAATAGAAAGCTCTAGTTTCAAACTTGATAATGTTTCTGAGAAAATCTGTTGAGTTAAATTGTCTCTTTACTTCTGAAACACCATTTAATTAACTTTTTTGCTTGATAACCTGATTTGGATTAGATTGATTGTATAGACAAAGGTAATTTATTTAATTGTTTTTTCAATTTTTCTCTAATTAACCTTAATCAGCTACGGATTAATCTGGGATTGTTATGGTGGTAATTTGTTCAATGTTGATATTGAATTGTTACAATTTCTGACCGGAATTTGGATTAACTATTATCCTGGTGGGACAAAGTACATTTTACTTCACGAACTACCCTGGATTCTTAGGGCCATTTACCGTTTAGCCCGTTCATGGATACCTGACAATTTACGTGAACAAATTTGTTTCGCCTCGAAAAATGATATTGGCTCATTTATTGGTACCAAACAATTACCTGATTATTTACGTGGCGAGTGTAAGGTTAACTATAAGAAAGCACCTCAGGTTTGTCAGCCCATGAAAAAGTTCATAGAAAATGAAATAATTGAATCTGAAGGAGGTAAAAAGTTTCTTGATCATTATAAATCTTACCTGGAGACGCCGTTCAAAGTTTGATTTACTCAATTCAAATAAACCATATCATCATTGATTAACAATTGAATGGAACGATGGCAGCTACAATTTTCTTATTATGATTTAATTTAATGTTGTTTAATCTACTAACTGCCTGAATGAATTAGTAATAAAATAAAAACCAACAGTTGATAAGTGTTGTAAATCCAACAACAATTGATTTCTTGATTTGATAAATTTTCTTTCCTACAATTTACAAGCAACAACAACAAGATGAGATTAAGAAAATTCAACATTGACGCTGGATTCTTAACCTGATTATCTTGATTAGCGCAACAATCGGTTGTATCTATCAGACCATTTTGGTTACCGCCGTTTACCTTGAGCAACAAGTGATAACCGATATACAAGTGTGATATATGTATTAATAAGAATTCAATTCTCGTAAGAGTATCATGTTTACTTTAACCCCACGGGTAACTTATGGGCCCATCGAGATAAGTGCCCATAAGTTTTTCATTGAATACAAAGGTTTCGAGGCGAACCTTTTACCTTCACCTTATACAACCAATTGTAAAAATTATTCGCAAGTTGGTTTCAAGTCACAAGCTCACGCACTTGAAACTTGTCGCAACAACGTTTCCCTTGAGCGCTTTGGCTGTGGATTTTATTCCGATGTGATGCCAACAGGTTCCAATGCAAAACTGGCCACTTCCGATTATTATCTCAACTATGATGATCCAAAACGGCGAAAGTTAATCAATGAAATTTACGATAATTGTAGTAAAATTTACCCGGAACCCGATTGTAAGCAGAAATATAAAGTTAATACACATTTGTTTTGTTTTCTCAATTGCTTGTCACTTGATGATTGATAATAATCTAGGTTGATTTACTAATTATGATAACAATTAGTGTATTAAAATACAATATTTAGTATTAGATTTGCCTTTTGGTTTATTAATTGTTAGCTTTAGACTTGTATTGTGTGTGTCTATCTGTTAATTGTTGTTGATTATGATGATGATGATGTTGCCTCTTTATTGTATTGTGAAAACTTAATTGTCAATCTAATCATGTGATGGATTAATTTTTATGACTTTATCAATTTTTTCCCCGTCAACAATTAAAAAATTCCGTGAGGTATTATAATTGAATCAACATCATCGGAATCATTAACTTTGTGCATGGTAACCTGATAGTGAGTAGATAAATCAATGAGTTTCCATTGGATAACGATAGTTATAACGGGGATAGGCTGATGTAAAAAAATATTTTATGAGAGAGATAATAAGTGAGTGAGTGAGTGAGAGAGAGAGAATAGTTGAGAGAGCTACTCGGGTATATAAGGAAGGTTGTTGAGCAGTTATAATTTTTTTTACTTCGTTTTCTCTTCTTTAATAAAATCATTATTATCATCATCATCATCATCTCTCTCTCTCTCTCTCTCTCTCTCTTTCACTCACTCACTCACTCACTCACTCACTCTCTCTCCTTCTCTCTCGGACTCTCATTCCTAAATGGCGCTCTCAACCACTGGTATTCGTGTCTCCGTTATTGTAAAAGCACCACCTTCACACTTTTTCCCACCCTCTTGTAATATTAATAATAACTTAACCTCCGCCTCATCCTCATCTTTTTCTTCCCCCTCTCTAGCTCACTCATCATCGTCATCATCATCATTATCACCTTCTTCTTCTCGTCGTCTTCGATCATCATTATTATCTTCATCTAATTGTTCTGATTATGATAGAGGCGTGTCAGATGAAATATCAATGATGAAACGTAATGATAATCTAAGATCGCGACGAAAACGAAGGGGATTGATGATGGGACGAGGTGGAGTTATCGGTTATCACGTTATATCAACAGATAACAATTATGATTATTTGGTGAGGGGAAAAAATTCTCATCATGAATATGATGTTGAGTATGATGATGAAGATGATTACGATGATGATAATGATTGTAAACTTGTTGTTGACCCGATAGCCTATGATGTTCACTCTGATCAGGCTTTAGACTTGGTAATTAAACGTAAACGACATTCATCTTCATCTAATAGTAGCAACAATCATCATCCTCATCATATTTCATCATCTTCTGGTTCAGCATCGTCATCATCTAAACGACCTCGTCCAAATCACCAGCTGATAACTCATTTCTCAGATGATGAAGTTCATGAAGAGGAAGATTATTTCGGAGACGATTTTGATGAATATGACCCAAGAAGTAACCTAATGAACGACCATAATCATCGTTCATCATCTTCATCTTCATTTTTATCATCAACATTTCCAAATATTCACCATAATTCACCTTCTTCTATGAATCATCATCATAACTACCATCATGATGATCATCAACTTAATCAAGTTCTAACCAGTGATCATGCTAATCCATTGTTACTTTTGAAACCTCCTTCATCACCTTTACCACCTCCACCACCACCACCGCAACCTCATCATCAACAATCATCAACAATTTTGAACAATCAATTCAATAACCATCATCGAAATCAATTTAATAACAATTATAATACTTACTCATCTGGAAATCATTTCTATTCAAATTATAATCAAAATTTAACTAATCATTATAATCATCATCCTGTTAATCAACAATATCACCATTTTAATCAATCGTTTGAACCAAGTTTCAGTTTAAGTGATCTAATTGCTGATTCATCTTCACAATCGTCTAATTGTTCAACAAATTCATCTAATTTCTTTAATTCCAATTTCTGTTCAAATTCTTTTGGCTTATATAATTTACCTACAGATATAAACAATCAAACAATTAACACTAATAGCCAACAGCATAATCAACAAATAACATCATCATTACATCAAAATCAACAAAATTCAAGTAATTATCAAAATAATAATCAACTAGTAAATCAACATCAACAACAATCAAATCAAAGTCAATCAAATTTCACAAATTCATTAGCAAACAATAATATTAGCAGTGGTAACAATCAACAACAACCAATTGATTCAAACTCAAATTTTCTACAATTTTTAACATCTCGAAAAATTGTTGATACTAAATTAAACAATCACCATAATCATAATCATTACCCCCACCAACATCAGCAATTAGATACTAATTCAACGACAACAACTGATAATAATAATCACAATTGTAATGAATCAACTTTGGACTTGTTACAATCACAATTCATCAATAAATCACAAGCAATTAAACCTCAATCATTGTCGTCCTCGTCCTCTTCATCCTCGTCATCCTCATCATCATCATCCTCATCTACCTCCTCTCAACAAACTAATAATAATAATATGATTAAGGAAAGTCAATTAATTTATAAACCACCTTTAGGATCAACTAATTATCAACCTCAACAATCAATTCAAAAGAAAAAAACTCAACCCGTTGACGGTTCAATTCGTCGTCGAACCTACAAATGTACCTACGAATCTTGTACAAAAACTTATTACAAAAGTTCACATCTCAAAGCCCATATACGAACTCATACAGGTAAGAAACTTGAAACAAAAAACTCGTTAATCAATTTTATGATAATTCTAATCGATTGATAATACGAATCAAAGAGTAGTACTTCATTACTCTTTGATACGAATCTTTTTGGCTTTTTCCACTCAAAGTTACCGCTTTCGGTTTCATCTAATCAACTAATTGTTTCATTTTTTTTCTCCTTCTTCTTTAACCTATTAGGGGAAAAGCCGTTCATTTGTACTTGGGAAGGTTGTGATCGTCAATTTTCAAGATCTGATGAACTATCTCGACATAAACGAACCCACACCGGGGAGAAAAAGTTTGTTTGTTCAATTTGCTCGAGGCGATTTATGAGAAGTGACCATTTAACTAAACACGTTAAGCGACATTATGTACAATTAAATTCTAACACTGGTGCCAATTTAATTCCATCTCCTTGTGATAATTCCGATGTTAACTATGTTGATAATATAAAAAGAAATGTTTTAAAATAATAATAAGAATTAAAAAAAAACTCGAAAAAAAAATCAATCGAATCTCCAAAACTTTTTTTCCTCTTCTTTTTATCAAAATTTTACATTGTTAACTCAATTAGGTTAACCATTATCTCTCTCCTTTCCTATTGATTTAGTTAATGAACTACTTAAAATTATGGTTTAAGCAAAAATTAGTCAGACAATTACCGGTAGCTGATTGTTATTACGTTGGGAATTCAAATGGAGTTGAAAGAAAATTATTCAAAATTGACTCGATTATTTTGTGGATTTACCTTAATTGTTGATTCTTTAACTTGATCAGCTTGGTAAACATAAATTATTTTAAAACGAGAAAATTTTGATAATGATTTATACTAATTAACTATAAATTATTAGTTAAATGAATTGAATTTGGAGAGAAGAGAAAAAGTTTATTTAATTTAGTATTTATCTAAATCAAACAAACTTTCGATAAGTTAACAAAGAATATTTAACTTAGGATAAAGATAACCAATCAATTTAGCTTCTCATATTTTTGATTGTTTTTCATTCTCAAAAGTGATCAATTACTTTTGTGGAATCGATTTTTTATTTTTCCATTTTTTCATCTCGCGATTCAAATTTGGCGCCTTTTTCCAAAGATCGGGTCCCAAGTTCAACTTTCTTGGATTCGAATACCAGTTGGTTACATTTGTTTATCAATTTCGTTTCCATGACAACAGTTGAATTATTATTGAAATTTTTTGTTCTTATTTTCGTTTTTTTGTTTTTATTATTCTTTATTGTTCTGATCATAATTTGTTTTGCTCTTAAATTGTCGTAAATTGTCCATTTATCGTTAATATACACCTATTGATGAATATCAGTTGATCGCCTTGAAAGAAAATTTTTCGTTTTCGATTAATTTCTCTGTGGATTTTTTTTACTTTCATTCTGCTTTTTTTTCATCATCTTCACCTTGACCAGTGATTTTTGATTTTCTGAATTTTCTTGCCTTTTCGCTTCTTTTTTATTGTGTGTGTTCAATAATTCAATTCATTTAAAACTCTACTTGAGACTATCTATTGGTTTCTATTCAATTGTTTACTCTAAACTCGGTGAAAGAGAGAAAGAGAGAGAGAGAGAGAGAGAGAGAGATTCGGAAGCAAAGAGACAACAGTTTCTACGGGGAATCCTTGGAATTGGTATTGATTCATTTAGTGACAAGCAAATTGCTATCAAATTGATTTGGTTACCAAGTAACTTTCTAAACAATGGGTTTAAATGATGGTATTAGTAATAAAAAAAGTAACACCGATCTGGACGATGAAGGAGGTGTTAGTGTTGGTGAAATTGGTGTAACAACAATTGGATCAACAGTTGGTGGTGTCGATGATAATGATGATCTTACCAATTTAACTTGGCTTCAAGATCGTAACCTATTGAAAAGTATGACCTCAGTGACCAGTAGCGGAGATAAAGGAGGAGGTAAAGGAAGAGATGGAGGTGGATTAAGTGATTTACTTGATGATCATTTTGGAACAGATGATTCAGATTCTGATGATGCTTGTGGAGATACTTTTACCAGTAAAGATAATATTGTTCATTTTATCAAAGAAGAAAATGAAAATGTTTATCCTGATGATGTTTGCTCTTCACCAGAAGATGAAAGTTGTTCAATTAACAAAGATGATGGTTCAAATCTTCCCTGTTCAGTTCCACCGGTGCCATATAATCCTAAAATTCACATTCACGCTAAGCCACCCTACTCATTTAGCTCCCTTATTTTCATGGCAATCGAATCATCCTCATCAAAAGCATTACCTGTTAAGGATATTTATGCATGGATAGTTGAACATTTTCCATATTATCAAAACTCTCCCAGTGGTTGGAAAAATACTGTTCGACATAATCTTTCATTAAACAAATGTTTCAAAAAACTGGACAAAGGAAAAGACGAACTTGTTCCCGTAAGCGATTGACTAACTTATAAAGAAAAAAAGAAAAGCTAAAAAAAAGAAAAGCAAACCAAATCGAATCGAATCAATTTTCTCTTTCGTTAGATAATGATGATAATATTATTTTCTCTTCTTTCCATCATTTAGATTGTTGGTAAAGGTTCCCTTTGGTGTGTCGACCCCGATCTAAGGCCTAATTTACTACAAGCTGTCCGACGAACTCCAGCTCACATCTATCCTTATATGTCAACAGCTAAAACGAACTTTAAAATAACACCAATCAATGAGCTGACCTCTTCTAAAAATCGAGGCTTAAAGTAAGCAATCAACATCAATTTGAAGTTGAAAATTTACATTAACAAATTCATCTTACAACGTTGCATCTAACTAACTAAGTTTAACTTTGGATATCTTGATCCAGTTTGTAAGATTTATCAATTAACTGTAAATTATTTGTTTCTCTCTCTCTCGTTCAATTGTAGTGACTCTCGGAAGATTTTAACTTTTGACCAAATACCTCAAATTGGAAACTCACCTTTGTTGGGCAAAAGATTATTGATTCCAATTATAAATCGAGGTTAGTCTTGAATCTACAAAATTGTGGTTTCCATGTCACCAATCGATTCGTTTTTCTACATCGTTAATTGTTTGGCTATTCCTATTACCTTAATCCAATTCTCCCTCTTTTTTCACTAGGCTACCATAGTTTCTCACTTGCTCACTCACCTTTCCCATCTACCGAATGTTACCTTTCTCCCGCTCTCTCTCTCTCTCTCTCTCTCTCTACATTTTTTTTCACAAACATAGAGACGGATCTTCACAACTGAAAATGTTTCACAACCAAAAAGACTCGTTTCTATGTTGTTTCCCAAATTTAATATAATCTTTTTTTGTTTTGATTATCAGATTGTCAAACTAATAACATCAAATTATATTTGGTTACTTACTTATCTTCTTCACTTTCTCTCTCTCTTTTTCTCCCACTCCTTCCATTACCATCTTCCTAAAACAGAATCTGAAGAAGCTGATGCCGCTCAATCGATGTTAACCTTAACTCGTTACAATTCAGAAGAGAGCAGATCTTTAATCACTGATGTAAAAAGGTATCAATCTAAAATTATCAAGATAATTTTTTTTTCTAATCATGGCAAATCCGAAAGATATTAATTATTATTTTCTCTTTGATTTTTATTATTATTTTTTTCTGCTCCAACAGTGAACCATCAGATAAAACTCTTGATGATAATGATGATGATAATTCAACAATCTACAATAATCCAACTGATGATCATAACTATTTCAGCCGATCTAATGAATCAAAGAAACAGAATACTAAATTATTAAATGAAGCTCAAAAATCAATCAACTCAGAAACAACAAGCACCACAAAATTAACAACAACACCATCAATAATCAATCCAATAATTAGAGTAATACCAACACCACCAACATCCCTGACAATACAAAAGCAAAACCAATCAACAACTGAATCTAACAATTTAACGGAAAAAGTACCAATTAACACTGAAAATAACAATAACAATAATAATAATGGCAGAAAAAGTCGAGGAAGCGTTTTAATGAAAAGAAAAGTTGATGTTAATGATGAGGATGGACTCAAAGGAGCTCAAGCCTTACTTAATCTGGCAACTCGAGGATTAGAAGTAAAAACAAAAGATGATAAAACCAATCAACTTGCACCAACAATACACCAACAACAATCAACAACGATAACATTACCACTTTCACCACCATCCTCAGTGAAAAATATAATTGATAATGTAACAAAAAATTCAGTGGATATCAATTCAATTGGAATGATAAAAAAACGCCGAGAACGAAGCCAAGATTAACCTTAATCCCTGAAAACCTTTGGACAACAACAACTATAACAAATCCCTCATTTAAGAAAAAAATATAAATATATTATTATAAATATTGTTTTTGTTTCATGAATTCAACATGTTGATTCATGAGTTTTTTTTATATTTCAAAAGACTCAAACTTATCATGAAAGAAGAAGGAAAAAAACAAGGAAAAGTAAAAAAAAGAGGAATATATATATATATATAGAAATCATTTCTTTCGAGTCAACCACATCATCGTCATCATTATCATCATCATCATCATCAATAACAACAACAACAACACCTCCACACCATGACTTGTATCATTTGGCCTGAATTTGAGGTTTTGTTTTCCTTATTCAACTTATTATAAACAAACAAAAACACTTTTTCTTATACGATGATGATAATGATTTCCAACGATATCGTTAAACTTTAAATCGAACAAAAAAAAAGACAAAACATGTAAATATGACATGTCTTTTCTCTTCTTCAGCGTTTTTTGTTGTCTTCATCTTCATCTTGATCATCATTCTATTCATCATCTTCACCTTTCACCTTTGTTTTCTTCTTCTTCTTCATCATCAACTTCGCAATAAAAAGCAAACAGAAAATCTCAAACTTGGTACAAGATATGAAAAGAAACAGGAAAAGATTAACAATTATAAAATGGAAAATACAACAAAGACAATTAATTAAACAGTTGTAATAAAAGCTAACTGTAAACAAAAAGGATAATATTACCTGAAAAGAGAGAGAGTTAATTGTTGGCCATAATTTTTACAAAAGAGAAAAACAAAAAAGTTTTATGCAAAAAGAAAACAAGAGATTTCCAATCTGATTGGATTTTCCTTGGAAAATTTAATTTACTCGGAATGAATAGAAAAGGAAAAAAACATTTATTGTTATTATCAATTACCAATCAGAAAAAGAGATTAGTGATTAAACTAATCACAATTAAAGAGAGAAAAGGTAATAAACAAGTGAAAAGTTAAAATCTAAACTTTATCGTTTCGCTTAATTGTTTCATCTTTTTACCTTGTCAGAAATGGAAACACAATTAACTAGAATTTAATTTTACCTCATCGATTGTTGAATGGAAACAATCAAAACATCAACATTTCTGACACACTGACTTTGTTTCTCATAATTAATGAGCAAATTAATTATAAACTTTTCCATAATCATAACTGTTGCCAGAAAAAGAGAGTGAGACTGATTGTAATTTTTTGTTTTCCTTTCCCATTCAAACAATCAAACAGGAAGAATAACAATTAACAGTTTCAAAACATGAATGAAAGTTGAGTATTTACAATAGTGATTTGTTTTGGTTTTTTTTGTAAAAGAAAAAAAGTTGATCAATTTTTTTTTAATTAACTTTAAATGGAGGAAGAAAAACACAAAAAAAAAACATCGAAAAGAAAAACACAAAATATCGAAAGAGAAAAATATAATAGATAAGTTTATATATCTTCTTCCTTTTTTCAGTGTCTCAATATCCCAGTGGTGGTTGGTGATAAATCTGACGAAGCGTTAAATATTGTTGGTGAATCAATTGATGATTTGTAACTATTAACACTTAATTCAAGTGCCTCGGACGATGAAAGATCAAGAGGTTTCATTGGAACGTAACCATCATCCTGCATCTCGTCATTATCGTAATAGGAACCTGGTGAGGTGAGTGAATGTGATTGGGAAGATTGACCACTGGAGTGGCTTGAGCAACCATTACTGCCCCCGTTAATTGGTATTCCTATTGGTATGGGCTGAGGATTACTCATCCCGCCGCCGATTGTATTTTCCCGGCTTATCCGACGTCCTCTAAATGAAATGGGTCGACAACATTCACTGGTAGATGCACTTCTTGGTCGCAATGTTGTTTCCGAATCATAGACTGAATGGTGAATTGGTGTTCTAATAATAAAAAAGAGGGAAAAATGATACACATAGAAAAAGAGAATTAGTGAGAGGAAAATATTACAGTGAGAGAGAGAGAGAGAGAGAAAAAAAAAGAGATAAAGAGGAAAACGAACAAACAAAATTCAATGTCATATTATTACAATAATAGAAAGTATAATAATAATGATAATAATAATAACATGGTTGTATTTTCTTTACCACAATAACAACAACAACAGAAAAAAAAATGGTTTATTTAAAGGTCGATTGCATTTCAATGCCAATCTAGTCATTGAACTTGTTTACATCAAGTTGGTATGATGAGTAAAGTTAATTAAAGTAAAATCTGAGGCTAGTTAACCATCATCGACTAATTGGTTAGCAATTAGCAGATTTTCATCTTCTCTTACAATGTTAGTATATCAGAATAAATTACTTTTGTCTAGTAAACAAGAGATCATCTTCATCTCTCTTTCTCTTGCTCTCTCTCTCTCTCTTCTTTCTGATGAAAGTCTAGATTTACTCGTTTTCCCATGAAGATCATCATCATCTTCATGATCATGGTGATAATGATGTTTATCATGATAATCTTAATAAGCTTTTTTTTCTCTATCTCTGTCTTCTTTAAGGTTTCAATTTTGTTCTTGTTGATTGACTTTTTTTTTCTCTCTCTCTCTCTTCTTACAACTCGATTGACAAGCTTACCTTAGATTTTGAAGTGATCCATTGGTTGAGACCTTATTTAATGTGAATGTTGGTTGGTAGTCAATTACTCTTAATATGGATTCATGGATATCATGGGTTGTTGCTCCATCGTCCGTTAACATGCACAAATTACCCGCTCCAATAGCAGCTCCACGTCCAAGTTCAACGATGAAATATTTTTTATTATGACTGAAACGACGAACACAGGAAAGTGGTAACTCATGAAGGATTGGTTCAAGTTCATTTGGTGCAACCTTGACAAGGTGTAACTTTTTATCATTGGTTAGACAAAGTCTATAAGTTCCGGTTAAATTTTCTCTCTCAGTATTTTGATTCTTGGGTAGGGTTACCTGCCATACTCTTTGATAACGTGATGATTTAAGGTGTATTTCGGTTAATTCAATTAGAAGGGTAAACCAATCAAGTAAATTTCTTTCATCATCAAAATAGAAAGTGTAACAATCTTCCTTTGTAAAGATGAACATTATATGATCAGTTTCTTTGGTTCCATGTTTCCGGCTTATATTGAAACAATCTTTAAGTATAATGGAAGCCTTACAAGGTGACCCAGAGCGAAATTTTCTTTCACTTTCATAATACTCTAATCGAGCTGGTGGTTTACCGTTTTCACTGCCATTGGAAGGGAAAATTGTGCTGCTTATTGGTGATGTTAATGATGTTATTGTTGTTGTTGTTGCTGCTGAAATCGGTGTTGGTGAATGTAGAACAAAAAATCTTTCCTTTATTGATTTAGTTCGCTTATATTTAAGTAAACACGCTTTTAAAATGAATGGCATTAAGGTGGCAGGAGATGGAAAAATACTCACTCACAAACAAACAAAAATCCACTCACAAAGAGATAGAGAGAGAAAGAGGGAAAATATATAAGAAGAACACTAAGAGAATAGAATTAAATTAATTGGAGAAGAAGATTCTTTTTCTCTTTGATTTTGTTGTTGTTTTCTAAGAATAAACCAAAAAAAAGGAAAACTTTTCTTTCCACCCTGTAAAAATAAGAGAACCAGACAGAAGAAAAACGATGATGATGATGATGATGATGAGGAAGATGTTGTTGTTGTTGTTGTTTACGATTCGAAAAATATATAAATAATTGGATGAGAAGAAAAAAGAGGTGAATGAAAATAACACAACAGACACACCGAATCAATGACAGAAAGATTTAGAGGAAAAGAGTAATAAACAAGAAGAAGAAGGAGAAAAAGAAGAAAAAATTAACATCGAATAGAACAAAAAATCAACACGATTATCAAAAGAGATGAATGGAAAGAGAGAAAGGGAGACACAGACAAACACACATACACATTCACTGATAGAAAGTAAATGATGAAGATAAAGAGAGAGAGACGAGAAAAGAAAGAGGAAGATAAATTGCCCTGTATTATTAAAACTGTGAGAGAGTAAAAGTTGATAAATTATCAGATTAATTTTAACATGTTTAGTTAAAGTCCTTCCCTTTAACTGAAAAGCTCAATTGATACACAAAATTCATTTGTTTCCATGGTTACGCGCGAAAAGCGGCAAATTCAAACGGTCGACCGGTTCCAATTTCTTCTCAACAATTAAAACAAATTGCAATTGTGAATACAAATCTAAATAATCTTTAAGTGAAATGTCAAAAGTTAAATTAAGTTAATTAGTAAATTTACTATTCTCCCTTAATGTAATATGAAATGTTTTCATCTTTGAACAGCATGATGAAGATGAGCATGTTAATTGTTACCTTTTGTTTGTCTAAAGTTTTGTTTGATTATGTTAATTGTTGACGATTTTTGTTAAATGTAGTTTTACAATTAATTAATTGTATTGTTAAAATGTTCCAATTAACCTGTAATTTCAATTCTAATTGATATTCACAAGTAAACTTTTATTTCTCTCCCTTTTTTTCAAATTGTAATCAAATGTTCATAAATTATACTTTGTTTCCTTTTGTATTACAATGTAATCAGTTAATCACAATTAGTTGATTATTGTAGTATTATTAAAGATAAGTGTATGTATATATAAATAGACAAATGTAATAAATATAATTGTTACGTAGGCGAATGAAAAACTTTGGGATAAATTATTATCTCTCTTAATTGTTAATGGTAATGATTATAAGTATCAATTGATTTCTCTCTCAACTCTTTGGGTAAATAATAAATGTTTATCTAATATAAATCATTGATATTTTTATGCTTTACAATCGTAATTAGTTAATTCAGATAAGTAACAATTAACAGTCAAGTATCTATTTTGAAGATCATCACAATTTTCGGGAATCAATTGTTTCCTCATCAAACTGTTTCACTTTTCAAGCCAATCAATTATTAACCGGATAGGAAAAGGTAAACAAAATGGTTAATTTAATTGTCAAATCAAATTAATTTATTAGTTAATTGATTCGTTTACGGGGAAAAAAAGTATCGATTGATTGTCATTGATGTTTTTTTTTCTTCTTCTTCTTTGTTTAGATTGTTAGTTTTATATAAATAGAAAAAGAGATTTTTAAAATTCTCCTTGAAAACAAATTGTGATTAATCAACATGAGAACAATTTTAATCACAATTTGATTCCGTGTGTATGTTTAGTGTTTATTGTGTTTATGTCAGTGTTATTTTTGATTGATTAATTGATTTACCCATTGATTTAATTAGTGTGTAAAATGTTGTTAATTGTTTTTCAACTTTTTCCAAAGTTGATACGTGACAATTAACGATAATTACGTTTATTACATTGCATTTGATTAGTTATCAAATTGAGAAGATTATTTAATATGTTTAAGACAATAGGATAATCTTTAGATGGTGATAAGATTAAACTGTTAATTGTTAATTATCCTTTAGTATATTAGTAGTTGTAATTTTTTTCCCTTTTAACAATTAAGATTAATCTGTTCGCTCTTTGGGTCAAATTAGATAACAATCAATGGGTAATTAACGTTAATTAGTTTTTACAAGTTGAGCGATTTTCAATTTGCTTGTTCATATAATCATGTAAACACAATGGATCAACAATTAACCAAATTGTTTCTGTATTTGTGTTTGTTTGCTTTTCTTGGTAAAACCAGAGTTTTAAAAGTGATTAACAAATTGTCTTTATCAATAATTACAAGTCTAGTTTAGTTTTTCTTTACGAATCATTAATTGATAATACCAACCAAATTCAGGTAAAGATTGACAACCTTAAGGTTAATTGTAACTAATCAAAGACAATTTGTAACATCACAACAGGTGATGATTTTTTTATGGAAAATTATTCTTTTTCTATGATTTATCCTCGATTAAATCATATCCATCCTTTTGATTGAAAGGTTTCCAATTTTCAACACACCTCTTTTTGATGGATAGGAAGAGTGATGAAGAAAGTGAGAGAGAGAGTGAGAGTAGTAAGATTTCATCTTCTTGCCATTAAATCATCATAATTATTAGTATCCTTTTTGATAATCGTTAATTAAGTTCATTTTTTTGGCTTTGAAACGTAATCCGATATACCATAGGTATCTTTAAGTAATCGACAGGAATCAAGTCGATCCTTATATGGCATATAAACACCATGATCACCTTGGTAAACAAATGGTAATCTTAAAATCCAATAAGCTGATTGTGATAATTTAACAGGTTCCAAGTTGCCTGGTGAAAATATTGGACAAGGATTCGGTGCTGGTTGAACTCGAGGATTAAGAGTCACATGGACTGGAGCTTTTGGTGTAACGACATGAAGCCTCATTAATTGTCCATACAATAGTTTACCAGATCGACTACGAGCACAAATGAGAAAAAAGAAGTTGAAATTAAAAAGAAAGAGAAAAATCGATATCACCAGATTAAGAGAGAAAGAATAACATGAATGTATTAATATTTTCCTTTTTTTTCTTAATCTATCGAGAAAATTTTCCAGTAACAATTTACTAATTTACCTGCAAACACAAGGAATAAAAACTGGCATATCATTGGAAGCAATTAAATTAGCATTTTCCTTAACAATTCCCTTAGTGGCTTTCAGCACACTCGCTGGTTTTGATGACATGAATCGATGGCCCCTGGGGCATTCATATTCCACTCCGATAAAAATTTTAACAGTAAATTGAGTTCCATCTGATCAAACAAATTAACAAGCAAACATAAATTAGATTCAAGTTGGAGTATCAATAGAATCGATAAAAAAATGAAAATTGAATGAAAAATTAACGATTTTTGAGTTTACCTTTCAAAGTTTTTTTATTCTTAATTCCTGGAGGCCTTTTACCTTCCCATAGAGGCGGAAGTTGACCTGAATGTTCAAGTTTAACGGTGACATCCCATGGAAGCAGGAAATTGGTCCCCGAAATGAAGCCCGGTTGATCTTGAACTCCCATGTTGTGGGAGTAGAGGCTTGATGATCCTAAGCAAACCAAAGACCAGGATGAAAATTTTGGTAACAAACCGGGAGGGGATTGTGAATGTAACATCCCGGGAAGATATTCAATTGTCGAGTGTTGATTAAATATCGATGAATGTGGTGATCGATTATATTCTCGGATAATTAATTGGATATCTCGGCTTTTATCAACTCCTTCACCAATTTCATCATCATCATCATCATCATCTTCTTCTCCGTCATCTTCTTCATCGTCCCCAGTATTATTATTATCATTTGCTTCAGCAACACCTCCATTCGCAACATTATGATTAAGGGTATCACTTTTGGTCAGTTGACTGTTATTCTTACAATTATCTACATCATCGTAATCATCAACAGCTGATCCTCCGCTTTTAATTGAATTTGATTTTGTTTTCTCGTCATTGGTGGTCAGCAGTTTTTTCGGTGTTTCTGGACAAGGTGATTCTTGGCCTTTTACGGTTTCTTTAAGATCACCAATTCTCATCGGGTCAACTGATTTATCTCCACTTTGTCCCGTTTCTTTGCCGGAAGCACCGGTTCGTCTAAATGGTTCTAAACTTTGTTCACCAGCCATTGCCTGAGAGAGATCAGTTAAAGAGGCTTGTTCGGTTCCAGGTTGACTTTCAGGTTCAGTACCACTCGAATCAAGTTCAGCATCATCGTAACGATCAAAGAAACGGTTCAATTTAGCAGGTCTAATGTCGGCTGTACTTGGCTGGAAAACGGGAAACTCAACACGCTCCAAATGGTGACAATTACATTTACCAGAGAAAGTATTGTAGAAATCATGATTTGCTGATTTAACGGTAAACGGATCTTCCCGATTGGCCTGACGTCGACCACAGTCACAAGCTGAGGTAATTTTAACACCACTACAATGAGGCATAATTGGATAATTTGGATCAGTTTTGGAAAGTAAATCATCATAATGGTCATCATCTTCCGGTTTGGTCCGATGAACTGGATTAATACAATTGTTCCCAGTTAAACTGATTACTTCGCACATTTGTCGCCCATTATTCCAGAAGTTATCACATTCTTCCTTTAATTGTCGTAAATAATTGTACAAAGCAGGACCTCGAGATTGAACTGTGAAAAAGTGCATCGCTTGGGCCACTTTACGAACATGAAAATCTGATGTATAATGAGAAGGTAAACCTTCCTGATAGATGCTGAAAGCGATTGGTAATACCTTTGAACATCGACCCTCAGAAAATCGAGTATCAATGTCAAGTGAATTTCTCATCTGATTAAGCAATGGCAGCGAATCCTTGTATGGATCATCATCCAAATTGAAGAATAATTGATGTAACTTTTCAGTGACAAGAAAAAAATCTTCCACAACCGGAAGCTCGAAAACGGTAACCGCATTGTGCCGACCAACATTATCGTCAAATCCCTTAGTCAATGCAGTTGAAATGTGAGACCAAAGAAATTGATAAAATGTTTTACCACCATTAGATTCTTCATCGATGTCATTGATTTGCTTTTGGGAGCACAATTTAATCATAAGAGATTGTAAAAATTCATGAGAATCTCTGATTGTTGGATCTTGGGTTGAAATGTAAACAAAATCCGATTGATTACAAATGGCGAATAACGAGTTGGCACAAATATTGGTTATGATGCGACTTTTCCGCAAGAAACGGTAAATTTGATCTTCTAAGTGTTGCTCATAGATTCGTTTATTATTTGCGATAATTGGTGAATTTCTATAAGCTTCAAATACGAAAAGTACACGAGGTGAACAGGGACGACCACTGAAGACCCAATCATCGGAAATATTGGGAAAATCACGAAGAATCTCTGAGACTAACGGTGATGTTTTAATTCGAGTAATGTCCAGTAATCGAAATAATTGAAGGTAATTGAGATCAAAGTGTGGGGTTGGATTAACGATCACAACAATATGGGAAATGATAAACAGAAAGAGTAAAATCTTTGCTGTTTTAAAAGTAAAATCAGTGAAATTTTGAAAAATTCCCTAAAAGAAAACCAAAGAAAAAGAGTTAAAATTAAGATAATAAAAGCTATTTAAATGAATGAAGATTATTAAACGAAATAGGAAAAAATTATTCAAACCTTTGAAGCAAATTCATGATCCAATTTATTGGCTATATGAACGATAACATCGGTATCCAAAGGTGAGATTAGGTGTAAAAAGATGACCCGATTTCGTGAGTCAAAATATCCTTCAACATGACAAGTCTATTGTATAGATAATCAAGTAGATACGCTAATCCATTAATCATCAAGAGATACACACACATATAAATAAGAGACACGTCCGATTGATTTGAAATTTGACGACCTTTCGAAATGAAAATCAACCTACCGATTCATCAATTAATTGCTTATTATCACAAAATTTTCCTCTAAAGACATTCTTCCCAAGACAATCGTCAATTAACGTTGATTTACAAGCTCGAGCTCCGACAGATGATTTACCAATAATTGAGATGACACATACTTTATCCTTTCGAAAGTTTGGATAATTGGTTGATAGAAATTGGAAAGTATCTCTAGAAAAATAAAAGAGAAAAAGATTAAAAAATTAACAATAAATTGGTTTAGTAAAGTGTTACTTTAACAACAAACCTTAGACTATCTAAACTGGTTAAACTAAATTTACAATTAACATCTCCATTGAGTCCTGATGATTTGGAAATAAAATCGGGTGCCATTAACAGACCAAGAAGAGACGAAAAGAAAAGCCCAAAGTGTCCAACAAAAGAGAGATTAACCTTAATCCAAATCAAGAGAAAGAAAAACAATTGAAAAAACAAAACAAAAACGTTAGAATAGAAAACGATTGAGAAAAAGAAAATCCGATCCTACCAAACAACTAAACACAATCTTGTCAACTTTAACAAACAAAAAATTATCATTGTTAAAACAAAAGTATCACAAATTGTAGCAAGAAATGAAAAAAAACATAATTCCAACAATTAAATCAACAAAAAAAATTATTTCTTTTATATCTGGTGAACAAAAATATTACCAATGAGACAAGAAAACAATAAATTTGAGTCGCTCACAGATTCAGAACGAAAAGATAAACTACTTACCGATATATACCAACCTAAGAACAATTAAATTAGGTTAACAATCAAATGTAAGATTTAATCTATCACAAAGTAATTAATTGAATTAACAATTTAAAAAAAGACAAACAATTGAATTAAAAGTAAGAGAAAAAATCAAAATGATTGAAACAGTTGATTCTCAGTTCGCTTCCCCCTTAGCAACAAAAAGGGTAACATGTCAGTCGTTAAGGAGAAACGCGGGTAAATCAAAAAAGTAAATAAAAGAGAAAAAAATTTATAAAAGTTGAACAATTATAATTCTGGTGATTAATTATATCTAAAAAATCAATGAATCGTCTGTCGATGCGTTAATTTACAACCTTCATAGATAATTGTCCCAAAGAGAATCATAGAAACCAATAAAAGAGTTAAACCAGGAACCAAATGAGAATCATGAGAATTTGATTTTTTCTCAGAAAAATTAACTAATTAAAGACAGAGAGAGAGAGAGAAAAAAGTTAAACAATTAACAATCATTATTCTAATTAACAGCTTAATTCATAACCCATTTAACACCGTAACCAAATCAAACGTAAATTGTTTGAGATCTTAAATCATCATAATTGTAATTTAACAAAAAATGATCATCTAAATTGTCACGAAATGAAAAAAAAAACAAATTGAAACAATTAAGAAAATGGTATATATTATGAATTGTGAATATATAACAATTAAAGGACAATATCGATGAAGAAACATAAATGATTTATGATTTAGGGTTATCAAGAAATTAAGAAATCGAGAGAGAGAAAGTTAATTGTTGTTGAATTGAATATCTAAATTGTTGTTGCTGTAGTTGTTGATGATGATGTTTCTCTTTCAAAAAGGTTGATTAATTAGTGTTATAATTATTGGAATAAAGAAGATGATTAAAAGTTGATTGTTTGGATTACGAGTGTCAGGGTATGAATTTTTTTTCGGTTCATTACTTGGATCTGATTGCTTGTATTCAATTTCCGGATGAGCATGAGATGGATCATCATCATGATCGTGTCCATGGAGATCGCCATCAGCGGTAACCACATCGGAACGAGAATCATCATCGATGATTTCAACATCATCATTATCAACATCATCATCATCATCATCCTCATCTTCATCCAGGGAGTTATCAATATCTTTATCATCAGGTTTATCCTCAATTAATTTACCATCATCAGGAATTGCGATTAAATTGGTTGTTGGTTGTTCAATTGTTTCATTTAATTTCAAACCAACCAAAGGTGAACTAATCGATTCCTTAATTGTTAAAATAAAAAAAATAGAGACAATTAAGGTTACCGGTGATCCATTCATTTTTTCGTTTAATTTTCTCAATTTAATCCAAATTAGTTAATAGTCTCAATTTACTCGGTAAATAACTGATCCACTGATAAAATTAATTTAAACAACTAATTGTCCGATTGTCGTTAATCGTTAACTTATCACTTGTTAACTTAATTAACAGGATGTTACAGAAATTAATTGATTAAATATAAATGTAAAAGTATATAAATTGTTACCAACAATTGGATTTTATTTAGAACAAAAAGTTAAACAATACATAATCCTAGTTGTAATCGAAATAATTGAAGGTAATTGAGATCAAAGTGTGGGGTTGGATTAACGATCACAACAATATGGGAAATGATAAACAGAAAGAGTAAAATCTTTGCTGTTTTAAAAGTAAAATCAGTGAAATTTTGAAAAATTCCCTAAAAGAAAACCAAAGAAAAAGAGTTAAAATTAAGATAATAAAAGCTATTTAAATGAATGAAGATTATTAAACGAAATAGGAAAAAATTATTCAAACCTTTGAAGCAAATTCATGATCCAATTTATTGGCTATATGAACGATAACATCGGTATCCAAAGGTGAGATTAGGTGTAAAAAGATGACCCGATTTCGTGAGTCAAAATATCCTTCAACATGACAAGTCTATTGTATAGATAATCAAGTAGATACGCTAATCCATTAATCATCAAGAGATACACACACATATAAATAAGAGACACGTCCGATTGATTTGAAATTTGACGACCTTTCGAAATGAAAATCAACCTACCGATTCATCAATTAATTGCTTATTATCACAAAATTTTCCTCTAAAGACATTCTTCCCAAGACAATCGTCAATTAACGTTGATTTACAAGCTCGAGCTCCGACAGATGATTTACCAATAATTGAGATGACACATACTTTATCCTTTCGAAAGTTTGGATAATTGGTTGATAGAAATTGGAAAGTATCTCTAGAAAAATAAAAGAGAAAAAGATTAAAAAATTAACAATAAATTGGTTTAGTAAAGTGTTACTTTAACAACAAACCTTAGACTAAATTAAACTAAACTAAACTAAACTAAATTAAATTAAATTAAATTAAACTAAATTTACAATTTTCATCTCCATTGAGTCCTGATGATTTGGAAATAAAATCGGGTGCCATTAACAGACCAAGAAGAGACGAAAAGAAAAGCCCAAAGTGTCCAACAAAAGAGAGATTAACCTTAATCCAAATCAAGAGAAAGAAAAACAATTGAAAAAACGGTAAGGCTCAAGATATGTCCGTAAGCTCAACTTTTCTACTTTCAGCTGACGTTTTTTCGGCTTACGATTCGCGGCTTTCTAGGAAAATGATTTAATTTAATTGATTAGTCGATTAATTCAGCAATCTAAGATTATTTGACGCCTTGTGGGTATAGCGGGTACATGTTAGTCCACATTTAACAATGAAATAAAAGTGATTAGCGAAAGATGTGGCTAATCAGCTGTCGACAGCTAACATTACATTAATTGTGTGATAGTTTGATTGTCTCAGGCCCTCCGGGCCTTCCTTTGTCCATGGTGACCCTTAATAGTGAAAACCTAACCTAACTTAATTTAAACAAACACAATTAATTGAGAAATTCAGTTAACTTCCATATGTAGCTGTAATCGTAAGCCGAAAAAAAGTCAGCTGAAAGTAAAAAAGTTGAGCTTACGGACATATCTTGAGCCTTACCGAAAAAACAAATAAAAAACGTTAGAATAGAAAACGATTGAGAAAAAGAAAATCCGATCCTACCAAACAACTAAACACAATCTTGTCAACTTTAGGAGATAGAGAAAGAGTTAGAGGGCGAGAGATTGAGTTTGAGAGGGAGAAAAAAGAAAAAGAGTGAGAGAGAGAATGAGAGGGAGAGAGTGAAAGAGAAAGAGAGAAGTGAGAGGGATAGTGATTGTTAGAGGGAGAGGGAAAGTGAGAGGGAGAGTGAGAGAGAGGAGAGGGAGAGTGAGAGGGAGAGGAGAGGAGAGACAGAGTGAGAAAGAGATTGAGAGGGAGAGTGAGAGAGTGAGAGAGGAAGAATGAAAGAGAAAGAGGTAAATGAGAAGGAGAGAGAGAGAAGAGAGAGAGGAGAGGAGAGAGAGTGATAAATCGAATTAATTTATAAATCTTATTTTCCGATTGTCCGATCACAATTAAGAACATGATTTAAAAATTGTTTAGGGAGAGGGAGAGGGAGAGGGAGAAGAAGAAAAGGACAGAAAGAGTGAGAGGAGAGTGAGGGGGAAGAGGAGAGTGAGAAGGGAAGTGCCAGAGACAGCGAGAGGGATAGTGATCGTTAGAGGAAAGGGAGAGTGAAATGAAGAGTGAGATGAAGAGTGAGATGAAGAGTGATAAGAAGAGTGAGAGGAAGAGTGAGAGAAAGAGTGAGAGAAATAGTGAAAGGAGAAGCGAGAGGAAGAGTGAAAGAAAGAGTGTGATAGGGAGAAAGGAAAAAAAGAGTGAGAGAGACAAAGTGTGAGCGAGAGGGGAATGACAGAGAGAGATCGATTGGGAGAAAGAGAAAGAACGGAGAGCAGAAAAAAGAAAGAGAAAGAGAACGAGGAAGAGTGAGAGAGTGAGAGTGAGAGGGAGCGTGAGAGAGGAAGAATGAAAGAGAAAGAGGTAAATGAGAAGGAGAGTGAGAGAAAGAGGAAGAAAGAGAGAGTGAGAGGGAGAGTGAGAGGGAGAGTGAGAGAGAGAGGAAGAGGGAGAGTGAGAGGGAGAGTGAGAGGGAGAGTGAGAGGGAGAGTGAGAGAGAGAGTGAGAGAGAGAGTGAGAGAGAGAGTGAGAGAGAGAGTGAGAGGGAGGAAGAGGAAAAGGAAGAGGGAGAAGGAGAGGCAGAGTGAGAGGGAGAGTGAGAGTGAGACGGAGAGGAAGAGGGAGAAGAAGAGGAGGAGTGAGAGAGGAAGTGAGAGACAGAGTGAGAGGGAGAGTGAGAGAGAGAGTGAGAGTGAGACGGAGAGGAAGAGGATGAAGAAGAGGGAGAGTGAGAGGGAGAGGAAGAGAGAGGAAGAGGAAGAGGGAGAGTGAGAGAGGAGAGGGAGAGAGTGAAAGAGAAAGAGAGAAGTGAGAGGGATAGTGATTGTTAGAGGGAGAGGGAAAGTGAGAGGGGTGTAGAGTCAATTCCACAATCCCCTTAAAAGTAAATCTTAATCCTTTTGGGATAATCCTTTTGAAAGGTTGTTTAGCTTGAGAAAGGACAAGTTTTTACCAATTTTTATCAAATTTTTTGATATAAATAACTAATAAAAAGAGGTGAAAAGTTTGGTGATTGTCTGATTTGGTTTGGTTTGATTAGGTTAGGTTAGGTTTGGTTAGGTGTGAGATGTAAATCTAATTAATTTGATTTTAATGGCCCGGAGGGCCTCGAACTCTCAACCTAGCATTCAATATGAATGAATGGCCCGGAGGGCCCAGAATTCCTAACCTATTCAGCAGCAATACCTATGAACCTTAGAAAATTCAAATTTCTCTATTCAAATTTAGCTAAAGACAAAAGGATTAACTTCAATGTTTACTTAAAAGATTGTGGAATTGACTCCGAACCGTGAGAGGGAGAGTGAGAGAGAGGTTGAGTGTGAGAGGGACGAAGGGTGAGGGGAGAAGGACATGGAGATTTAGAGGGAGCGTGAGATAGAAAGAATGAAAGAGAAAGAGGTAAATGAGAAGGAGAGTGAGAAAGAGAGTGAGAGGGAGAGTGAGAGAGAGAGTGATAAATCGAATTAATTTATAAATCTTATTTTCCGATTGTCCGATCACAATTAAGAACATGATTTAAAAATTGTTTAGGGAGAGGGAGAGGGAGAGGGAGAAGAAGAAAAGGACAGAAAGAGGAGAGGAGAGGAGAGTGAGGGGAAGAGGAGAGGAGAAGGAAGTGCCAGAGACAGCGAGAGGATAGTGATCGTTAGAGGAAAGGGAGAGGAGAGGAAGAGTGAGATGAAGAGTGAGAGGAAGAGTGAGAGGAAGAGTGAGAGAAAGAGTGAGAGAAATAGTGAAAGGAGAAGCGAGAGGAAGAGTGAAAGAAAGAGTGTGATAGGGAGAAAGGAAAAAAAGAGTGAGAGAGACAAAGTGTGAGCGAGAGGGGAATGACAGAGAGAGATCGATTGGGAGAAAGAGAAAGAACGGAGAGCAGAAAAAAGAAAGAGAAAGAGAACGAGGAAGAGTGAGAGAGTGAGAGTGAGAGGGAGCGTGAGAGAGGAAGAATGAAAGAGAAAGAGGTAAATGAGAAGGAGAGTGAGAGAAAGAGGAAGAAAGAGAGAGTGAGAGGGAGAGTGAGAGGGAGAGTGAGAGAAAGAGGAAGAGAGAGAGTGAGAGGGAGAGTGAGAGGGAGAGTGAGAGGGAGAGTGAGAGGAGAGGAGAGTGAGAGGGAGAGTGAGAGGGAGGAAGAGGAAAAGGAAGAGGGAGAAGGAGAGGAAGAGGGAGAGTGAGAGACTGAGAGTGAGAGGGAGAGGAAGAGGGAGAAGAAAAGGGACAGTGAGAGAGGGAGAGTGAGATGGAGAGTGAGAGAGAGAGTGAGAGTGAGCGGGAGAGGGAGAAGAAAAGGGAGAGTGAGAGTGAGAGAACGAGTGAGAGGAAGAGTGAGAGGAAGAGTGAGAGGGAGAGTGAGAGAGAGTGAAAGGGAGAGTGAGAGGGAGAGTGAGAGGGAGAGTGAGAGGGAGAAAAAGACGGAGAGTGAGAGAGACAGAGTGAGAGAGAGTACATTGGATGAACATTTGATTTATTAAGAGGAACTGGAAAAAGGAAATAAGAAAAACAAAAGAGAATCAATTAGTTGGAACAATTTAAGCTCTTAAATTGTGAATTAAATTTAATTACCTGGATAATCATAAAGATTACGATCAGATTTACAATGTCTTGGTGTCCTTTTAACTGTTGCATAAGGAGTTTCCTCATTAATGATTAACTGATTACTATTAAGATGATTATTAACTTTAAGAGTTGAGGTTGATTGATGATGGTGATGATGCTGATGGTGATTAATTAATTGTTGTACCATTGGATCACTAATTATACCACTACCATTTCCATTTATTTGGACGGATGCATAAGGTGATGGGTAAACAATTAACGATTGATTATCTTGACCAGGAATTAATTGTTTGGCTCGAGTTTTTTCAAAATCATTTAAATTCATCTCATCATTAAGAACCAATTTATTTGGTGTTATATTGACCATTGGACTGGAGCCCAATTTACCGTTAATTTCAGGTGATCCTAAAGGACAAGAACAAGAGAATCAATTAAAAAAATCAAATGATAACAATTTACTAAACAACAAGTTGAGTATTTACTTGAATATAAAGATTGATCTGGAATCCGTTTGTTCATCATGATACAGATTAACACAATTACCGCAACAACGACCATTAATGATAAGATTAACGGTAAAAGGATTTCGAGTTCAAAAAATACTTGATAATATGATTGATTGTATGTTAGAGGTAGTAGCGGTCTCTCTGGGATTAGGATTAGAAAACAGGATACGATTAACAGGAGATTATAATACAATGTTTTATCTTCAATTAATGGATTTTTTATCTTTTATCTTTTACCTTTTTCCAGGAATGGATTGGTCATTAGGCCATAAACGGCATCCGTTGATCCGGCATCGGAAAATGCGGTCGATTTAAGATGATACCAAGTTTGCGGGTGAAGCCCATCGATCCAGATCGTCTTCTTGCCCATTAGAATCATATTGGAAACAATTGTCCACATTTTCTCCTTCTGGGTTTTATATTTTATCGAGAAATGTTTAATTGTACATCCACTCGATTTCCACGAAGTTAAATCAACTTCAATTGAAGTTGCATTAGTAAACGAGATGAAGTTTTCCTTGACCGGAGCAATTGGAACTTGAGAATTTGGATTTGCAATTGGAATTGAGAGATAATTTGAAAATCGATTCAGTGATCGATTCTCCCTCTATCACTGTCTCTCACTCTCCGTCTCACTCTTCCTCTCACTCTTCCTCTCACTCTCCGTCTCACTCTTCCTCTCCTTCTTCCTCTCACCTCCTCTCAACTCCCTCCTCTCACTCATTCTCACCTCCTCCTCTGTCTCACCTCCTCTTCCACATCTCCTCCTCTCACCTCCTCTCACCTTCCTCCTGCCTCACCTCCTCACTCCTCTTACCTCCCTCCTACTCCCTCTTCCTCTCCCTCTCACTCTGTCTCTCACTCTGTCTCTCACTCTGTCTCTCACTCTGTCTCTCACTCTGTCTCTCACTCTGTCTCTCACTCTGTCTCTGACTCTGTCTCTTACTCTGTCTCTCACTTTCACTCTCCTTCTTCTCTCGCCCTCTGCCTCACCTCCCTTCACCTCCTCTCACCTCACCTCCCTCACCTCACCTCCTCCTCACTCTCCTCCTCCTCACCTCACTCCTCTCCTCTCCTCTCCTCTCCTCTCCTCTCACTCTTCTTCTCCTCTTCCTCTCCTCAACTCTCCTCACTCACTCTTCCTCTCAGCTCCTCCTCTTCTCTCCTCTCTCTCTCCTCTCACTCTTCTTCCTCCTCTCTCTCATCTGTCTCTCATCCTCCTCTCCTCTTCTCTCTCCTCTCTCCTCTCTCCTCCTCACCTCTTCTCACCTCACCTCTCTTCCTCTCTCCTCCTCCTCACTCCTCTTCCTCCTCCTCCTCACCTCCTCCTCTTCCTCCTCTCTTCTCTCCTCACCTCTCTTTCCTCCTCCCTCTTCTCTCTCCTTCACCATCCTCTCCTCTCACCTCCTCACTCTTCCTCACCTCCTCTCACTCCTCCTCCTCACCTCCTCACTCACTCCTCCTCACCTCCTCCTCCTCCTCCTCACCTCCTCTCTCACCTCCTCCTCACCTCCTCCTCACTCTCCTCTCACCTCCTCCTCACCTGTCACCTCCTCCTCACCTCCTCCTCACTTCCTCTCACCACCTTCCTCCCTCCTCCTCACCTCTTCACCTCCCTCTTCTCCTCTCCTCCTCCTCACCTGTCTCACCTGTCTCACCTCTCCTCACCTGTCCTCACCTGTCTCCTCTGTCTCCTCACCTGTCTCTCCTGTCTCACTCCTCACCTCCTCTCCTTCACCTCCTCACTCCTCACCTCCTCTCACTCCTCCTCCTCCTCACTCACTCCTCTCTCCCTCCTCTCCTCACTCTTCCTCCTCTCCTCTCACCTCCTCACCACCTCCTCCTCACCTCCTCTCTCCTCTTCTCTCTCTCCTCATCCTTCCTCTCTCCTCCTCACTCTGTCTCCTCACCTCCTCCTCCTCCCTCTCTTCTCCTCACTCTCCTCACTCCTCTCCTCTCTTCCTCTCACCTCCTCTTCCTCCTCCTCCTCCTCACTCCTCCCTCCTCTTCCTCCTCCTCTCCTTCTCTTCCTCCCTCATCTCTTTCTCTCTCTTCTCCTCTCCTCTCCTCTCTCTCTCTTCCTCTCTCACCTCCTCTCACTCTCACCTCACTCTTCCTCCTCCTCACTCCTCACTCCTCCTCCTCCTCCTCACCTCCTCCTCCTCTCCTCCTCTCCTCACCTCCTCACCTCCTCCTCCTCTCACTCTCCTCCTCACTCTCCTCCTCACTTTCTCTCCTCACTCTCCTCCTTCACCACTTCCTCCTCACTTCTTCTTCACCACTCTTCCTTCCTCCTCTTCCTCTCCCTCTTTCTCTGTTGTTAAGGTAGAAAGGTGATAATCAATGTGCCAATGATAATCTATCATGTCAATTGTAATTAGTTAACGAGACAATCAAAACAAATAATTATATATAAATAAAAATCACTATGAGCTTCCGACAATTAATCTAATTGTCTTGTGTGAGAGGGAGAAGAAGAGGAAGTGAGAGGGAGAGGAAGAGGGAGAGGGAGAGGAAGAGGGAGAGGGAGAGTGAGAGTGAGAGGGAGAGGAAGAGGGAGAGTGAGAGGGAGAGGAAGAGGGAGAAGAAGAGGAAGAGGGAGAGTGAGAGTGAGAGACAGAGTGAGAGGAAGAGAGAGAAAGAGGGAGAGGAAGAGGGAGAGGGAGAGTGAGAGACAGAGTGAGAGGGAGAGTGAGAGGGAGAGTGAGAGGGAGAGTGAGAGGGAGAGTGAGAGGGAGAGTGAGAGGGAGAGGGAGAGCTAGAGAGAGAGGAAGAGTGAGAGTGAAAGGGAAAGTGAGAGGAAGAAGAGGGAGAAGAAGAGGGAGAGGAAGAGGGAGAGGAAGCGGGAGAGGAAGCGGGAGAGACAGAGTGAGAGGGAGAGGAAAAGGAAGAGGGAGAAGAAGAGGGAGAGGGAGAGGAAGAGGGAGAAGAAGAGGGAGAGGAAGAGGAAGAAGAAGAGTGAGAGGGAGAGGAAGAGGGAGAGGGAGAGTGAGAGACAGAGTGAGAGGGAGAAGAAGAGGGAGAGGGAGAGGGAGAGGAAGAGTGAGAGGGAGAGGAAGAGGGAGAGAAAGAGGGAGAAGAAGAGGGAGAGTGAGAGACAGAGTGAGAGGAAGAGAGAGAAAGAGGGAGAGGAAGAGGGAGAGGGAGAGTGAGAGACAGAGTGAGAGGGAGAGAAAGAGGGAGAGGGAGAGGAAGAGGGAGAAGAAAAGAAAGTAAGAGCGAGAGGGAAAGTGAGAGGGAGAGGAAGAGGGAGAAGAACAGGGAGAGTGAGAGGGATAAGGAAAGTGAGAGGGAGAGGAAGAGGGAGAAGAAGAGGGAGAAGAAGAGGGAGAGCTAGAGAGAGGAAGAGTGAGAGTGAAAGGGAGAGTTAGAGGGAGAGGAAGAGGGAGAAGAAGAGTGAGAGGGAGAGGGAGAGGAAGAGGGAGAGAAAGAGGGAGAAGAAGAGGGAGAGTGAGAGACAGAGGGAGAGAAAGAGAGAGAGGAAGAGTGAGAGTGAAAGGGAAAGTGAGAGGAAGAAGAGGGAGAAGAAGAGGGAGAGGAAGAGGGAGAGGAAGCGGGAGAGACAGAGTGAGAGACAGAGTGAGAGGGAGAGTGAGAAGAAGAGGGAGAGCTAGAGAGAGAGAGGAAGAGTGAGAGTGAAAGGGAAAGTGAGAGGAAGAAGAGGGAGAAGAAGAGGGAGAGGAAGAGGGAGAGGAAGCGGGAGAGACAGAGTGAGAGACAGAGTGAGAGGGAGAGTGAGAAGAAGAGTGAGAGGGAGAGGAAGAGGGAGAAGAAGAGGGAGAGTGAGAGGGATAAGGAAAGTGAGAGGGAGAGGAAGAGGGAGAGGGAGAGGAAGAGGGAGAGTGAGAGGAAGAGGAAGAGGAAGAGGAAGAGGGAGAAGAAGAGGGAGAGGAAGAGGAAGAGGAAGAGGAAGAGGGAGAAGAAAAGAAAGTAAGAGCGAGAGGGAAAGTGAGAGGGAGAGGAAGAGGGAGAAGAAGAGGGAGAGCTAGAGAGAGAGGAAGAGTGAAAGGGAGAGGAAGAGGGAGAGGAAGAGGAAGTGAGAGGAAGAAGAGGGAGAAGAAGAGGGAGAGTGAAAGTGAGAGACAGAGTGAGAGACAGAGTGAGAGGGAGAGGGAGAGGAAGAGGGAGAGGGAGAGTGAGAGGGAGAGTGAGAGGGAGAGTGAGAGGGAGAGGAAGAGGGAGAGTGAGAAGAAGAGTGAGAGGGAGAGGAAGAGGAAAAGGAAGAGGGAGAAGAAGAGGGAGAGGGAGAGGAAGAGGGAGAAGAAGAGGGAGAGTGAGAGGGATAAGGAAAGTGAGAGGAAGAGGGAGAGGAAGAGTGAGAGGGAGAGGGAGAGTGAGAGGGAGAGGAAGAGGGAGAGTGAGAGGGAGAGGAAGAGGAAGAGGAAGAGGAAGAGGAGGAAGAGGGAGAGTGAGAGTGAGAGACAGAGTGAGAGACAGAGTGAGAGACAGAGTGAGAGGGAGAGTGAGAAGAAGAGTGAGAGTGAGAGACAGAGTGAGAGACAGAGTGAGAGGGAGAGTGAGAGAGAGAAGAAGAGGGAGAGTGAAAGGGAGAGTGAGAGGGAGAGTGAGAGGGAGAGTGAGAGGGAGAGTGAGAGGGAGAGTGAGAGGGAGAGACAGAGTGAGACAGAGTGAGAGGGAGAGTGAGAGGGAGAGTGAGGAGAGGAGAGGAGAGTGAGAGGGAGAGTGAGAGGGAGAGTGAGAGGAGAGGAGAGTGAGAGGATTTTATCAAGATTTAAAATTATCCTATTAATATGAAATCCAATCAAGTAAAAGATAATTAATTTAATTAGACAGAAATTTAAATTTTTTTAATTCCACTTGAATCTGATGCAATTATATTTACACAATTTAGGTTCCAATTAGAATACACAAGACAATTAGATTAATTGTCGGAAGCTCATTGTGATTTTTATTCATATATAATTTGTTGTTTTGATTGTCTCGTTAACTAATTACAATTAACATGATAGATTATCATTGGCACATTGATTATCACCTTTCTACCTTAACAACAATTAGTTAATCATTTGAGTACATTGGATGAACATTTGATTTATTAAGAGGAACTGGAAAAAGGAAATAAGAAAAACAAAAGAGAATCAATTAGTTGAAACAATTTAAGCTCTTAAATTGTGAATTAAATTTAATTACCTGGATAATCATAAAGATTACGATCAGATTTACAATGTCTTGGTGTCCTTTTAACTGTTGCATAAGGAGTTTCCTCATTAATGATTAACTGATTACTATTAAGATGATTATTAACTTTAAGAGTTGAGGTTGATTGATGATGGTGATGATGCTGATGGTGATTAATTAATTGTTGTACCATTGGATCACTAATTATACCACTACCATTTCCATTTATTTGGACGGATGCATAAGGTGATGGGTAAACAATTAACGATTGATTATCTTGACCAGGAATTAATTGTTTGGCTCGAGTTTTTTCAAAATCATTTAAATTCATCTCATCATTAAGAACCAATTTATTTGGTGTTATATTGACCATTGGACTGGAGCCCAATTTACCGTTAATTTCAGGTGATCCTAAAGGACAAGAACAAGAGAATCAATTAAAAAAATCAAATGATAACAATTTACTAAACAACAAGTTGAGTATTTACTTGAATATAAAGATTGATCTGGAATCCGTTTGTTCATCATGATACAGATTAACACAATTACCGCAACAACGACCATTAATGATAAGATTAACGGTAAAAGGATTTCGAGTTCAAAAAATACTTGATAATATGATTGATTGTATGTTAGAGGTAGTAGCGGTCTCTCTGGGATTAGGATTAGAAAACAGGATACGATTAACAGGAGATTATAATACAATGTTTTATCTTCAATTAATGGATTTTTTTATCTTTTATCTTTTACCTTTTTCCAGGAATGGATTGGTCATTAGGCCATAAACGGCATCCGTTGATCCGGCATCGGAAAATGCGGTCGATTTAAGATGATACCAAGTTTGCGGGTGAAGCCCATCGATCCAGATCGTCTTCTTGCCCATTAGAATCATATTGGAAACAATTGTCCACATTTTCTCCTTCTGGGTTTTATATTTTATCGAGAAATGTTTAATTGTACATCCACTCGATTTCCACGAAGTTAAATCAACTTCAATTGAAGTTGCATTAGTAAACGAGATGAAGTTTTCCTTGACCGGAGCAATTGGAACTTGAGAATTTGGATTTGCAATTGGAATTGAGAGATAATTTGAAAATCGATTCAGTTAATTGTTCTAATCTTCAAATGAGAATCATAATGATTACCTGATCCACTTGTTTTCACCTTAACTGGTTCCGTTGAATCGCCGACACCGATTGAATTAAATGCTCTTATTGTTATCTCATAATAGGTACCACAGAATAAACCATGAAGAGTATGATTATAATGACCTGAGGTGACTCGCTTTTCGAATACATCGTTTTTGGATGAAGACCCTCGTATGATGAACCCTTTAGATAAATGGAAAATTTGATCAGCTGATTTTAGAATAACAATTTTTCGGTAGAAGAAAAAAAATCAATTCTTTTTTTACCTGTGATCTGGTTTTCTTCAGATTCAACAATCCATTCCAAGGTGATTGATGAAAAGGTTACGGTGGTTGATTGAATTTTTGGTGGTTTCGGTGGATCTGTAATCAGTAAATCATCAATTAAATTATTGAAGAAGCAAAATCGTAACTGTAAACAATGATAACCATTTGATTAAGTCATTACAATTGATGAATGTTAATTAGATAAATTGATTTTATTTTCTGCTTTCTCTCTCTCTATTCTGTAGAATCGAGAGCCAAGAAAGTTGTTGGTTTCTGATATAAACGTTTATGATTGTTTGGGTAAATTAATTGTGAACAGAATTTACAATTTGTTTGTCTCTCAATCAAAAATTAATTCAATTAGATTGTTGTTGTTTTTTTCCCTTAATTTAATTGTAAATCTGTTTGAAGTGGTTTTTAAAGATTAGACAAACAATCAAATGCTAAGGGGAGAAATCAATGAAAATCTTTTAGTTTTTTCATTGAGGAAAATAAATAAAACAACTTGAGTCCTTCTCGGTGGTGGAAGAGGGAAGGTGGGAGTGGGAATGGGGGTGGGAGTTGAAGGATGTGAAATAATGTCCCTTTTTTATTGATTGAATCCTAATGATGAAAGGAAAAGATTTGTGTCCATCATCATCAACCTAAAGGTGAATCTTCATCTTACCTTTCAGATTTATACTATTAGAAGGAGGTTTTACCTTTTTATCATCTTCATCTCCATCCTCATCCTCATTACCATCATCATCTTTATCATTAACTCTCAAATTACTAACACACAGGTAACTCAATCTGATCGTTAACTCAGTTTCTTGGTAGTTTTTTTTGTTTCATTTTCGTGATGAAATTAAATCTTAATGATGACCAATCATCATGAAGGGAAATGATGATGACGATGACGATGATGATGATGGTGGAAATGTAAAAGAAAAGATGATAAAAAAAGCCTATCATCTTCATCCTCACCAACAACATGATCCAAATGATTTGAATCAACGTGATGAGCATTTCAAATCTAAATCCAGATAGGTTAACATTAATTGACCATTTAAAAGGTAATCCAATAAATTAATCAGACTGATTATAAACCTTTATTTGTACCAACAAGTTATTAATAATAAATTAACGGTAAATTTGTAATCATCATCATGATAATCATTTAGTATACAAAAAGTAATTGCAATTGATTGATAAGAATAAAAAAAACTAACTAAACAAACTAAGGAAACTAAATTGTCTTGTTGACAGTTGATTGTATATTCATTGATCTAATGTAATTTAATTTCTCATTCAAATCACTTGAGTTAATCAATTGTCATGCTTGTTGACAGTACAAGAAACAACAGTTACTCTGGATGATGATCAAATATATAAATAGATTGATAATAATATGGAAAAAAACAAAGTTTCAATTGTTATAAATTGTTGTCTCTCAATGTGATTTATTTGAAATTGTGAATGGATGAAGATGATAAAGTTCAGTCAACGATGTAAATTGATGATGATGAAGAGATTGAGGATATTTTCATGATGGGTGAGAAAATATAACATTTCCATGAGTTATAATGAAATAACTTTTCTACTTGAAGTTCTGTTGAACCCAAAGAGGGAGAGAGAAGAAAAAAAAATTTCAAGTTCGAAGTCAAAAAGTTCTAACAATCGATAATCGATATAAACTTTCACCTTAACATCTTAATTATTATTATTCTTTACCTTTTAATTGTTTATCAATTTACAGTAGAAAATCAAATTAATCAATTTCCCTTGTAACTAATCACTTTTCTAATCATTTTTTGATTAAACAATGCAAACAATTGGAAATTAATTTCTTCATATGTAAATATTATCATCGCAATAGTTGATATAATTAGAGAGAGAAAATAAAATCGATAATTTTTTTCATCATGATGATAAGTTTCCAGTATTGATCTTATATTAAATTGTCACTCTCTCGGTTTATCATCATGTTAATGATGAGCTTTTTTCGGGTAAATCAATAAATTTACATGAGAAGATGATTTAACTATTGTCGCGATTAGCTGATTAAGAATTATGAATTTGATGTAATCCTTGATAAGAGATAAACTCAATTGATAAAATATTCTTATATATGAGAGGATGAGGAAGTTTTTATTGGAAGAAAAAATTGAAATTCGAAATTCAGAAAATTTTTTCTCTCCGTATATTTGATGATAATTCTAGTAAATACTGTCAAGTTATTCAGAATCATGATGATGATGATTACTGAGAATTGATGATAAAGATGCAAAGGTAAAGTGTGATGATGAGATTCTCAGGTAAGATAAAAGGTGTAATACTTTTTACCTCTTTTTCCTTATCATCTTATCATCTTCTTCCTCTTACTTTTTTCACTTACTTTTCTGTGTAGTTACCTTTTTTTTCATCATCATCATGAAGTACAAGAGACACATTATCATGGATCTTGATGAAATAAAAACTTCATCTACAGTTTAACCATCAACATAATGATTTTCCAAGAGGGAAAAAAACATAAAGCTCAAGATGGAGATAAAGATGAAGATAAGGATGAAAGGGAGAGATCCTCAGGGTGGTAAGATGATCGAGATGATGGAAACCTTTACATTTCCAGTTCTCATTTGATTGATCTTGATGATGTCTCACTCAGGTAACTCAATGGAAAAGAGAGAGAGAGAGATAAAAGTTCATCATGTGAAGTGGGATGATAATGCAGATACATCATGATGAATGGTGGATTTCATGGTATATACAAATGAACTAATAGATTCATTCATTGGAATCATCATGAACTTTTTTTGTTACTTGGATGAATGAAAAAATCATAACAAAAAGTTTCAATTTGATTCATTTAATGAAATTATGATAATGATTGAAGTTGATTGTCAGTCTCAATAAGTTTAATAGTCAATCAAAATGTCAAATTTCATAAATAAATTAAATTGTCTTTGCAAAGTCAAGATGAGAATTGACATTCACCCACCACCGACACCTTCAACCTCATCCAATCCTCATGTCACTCCCAAATATCATGAGTATTATTTTTTATTATAACAATTGGAAATTTAACTTTTCAAATACTTTGAAACGTTTAAAATAATAACAATTTATCACAATTGAATCTGAGAAACTATTACAATAATATTATCCCATTGGTGGTTATATGGATATTGATTATCATATATTATTCAAGGATAATTCTGAAGATGTTGATGATGATAGAAGTTTTGAAAAAAAAGATGATCACAAAAAAAACAATAAGAGAAAAAATTTATCTCGATAAATGTTGATGTTTATTTTTACTTTGAAATTGTTTATTCAGTTTAAGATGTTTCAGTTTGATCATGTATGATGAGGAAGAAGATGAGGAAGATGAGGAAAAGATAGAGAGGGAGAGAGAGAGACCAAGAGATAAGTGAGAACGATATGATAAATCGTTTGAGAAGACACAAGATGAAGGAAGAGAAAATGATAGAAAAACGATCGATGATAATCATCATTTTTACTGTGAAGATAAGGATCAAGGAAGAGAGCAAAATGATGATAAGAAGAAAGAAGAAGATGACAAGAGAGAGAGAGAGAGAGAGAGAGAGAGAGAGAGAGTTAGAAGATGAAAGAGAGCAAAAAATTGTTGCCATAAGCATAGTTTTCATTGAATCTCTAATGGTTGACATGGGAACTTTCATCTTCTTCCTCATCCTTTGAGCATCTTTCTATTTGAGTATTAAAAATCACTTTTCCTCCTCATCCACTCCTTTCTGTTTTCCCACTCCACCCTCTTATCTTCCTCCTCATCTTCATTTTCATCTTCCTCTTCCTTTTCCTCTTCCAAAAATATATATTCAATCTTATCATTTACTGGTAACCCTTTTTTTACCGTTACTTTGAAAAGTAAACAAAAAGTTCAACATTTACTCATCATCAAAGTAATCATGTAATTAAAATATTAATATCCTATCATGATGACAATGATTATCTTTATCATCATAATGAAACAATTGTAATTACTTTAAAAACTCAAACCAAAATTATTAGTATGAAAAAAAGATAATCAATTTGAAAGTTTGAAATTGAATCTCAATTCAGATTTGATTACATGATATCGATTGAAACTTTTATGAAGAATTTAAATCTTATGTGATTATTTAATTAACCCTGATTTTAATTGAATCTATCAAGTTTCATTAATTGTAATTGACTTCTCTCTCTGGTCAACTTGATGGTCAACTTACCTTCATGATAAGTTTCAACGGTGATGGGATCGGATAAGATTCCAGGTCCTTTTGAATTGAAGGCTTGAACTACGATCTCATATTTGGTCTTACGAGCGAGATTGGATAATGTTATTTCTGGCCTGAAATCATCGGAAATCGTGATCGTTTTATAAATTGAAGCATCGCCCGAATCAACTGGACGATATCCAATATAATAGCCTTTGATTTTACCAAAACTGTAACGTGCCTCTGGACTCTGGTCAATTTATGAAGAGATTTATGAACAAACCAGAAAGAAAATGGATTAATTTGAGTTCGAACAGAAAAAAAAAGTTCTAACTTTGTAAACTTTTCGACATAAAAGATAAACTCGAGAGACAAAAAGACGATGATAACCGTTCAAGTGAAAGGTTAATAACATAAGATTGATACACATGAAGAAGATGAACCGGAAATTATTCCAAGATAATCTTTTAGAACAGTAAATTCGACTGGAGAAATTGGTGAGTTCTATTCGATAAATAATAAAAGAAGAAGAAGAAAAAAATTCTCTCTCCATCTTCAATTTCCTCTTATCATGTAAATATTTTCATAGAAATAAATTGTTTCCAAAGTTATAATAATCTTCACCCATGATAATTATCTCGAATCCTATTTTTCCAAGATAATAAGTAAACAATTAGAGTTAATTGTTGGCTTAAATTGACGGGAAAATAATCATCATTTAGATTTCCATGAGCAAACTAATCTGAATAATTGTCAGTTACATGAAAATCATCAATAAATTCAACAAGAATCAACCTTAATTACCAATAAGATGATAACAATAAATCAAATTTCCGTTTTCAAGTTTAGGTTATTATTTAAAGTTATCATCATTTTTCATTGTTAACATTTTACTTGACCATCAGCTGATGATGATAATAAGATATATATAAGATTAACTAACTGTGTGAAATTAATTTACATCATTAAAAGTATCATTTAGTTTTATCACTCCACCTTTGAGCCACCCATCAACCTTCAACCCTCCCTCTCTCTGGTCAGTGTATTAACCTTAATCGTCTTAACCAGAGGAGGTGGGAAAAGATTGAACCTCTTCCAAGACATTTATCACTCCCTGTGAATCAAAGCCACAGAGGAAGATGAATTCATCCCACCCCACCTTCATTTTCATCCTTTCAACTCACCATGAAGCCTGAAAAAAAAAGTTCTGAACATTTATCATCAAAAGCAATAACAATACAAAGACCTTGCGAGTTAATTCATTTGGAGTGAAAAATTTTTTTTCTCTTTCTTTTCTCATTAAAGTTAATCCAATATCTCTCCAAACAATTTGTTGATTAATCATCAAATAGACTTAGTGACATACTCATACACACTCATGATTTAATTCGTGATCTTAATCTACTATTACAATTAACTGTAAGTTTGATTGTGAAAAATTGGATTAACTTGATGTAAAAGAAAGTAAAAAGTTTCTCTTCCTCCTTCAATGGATTATAATTGAATGGATAAAGATGATTAATTAATGAAGTAAATTGAAGTTCACCCAATCAATTAGATTAATAGAAATGTTAACCAAATTAAGATAAATATATAAATCATTCAATTGATCAATGGTTTAATTTTCATCATTTCTCATCACTTGAAATTCATTATTGGATTAACTTGATGGCTTTTGGATTCCCTTTTGATGGCTTAAGGTTATAACTGTAAATCTTTACTCATTTACTAATCATCTGATTCATTGTTATTACCATTGATTATCTTCAAATTGAGTTTACAAAAAGTTTCATCTTGTGGTTCTCAATCATCCTCATGGTGATTAGTTTAATTCCCTCACCATGGAAATTAATCAATTTGATGAGAGAAACAAAAAAATTACATCCAAAGAATTGAGTGTCAAGAGTATTGATAGATAATCCCTTTAATCCGATAATACAAAAAGATTCCCTATTGATATTTATCCTCTTAATGAAAGTAAATTGATTGGTAACAATTAACATTCAAATTTAAAATTAACAAATTAAATTGTTCCCAATAAATAAATTAATTGTTAAAATATTCACTGGTTCCTATTAATCATAATTTCAGATTTAAATATTGTATTTACTGAGTATCAGAATTTTCAATGAAAATATCAACTTTTATATTCAGTTATCATGGAAACTAAATTATTCAACTTAATTCATGATTATCCTCATGAGTGAAATAATTTCATGTTATTTTTTTTTACCCACTCAACTTTTAACCAATAAGATAAATTTAATTTATGGTAATTTAAATCGTAATGGTTAATCAACAATTAACTTGTAGTTTTATATGATAACCAGGACAATTTAATATTCAATTTGAAAATTATTCAATTAGAAAAACTTTTTTTCTTTCTTGATAGTTGAAAGTTTTTTTTTTCGTTCGCGTTTTTTTTAATAGATCACAATTAACTTTTTCTCGCCTCGATTTTAGTTAATTAATTTGATTAACTTACATTCCAAGCAACTCGAATCTCTCTTGATGATATTGCATATCCTTTCAAATGCTCTGGTGGTTTATTGGGCACTAGAATATCAGAAAAGATTAAGAGATGAGATAAGTTAGAAAAAAAGTTCCATATCAATTTTTAAATTCAATCTCTCAGCATTGGAATATCTTATCATGATCAATATGTATTAATATCTTACTCTGAAGTTTTTTTTATTGTTAATCTCAACTCTATTTTATATATAAGTCAAGTTTTCTCAGTTGCCTCAGGCTATTCAACTTTCTTATGTATATGAGAAAAGAAAATTTTAATTTATTTTGATTAATTTGATTGTTTTTTCTTGTTCACTCGTAATTGTTGAGCTTTATAATTTAGTTAATCAAATTTAAGACAATTCTCCACTCAAAACAATTCCCAGTTCGAAAAAAGTTCAAATGTACTAAAAGGAAAAGTTCGAGAGTAAGAAGAGAAAAAAAAAAGTTTATCGTTTTAATTTCTTCCACTTGATAAATGTCCTAATCTTTAACTAACGAAAGTAAAATTAATGCCATTAATTAATGAGAAAGAGAGAGAGATGATTAAGCTCAGGTAATTAGTTGAGACCTTATGGAATACAGGGTGTGCTAAGGAATTGGAAAGTTCTGTTACCTTCTTCGTCCGTTTGAAATCGGACCAAATGACTTGGTTCACTTTGTCCAATCTCGTTAATCGCTGTAAGGCAAATGGTGTAATTGGTTAAAGGCACAAGGTCATTGATGGTCCAACTTGTTTCGCTATTGGGAATGGTCAGGTTTCGATTTTGTAGTCCAAGGAAGGCCACTTCATTCAAATGCTCCCGAAGGTAAATATGATATCTTTGAATTGGTGAGTTACCCGAAAACGGGGGTGACCAGGTTATTTTTACGCTTCGGCTTTTGACCTCAGTGGTTTTTATGTCATTAGGTGGGTCAGGTGATTCTGTACAATAAATATGAACCAATTAAAAGACTAATTAATGATATAATTTTTATTATTATTAGAAAAGTTTAATTGTTTATTGTGTCGTCTTGGTTAAATGCTTAATTAGTGGAAATTATTTTCACTTTATTGCTAATTAATTCATTGTACTGAGACAAGTAAGTAAATTATTATTAATATAATGAATGTCATTTAATTGTTTTTCAATTCAACCAGATGAATGAAATCAAATTTGATAATAATAATAATTAAAAAACAGCCAAACAATTAACACAGAGTAAAGTTGTTAATCATGTGAACGTTTTTGATGAAAATAACTTTCAAAATAAGTTGTTCGTTTTAATTGTTGATGTTAAAGTAATTAAAACTGACACAAGTTAATCAGGGATCAACTTGTAATGTTGAGAAATGATTCAAATTGAGAAATTGAATTATTATATTGTAACATTATCGATACTCAATTTTGATTATCATGTAAAGATGAAGATGATGTTTGTTTACATTGGATTTACTTTTCTTGGTGAATGTTTCTCATAATTTTGACTGAGGAGACTCAAAGGATTCTAATAGGATGGTACATGGGATGGAGATGAGAAGATGATGAAAATGGTGAATGATGAAGAGAGAGAGAGAGAGAGAGAGCGAGAATTCAAAGTTCTGACATCTTCAATTAGAAGTTTACTTTACGAAGAAAAAAAGAGGAACTCGAAAAATCATCTTCTCCATCTTCATCTTCATCATCTTCTTCTTCTTCTTTCCTTCCTAATTCATTTTCCATGGTGATGATTTTTCGTCTCTATGGTTACCAACAATTTCATCTTCATCTCTTAAAGTGCTCACATTTTGTTGGAAAACATTTGTTAACATTAACAAATTATCCCAACGTAATTATTTTCATTGGAAAGGATTAGAATTAAGATTAGGAAATAGTATTTTCTTTGCCACCATAATCCTTTTGTTTTTAATCCATTTGTAACCAGATTAACTGATTGTTGAACATTAAGTATCCTTCAGATGATGAGAAGGATTTTATCATTTGGATTGACCTTTTAACACATCCAATAATTTACCAACTCCATCATCATCATTGACACTTCAACTTATCAATATAATACCAAATATGATCTCATTCATAATAATAAACAACTCCGTTAATTTGATATCACAATTTAGCTAAACAACAAAAATCAAGTGATACATATTTACACCTACTAATCATTTTGACATGATGAGATTTCACAACAACAATTTGATTACTTAATTATTAATCTAATACATTGTTACTCATCATCCATCCACCAGAATCAATATCTTTGTGACATTTTCACTGGACATGGAAATCGTATAAAACAATCAGGGTTATATTCATTTGAGATAATCAATAATTACCATGAGGCTGATTCTGAACTGAATTAAAGATTATAATAAGAATCTAAGTTGATATCAATTGTTACCATGAAATTGAACTTGGTTGAATCATGGTTGAATTTTTTGTTTCTCTCTCGATCTGAAGCTCCAAATGAAAATGCAATCAAGAAATTGAGAAAACGGTAAAGTTTCATTTGATTGAACTTCATGATGATGATCATGTTTATGTATAAACTTGGAATTGGAAATGCGAATGAAAAGAAATGAAAATAGGAAAATATCATCTTCATTATCACATATTCCCTCTAATCAAAGAGAGAGAGAGAGAGAGATGATAAAAGAAAGAGAATATATTTTTTTCTCTTCTCATCTTCTTCATCATCATCTCATCTGAAATATCATCATCATGATATCCGGTCATCCGTTCAGTCGCAACCGATTCAAAACGATGAACGATAATATTTCCAATTTGAAGACTTCATTGATAATAATAACAGAGAGTAATTCTGATGATGATCACCATCATCATGATCATAATAATGAAACATTTTTTGGTGAAATGAAATGAGAAGACAGAAAATAAAAGGAAGAAAAAGAAAAAAAATAAGATCTCATCTTCATCATCTCAAGTGGGATGAGGATGAAGCCTTAAGGAAGATGGGAAATGTTTCTTGGATGATCTCTCTCTCTCTCTCTCTCTCTCTCTTTGATTATCATCCTTATTATCATCACAACCGATATTATTAGCATCCATATAATATATCATATAGATCCATTCAACTTGGATTATTATCATTATTTATCAATATAAGTAGAAAAGTAGAAAACCGGAACCGGAATAACCGGATATATATTTTATTCCTAATTTTTGCTCCTTAGTCAAGTTGAGTGTTAATAATAATGTTCATCAAGCTGAATTGTTTGTATAACTTGTAGGTTAGTTAAAATAGGAATGTGAGAGCAAAGAGATTTAATTAAAACCCAAAATGCTAAGGTAAGGGTTGGGCTTTGGGTTGGGAAGGATGAGGAAAATGTTAAGGTAACAAGTGCAATTAATGAAGATGATGAAGATGCGATGATGATGATAATGAAAGAGGAAACTTAAGGAATACCTTTTTGGAACTTATTAGATGAGAGAATCAGAAAAAAAAGAAAGAGAAAAAATCTAATAACATGTAAGGTGCCTTGGGATGGATTCTGATGATAATTTTTCAGAATCTAATTCAATTAATAATCTTAGTGAGAGAGAGAGAGAGAGTTGGAAGGTTGAAACTGAATTCATGGTGGAAAAGGGTGGGACAAAAGGTGGATAAGTTGTTGAATGAGAGGAGGCAAAAGTTTCACATTATCATTTGAACTTTAATTTCATGGTTACTCATAAACACTCAGGGTGATTCATGATGAAGATATTGACGATTCAGGTTAGTAATTAAGTTTTGTAATCAACTCAACTTTTTTCCGTTAATTACCACATCAATGAGTTCGGTTGATTTGTATTACAATTGAAGAATCTTCATCATAATTATCGTGAGGATTGGGAACTCATCGATTAAATTGATATTAGTTGATTTGATTTTTCTAAATCTTCGTAAACAAATAACAGTAAATGTCTATTCGATTTGATTCTGAAGCTGTCATGATATGAATTCAGGGTAACTATGAATTGATATTATTAATATCGTTTTATCGTCAGTTGTTATTGGGATAATAGTTGCGAAAATTGTTCAGATGAATTTAATTCAGGATATTGATTCAACTGAGAGTGAAAATGTCATGGTAAGTGAATGGGTGGGTTTGGGGTGGTACAGAAAATCAATCCCTGTAAACTGAATATTAACAAGTCTCAATAAAGTTGGAAAATCTTATCTACAGAATGTAAGAGGTATCAATTGAAGATACGAATAAAAATATTAGGAGAAAAAAAGTTCGAAATCGAAAATTGTGAGACTTAAACTTTTCTATTCTTTTCTTTTCTCCCATGAAAATCATCATCATGATAACAGAATGATAATATTATCATTCGGTTAACAATCAATTGGATCATGGAAAATGTAGATATTATACTGAACTCTAATCGGATAAAAGAGTAAACATGATTATCTTGATAAAGATTTTCAATGATAAACTGAATAATTCTGAACATTTAATGCCACAGAACTGATACTGTTTCCGTTTCCGGATGCAAAGATTGGCAGATTATCTTGAATCAATTAAATGGTTGAATAAATAATGTGTTATTATTAGAAAAAAAGTTAAACTCAGAATATTAGAATCGATACATTTGATATCGAACATAGAAGTTGCTCTCTCTCTCTCTCTCAAATTCTTGACCTAAATGACCATTAGATATGATGGTTACTTGTTGATAATCATGATCATGAACTCAATTGGTTGGACTTATGTATAACAATTGATTAACTGATTCAGAATCGCAATTTAGTCTGAATCATCAGAAACTTTTTGCTATTAGGTTAATCAACTTGATCTTGATTAGTTAATGTTAACTGTTCATGGAAAGGAGATTGAGAGAGAGAGAGAGAGAGAGAGAGAGAGAGAGAGAGAGAGAGAGAGAGAGAGAGAGAGTAAAAAGGGAGCGGATAAAATAATTTATGGTCAAAAAATGAATTAATATTGACCAACTGAAAGAGAGAGAGAATCGAGTCTGGGGTCAGTTAATCAACTCTAAATTAATCTTTTTGTTTAGTTAACCATTTTTCATACAAGATTAATTAATCAATATTATTATCATCATTGTTATAACAATATTATTAACCACTCCCATGATTTATTACATGGTTACGAAGAGGAAGACAAGGAGATCAGGGAGAGAGAAAGAGAGCAAAAATGAGAAATCTCCCCTTAGATAAGGTGGACATGTAATATGATGTCCACTCTTGAAGATGTAAATGAAAACTCTAAATGAATGAGATGATGACGATTGAATCAATTACATTCCCGCCATATCTACATGTAAGAGCTACTGATTTTTTTTACTAGAATTGATTGATCTGAATAAAAACATTTTCAAAAATGTTGATCAGCATCATGAAGAAAAGGTAATTAAGATGCCATCATGTATCATCATCGATCCTCTGAAAACGGAAGTCAAAAGCTCTGAAAAAGGGAAAGTGAATGGTGATGAATAAATGAGATTCATGAAGATGAAGCAAAGGTAAAAATAGACTTGTCAAAAGGATTGAATGACAAGCATGAGAATTTGGTTTCCATGGGAGAGAGAGAGAGAGAGCTGAAAATTCTGGCTGTTCAGAATGATGGAATTTCTTTTCTCTTCTTTATTTTTTTTTCCACCATGATAACAACGAAAGAGAGAGAAAAAAAATGATATGATATCAACTGTTAGAATTATTATCATCTTCATCATCACATGTATAAGATTTAAACTGCTACGAATAGTAAATAGGGAAAAAAGAAAAGAAGAAAAAAATTCTGAGATGTTCATGATTTACATGAATCATTCAGATGAAGTGAAAAAGAGAAGAGGGAAAAGGTTGTGATGAAATGAAAGTAAATCTGATGAAGATTTCATGATGCCAAGGATGATGAAAATCATCTGATATCCAAAGAAATATTAATAATATTCAATCCATGAACTTATTGTTATAAACTTACACCTTACTTTTCATGGTAGAAATATAATTCATTCAGAGTAACAATAAACTTCATCTAATATTAATTGTTATTATCATTTACCTCTGACAACCAACTGAATCCTCGTCTCATCTTTACCATAACCATTGGAGGCATGGCAACTGTACAAGGCTGAATCACGGCGGTCAATGTCCATGATGGTCAGTTCTGAGCTGTAGCCTTCAGCTGTTATCCGATCTTTAAGAATAACCCTGAAATTTCATGAAGAGTTGAGAGGGAAAAAATAGAGATTGAAAATTAACTTGAGAGTTACACCTTAATCATCAACATGTTGGATCAGAACAATTCATGATAAAACTATTTGTCACATGAATTTTTCATGGTTCATATTGATGAGATGATGATAAAGAGGATAATGAACCTTTTAGGGTCAAAAATAATCGGCTTATCATCTTTACGCCATTGAATTGTTATCGGCTTCTCTCCATAGGCTTCACATGATAATTTGGATTCTTGTGATTTAGTAAAAGTCTCCGAACGAAATTTAGATGTAAAATAAGCTCCTTCTGTCTCAGAAAAGGATTTATCATGAGATTAGTATCATGGTGATTTACATATTGAACTATTGTTCTCATAAGATTATTCTTGAGTCTTTACCATGAACAGAAATCCGGATAACTTTTGATAGTTCACTTCCAACTCCATTCGATGCCTGACAAAGGTACAAACCCGAATCGCTTTTCTGAATATCGTCAATGAAAAGTGCCCCAGAATCGAGGATCTGAACTCGAAATGAGCTGACAATCGTCTTGTAGCTTGTTGTCCCATCTAAATGTCGAAAAAGTTTTCGAAAAAGACAAAAAAAATTATTCGAAAAGTCCAATTCACTCTAATCAAGACAATCGCAAAGATAGTGATCAATGTTACGGCTTATGAGTTGAACTTAATCAACATTGATTAACTTAATTGTCATTCTAATTGTGTATCAACATATTTGTTTGATTTACCATTGATTTAAATTGTTCCCATAGTAATTGGATGTTATTTGTTTTTTTGTTGTTGATTTTGTTTGTGATTAAAAGGTAACAAGAAATGTAACTGCACCATTGCTGCTAATTGTTAATAATTAATGACAACTTATTGTAATAACAACAACAATTAACCATTCAAAGTGAATGATTAACTTGTAATGATTATAATTACGATATTTTGGTCATTTTTTCCTCTACTTGATTATTAAAACCTTTCAATCTAATTGAATGACCGAACCTCTGAAAACTTGAAATTCATTATGTGACTCGAATTGTTGATTAGTTGAAATTGTGAATTAGATTATCATAATAACCGATGGGAGGAAGACAGGGACAGAGGGAGTGAAAGATAAGTGAGTGACCATTTAATTCAACCGATTGTTGGTCTAAATTGTGACAATGATGCTAATGATTGACCATAACAATGGTCAGTCTTATTTAATAAAGATCCATGAAACCGGAAGACTATAAACTTTTATTTCTTCAAATCCCTCGATTCGAAGTTTAATTTTCTCTCTCTCTCTCTCTCTCTCTCTCTCTCTCTCTCTCTCTCTCTCTATCTCTCTCTCTCTCTCTCTCTCTCTCTCTCTCTCTCTCTTCTAATCATTATCGTCTATTCACTTTCTCTACTCATTCCCTCAGGGTCTTTAGAGTTTTCTACTTCTTATCTTTTCTCTTAATGTCCGAATGGAAATTGGTCAGTTCGATGAAAAAGTGACCAAGAATAAAACTTTCAAATATCTCTTTTAACTTGACTGAATTTCAAGATGAATCATTTTTAGAACTAAAATATAATCGTGATTCGAATTGATAATTGAGAGAACATTTTGTTTAGATGAAATTGATGAATAAAATGAAGGAAAAGAGAAAAATTGAAATGAAAGAAATACTATTATTTTCTATTATAAATCTTCACTCCCACTTCGAGCTTGGTATCATTTCCACTTCCTCTTCTTCTTTTAGAAAATAACATTATATCAGTTTTTTGAGTTTTCTCTTGTCAATATAAGCTAATCAAGTTGGATGAAATTTCGAAACTCATTGAATATCTATCGAAGTTAGAACTTTTTTTCTCTCGAGAAATTTTTGTTCGCTTTTCTTACTTTGAGCCTTTTTCCAAATAATCGAGGGCGTCGGGAACCCGGAAGCTTGACAATTACTCCAAACTTGTTCACCTTTAGTTGAACTTATATCACCAGGTTCGTAAATCCATTGAGGTGGAGCTAGAAAATTACATAGAAAACAGATTAGGATTAGAAGGATTAAGATAATTGAAGAAAAAAAAAATAATAACAACTAATCATCATCATAATATCCTAAGGTAATTGTCAAAGTGATGAAGGCAAATATTAATAACGAGTTCCAATCAATTTCCAATACATTAATAATCATGGAGATGTTGATAATCAGCATGAAACTGATAATATAATAATAATAATACATTAGAAGATGAAGGAAAGAAAAATATGACGAATAAAAAAAATAATCTAACATGAAATTCCCATATAATCATCTAATGTAATTGTTTGCACTGTAATCATATAATATATACCTCGAGTAAATTGTATCAGGGTATTCATACTCATAGACGATTCTGAGATAAGTTCATCTTCATAATCATCATGAAGTTAACCAGAACCATTACAATTGTCAGTTAGTTTGTTTTCCATTTTTTTTTCCAAGTCACATACAAATATTATATCTACTTATTATCAAACATTGAACTTTATTATCGTCATTACAATATAACATCAACTCCCTCTCGTCATCATGTATTCACTCACCACAACCACTATCCACTCCATTCATCTTCCTTGTCTCCCTCAGTCTCTTTCTCTCTCATCATTATCATTCTAACGTGATAAAAGGTTAATCCATTTCATTTACAATGATTATTATCTCATGTTTTTGTTTACTCAAGATTCTGATTCAGATTCTTGTTCCTTTCATCATGATAAATATAAATAACTTAATTATCAACTCCAAATGATTCAGTTATCATTACAATCTCAATGATAATTATCATCTAAGTCTCTCTCTCTCTCTCTCTCTCTCAGTCATTCTAATGATATATATAAATGTGAAAAAAGCATGATTATTATTATAATATGATTACCATGATAAAAAAAGATGGGAAAAAATTATCATGAAAAAAAGTTCCTATGATAATAGTCTGTTAATTACATGTCATTAATGATAACTTCATCTCTGATATAATCAGAATAAAATCTTAAACTGAACTTACCATCATAATCATCTTTAGGTGAACTTAAATTTCTCATGAAGTTTTATCGAAAAAAATTTGTATCAATTTCATGGTAAAAGTTGTTTTCGAAACTTTTTCCTATTATTCAAAACTACATATTGATTTCAATAAGACTAAAAGTTTTCATTTGAATTGGAGTCATATTATCAAGAGCTTTTTAGTTACAATTAACTTTGAATTGTTATCATTTTCAATGATTGTGATATCGTTCAGGGAGTTGAAGTTATCGTTTCACCAAAGAGTCTCATGAATCCATTTACTTTACACATGATATTATCTTTTCTTGGCTGTTCATTTTTCTGAGATTCATCTTTTATCTGTCAGTAAACGGGAGAGAGTATTGGTGAGAGAGTATTGGTGGAAAGTGAGAAAACAAATCTTGTTGCTTCTTCCTATTCATTTGATTCTTATTACCTCTCTCTCAGTTAATTCCCCATGCATGGTGGATAAAAGTGATGAGAAGAAGAAGAAAAAATGAGATGAAAATGGACAGAAATATATATATTATATTCAGGAAAAGATTCATGGAGATTCAGTTGGATGGTGATGCATGAAGAGAAGGAGATAAGACATAAAGGTAAAGTTACTCAATGAGATGTAAAGTAACACTGATGATGAGAAGAAGATGATGAAAGGTAAAAGTATAATTTTCGATGTAAAACTTTTACGAAACATAATCTTCAATGTAAGAAGATGTTTCTTTTTTCCTGCCTCACTCTCTCATCAATCGAGAAAGGATAAGGCTGATTCTTATTATAATCTCCATCCTTTTCCTCCTCCACCCATTTCCCACCTTCATCTTGAACACTATCCCTTGTGTCCAATGGTAAATTGCATTAGCTTTATAATAACAACAACAATACCAGAGTAACAGTTTCTCTGGGCTTAAGTAACTTTGTGCATGGAGAAGAGGATGAGGAAGATGAAGATGATGAAGAGGTGGAGAAAATGATAAAGGTGGAAAATTGCAAGTGAAAGTGGGAATGTGATGGAGAGCATGATGGTTGAGATTCAACAGGGAGTAGGTGAAAATATTGTTCCACTTTCAGGAAATTCATTCCATGGTAATGATCATGGAAGAGAGAAAGAAAAATATGAAAATTTGTTCAAATTTAATGTTCTTTATGTTTGAACTAATTGAATTTACCGTTAATCCTTTTTTGAAATAATACAATTAAAGATTTAAATTGTTGTTGGTGTAACAGTTTGGTGATGAGTTTAATTCCCAAAACTTTTGATAAAATTGAAGGTTAAAAATTTTCTATCTCTCGTATTTTTTCATCATGGTGATAAACTGAATTATATTCAGGATATAATCTGATACATGATGATGAGTATGATGAGCTTTTTCATACTAATCATCTTAATCATCCAATGAAACATATTAATTTGCATATTCATCATTTATTAATAGAAGAGAAATTTTTACTTATCATATTGACAGAATCATATTTCTGATTCATATTCATGATAAAATTAATAGTCTCATCATAATCATCAATTTCATTATCGATACTCAACTTATCAGCACTGGAATGATATGATAATATAAAGGTATCAAGGTTGGTAGGGAAAACGATATCATGGAAATCAGATTATCATGATGATGATGGAATAGACATTGAACTGAATCAGTTTGTAATCAACTAATTTCATAGATTTTTTGTGAGAAAATGTTAATCATTATGTTGGTTACAATAATTTTCATGGAGTTAATTTTAACCATTGAACAATTTTCTGTCAACTTTTATATTAATAAACGAGTACAAATGTTCAGTTGATTGCTAATTTAATCATGATTCTAATGGTTATCATTAAGTTATGCTAACATGATTTTTATGTTAACTGGCTATCAAAATGTTGATATTGAATCAAAGGCCGAGGTGGAAAGTTAATACTAGTGACCAATGGGCAGTTTCTTGTCAATGTTCAAATAGCATCAATATGAATCTTAATTCAGTTGATATTGTGACTTTTTTCGGTTTGGGAGTTTCAAAGTTATTATTTTACTTTTTTCATAACAATTAATATTATCGAAAGTGTTTACTGGTCAATCATTTCCTAATCTTCATCTCTTGTCAGTAATCAGAATGACTTTTACTATGAATCTTGACCAATAGTATTTATTTAACTTCTCATATGAATTCATTCAAGTTGAAAAATTGACAAGTGATAAGGATTAACATGGATTCTTAAAGTGAACTTTTTTCATGTTTATCTTCATGAAAGTTTACATGATAGTGAATGGAACTTGATACTTTTTTAATCCAAAGTTTTTTTTATCCAAAGATTGACAATTAATCACTTTACAATTTGTAAATTCTACTAATCTTTTCTCTGATCAATCTTCATGTTGTTTACATCATGATAATCAACATCATTTGGTTATCATCTTGTTTCATGTTTAACAGAAAATTTAACAAATTTTCAAAACAATTTACGAGTTTAAGTTAAGAAAACTGTGAATAGAAAAAAAAGTTCATAGAAATTCAGTATGAAAAAAGTGCATGGAATTCCGTATGGAAATTCATTAGTAAAAAAAAGGTAAATTGTCTGAGGTGAGAAAAACAAAATGAAGGTAAAAAAGTTCTGAGAAATTTTCTTTCTTCAGAAATATACATATTAGCCAAAAAAATGCTGTTCCAAACAGAATAGAGCTCATTGAATAACCATGATGGTGATCATCATCATCTCAGAATAGGAATAGAGCTTAGAAAGTGAGATAAGTTTTCACTCTCAACTTTTACCATGAAAAGGAAAACAACAACAATACCAAGTTTTCATGATGAAATTTCAGACTCTGAACATTTCATTTACCATGTAGCAGATTGTCAATGTTTTTCTAACTAAGTTAGTGCCTTAAAGGCTTCAACATATTAGGTTATGAAGTTTCATTTGTATTCATCTTCATGATAATCATGGAAAAGATGATTATTGTGAATTTTTTCACCTTCTTCTTCATCTTCGAAATGTACAAACACAGCAAAAAGAAAAGTTCTAATCTGAATATAATGAGAAATAACAGATTCGAATTGAATGAGAGTTCGAGATGAGAATGAAACTTTTCTTTCTTTCTTTTATCTTTCTTGCTGAATTTCCATAAATATAAAAACTCAGAACTCTTATCATGATGATTAATTGATAATCTGTTACATACTCACCATAAATGACCATCATTTGTGAATGTGAATCTTGACCAACAGCGTTTGTAGCCAGACAAGTATAGTTACCACGATGGTCACTCTTGACCGCTTTAAATAAAATGGTCGATGAATAATCGGCAAGATGATGAATTGAAACGGAAGCTGATGATGAATCTGTTTCCTTTATTGTTTCACCATCTTTTAACCATTCAATGTGAAAAGGTGGATCACCTTTAATTACTGTACAGCTGATTGATAAACGTTGACCCATTTGAATGTCAACTGGTAACACAAATTGATCAACTTTCGGTGCAACTAAATTAAAGAGTAAAAGGAAAATGATTAACAAATAACAATTAAAAAACCATTGAAATGGAAACAAAATCAAGAGAATACAATAAGAAATTTAGTCCAAATTAAAATTTTATGCAAATTATATGCAAATATTTGGGATAAAGTTGAGTTAATTTGAATAGTGGGAAAGTTTCCCTGTTGAACTTTTCATGATACAGAAAATGTTTATTAACAGTTTTAAATTTAGAAAACACAATTAACCTTCATCAAGGAAATGAATCTTTATTCAACTTCCTCATGATGATTATCATTGTCATGGTGGTAAAGTTTTCACCTAATGGATCAACAATTGAAAGATTAACAAGCTAATGGATTAATCTGATTTTCTGTTTTCAATTTTTTCTTTCTCTAATCAACTTAAGAAGGCAAATCAAATTTTCTGATTCAATTTTCGCCTTTTTCACCTTGTTCACTATTCCTGAGTTTCAATCGTATTCGCATCATTTGAGATTATCTGTAGACGGTGAATTTTACTTTGATTTCATGATTATGAAGTGAAATCAATTATTGTCTCGTTCTCATGGTAATCTGATTGAATGAATTATCTTTAATGTTATCGAATGGTAGATTCAAGAGGTTTATTTTCATGGGAGTTTATTGCTAACCTTGGATATTCAGGTGGAATCCATTGGTTGAAGAAACGCCTTCATCATTTACTGCTGAACATGAATAATATCCTTCATCTGATTCTTTGGTGATATCTGATACAATTAGGGTTCCATTTTTATCCAGAATTTGACGATGATTGTTGGGTAAACGTTTACCATCTTTATTCAGAAGGGTGGGGCAGACAGAATTTAGAATTTAGAATTTTTTTTTCAGTTCAATTGTTTTCCATTTGGAAAAAAAGGTAAAGCAAAGATGACATGCAGAGGAATAAGAAAATAGAAACAAGCAAATGAGATGATGATACATTAGCATCATGGTGAGAGTGATGATGAGGATGATAAAGGATAAAGAGGGAAAGAGAGGATGAAGATGACATTCGAAATTTTTTTTCTCTCCTTTTTCGCTTCATTCTGGTTGACACTTCATCAATCATCTCCCTGATTCCTGTTCATGATTTTTATTCAAATTCAATGTGTCAAGAAAATCGTTTTTCTCTCTCTCTCTCTCTGTCCTGGTTTTACACCTTTTGGTCAACATATGATCTAATCACATCACCAACTTAATCATGATGTTTATTGATCACCATGAAAATGTGACTCGATGACCAGTTGATTAAAGAGATACATCATAATCACCATGAATCCTTACACTGAATCCCGACTAATCAAAATGAAAGACAAGATCAGATAAAAAAATAGTAATTAGACCAAAATCACCCAGAACTTTCCGAATCCATAAAAATTCATGACAAAATAGATTCACAGTAAATTTTTTTCGTCTCTTTCATTTCCTCCTAGAAGATAAAAAGAGTAATTTTCACTTTTATGGACAATTTTTTAATTCCTAATTGAACTAACATCAAGTTGAAATGAGAATATATATAAACTACATCTTGATGGTAAAATTCATGATGATAATTATCGTAAATTTATCTGATTCCATTAATCTCTTTCCACCCAAACATTCAGAATCAATTTCATGATAAAAGTACAACATATATAATATAAGAACCCTTAGCTACCATAGGTAACATTTATTTCCTGATAGAAATTGGGGGAAAAAGTGATAAACCAAATTCGCTGCCAGAACTTGGTCTGAAGTTCCAGAAAATCATGAAATTTCACCCTGATAATAAAAGCTAATAACAATTACACCAAACATGTAATAACAATGATAATGATATATATCATTACAGAATCAGGGAAAAAAGTTCAAGTCAAAACATGATGATAATTGATGTTTTCAGTTATCAGAATCAGATTTAATTTACTTCATGAGTTTCAATTGCAATTGAATATAAAAAAAAAAATAAATAAATATCATGGATTTGATTGTCATCTATGTCAACTTATTATTATTATCAACCGATTGATTGATTATCCCTATTGAGTTATTAACTTGAATATCCACTAATAATCAATTGATTGTCAATGTGAAAATATAATTGAAAAAGTTTTCTCCATGAAATTTTCATTAACCTATCATGAAATCTGATGCTTATTTCTTGGGAGGGAAAAGGATGAAAATCAAATAATATTATTATCATTTTATCAACAAGAAGATTTTTTCTTGCTTGTTACTTTCATAGGAATGATATTTTTTTTATCTCATCTTGTAATAGCCTGGGGGTTATTATTTCCAGTGAGAATGATTTTCTCTTTTTCAATGAAATGCTCATGTTTATATCGCCCAAACAGATATATACACTCAGGATATGATAATTTACAGCATTTGGTTTTCTATGATATTTATCATTTGATAATAAATGAGCTTCAAGTTATATCTGAATGGTAAACAAACTGAATCAACTTTAATCATTGTTACTAATAATTCATTTGTTTCCATGTATGAAAAGATACATCGTCAGAACATTTATCTTATATTATTTTTTTTCATTTCCAGAATTTCAAGAACTTTTCGAATTTACAATATTCTCTTTGACCCTCCCTGTCTTTCCAGGTATATTAATCTTTATCTTCTTCAACTGAATGGATAAATCCTCCACCTTGAGGGATATCAATATCAGTTTCCATGAATCTAACCTAATATCTTGAAGCGATTACAGTTATTTACAAGAAATATCGATAAGATTTAGAACTTTTTTTTTATTCCAAAAATTGAAAAACACAAACTCGACGAAAGTAAAAGGAGAAACTAGAGAAGAGGAAGAAAAAAAAGTTCGCTTTTTCCTCATCTATCATCAATTTCCATGATTATTGATTCAAAATGGATAAAGTTCGAGATGGATATTGAATGTTGATAAGAAAAAAACTTTTTCTCTAGTAACTGGACAATGAATAAAGTTGCGATGATAATTGTAATGGTCAGTCGATTGATTTTCTTGATGGAACTTTTTTTTCTCTCTCTCTCTCACTCAAAATAACTTTTACACTCCCAAGAACAACCCAAGGAACACCATTCATCAAAACCTTTTATGATGAAAGAGTGTCCATGATAGAGAGTAAAGATCACTGGACATAAGTAATTGACCCTTTTTTCACAAACAAAGTGACCTTTTCCCCTAATCATCTTGTGTCCACTCTCCATCATCATCTCCTTCGAGCAATGGTCAAGTTTAAGAGTGTGAATAAGATTGAAATCTTCCAGTAACATATAATCACCATTGATCATCATTGTGATGACCAAATCTTTGAAAACTTCCGATTCAAAATGTAAGGTAATATTATCATGATACCTAAATGGTTGAACAAGATGAGAATCCCCTGAAAATGATATATGTATTGTTTATCTCTGTTTGTTTGTTGATAAAAAATCATCAATGTCTCATGAGGATGAATGAACTTTTTTTTCCTCATGGTAAATGCTTTTCTCGAGTTGATTTTCAATGAGAACTCAACTGAATGATGTTTGTCTTTTATCATCAGAGCAAAATTTTCATCATCATCATTTCCCTTTCCTTTTATGGGTGAACAAAAATTTCTCAACTTTGGTTTCCGTTTCCATATTTCAAAAAACTATTATGAACTTTACCATGACTGAATTTGTGTGAAATAAATGATTAACTTTTCGGGTTAATTTATGAACCTGATTTATTGGTTTAAAATGATTAGCGATTAATTTATTTACTTTTTCAATTTGTTTCGATTTGTATATTTGATATGAGAAAAGAGATAAAAAGTTCTGAAAGAAATTCATTGAATTTTATGCTCATGAAAATTGATCATATGTTCAGTTGATGCATATAATGAGAGTTCATTAACAAAAGAGTGAGAATCAGGAAACAATGAGAGAGTGAGTGAGAAGAGGGAGAGTGTAGGTGGATAAGGGAGGGATGAGAGAGAGAGAGAGAGAGATTGAGTTTGAATTGAAAACTGATCATTGAGTTAATTCACCATGTTATATCCTTTTTCCTGTTGAGAGAAATAGAATTTTTCGTTTTTTTTGAACATTTCCTATCGAATACATGAGAATAGCTCATGAGAAGTTCAGTTGAGATAATTCATCAGAGAGAGAGAGAAATGAAAATTGTTCAATCGACAAAGATGAAAACAAGGTAATCAAAAGACAAATCAAAAAGTGTTGATATAAATCAGAAAAAGGGAAGAGATTGAATTTTCAAATGTTCTGAACTGTACACTTGGAACTTTGTAAAACAGTTTCATGAGTAATATTGAGTTACCATGAAAACCATTAAGATTGAATTGGTTGGTGAAAGAAAAGGAGGAAGAAGAAAAAAATGAATCGGAAAAAAAAATTCGAAAGACAATTTATCGTTTTCTCTTTTCATTTCTATGAATCAAATGAATAGAATGTAGAGAAAAGTTTTCAGAATTTCGAACAAAAAATGTTAGAAATTATCAGTCGATGATGATAGAAAAATACTAATTTGAAATAATCGAATGAAGAAAAATATTCGATAATATTTGTTCTCATCTTAAAACTTTTCCTTTCTAAAACTAAATTTAGATTCATTTTCTATTGTTATCTATTATATGAACATGAATCTGTGGTGAAAATAAAGGTAAGCAAGAAGGAGGAGTGGGTGAGGTTGAACGGTGGGGTGGGTGAAGATGAAAGTATAAGGAAAAAAATTGCGAGTTAAATGATTGTGAGTGAATTGAATTTATCTATTGTAATAATAGTAATGATTCAATTGAATTGAGTTTCAGTTTGAATTCCTGGATCAATAGGCTTTCAGTCAATTTCACTTTGTCATGGTAAAAGTTCAGAGGATTCAGAGGGAATCCTAAGAAAATTGTCTCTTGTGTGATATTAATATGACTCTTAACCAGAAATAACAAATATTATCATTATATTAGATAATCTAATGTATTTAGTAACAATAACAAAGAATTCAGAGTTTCTGAATCTTTTTCCATGGTAAATGATCATCAAACTGAATCATGATACAATGAACAGAGAGAGAGAGAGAGAGAGAGAGAGAGAGAGAGAGAGAGAGAGATGATAATTTGAGCTAAATAATAATGATGATGATAAACGTTTACCATGAAAATGGTTCAAGTGTCATTTGCATTCAGATTTCAAAATAAGAATATGAAATTATCATGAAATCATGATTTCATAATCATTATCATCATGAAGACTTTTTCTGGATGTTGGCCAGTTAAAGTTGATTAACTTTTCATGTAACAATCAATAGACGGAGGGGAAAAAAATAAGGTGATTCTGTTAATCGTTCATCTCATGTAATCAGTTTCATGATGATTAAAGTTAATGATTAATTTAAATAATAATAAGATAATAATAATGATGAAGAGGAGGAGGAGGAGGTGATGAATGTTCACTATGATGATCATCATGAAATTCTGGGGATAATAGTTTGAATAATGATGATAAAATATGTAATGTTTAAAGTGAACTGTAAGATGATGATAATGATGATAAACGAGATGATGATGAGGGTATGATAAGAAGAAGGGTATTCATTCAATAATAATAATGATGATAACTCTTGAGGAGGAAAATTGGGAGATTTGTTTTGATAAATTGAAATTGGAGCTCACTTTTTTCCCAGAAAATATTTACTATTGGAAAACCACCCACTGGACATTTAACGATAAGTGACCGATGAGAGACCAAAGTTAAATTGGCCATTGAACGGACAAAAGGTGGACCTTGAACTCGAAGTGGAGCAACATTTTGTATGGTTGAAAGTTCAGATGAAGCGGTACACGAGTAGGTGCCACCAATTTCAACGGAAACGGAACTGATGTTTACAAAAGAGATGACGTAGTTATCGTTGGTCACATAATCGCCGATTCTGACGTTTTTCATACTGTCCAACGGGAAACCGTCCAGTTTCCAGGTGATCTGAGGAAGTGGATTTCCAGTGGACATACATTTCAGGGAGACACTTTCACCGGGTTTCACATCTTTCTCGGTGAAAACTTCAAGAAATATTGGTGGATCTTCTGAGAGAGAGAGAGAGAGAGAGTTAAACAAGAAAATTATAAGTTCGATATAAAAAAATTTCCAAATAAGTTTTTGAATCGTTTGATTATTTACGAAATCGACTTGAATTTCATCCCAACACCTTGAAGATATTACAACATAATAATAATAATCATCATCATGACAATATGATTAACTAACGAGTCTAAATTGTAATCAAAATTAATCATGGGCTGGGCATTTAACTGAAATGAATTATTATCATAATCATTATTATAAAGATTAAATTTATCATGATGATGATAATAATTTTCCCACTCCCAGTTAAATTTGAGAGTGATAATCATTAAATTGGTTAAAATGATCAACAACAATTTAAATGGAAGCAAATAAAACACAATCAACTTTATACAGAAACTTTAATCATTACACTTTTATTGTTATTATCATCTTAATGTTTCATGATATTATTCAGATTATGAATATTATGATAAAGAAAAACAAATTTCCTAAGCAATTCAATTACTATTATCATGATTATCGTTTACAATTTGATTTTATTACTTGTGTAGATCTTGATTAATTGCTTTTGATTACTGATTAAAGGTGAACAATATAAGTTATCTTAATCATATTCTGTTATCATGACAATTAAACTAGAATTTAATCAATTAGATATCTTTGTTTAATCAACTTGATTAGTTGATTTTTTTTCATCTGATCAATTTTTCATCATCATGTTGATTGTTACAACAATCAGATTAACATTCTAGGTTTCTATTAGATTAATCAACTTGATTTCTGTATGTGTATGTTTCTGGTAACTAATTAGTTTGATTAAGTTTGGTAATCATGATCAAGTTATAATTAGTTAATCAAAAATAAAATTGCCTTAAGTAAAGTTCAATGACTTTCATGTATCATTTGAATACATGGAGTGAAAATTATGTGATCAGAATTATTTTTTTTCCTATGAAACTATTAACAGGCTCAAGTAGACACGATTGTTATTAATTGTTACTAATTGTTGTTAGTTGATAATTAGTTAATATGATAACGCAAACAATTAACAAGATTAGATTGTAATGAAAGAAAACAAAGACAATTAGTGATATTTTTTGTCTTCATCATTTTAATTAGAATACAAAATATCATTGACCGATCACTGAATCGATTCTGATAATTAATCATCATCATCATGAACATAATGGTGGCGGTGGTGGTTAATTTAAATGCTATGACCTTTAGGGTGGAAAACTATTCATGTGAAGATATTATTATTATTAAGATGCATATGTTATATTATCCGAAGTGGAATTAATTTGATCCTCTGAACATACACACACACACACATAGAATGAAAAAAAAGTATTCAGGTAAATATTCACTTAAAGGTATTGAAGCATTGGAAGCATTTTCTTTGTCAAATGAATACCCGGTATGAAAGATACACTCTGTAGATATTAAGATATGGTCTATGGATTATGGTTTTAATGGGATTGAACAGTGAATAGAAACAACAACAAAGGAGGATAATAATATCCAATCTCCTTTTCCACCTCCATTTCATCATCATGTAGCTCACCCTGAGAAAAGGTATTCAACTGAAAATACTAATGTTTGTATCTGTTGTAATATTAATATATTTATGACATTGTTTTCATCTCTCACTCTCTCTCTCTCTCTGTCTTATATTCAACCTCTTCCTCCTCCTTTGGAAGCCTTTAAGAGGTTGGAATGATTCAGTTAAAGATTTTTCCAGGGAATGGGGTGAGAATAATGTTCCAAGTCTTAAAGGAATCACTTTTAACATTGTTACTCTCATGATATTATCCATTCTCAACTGTGAATCTTAACAATACACCAGGAAAAATGAAGGAGAAATTATTTCCCTCATAAAAATGAGTATAATGTTCATGGTGATGATTCGGTGAGTTATTCAGGATACTGATGGTGGTTTCAGGGTGAACCGGATGAGGATCAAGTTGAAACTTTGTATTTATTGATGAAATTACTTCAAATGAGTCAACTCCATTTACTGTGATTAGAAATTGAAAACTATTGGAAAGGTTTGAAGCTCATGGATTAATGAGCAACCATTCATGGTGGAACTTTTTTCAAACTCGAAATTGTATCGATATGAATTGTTTTGATTATCTAGATAAACTAAATTCATTTTATGTTATCATCTGTTTACCATTTTATTCATAAATAACCATGGTAAAAGGTAGTCATCCATTGAAAGATTTTCCCTCCCTCGTCAATTTCATGGTGGAATGAAGTTATCGTCATGATAAAAGTTCATCTTCCTGATAGACTGAGATTTTGTTCACATAGAAATGAACATTGTATTAATAGGGAGAAAAGTAATCATAAGATTTCATCTTCGACTCATTTGGACTTTTTTTCCTTCGCAAATTCCCAAATAATGGTGACGATAAATGTTCAAATATAACAATAAGTTCCTGAGTGTGAGTACTTTTCATCGAGATGAAATTGATTTTTAATGGTCAAGTTAATTGTTCAAACCACACAATCAAATTGAAAAGCAAATGAGAAATTATTAACATATGATATTGTATTACAATGAATAGCTTGTTATCATTAACAGCATGCAGATAACAATGATAACTAGCCACTGGTCAGTTGAACATTAACAAGTTGGATTGAGTTATTAGTTGATGACAAGGAGGAAAATAAAAGAAAACTTGACCAATGTTAATGGTCAAGCCATTAATTTGTCGAGTACAAGGAGAGAGAGAGAGAGAGAAAGGTTCAAAAAGTTCGAAGAGAAAATAAAAGTTCTAAAAGGAATCTAAAAGAAGACAATTAGATGATTCAACCATCATCATGATGAAAATCTCATAAAAGTAAAAAGTTACTTCCATTGGTTACTCAATGTTATCTAATGATGATGATGATGATGGTAATAGATATCAATGGAAATGCCTTAAGGGCAAATTCAGGGTTCTCAATGATTTTCATCATGATGGTTTCCTATCAACATCAACAAAATGATTTCCAAGTCAGTTCATTAGATTGAACTTTTTTCATTGACTCTGAGAGACCAGAAAAAAAAGTTTTGATTATTATCTGAATCTCAGATTGTTAATATTATCATTATCTTCATCATTTGATATTGACCATTGTTATCAATTGATGATATAAGGTCTTGATTCAATTTGGACTACAAATGATTAGCTTGTTATCCTTTCTCATTATCATTTCGATCATGGTTAAAACTAATAAACAGAAATCAGTTTCATGATTGTAATAATAAACATGGTTCACCTTACATGATACATTATTATTATCTGTGTATGTGTTTGTATGCTGAGGATTCATTTGAATTAATGGGAAGCGGAAATGTAATCATGATTGCAAATGGAAATGATATGTTTCAACTGAGAATCATTAACATGATTACGATTTTTGAAACTTGACCAACTGACCATTTGGTGAAAATAATGATAAAGTTAGTTGAAAGTTCAGTAGCTACCATGATAATAATATAGCTCATTTATTTTGTTTGTGTGTATGTTTGATATCAAATAAAATCCAATAATATTCATGATTAATATTAAGGTTGTGTAATATAATTTCATGAGAAATTAATTTCAATCAAGTGAATTTAAATCATCTCATAAATTTTATTTATCTTTTCAGTTGAAACTCTAAATGATTATCAATTGTTTTTATTTCTCTCCGATAAACTTACAAGTGCTTTATAAGTTGAAAGATAGTTCGAGAGGTCAGTTCGTTAGAGAGGAAAGTTCTAAGCGAATTGATATAATAAAGATACGAAAGAGAGAAAGAGAGAGAGAGAGAAATGATGATGAAAGTGATGAAAACTAGGATGAAGATGAAATATCATGTAAACAAACCGAAAGTAAAGTAACAATAACACAAGAAAATGAAGAGAAAAAAGTTCTTGAAAGAGAACGAGAAAAGTATTCAAAAGAGAGAAGAGAAAAGAAAAAAGTTCTGAATAAGATGAAGATGGAAAACAGATTGATGACGACAGAAGATAAATAAAGATGATAAAAGATGAAGAGAGAGAGAGAGAGAGAGAGAGAGAGAGAGAGAGAAAAGGAAGAGTAAGCAAAAGATGAGAAAGATAATGTGATGAGATATAAAAAAAGTTCTGAGTCCATGTTATGTGATTTTGGGCTTTCTTTTTGTTAAGAAACTGCTTGGATTCTGCTATTTCATCATCCTCATCATCCTCATCATCATCTCATGAACATTGACTAAGCTTTTGGATTAGATTCAATCAAGTGTATTCGGTGAGCTCAGTCATCCTTGAATACGACTGAATAGTCATGTTTCAATGGTCAATCACATAATCAGCGACCTGTACTCACTTATTCAGTTTCATTGTCAGTCTATAAGATGATGAATAAATTTCTGATCATGATCACCATGAACCATTCAATTAAACACTGAAACATTTAACAAAAATTGATAAAAATTACAAGAAAAAAAAATTATCATTCAAACATCAAATCAGCTCTCAAATTTGAACATTACAAAAATCATATAATAATCATGATCGTCGTTGGGAAATATTGTTCAACATTATTAATTGTTTAATTGTTTAATTATATTGTTAATTGATTTACAGGGATAATTTTACTACATGTAAATTATATTGTATTACAATGCCCATGACTCTGTTAATTAGGACAATTAATGTAATATTATCATAGGAATGTGAGTGTTTTTTTCCTTGCTATGTTCATCTAATTATGTTCACTAATTAACTGATCACAATTAACAACTGATTTGACAACAATCATTGTCACTGATGGAGTTAATTATAACAAGTTTAATTTGCTTAATTGTTGTTTTATCTTTTTCTGGTTGCATAAATTTTTCAATTGATTAATTAACTTCAATTTATGGTGTTTGGGATGAAATTGATTGTTGATTAGATAACAATTAACTCACCTTTGTAAGATGATGATGAGGATGAGGATGGAGATGAAGATGATGATAAAGATGATGAGATTGATGATAAAATTGATGTTAAGTAAAAAATATGAATGGAAAGTGAAATTTTCATGATTAACTTTTAATTCAGTTTATTTACTTGGCTTGGATAGTTGATTATTTAAACGTTTATCAACAATTAGTTAATTAGTTGGTTTTGACGGTTTGATTAATTGATTGTTTATTTGTGAAAGTTTATTTTTAGCAACTTTAATTGTTGGAAGTTGATTAACTAAAAAAACAACTTTTACATGTAAATATAAATTAATTTGACTAATTGAGGTTTTTTTTATATATTATATTGATTAACACAATTAGATGAGAAATCAAATTAACATTGAAAGTGTATAATCAAGTTGATTGACAGATAATTATTATCATCAAGTTAAATGATAAACAGATACACTAATTGATGTTGTTGTTTATTATGATGATGATAATGATTAACCACAAACAAAAGCAAATTAATGATTGGATAAATTGTCACACAATTATTAACCATAATCACTTAATCATTAATGATTAACACTCACATAATCACCGAAAGTAACAATTAATCCATTAATTTGAGTTTTCATCTGTTGACATGAGGGATGAACAGTTAAATTGTGATAATCAATAATCAATATTGATTAACGATCAATACAAATTTGATAGTTAATTGTTGTCAGTAGTTAATTAGCAACTTTTTGCTTCGAACTCGAAATTTTGAAAACTAAACTTTGGAAACTTTTTCTCAAACTTTCCATCACCATGGATAAGTCACATTTAAAGTCACGGAGCTTTTTTTCAGAATCAGATTCATCCTCATCCCCTGATCATCTTCATCCTCATCTTCATCTTTATCATCATTATCTTCATCATCTGCTCAGAAGGTTCAAATGTAAACCACACCTTAAATAGGCAGGTCAACATTAGTTTATGATAAACTCCTCCTTTTATTGTATTATTATCGACTGGTTAATTAATTACTTACAATCAGGATGATCTTTAATCAACATTATCGTTAATTGTTTGATTGATTGAACTGAAAGCAGAGTTAACAATCAAAGATGAGGAAAGAAATCAATTGAAAAGTTTAATGAGAAACAAAACCATTTGTTGTCATACTTTTGGCTGATTCTCATTTTTTTTACTAATCGATTTTAATTTGTTACTTTCAATTTTTTTTTCTCGTCTCTTGATTTCTCAATGAATTGTGACCAACAACAATTGAGATTAAAATTGATTTTTTTCTTCTAAAAATCATCGAAAGTTAATCTTTTCCTCTACTATAGATGGAACCACATTCAGTGAAACTTGTCCTTCCATCTTCGGGTAACTTTTGTTTCTTTCCAATAGATGGCAGCACTTTTCGCGATTCTTCGATTTCGTTTGCGCCATCTGGTTATTCCTTTGGTAACCTAACGAATCGGTGAATTTTTCTCTCTCTCATCTTTTCATCATCTTTCTCTCTCTTTATCTTCATCTTTTTCTCACTAACGACCTACTACTTATATCTGAAGACCTTTAGTAGTCAAACGACCTTCGGATCGTAACTTTACTCCCACTTTTCTCACTTAATTCTGACCTTTTTCTCTCTCTCTCTCATCATCATCATTACTTCATCTTCCTCCCTCTCATCATCTTCATCTTTTTTTTACCTTGGAAAGTTTTTCTCACTTTAAATTGTTTACTGATGGAAAAATGATCAGAACCAAAACTTTAATCTTTGTTTGAGTTAATCATTCAAACAACGATTTGCAAACAATCAACAAAATGTTCAAAAAGTTTCAATGAAAAGTTTAAAATGTAAAATTGTAAAAGTTAATCAACAATCAAAATTGATAAAATGTTCCAATCCAATTATCTAAATATCAACGAAACAATTAATAAATCAATCCAACTCACTACTAAACTGATTATTAATTTTATCATTTACTAATCGTAATCAACTAATTGTGACAGTTAACAATGATGTTTAAGGAAAGGATTATCGCAATTAAAAAATTTCCAACTCTTTTAACTGTATTTTCATTGCTCTCAGGATTTGGTTACCTTTTTATGGTAAATCAAGGTAAAGTATTAATCATTAAATCACCTACAATCAAAACTTCCCACACTATTAAATAACAATAATCAATTTAAAACCAAAACCTAATCAACTAATTAGCAAATAATTACAATCATAAGATTGAGAGTAAATAAGAAAACAGATCAACTCAATAACAAAACTTTCCAAAACTTTTTTCTTTACTCATTCAAGGTTACCCTTAATTACACTCATTTGATTGTTATATAAATTTAATAATAACTCAAGTCATCCAGTCGCTGCAATAAAAAATAATGATACTGACCAATGTCCAGAATAAAATAGCAATAGAAAGAGAATAGTTTTTTTCAAAAGAATAAAAAAATTCTGATAAAATCAAAGGTAATTTTTGAATCTCTCCTCTGATTGTATCTACCCTGTTATTATCCTATGGTGGTTAAAGTTTTTCACATTGGTTGAGATTTGAAAGTTTCCACCTTGAAGATTACCCACCGGTGTAAAAATATCCGATGATTTATTATTGTTATCCAATAGATGATGATGATTGAAATGGTACATTTAATTTACTGATGAACCGTGAAGCTTAACATTTAAATTGAAAATTGGTCAACAATCAATGATCACAATTAGATTGATTATCCATAGGAAATTGAAGATTGATTGTTAACTATCTTTCTCTTTCACTGATTGTTGATGATGAGTTTATGATTAACTTATTTCTTGTTCTTCTTTTTTTTTTATTTAGAGAAATTTAGTTCAACAGGAACAACTTATAATCCATTAGAACTTAGTTCTAATTTATATCGATCTCAATATCGATTTACTAATAATTCATCAAATGTTGAAATTATTGTTGCCTTTTCTGAAGATGTTGAACCTCATTCGAGGTCACGTTTCTGTCCAATCGATCAAGTGGACAACGATTCGATTACTTGGGACTCGAAACTTTGGCAACGAATTGAGTATGAAAATATTTACCTTTGGACGGGTTATTATGATGATCGATATTCATTTCGAGGAAATTCCTACCATTTTATCAGAATCATTTCGATAGTTCGAGAAAGTTTATCAATCGATTTAACTTGTTACCTGTGGACACAGAATAGTTCTGATACAAGTAGTGGTGCAATCACAACACCCGCCATTGGAACTGAACTTTGGCTCGATATTTGGGGAAAAGGTTCATCGGTTACCCTGTACAAAGCATATCTACTTTCCTGCCTTGTTCCAGATAATATTCACTACAAGGTGACCGGAGTCTCGATCTCACCTCATTCATGTTCAAAGGCAGAAACTTACATACCAATAAAACCACCGCCAATACCATCAAGATCACCATCATCTTTGACCCTTTCACCAAGTGACCTTTGGTTACCCAATAAGAAGCCATTTGCCGTTTGTGTAAAAGCGCTCGATTTTACTTTGGACATTTCAAATCGTCTAATTGAATGGTTAGAGTTACAATTTATTCTTGGTGCCGATGTGGTCAACATTTACCTTTACTCTGTCCACCCTGACACAGCTCGTCTTCTTGACCATTACGTTGACCAGGGAAAGGTCAACCTTTATCAGCTTGACCTTCCCGGACAATTACCCAATGATCCCGTTGAAAGGTCACAATTTTTACAAACAAATGTTTGGCAAAAACGGCGACTCGAGTTGATACCTTACAATGATTGTCTTTACAGGTAAGATGATTAAACTAATTTAACTTAATTCATTAGGTAAAAGGCAAACAATTTTCCCATGACTTGATTATTTTAATTATAATCTTCTAGATAATAATTAGTATAAATCTTTGGCTGTTTAATGATCAATGTTAATTGTTGCTCTTTACCTGAAACTAATGTTTCAACTGTCAAGGTAAAGAAAAGTTAAAACTTGTTTCTTGTCACAATTAACTGTTCAAATTGAGTAATTAACTTGTCTCAAAGATCCTGTGGTTTTTCAAGTTGATTTTTCAATTTAAATCAACAATTTACAATTTACAAAACAACCTCTAATCTAATGATTGATTAACTTAATCATGAAAAGTAAAAGTTATGGACAACAATCAATTCATATCCAAGTAATCAAATCAAATGAGAATCAACAATTTACCATTATAATGATATGATTACATTTACTTGAATGTAATCACTTGTGTCCAGTGATTATTTACCTGATCAGGTAAACGATGGTCAAAATTACAGGTAAAGAAAATTTCGTTTTTTCTTAACCAACTATTATTCTGACTTGACCATTAGTATTGTTGTTATTATATTGTCACGATTAATGAATCAAGGTAAATGAAACTCAGGTTATTATCATGAGATTAAAAGATAAACCTTGATGAGGTGATAAAGATTATCTTCCTTATCATCATCGATTCTTAATCACCTATGTAATTGTAGTTTTCATCTTCGTGATGAAATATATTTGAAATTATCATTAATTTCTTGTAATCAACTGATTCACATTTTATGATTAACATTAATTGTTAACAAATTCATCTAATATTTGGATTAAATGAAAGAGATTAACATTTTTTACTCTTTGATTAACTTTTACCGTCGTTAATTTGATTGATTTAGTTACAATGATTACTATTAATATTTTTCAGTCTCTACAATATTATCATGATAATTAAATTGTTTCTCATCATCAACAATTAACTGGTAACACGGAAAATTATTATTATTACATATAATTAGTAATATTTAATTGTTTGCCTACCTTTTAATTGTTTCAATGTTTTCCCAACGATTAACTAATTTTAATTTCAAGTCAAAGGTCACTAATTAAATGAAACCAGAAATATGAATTAATAGTTAAGTTAATTATTTGAAGTTATAATTTGAAATAGACAAACAATTTAGTAACTATACAAATTATTTATTAATACCTTAAAATTTAATCTTCAAGTTAATTAACAGTAACCAAATCAATGATTTTAGTTAAATGAATGATAACAATTATGATTAACTTAATTGTTGGAGCCAAAAGTAGAAATTAAAAGTAAAGTTAAAGTATTAATTACGTTGATTTATAAACTAAATTAACCTTTGATAATTAAACAAGAAATTGTTATTGTTTGGTTAAGTCAACAGAGTCAATTGAACAACTTGAATGATTAACTAATCATAGTGATTAAGGATTGATGTTCAATAGAGCGACAATCAAGAGCTTTACCTTAAATAGAATAGAAAAAAATATTTTCTCTTCAAATTCACTGGACATCATCATCTTCACATGATGATGACAATGACGATAAAATGGGAGAGGAAGATGAGATCACTTTCTTTTCTTGAGAATCTCTCTCTCTCTCTCTCTCTCTCTCTCTCTCTCTCTCTCTCTCTCTCTCTCTCTCTCTCTCTCTCTCTCTCTCTCTCTCTCTATTATATAAGAGGAAAAAAAGATGAAAGAAAAATGGAATAGAAAAAAAGATCAACTTGTTTGTAAGAACTTTTTTTCTATTACCTGTTGATCTTTGTCATCCTCATCCTCATTTATCTTCCATCTTGAGATGCTCTGAGTTTTTTTTAGAAGAGAAAAAAACCAATTCTATGAAAAACTTTTCTTTTTTCTCCTCATCTCTTTTCAACTGATTCTCTAATATTTTGGTTCATCTCTCATGCGTCTAATGAATAAAGAGATTCCCGAACTTTTTTTCTCTTCCATTGATGTGTATTGATATTCCACCCTGTAAATCCAACAGGTTGACCCCATGTTCACCTTGTTAGATAATAGAGTTAATCTAAACTCTTCTCAACCACAGTTCCTTGTTAAAATCCACCCAAATTTCACCTTAAATTGTGATTACAATCAATTTCCATTGAGAAGATGAACAAAATCAATTAAGCTTCTTTTGGATTCTACAATTTAAATTGCAAATTAGTTTTTGCTTTTTTGTTTACAACATTAACCAGCTTGCAATTGGAAATTGTAATTGCAAATCTTAATCAGTTGAGTCTTTTACCATTCAAATGGTAATTTACAATTTAACTTAATTTACAATCTAATTGCTCCATCATTAAGTTAAATCTGATTCATTGAATAGTTTTTCTTGTGTATCAAATATTCAAATCTCGTTTACTTTTACCTATTGTTTCTCATTGTTTTCTTATTATTGTTGTCTGTTAATTGTTGATTCAGTTCACAATAATCATGTTCAATTGTTTAATTTACATAAATATACAGAGCTTGACCCTTTGAAACTTTTATCATTCGGACAATTAAAGATTAACGGGCCACCATTACAATGGTCAAGCTTTTAAACTCTTTTTTTTTCATTAAGATGAGTTAATTAAGATAATGTTTTATCTTTACAATTATGTAATTGTCATGTGTATGTGCAGACAATTGATGTTAATTTTATTTGTTTCCCTTAATTAAGTTAAAGGTCAATTCATTAATCTAACGGTAAAGGCGAGTGACCATAAATTCAACAACAAAAATTAAGTAACTTTTGTTTTGTTTAAATAATAGTTAATAGTTAAGGATTGATGGTTGATGGTTAATGGTTAGTGTTGATTGTGATGATGATGATGATGATGATGATGTTAACCATTAGTCCGTTAATGATGATAATCATAATGGACATGGAAGATGACCAATGCTACTGAGGTAGGCCACAAACACGGAACAGTCTCAGTCTCAGACTCGAATAAAAATATTTCCGGTCACTTTTGTTTACATTTTAATCTTTCTTAATTTCATCATCTTTCATCATCTTTTGTCTTCTTTTTTCATAATTCAACATAACAATCAAAATAATAGAACAAGAAAAACATGAAATAAGATGAAGATGAAGATGAAGATGAAGAAGATTATAAAAATAAAGTTTAATTGTCATCATCATCATAATTTTCGGGTGGAGTTTATCATTATCATTATTAAGATTGGAATTGAGATTTCGTCTGAAAATCTTAATCATTAAATCAAAATCAAGTAAAAACTTATACAAGAATTGACTAAATTTAGTGATAACAATCAATATGATCAGATTGTAATATTATTTTTACTTTTCTATTGTTGGTGGTTCAATGTTTCTAGATGATTTAAGTATAACATAAACAACAATCAACTGATTGTCACCAAAAAAAGTTTAATGTCTTCCGTGAAAATCAACGGAAATCAAATCGTTAGCAATTGAAATTGTTCAATTTATTGTCATCAAGTTTAAGGTAAACAAAATTCATCATTTTTTTACCTTTTTTGAGTAACAATTTAACTCTACAATTCAAATTGTTCTGTTCTTAAGAATGAATTAGTTTCCCAAAGATAATTGAACAAGTTTGTTGCTTCCTTAATCATAATCAGTAGACAATTTAAATTGTCAACAATTTTTGTTACAATGTCTCATTAAAGTTTTACCAGAAAATGAGAATTCAAAAAGTGATACAATTTAATTGTCATCAAGTTAATTCAAAACTTATTAATTTTCCTGTCTTTTAACACCCAAAGTTGAGTTACAAACAAGGATTGACCAGTGGTCATCACTGATTATAAATCAAGGTGAATAAATTGTTGTTGCGTGATAACAAATTGGATTGAAAAGTTTAACATAAAAAAATGAGTTACCATTTAATAGCAATTAACTTGATTGCTGTTAAATAACCATAATAATAGCTTTAAATTAGAGGGCGTTTAATTGTTGAAGATTAAATCAAATTTCATCTAAGTTAATAAATTGAATTGCAATTTACAATTCTGTGGTTAGCAATTAACTTTTCCACTGGATAATAATGAATGAGAAGATTTTAAATGCAACAATCAACTGATTCTATTCAATTAAACTCTAAATTAACGCAAAAATGAGTCAAATGATTAAACTAATTGTAATTATTTTTCCTCATTATGACAGACACATTTACAGTCATCAATTTCTAGTATTGGTCGATATCGACGAAGTCATTGTACCGGTCAAAGATTACGATTGGAAATCGTTACTAACTCGAGTTTTGTCCAACGATTTAAAGTCCATTGAAGTTTATCCATCATTTTCCGTCCAGAACACTTATTACCTTGAAAGTTACTCACAATCATCATCAACATCACCACAACCATTGACCAACAAACAGTTGACCACCAAGGGTCATCTATCAAGTTACCTTTATATGCTTCGCCATGTAAACCGATCAATTAACTTCAGTATCCCAGGTTATGCTGTTAAGAGCTTCATTTCAACCAACACTAGTCTCGCCTTATTCAACCACTACACCCTGTTCCCCCTGTATCCCACCATGAGGAGAAACGCACTAATTTCAACCACTTTGGCGCAATTAAATCACTACAAAAGTGAATGTCCAAGAACCATGTCCAATGAATGTACCCGCCGGTTCACCAAGCACTGGAAAGTTGACCAAATCCTTTGGAAATACAAGAAACCATTAATCGGTGCAATCAACCAAACAGTTAAATTGATTAAATCTAATTCATCATCTTCGTAATTGTAATTACAATCATCATCTTTATCATAATCTTTATTTTATTATCTCATAAACAATTTACAACAATAAAAGGAAAGCACAACCCAAAAAATTAACTAATTGAATCAATCGACTACTAGTCATTTAATTGTCTATTCAATTGGCATTTAAATTGTCTGTAAATTTTTACTAAATCATATTCATTTTTATATAACTGATTTATCTTCAGGCTCTAAATTGTATACAATTAATTTTGCTGTTTTTTATTTTCTTATTTAATAACTGTGAATAAATTACGAACTTTGATTAACCTTAAACTTGATGACAATAAATTGAACAATTTCAATTGCTAACGATTTGATTTCCGTTGATTTTCACGGAAGACATTAAACATTTTTTTTGGTGACAATCAGTTGATTGTTGTTTATGTTATACTTAAATCATCTAGAAACATTGAACCATCAACAATAGAAAAGTAAAAATAATATTACAATCTGATCATATTGATTGTTATCACTAAATTTAGTCAATTCTTGTATAAGTTTTTACTTGATTTTGATTTAATGATTAAGATTTTCAGACGAAATCTCAATTCCAATCTTAATAATGATAATGATAAACTCCACCCGAAAATTATGATGATGATGACAATTAACTTTATTTTTATAATCTTCTTCATCTTCATCTTGTTTCATGTTTTACTTGTTCTATTATTTTGATTGTTATGTTGAATTATGAAAAAAAAAGAAGACAAAAGATGATGAAAGATGATGAAATTAAGAAAGATTAAAATGTAAACAAAAGTGACCGGAAATATTTTTATTCGAGTCTGAGACTGAGACTGTTCCGTGTTTGTGGCCTACCTCAGTAGCATTGGTCATCTTCCATGTCCATTATGATTATCATCATTAACGGACTAATGGTTAACATCATCATCATCATCATCATCATCACAATCAACACTAACCATTAACCATTAACCATCAACCATCAATCCTTAACTATTAACTATTATTTAAACAAAACAAAAGTTACTTAATTTTTGTTGTTGAATTTATGGTCACTCGCCTTTACCGTTAGATTAATGAATTGACCTTTAACTTAATTAAGGGAAACAAATAAAATTAACATCAATTGTCTGCACATACACATGACAATTACATAATTGTAAAGATAAAACATTATCTTAATTAACTCATCTTAATGAAAAAAAAGAGTTTAAAAGCTTGACCATTGTAATGGTGGCCCGTTAATCTTTAATTGTCCGAATGATAAAAGTTTCAAAGGGTCAAGCTCTGTATATTTATGTAAATTAAACAATTGAACATGATTATTGTGAACTGAATCAACAATTAACAGACAACAATAATAAGAAAACAATTGATAACTTCGTAAATGCACCCCAACTTGAACTGTCAATATCTTCGAATTATTAATTAGAAATAAAATTTTCCGGACATCATAATAACAACTAATTGGTCATAAAAACATTGATGAAAACACTTAATTTCATAATGATGATTAACATTATTTATTCAGATGAGTTGGAGACTTTAAATGAAAATTTTCGTTTTTTCATTATTTCAATCCAAATTTATATTAACCCTTAGTAATATTTAGATTAATTGATCAACAAATCGCAGAATCAATGGAAAACTGCGAAATGTATTCTTGTTGATTAATATGTGTTTCAACTGCTATCTGGTTGGAAAATAAAAGAATTGTTGCAAAGAAAAAGGAGTGAGAAAAAGAATTAAGGTTATATTTGAGAGATATTGAGTGAGACAAAAGAACAACAATATTGGCAAGAATTATTTGGGCGCAAGCATTAGTTTTTTTGTTAAACTGAAGACTGTAATTGGCATTTGCTTTTGTACTTGCAATTCATCTACACCATAGGCAAGATCGTGATTAACAAGTGTTAGTATAATACTGATAATGTTCTTGAAAATTCTGTCACTTTTGACCAAGCGTTTCAAAAAATAGGATCCATATTTAGCGTTATGAGATCTATACCCATACCAAGTTGAATAAGCTACCAAAAATCCGCGATTATTGCAGTTTTGTAACGAACGTTTGTGAATATTTTCCTGGTTAATACATATTTAAATTGAGTACGAATAAATGAATAAGACGAATCTTCGTGAGAAAGATCAAGCTCAACAAAGATCTAGCTAAAAGATCAAGGTCATTCAGGTCATTTCTGAAAGAAAGGGTTTCAAGGGTATCTGAAGGTAATTTCATTACTCTCTGCATTTTTTCAGCCTGGAAAATGAGTTTGGGTGACCATTGTAATAGCAGGTCTTAGGATATTACAATTAAATTAAAGCTGCTGAAAATCTTTCACCCAATAAATTCATCTCAACATGTGATACAAAACTCATAGAAACCTAAAAACTTTACACTAGTGTTACTGAGTATTCATTTTCATGGAATTACCTTCAAATGACCTTAAAACGCTTTCTTTCATAAATGACCTGAATGACCTTGATAATTAAATATGACAATTAAGTATCACTCGAACTCATATCACTTAAGTCTTAAGTCTCATGGAGACTCATGGTTTCTGAGAAAATCGCAAGAAACATGAGTAAAAATATCCCTGTAGAAAAACACTGAAGAGAGAAAGAAAACTTAAATTTGCAAGTTGATCAAATTGAATCAAGCGACTAAAGAGTTAAAAATTAAACACAACTAAGAGCAAATTAATCATTAAAAGAGAGATGGGCGATTATTGGAGAAAAGTTCATTCAAAATGAATATACGCCACCTGGTTGGAAGAATAAAAGACTCACTTTTTCTTTGAAAATGGCGGTTAACCTTTTCGTTTCCATGGTGATTAGAATTTCTTTCAATGTAAACATTTCATTTTCTTTTTTTCTCTTCTTTTGCTTTTCCTCATCTCTCATTCTATTGGAAGCAATTTTTTATTTTCATTATTTGTCTTTGTTTTTTGTTTAATTTTTTCTTTCGTTTTGTGATTCCATTAATTAATTGATCTTACATGTGTTGTTATCAAGATTAAAATAATGGAATCAAAGTCAAAAAATACTCCATTGATCACTTTTATCCATAAGATTTCTGGTCAATTGAGAAAACAAAACATCATTGAAAGTGAACATGCTTATGCTAAATTTTGGAATCGACATCCTGATCCATCAAATAAATCTCGACCTGCTAGATTCTTGTTCATGCAATCATTTGCTAAAAGCTCATCGGTTGATGAAGAAAATGATTTAATTAATGTTGACAGTATTGATGATAAACACTATAACTCATTATCATCATCATCATCATCATTGTCAACAACATCATCTTCATCCAACACAACTAATAATGCAACTAATAGTAATGGTGTTGGTGTTGGTTGTAGTGGAGAAAATATTGGCAATGGTGGTTATAATTATAATCCATTGGTAGCTGAGGTTAACGCTATAACCAAAGGACAAGTAACAATTACAGAGGAATTTGCCATTACCGATTCGGCTCCAAACAAATCAACCTGGTCTAATTTAGCGCAAAGAATTTGGGCTAAAGCATTAAACATTTTATACACTGATCGGTTAATACGATTGTCAATTGAAGGCACGCACAATGAAATAATAACCAAAAAAATGATCTCACATAAATGTGCCAACAAATTTCGCCATCTATTTGCATCTTTAGCCTTCTGGGATCCATTAATTTTATCCTGGTTACATTCAACCCTTTTGGAACATGTTTCCGGTCAATATTTAATTGCTTATCATGAATCAATGTCTTTACTACGAACTAAACTTCCTCCTCTCATTGATCGTTTCTATTTACCTCTTGCTCACAATGATCCCATACGAAGTCGTAACAAAGGACCAATGCCCGATCCAATTCAAAATGTTCTTAATAATCATAAACCTAAAAGGATCAAAAACTGTCCACTTTTCATTCTGGTACCAAACGGGCCACAGCCCACAAACTCAACTTCCCTTCAACGATTGAAACATTGGCAAATTTTGTTTGCCTCGTTGGGTAAAACACTATCCATCAATTGTCGTCCTACACTACGAGTTAAAGATTGTCTCAATGAAATAATGAATGGAGTTCGTGATAAAATTAAAGAATGTCGAACGTCATTTACAGAGGGTCGACCGATTATTCTAGTCGGATTCGGACATTCATCTCTAATTGCAACTCATGTTGCCCTTGAAGCAAATTGTAAAGTAACTGCAACCATTTGTCTTGGTTTCCCTTTAGCTGGTGTCAATGGTTTTCGTGGTGATTTAGATGATCCATTATTAGATACAACAGTTCCAACATTATTTGTAATTGGTCAGAATGCGACATTATCTTCAATTGATGATGTGGAAGATTTCAGAGAAAGGATAACCAAGACAGAGACAGGATTAGTTGTTGTTGGTGGTGCAAATGATCATCTTGTGGTTAGTCAAACAAAGCAAAGATTCACTGGTATAACCCAAGCGATTGTTGATCGTTGCATTTCAGATGAAATTTACGATTTCATTAATTTTGTAATGAATCCTCATTTTGTACCATCAGAAAACAAATATGTGTCTACAGCATCAACCAAAAAATCATCTAAAACATCAACAGGAGATAAAGGAGAACCGAAATTATCTAAAAGTAAATGTAAAATTGATAAACAATCATCATCATCAACATCATCATCATTATCAACTCCAACTCCAACTCCAACACCATCATCAACATCAATATCAACATCACCATCGTTATCAGCACCAACACCAACACCAATACCAACACCAATACCAACACCAACACCAACACCAACACCAACATCAACATCAACATCAACATCAACATCGTTATCAGCACCAACACCAATACCAACAACAATATCAACAACAATACAAACAACAATACCAACATCATCATCAACATCAACAAAAAAAGCCGATCCGATTTCGGCCTTCGAAAGTGGCTGCACGAAAAAAAGAAAACGCTTCGAAAACAATAAAAAGGTGAAGAAAAGACAAAAGAAATCATCATTATCAACACCAACACCAACATCATCATCAACATCAACAAAAAAAGCCGATCCGAATGTGACTGAAAAAGTCCTGAAAACAAGCCCCGATTCTGAATTGTATTGATAATTGATTAGTACTCTCAATGTTCATCATCTTGAAAAATTTTCCAACTTTCTCTCAACTGATTTTCGGTCACCCGATAATTTCAATTTCCATAAAGTTATCATACTAATTGAAAAACATTAAATAAATTACGTGATTGATTATTTTTGGTCATACGAAACCGCCAATCAATTTGATCTTACAATTAGCAAGACACATTAAACAATAAAATGGTGAAGACAATTAGTTGTTTGTAAACAATTAACCAAAAAGATGAAGAAAATGAGATGCAAAATGAAACTGAAAATTAATAAATCAGATTGTAAACATGAACCATTTTTATCAACAGTTAATTGCTATCAATATATAGATATTGTTTAAACAAGAAAATGTCTTAAGAGAGATGATTTATTTTATTTTTTCCCCAAGATATTAATCCGACAAACAATTTACTTATTTGATTGTTTAATCTTCAAGTGCCTTATACTTGATTAAGATAATAGATTAAACCTAAAACTTAATTGAACAGTTGTAGAAACGTAAACCTTAATTAGAGTCTATATATAATTAAATTTATCACCAGAACAATTATCTGATGATGATGATGAAAAAGAGGGAGATACAGAGAGTAAGTGAGAGAGAAAAAGTCATGATGATAAAAAAGAAACGACAAGTTGGTTTGCAATTAAATTGCCCTAGAACAATTATCTGATTATGATGATGGAGAAAAAGACAGGCGGGAGTGAGATGATAAAAATGGTGAAGAAGATAAGAGAGAGAGAGAGAGAGAGAGACTCTGAAAGAGGAAGAGGAAGATAAAAAGTGAGACATGGGATGAGGAGGGAGAGAATATAAATATCAGCTATCGACAGGTTGGTCTATGGCAGTTCTCACTTGGAATCTGATCGAGTTGGAAGTAAGATCTCGACAGATAAATGTTATAATTCTGCTGCCAGATCTATCTCTTCCAGCTCTCTCAGAATTCACCATCATCAATATTTCCTCATCATCATAATTCAATTTGAATAATTTTCTTCGTTTATCCCTCAAAAATTTCTGAATCGGTGAGAGTCAAGGTGGAGAAGTAGTCTCTTCACTTTGTTTTATTATAAGTGAGATTCAACTCCTCCAACTTATTTTCTCACTGATGATACAACACACCAGACCCACTTCCGTTTCCGTTTCCACCATAACCACAAACAGCTTTAACAACAATTGGCATCAATCAACAATCAACATAAGTTTGATCAATTTAACAGCAGGTAAGTTTTATGTTATATTTATGATCCTTATCGTTGTTTTATCATCATAACTTTCTACCTTTTTCTCTCCCTTTTTCTTTCCCTTTTTCTCTCACTTTCTCTCTTTCACTCTCTCTCTCTCTCTCTCTCTCTATCTCTATCTCGATGTCCCTCACTTTCTGTTTTTTCTCTCTCATGGATCCCAGAAGGCTAAAGATGCAAATAGATGGCGAAATTTGTTGGCACATTTATGTGAGATCATTTTTTTGGTTATTATTTCATTGTGCGTGCCTTCAATTGACAATCGTATTAACCGATCAGTGTATAAAATGTTTAATGCTTTAGCCCAAATTCTTTGCGCTAAATTAGACCAGGTTGATTTGTTTGGAGCCGAATCGGTAATGGCAAATTCCTCTGTAATTGTTACTTGTCCTTTGGTTATAGCGTTAACCTCAGCTACCAATGGATTATAATTATAACCACCATTGCCAATATTTTCTCCACCACAACCAACACCAACACCAACACCATTACTATTAGTTGCATTATTAGTTGTGTTGGATGAAGATGATGTTGTTGACAATGATGATGATGATGATGATGATAATGAGTTATACTGTTTATCATCAATACTGTCAACATTAATTAAATCATTTTCTTCATCAATCGATGAGCTTTTAGCAAATGATTGCATGAACAAGAATCTAGCAGGTCGAGATTTATTTGATGGATCAGGATGTCGATTCCAAAATTTAGCATAAGCATGTTCACTTTCAATGATGTTTTGTTTTCTCAATTGACCAGAAATCTTATGGATAAAAGTGATCAATGGAGTATTTTTTGACTTTGATTCCATTATTTTAATCTTGATAACAACACATGTAAGATCAATTAATTAATGGAATCACAAAACGAAAGAAAAAATTAAACAAAAAACAAAGACAAATAATGAAAATAAAAAAATTGCTTCCAATAGAATGAGAGATGAGGAAAAGCAAAAGAAGAGAGAAAAAAAAGAAAATGAAATGTTTACATTGAAAGAAATTCTAATCACCATGGAAACGAAAAGGTTAACCGCCATTTTCAAAGAAAAAATGAGTCTTTTATTCTTCCAACCAGGTGGCGTATATTTCATTTCGAAAATCAATCAATTAAAATAAAATAATTGAAGATAATCAAATCGATCAAATCTAATTAGAGACAAAAATATTCGTTAAGTGAAAGTTTTTCCAACAATTTATTCTCTTTCAACAACCCAAAGTATCTCTTGATGTAAATTGTTGTTATTACTTTTCGGTTTGAAACTCATAACTGTCATTTGGATTGAGTTACCTTTCATTTTGGTTGATTTAGAATTTCAATTGTTTTGGTTTTCTATAAATTAGAAAATGTTTCTCATTTTAATTTCGCTCGTGATGATTTTTCCTGGTTAATTATTAAGTGATTTCAACTGTCTTTTGGTGCCTCATTGGATAACCTGAGAGATGAAAAGGGAGAGAGGATAAGGTGGATTCTCACAAGGTGTAATCTCCTCCCTATTTACCTGCAGCTGTAAAAGTTGGAAAACTTTCTTCCCTCTCTGTTGCTAACAACCAAACCCTAATTTAGATTTTCTTTTCTTTATCTCAATTGTGACAATTAATCTTTAACTCTATTTAATTACAATGGATTATAATCATTTATTGGTTTTAATTTTTCTACTCGCATTCTATTTACCTTCAGGTAAGAATTGTTTAACCTTTGCTTTGTATATAATATAGAAAATTTGATTAATTGTTTTTCATATTTATGCTTCTCATTTCTAATCTATTTACTTTACTATTTACTCCTTTTTCACCTAATTACTTTTAATTTAGGTTTAACAATCCGTTGTTATCAATGTTCCTCTGATGAAAATAAAACCATTGATAGTTGTGGTGCCTATGAATCATTTGACTCAAATTCAAATCAATTAGTTGATTGTATGAGTGAAGATGCTGCTTCATCAGGTAAATATCTTTTTCTCTTATAGAATTTTTCATTTCTAGTTGATATAATGGTTGCTGTTTTTCTCGTTATTATAATTTACAATCAACCACCCAAAACTGTCCATGTTAAATTGTCCATAAAACGTGGCTTCATCTTTCAAATTGGAATAATTATTTTCTTCTCGATTTAATATCATCAAATTGGTCAAAAAATTAGAATCTATATTTTTCACTATACATTACTGACTAATGAAAAGATAAAAATTAGTTTAAGCTTTTTTTAGTCGAAACAATCAATTGATTTTAACCCTTTCGAATCGCCTGATCCGAAAAAAAGTGGACAGTTAGTGATAGTTTTAGGTAGTTAACTGTAGCTTTTTCGCATTCTCTCATTTTGTTTTTATTCTCTATTCTCTTTGTGACTTAACTATCCAGGTACTTTCTGTTATAAATCCATACAACAAGGTCCAAGAGGATTTATTTGGGATGGACGATGGAGAACAGTAATTAGACGTTGTGCTCAAGTCAGTGAGACAGGTAAACTAATCATTCATTCAAATTTCTATTCGATTTAAATGATTGAAATACTTTTTTTTGTCCACGTTTTTAGGTGTCAGTTGGGGATGTGCTTGGGGCTACCGGGAAAATGGTGTTTATTGGGAAGAGTGTTACTGTGCTAAAGATGGTTGTAATGCTGGCGATCATTTAATTTCTGGAAAATCAACTCTCATCTTAATTAGTGTTTCTCTTATCACAGGACTAATACTTTACGTTCTTTGATTTAACCAGACCAATTTAATTGTGTTTCTTTTTTTTCTCACCAATTGCAATTCAACCTGAGATCTTCAACTCCATCCATCAACTCGTCCATTTTTTTTTCTCTCCCTATTTTCCACTCATGAGAATATCGTGTCTACACTTCTCATTTTTGAATCTCTCTTTTTCTATTTTTCGACACAAATACTTTGAATAATATTCACAAAAACTTTTTTTTACCACTTTCAACCCTAAGGATTGTTGTAAATAACTCAAAATCTCCTTTGTCAGTGCCCAAGCAGAAAGAGAAATCATCTCTAGGTGACCTATCCAATCTTGCACTGGACAAACAATAATAAAAAAAGATGGATGACTAACATATCAATTGAACATATTAGTTTCTTTATATATAACATCCTCTTTTCATTTTCCAATGGCATCGAATACAAATTGGTGTATATATACGGTTTTCTTTAGATAAACATTTGATCAATTGGAAGGGGAAAATAATCTATACCAAGAAATTTCTTTCGTTTGTTTTTGTTTCTCTTTTCTTCTCCTAGAAAAAAAAGTGGCTGTTTCTCAAAACAAACGGTAAAAAGGGTCATTTGTAACTGTAATGGTCACACTGGAAAGGTGGGACACACGAAACAGGCCACAAGCGTTTAAAATAAGAATAAATTTTGTTGTGTAGCTTTTTCTTTTATGTAAATTGTTGTTATTTAGTTGGACTTGAAGGAAAAAAAAAACATCCAAATATATATTTCCAAGTGGTTGTGTGTTTGTGTGTGTGTGAGAGAGACAGAGTATGCACGTTTACAATTGCAATCCAATTAAATATCTCTATTCAGAAATACAATCTTCTGGGTGGGAATTATGAATAGAAGTACAAAAGGTTGGTTCAAGCAGGTAGTTTGAGAGCTCGACCCTTTATGACTGTAGAAAAAGAAAGGGAAAAGAAGATGAAATTAGTCAATTTGAAGTGAAACAGAAAAATTTGTGTGTAAACAATTGACAGAGTTAACAATTAAAAGACATTCTGTTTGATTGATTAATGAAATTTGCTTCTTAAATAGTAAATAGTTACTATTGATATAGTGGTAAACAGGAGAGATAAGAGTATTGGGAGAAAGTGTCTCTACTACCTGAGGAGATCAAGTGTTACTCTTATCCTAATAATAAATCAATCTAATAATCTACTTCATTTGATTGAAATTAAATTAGTTATGTGTATCACTAAGGAAACATGGTTTCCAATGAGAAACAATAAACAATGAAAAGTGATTAAGGTAGTATGATGTGGATAACCTGATGAGGTATTTTCTTTATGAAACAAAATTGTCTCTGAATTGTTACTTTTGTTTGTTCAAATTCAAATTTACCTTTGGTTATATAAAGGTAGAAGAAATCACAATAGAGAACAGTTTGGACAATTCCAGCGATCACCGGGATTAGATCTTTGAAATCTTCAAAATAATAACGGTAGATCCAGTTAAAGATGTAAAGAGCTCGGTATGATCCAAGGCAAAAAAGATAATGAGAGGTAATTGTTTCGGCTTCGCCCGTCTTAGAGACCATAAATAATTGCGGTAAAATAGCTACTGCTTCAAGGTAAATTGAAAATGTCCACAGAATCTGAAGAGAAAAACGAAAAAAGAAAATTATTGGTCAGAAAATTACAAGAGAAAAATGAAGTAACCTTTCTATGTATGGGTGTGTGTGTGTGTAAGAGAAAGAGAAAGAAAATATTGATGTTGAGGAAAATGAGAGAAAAAAACAAAACATTCGACCCTTGAAAATCGATTTACCAGATATATTACAAACTGATGGATACTTAATGTGTGGCTGAGAAACAAATAATAACCAAATAGCTGAAATTTACTTTAAGGTTAACTCTCCACTGGCTAGATAAGTTCTTGTATCAGTTACATGGTGTTCAATCAAGAAATCTGGAAACATAGAGAGTCACACACAAATACACAACAAGATCAATGACCTGACAGATCCATCGGCAGAATTAAAGATCAGCCAAATGTATTGATGAAGCTCGAGGTTGAAGAATTAATAAAGTTTCGCTTATCATGAAAATTTGGTTTCGAAAAAAATTGGTTATATAAAAGTTTCCACAGGATTAATCTTACCTCAAGGAAAGAAAACTCATGATTCAATACTAATGCCAACAGAGCACAAGGTGCCAGAAGAAATTCAACACGGAAAGTATCATGATTTCTATCGTAGGTTGCTTTAAATTTAAGATAAATCAAATAGATGGTTGCATATGATGTTCCCAAGAAAACAACCTGTGTAAATTAATAATAAAATAAAGAAAAATAAACAGTTGTTTAAATAGAAAATATCAAACATTAAGATGGAGCTGAGATAATTTTTTTTTTCCTTCTCATTATTACCTTCATAACAGAATTGTAGAGAGAAATGAAATTAGTGAACAAATCTAGATATCTGGTGGTGTATACCGCTGTAAACAATAACTGACTCTTTCCAGAAATACCTGATAATACCAAAAGAGAATAGAAAAAATGGAAAATAATTAATCAATTGACAAAAAAAAAGAATAGAATTTAATTCCAACAGTAAACATACCTGAACAAGACCGGGTCTTCCATATCTTTAACAGAAGTATAATGATCGCCAGTAAATGTGACAAGTCACCAAGCATACGAAATATATTCATTTTAACCTAATTAATTTGACTCTAATACACTTTAATAAACACAAATAAATAATTGTTAATTAACTTAAACACAATTTAACTAAAAAAAAAGAAATTAAATTTACTCTCCCCAAACCGACGTGGCTTTTAAGCTCCAAGCTGATCTCAAGCTGAAAAGAATCACAAGTTTCACTTTTATTCTAAATGAACCGACAGATGGCGCAGGTTAACTTTCGTTTTTTTTTTCTCTTTTTTGTTAATTTGAGTTTCTTTTTTTTTTATTTTCGTTTATTGTATTTTAATTGTTTTGTTGATTGTGTTATATTTGATTTTCGTGATTAGAATCTAATGGCAGGTATTCTGGGTTCGTGTTTGATGTTTGACAACCAAAAGGTTGCAAGAGATGAAGGTTGGAAAGGTGATCATTATCGTCGCCATTGGTGTTAATTTGGTTACGGGTAATTTAGGTGAGTAAACAATTAATCCAACACAATTAATATCTTGTCGCCCAATTCTTTGTAAAAATAGATTATCCTTTTAATTGTTTATGTGTTTGTGTGTGTGTGAGAGAGAGAGAGTGAGAGTCAATTGAAACGATTCAAGGTTAATGTGATTCAGGTTCTTTTATATTCAGGTTACTACATTTTTAAGAGGAGATGAAAATTTTAGAGGGAAAGAAAATGGTTTTGATCATATGTTTAAATTTCTAAAGGGTGGTAACAATTAAACCAGTTAAAAGATTTATATTGATTCTAATCAACAATTATTACCCTTTAGTATTTTCATCTTAACCTTTTTCTTTGCCTTCTTCTATTATTTACTTTGTATTCTAATTCTAATCTTTATTCTTTTAACTCTATTCTAAATGTTTTACAGATCAATTGTGCAAATTGTATCGCCGATGGTTGATTCTTGGATATTAATTCCAATTAGCAATTGATTGGATGGTAAAAAGTAAAAAGGAAACTGCTCCTCAGGCCATTCCAGTACTTCCTTACCTGAGAAGATCCATTTTATCAAAAGAAAAAAACTACACCGAAACCATTAGTTTATCATGAGTTGAATTGAACGAAACTGAAATCAACCTAAGCATCGGACGAAACTGATTTGAATTAAATTTCCCAACTAATTTTATTGTAATTTAGAAACAATTGGATTATATTTGGGATTAATTGAATATTGGTCACCCTTTGAACGAGAAATGGTCAACGGTTGGTCAGTCAAACTTCAATCATATTAATTGTTACCAAATCAATTCTTCAGATAATTTTTCTAACTTCCATTGAGATAAAAATGAGAACAGTTAACAATTAATTGATATTTAATCAAAAAGACACTTTAATTGTTCTCGTTGATGGACAATCAGACAAAAACTTTCAACAAGGTTAACTAATTGTTTCTTTTAAATGAAACAATTTATCTGATCATCTTTTAAGTGGTTCCAAGAAACTAGGTAATATTAATATCGAGGTAAAATAATTAAATTCCCAAAAAATTGATCACCAAAAGAAGCAACAATCTAATTGTTCAAAAGTTATGAAACTTATGAATTTGAATTTTGTAACAATTTAAACACGAAATTGGCATCAAAACAATTTAAAAATCTCACCATTAGCTAATTAGAAAAGGAAGCAAAATTTATTGATTTTAATCATAATAATTTAATCAATTATATTAATTATCGATCTAAAAATCAGTTTAATTGTGTATTGATTTAATTTGACATCGATGTTGATAGAAGTTGAAACTTTCTTCCAACAATTAACTGAATTAAACTGGAAAAATTAACTCAATGATCAACAACAATCAGTCTAAATTAATTAACATATTCAACGTCCATCGGAATCAATCAGAAAAATCATTTAATCATTCAATTTTATCATCAATTTAATAATCATCACAAGCAATTAATAAATCATCAATTAGAATCAATTGATTCATGTAATTATCTAGTTACAATCTAAATTGATAATAAACAAGATTTTTAATCATTTAATTGTAAGCACCATCATCAGCCAAAATTAAACAATCAAATTGTATTCAGAAACAATTATAATCATAATCAAATTGTTGATAAATTGTCTTGATTGTCCAAAGTAAAAATTAACTTGTCAAACAATTACATTAGGGAAATAGTGTAATTAATAAATTGTCCTTGGACAATCAGTGTCCTCTAATTTGGCTATTTAAATGTGAATTAAATTTAATCACCACTAATTTAGTGATTTAAGTAATGATTAACAATTTAATTTCCATAAAGAAAAATCAATTTAATCAACTGATTGAATCAACAATCAATTTATTCTGAAATTAATTGATTAAAATGAATCAACAAAACTCCAAAGGTTAATTTGATCAAAGTAAATGAATTAAATTGTAATTATCAGTTCGATGAAAATTTCAATCAATTGATTAACTTGATTGTTTACAATCAACAATTTCCAACCAAATGTTAATTATTAAATCAAAATGAATGATAATTTATTGGATTTTTTTTTCAAAACTGTTTAATTAACTAGTAAACAACATTAATTGTTATCATTAACAGTTGATTGTCCTTTCACTTGAACTGAATTAAGTCCTAAATTGATTGCGATGGTTGATCAGTTAATTTGATTATAGTCTTTGTTAATTGTTACAATCAATTTAGGTTGAATGAGATAATATTTGAAATTATATTTTTATCCAATACTAAACTTATCAAGGACAATTAGTCCTTGAATGATTAACTTAATTACATTCTTATAATAATTAAATTCATTGATTTGATTGTGAAAGAGTTTATTAATTGTTGTAAGACTTTATCTGTTCACAATTAATATCCTAACCAAATTAAAACTTAATAATCTTGTAATAAAATCTTCAAACTAGATTTGATTATAATCACAATCAGTTGATTGCAAGGTTCAATTCACTAGGAATTACATGATAATTAAGACGATATTTGTTTCGCAATTAATAAATCATTTCATGAATCGTTTTAAATTGTGTATCATTTGATTATTTTAACAAAGTTAAATTATCACAAGACTATCAACAAATTCAAAATTAAGTTGATTGCCATCAGAATCATTGATTAAATTGTTCAAAATAAACAGCTCGACAATTAGTGTTACCTTTGTATTCATTTAGTTAATCATATGATTTTAATTAAAAAAAAGGTGATTTAATTGTGTGTTTTTTTTAAACAGCAAAACTTAATCATCATTTCCTAGTTGATTAAATTTAATTGTTCAGTTGTTACGATAAAGTTACCAATTTGTTAACAACAACAATCAGACCAACCAAGAGTTTAACTAAAAAATTGATTATCAAACAAATCATGAAAATATTAATAGATTGTTAGTACAATTAGAGTGAGTGAAATTGTAATTAAATTAGTTGATTGTCCAATTGATTTACAGATATGATGAAGAAACAAAAAAATTAGATTATTAAGATAAACAAGATACTCGACAATTGATCATTTCTATCATCCAATTAATTGAATATTATCATCATTAGTTAATTAGTGCAAGGTTAATTTTCAAGAGTATCTTTCATCCAATATCATCATAATTGTCATCTTCCTTTATCCAATGAGATTAATTGTCATTAATTCTTGTAATTGTTTCCCTTTTTGAATAAAACAATCAAATGGGAATAACAACAATCACTTAACAATATCAATCATCTTAATAATATTAGTTAATTGCTGTTAGTTACAAGAATAAGAGGAAAAAGTAAAATCAAACAAAATTGTCCATAGGTCAATATACAGGATAGAAAGTTGAACAATCACCATTGAGAATCAAATGTTTCGTTGGTAACTGACCACAAGTGAAAGTGACCAGTGTCCATGAAAATGGTTAAACCAAGAGACACGCGAGTATGACAGTCGCTTATAAACAACAACAAACCAGTCATTAGACAACAGAAAACAAGGTCAACTAATTGGAAACAATGAAAACAAAAACTGAATGAAGACAACAAAAGATGAAGAGAGAGGATAAAATGATGAGATTCTGAGTGAAGAAAATGGTTCCATCAACTTAAGTATTTTCCTTTTTTCCATTGTCATTAATTGTTGATTGAGTTACTAAAGTTTTCTCATCCTGAGTCCATCTTAATAGATGAAGGTAAGGTCATTATACGATCCGTCGGATGATTATGATGAAAAGAAGAAGAAAATTCTTTCAAAAAAGAAAGGGGAAAATTGCGATTACTATTCTGGCCTGACCACATTTTGGCTATGGGAGAGAGAGAAAGACAGAGACCTAGACAGAGAGAAAGAGAAAGAGAGAGAGAGATGATGATGATGGAGAGAGAGAGAGTGAAAACATCAGCCTGTTTTCTTCCTTGGAGAAGGATGATTGAGCCCCAGAGGGAAGAGGAGATGAAGAGAGAGAGAGAGAGAGAGAGAGAGATACTAAATGATGAGAGAAAAAAGTTATCCAAAGTATAGTATGTAAACTATTGAGGAAAAAGTTGTTTCTTGATTATTATTGCATAGAAACAATTTTGATTATCATTAGTAGCATTTAGAAGTGTGAATTTAAGTCCAAAAAACAGCTTAATTGTTGTAGATTCTGGTTTCCTCTAGTCAAATTGTTCAATTGATTGTGAATTAAATGTTTACTGTAAAAACATTCATCATCTTAATCCACACATAATTTTACTCTCTACTTTGAACTCCTTTCTCTCTCTCTCTCTCTCTCTCTCTCTCTCTCTCTCACTCACTCACTTTCTTCTTCTCTCTAAAATCAACTCCCTCTTCTCATCATTTATCTTCCTCGCTCTCACCCACCTCCGAGTGTATATGTGATTTTATTTACTAGTTACCTTCCATCGTCAACATCACCATCATCTCCAAATTGTTGATGTATAAACGTCGGTGAAAAACATTCACAATTGATGACAATCAACAGATTATTGTTGTTATTACTCAGTTAATAAAAGTTTTCACTTAATAGAATATAAAAGTTAATTGTTTCAACTTTAACAATTGTTTTCTTCTTCTCGTGTTAATTTGGTTCCAACACCAAAAAAAAAAGAGGAAGAAAATACAAAAGCAAATCTATTGCCTTGAAATTGTCTCTTTTTCGTTGATTACAGTTAATTATCTTCATCAATTTCCATCACCTTCAATAAATATAAATTGTAATTTATATTATTAACTATTTCCTCTTTGGTGAACTTGATTAACTAAACACTTTCCTATTACTTTGTGTGTGTGTACATATAATCATTACCAATCAACATAAATTGACCATCATTCTAATAAACAACAACAACAACAACAATTAACAACAATTATGTCAGAAAAAACTTCAGTCGAATTGAATCTTCTTGATAAATCACCACAGATCACAATTTTACCGGCCAAACCTGTTCGGACAATTAACCAACAATCCGATGGCATAATTAACATTGACAACGATGGTAATAATTCAATTACTGATTGTACACTTTCCTGGAATGATTTAAGTTACGTTATCCCGAGAGATTCACGATTAGTTCATCTATTCAAACGAATGGCAACTAATCGTTGTGATTGGAGATCCAAATGTATACTTCATCCACAAAGTGGTCAAGTTTCAAAAGGTCAAATGATCGCGATTATCGGCCGATCTGGTTCAGGTAAATCAACACTTTTACAATGTCTTTCAGGTTGTAAGCAGAAAAATCGTTCCGGTAAAGTAGAGGTTATTTTAAATAGTCAACCATCATCATCAGTAAATTTATCTAATGGTAAGAAGATTGAAAATTTACCATCTTCATCCTCGTCGATTTCTCCATCATGTTCATCATCATCTTCTTCAAAAAAGCCTCACATGAAAATTTGTTACATTCCACAAGCTGATCATCTAATACCAACATTAACCGTCTACGAAACGTTAATTTATGCCTCTAAATTACGGAATCTCAGTCAAAAATGTGACAATTATCATTCAATCAGAGTCGAAACCATAATGGCAGATCTTAATTTAACTTGTTCTCGCTCTGTTATGGTCAAACGAATCTCTGGTGGTCAACGTAAACGACTTTCCATCGGTTTAGAGTTGTTAGGGTCACCGGATATTTTCTTGCTCGATGAGCCGACATCCGGATTAGATTCATCGAATGCACTTCAATGTGTCCAATTGTTGAAAAGATTAGCCAACAACAACAATTCGTCTTCGATAAATGATCAATCCCCACATATAATGAGTATAATGGACAATATTATTATGACCAATGGTAATAATTGTGGTGAAAATAAACCTCAACAATCAACCGGATCATCATCATCATCATCTGGACTTGCAATTGTCGCTTCAATTCATCAGCCAAGTGCCAAAATCCTTTCACAATTTGACAAAATCTACCTCATGTCATTTGATGGTCGATGTATTTACTTTGGTCCACCAAGTGAAATGGTTACAATATTTTCAACTTTTGACCTTAATTGTCCAGCTTATCATAATCCAGCAGATTTTGCAATTGAAATTGCATCGGGTGATTATGGTAGAGATAAAGTTGAAGCTCTTGAAAATTGGACCAATTCAAATGGACCCGATCCTTTACCACCAACACCACCGATAACGGTAAATGAATCAACTTGTGATAACTCGATGATGGCCTTGACCGTTGAGGAAGTGGTCAGCGACATGTTGAGACAATCAAAGTCAAATTTTGCTCATTTCTGGATACTCCTTAATCGTACATTATTAACCACAATTAGAGATCCAAGTTTGAATGGGTTTAGATTAATTCAGCACATATTGATTGGTTTAATTGTCGTCCTATTGTACAGTAATTCAATTGGTACTGGAAGTGGTTGTTTAAATAATATTGTCAATCTTAATGATCTTCGTAATGAGGAAAGGTTAACGGCTCAAAATTTAGCGCTTATCTTTTTCTCACTCATGTTCCTAACTTTTGCGGCCATGATGCCGACGGTAATGGTTTTTCCGTTAGAAATGTCAGTTTTTACGAAAGAGCGTAAAAATGGTTGGTACTCTTGTGCGTCCTTTTATTTTGCCAAAACTTTCGCCGACCTTCCGTACCAATTGGTCTATACGTTTATCTACATCGCGATGGTTTATTTTGGTACTGGTCAATTCTTTTCCTGGTGGAGATTCGCCTTTTTCCTTTCAATCGGTATACTCATTTCCATTATCGGCCAATCGATCGGTCTACTATTTGGTGCGCTGTTTGCGAAATACCTTCAAACGGCCATCTTTATTGCACCAATATCGACACTTCCGTTGATCCTCATCTCTGGTTTCTTTGTGCGCCTCAACACAATTCCAGCGCTATTACGGCCAATAACCTACACTTCGTACCTTAAATATGCTTTCGAAGCGTTAATCATCACCATCTATGGGTACGATAGGTGTACACTTAGTCCATCGGTCGACATATCGGTGAAAGAGTCCAATGGTTGTACTGTTGTCGGCCAATTTTATTCCTATTTACGAGATGATCTAAATATTTCTTTCGATGCTCTCAAAGATTACATTCCGTTAATGGCACCAGATAATCGTGATGTTAATGTAACAATTAAATTGGAACAATTTACCAAAGCTCTGGAAAAGGTTGATTTTAATGCAACCCAACAGATTATGGAAACACTTAATTCAACTCGATCTCTGGTAATGACGGAATATGAACTCGAAGAGGCAAATTTCGTGACCAATATCCTCGCACTTTTTGGTTTCATTGTGATTGTCCGGTTGATTACCTACATCGTTTTATTACAAAAATCGGAGAAAAAAATTGATTAATTATCAAATCAATTTACTCAACTTTAACCTGATCAACAATTACTCGTTCATCTAATGTGTTAACTACACTTTCACTGTTTTCTTTTTTAATTGTACATTTTAAATCATCATCATTAGTTATTATTATTATTATTATTATTATACATTGTGTTTGTACGTTTATCCATTGCACGTTTAAGCATTAATTGTGACAATTAACATGGACAACAATTCATCTTTTATATATACAATTTGGTTCATTTGTCTTAATGACTAGTTTTTGTTTTGAATGTTCAGAAAAGTTTCGTTAACGTTTCAATTAACCACATCCTCGAGTTCTCATACGGCCATTGATCGCTAAATCATAATCACTGGCGGTGTTCAAATGAAGTGCGTAAAGTTTTTCGGTAGCCAGTGGATGCCAATCACCGAAGGTACATCCAAGTCCAGTCGTATTATCGTAATAGTGACAGTTTTCCGTCATACGAATTGACGGAATATATTCATAAGCGTAAACGTAGGAACACAATCGTAGACCTAAAAGAAGACCAATAAATCCAGATGAAGGTGGAGTTCGATGGATTTGATGTGATTTACTGGTTTGTAATTGTTTCCAAAGATCCCAGGCCACTTGAGGGTGAATAATGTAAAACGGAATGTTCGGTGTTTTCTCTCGAGTTTTCCGATAATTTGGGAAAAAATTGTGATCCGGTTTATTGAACCATTGATTTAGATCAACTTGGAAAGACGATGGATCCCAGACAAGATTAACAGCCGATGAATATAATGGATCAGATAAATTGAAGGTTAAACGTGAGGCTACTTGAGAATTAATTATTCTAATTGATGTTCGAGAGCCAACATCCATCTCATAACCGATTGTTGGTGCATCATTGAATCTTATTATCACATCATGAGAATCAATCTCTGAACCTTTCGATGATTTTAACAATGAACCTGAATTCGCAATCAAGGCACATGTTTCATGGACTGGATACTTTTCTCTTAACAATTTAATCAACGATTCTTTTGGTAATATTGAATCAAATCCATTGGAAGAAAATGGTTCGTAGGTTGGACTTATCGTCGTAAACGGAACTGTACAAAGACGGGTAACACTTGGATAGGTTGGTGGAGATCGTAAATAGGTGACATTATATCTGTTGTAGGAGTTTTGTTGCCGCCACAAAATACTGGTACTTCGTAGTTCCCAACTACGTAATTTGGATCGCAATCGAACAAGAAATACTTCAATTTGCCTTCGAAGATCATGATCAAAGGAAGTACTTAGATTCATTTTTCTTTGTCTCTCAATATTTTCAATATCATTGGAAGATTGGAATAGAGATTCATCTTTGGAAATGATTAAACCTTTCGCTGAATCAACCATATTTTTGAACATTGCTCGATGGGCTTGATAAGTAGACGAGATCATATATTGACTAATAATTAGGTAAAAGTAGAAACCACTACTGAATAGGGTTACCCCGATAAAGAAACAAATTGCACACCCAAGAAGCTTCATAATTGATTGATACAGTTAATCCAATCGATTTAAATACTCTGAATAATCCATCCAAGACTGAATTGTTCCATTCAATCTTCCAATCAATTGGTTAATTGGATTAATCCATAAGATCATCACCATCATGATCACAATCATCACCAAGAGATAAAGAGGAAGCTGTAAAACAGAAGTTAAACTCAGACAATTAGAATTTTTATAAAAAAAAAGAAACGGCAAAAGATCTTCCAAACTACAAATATTCTTTCAATTTAAAAAATATTCAAATCAATTAATAGGATAATCAACAAAAAATCAAGAAATTAACATAATCAATCATTTACCTTTTCTCTTTTTCTCAATGTACAAAATGAAAACTATTCATATACTCAAAATTATTATTACTTTTACCATGAAATAAAAGAGCTCAATTTTTTGTTTATTCAATCAACCGTTTCAATCATTAATCAGTAACGAATATCGAATAAATGATTAAACAAAAAGAAAACAATTAACCATAAACATTAGGAATTTACCATCAACAATATCAAAGAGAAATATGATTGATAAAGTGGATAAAGAAGATGGACAAAAATAACTTACACTTATAGAAATTCATCCAATAAATTAGTTACGAAGTCAAGATTAATATTGAAGATTAAAATTCATTCAATTAATCAGTCAAACAACTGATTAGATTGAGAAGATAAACAATTAACAATAATTAACGAATTCATGTTTACCCTAAGAAAGAATTAAAAGATTAATTGCCGATAGATGGCGATGGTAAAAAAGAAAACCGGTTAATTTGAATAATTTTATGTTCTTTTTAAAAATTTGTTTTTCTCTTAACCTTAACCTTGGAACATAAATTATGTTGATTAACTTTAATTCTTATCCAATTAATCAAATTTATTTAATCTGTAATTTAATCAATCGATCGACTAATCAGCTTAATGAAGCAAATTTAAATTCATCAAAAAGCTTAAAGGTTAGTAAATGTTTTTAAATTATTCTCATGCTCATGTTGATTTTTCTGTGATAACATTTTTCTAATTGTGGAGATGATGATTGATTTTTTAATTGTTGTTCTATTTATTTTAATCTTTTTTGTTTCTTTCTCTTAATCTATTTGATTAGTGTTTGTCTTGACTTGATCTATGGAACATAATTATGGATCTTTGCTGCATTTATCTCCACTTCTCTTTGTCTTCATTGTCACTTACACCTTGACCCAGTTGACTTTGGATTCTTATATATTAAGAGGGAACAATTAGATTTAATTGTAATCACAATGATTTAAAAAGCGGCGATGGTACCAAAGATACACCTTTAAAATGAACAACATCATCAACGGTATCACTTAAGTATAAGAGAAATCAGCAACAATTACACTTGAAAGATTCATGATTAGTCTAAATTGATTATGTCTCTTTGAGATACAATTTGTATTCTCGTTACATCCTATGTATATGTGCTCAATATGGCGATGATTAAATGGTGATGTTTATAAATTGCTGGTAAAAAGGTAAGATAAAACCTCTTTGTTTTATTGTGTCATTTGATACTAAACATTTTCCATATTGATTAAGATTGATAAATTGTTATAAAATTTTCCTTTTTCTCTTCCTCTCTCTCTATCCAACCTAACAGAGTGACGATTGGAATCAATGGGAATATTATCATCTCACATTATTTGGAATTAATTGTAATTGTGAATAACTGGATAACCTCGATTCAATCAATAGATTGCAAACTAATCATTTATTTCCTCGTCTTAAAGTTAATCCTCTTGTTATGTATATTTATTGACCAGATTAATGAATTATTGATACACTTGGATGGAGATTAAATGTTTCAAGGATAAATTATGAATAAACAAGGAGAGAAAAACAAAAGTCAAGGAAACAATTAACATCTAATAATAATCATGTATTCATGAGAAATTAACTTTAATCATCATCATCTCATTAGTTATTATTGCAAGAGTTGAATTGATTGTTTCTTGCTTATTGTTACTACTAATTTATTTCTACACTTAACAATCTTTGATTGAACAACAATCAATGGTTCACTGGTCCCAATCAACTAAACAACAAGAACATGAGCAAAAAAATTGATATTTAAAATCATCAACAGATTATTAACCTTCACCAACAATTAAGATCATAATGATTTAAAAGGTTGATAGACTTTATTTCTTGTTACTTAATTCATTCAATCAAAGAAACGTACACAACAATTAACAGTTTATTTCCTAACCAGCTAATCAACAATGGAAATGAATTGAACATATTCTTAAACAATCAACCAAGGAAAAGGAAAAAGCTAATCACAATTAACCTTCAAATTGATTTCACAATCAAGATGATTATCAAATATTTAATTACTGACAATCTTCAAATGAATACACAAATATTAAGAAAATGTTTTGGATAGTTAATTGTTGACCAATAATTGATCAAGTGTGTGTATTTATGATTAATCACAATAACTAATCATCAACAATTAACCTAAAAATTAACTTAAATCCCTTAATTGTCAATGATAAAAGTAAAACAAACATCGTTCAATGTCAAATAATTAAAATTTCAATTCCAATGATTAGAGGTTTTAATTAACTGATAATTGATAACTTTTTGAAACAGTTTTTACCTTACGATTTAATTAATTACCAAGCTGACAATTAACTAAGATGTTTGATGATTTAATTGAGACAAAAATCTATAAATAAACTAACCATTAAATCATTAATAATTCAGGTTTCTTGTTTTATTGATTCTCAATCAATTTTAATTCAGTTAAATTTGCTTTGGTTGATTTGGATTTTTTGTTTCTTTGATTACTTTCAATTCAAATTAATTATCTCTCACATTTATGAGAATGTTGATTAAATTAAAGGTTGCAATTAACAGATATTCAATTGAATCAATAATAAAACAAAATGAAAATAATGTAAAAAGATAATTAAGTTAATTAGTTTAAGAATTAAGGATTACAATTAGAACTTTTTTTTTCTTCGATATTTTCTTCCTCTGATCGTTAATTATGGATGTTAATTGTTGGTTAACAACTTGATTGTTGAGGGACAATTGTCTAATATTTAATACTGATACTGGAATGATGATAAATTGATGAACTTGTGATGATGATGATCAGTTAATTGTTGATTCTTGGGCAGCCATGTTGTTGAAATGTTGATTGTTAAATTGACCAAAAAAATAATACTGTTAAAGTAAAGATGATTAGAGTATTAGAATTAAATTAAATTGTTTCCACACTGATTAAAGAGAGAGAGAGAGAGGAAAAGTTACAATTAAAAATTAAAGATGATGATTAAATGGCATAGTGATTTAAAATTGATTCCAAGTGATGACAACGTTGTTGTATTAGTTTTCTCGTGATTAATAAATTGTTACTCGATCATGATGATTAGATGATTGATTAATATGTTAACAGGGATAATTTATCTGCAACAATTTGAATAGTTGTGAAGGTATTATGATGGATACATGATGATCGGTGTTTCTAATCAATCAGTCAGGAGAAGATGAAATTTAATTGTTAATCAATGATTTAGAAAGAAAGAGAAAGTAACAATTGATTTTTCTCTTTCTTTTTCCATCTTCTTGTCCTTTGCCATCCATTAGTCTAATATTAATTATTTAATTGTGATACAATTTGCTTTTGATGATCCTTGATGCTAATTAAAATCAGGCAACAGGAGAGATTAAATTGTTGAAGAAAACATTGATTCCATTGATTGAAAATTCAAAGCACACAATTGATTTAAAATCACATTCAAGTGAAAAAAAAACAGAAAACTAATCAGTGAGGTAAATCAGGGATAAGAAGATAAAGTGATTTAGTTTCGTATTGATTAGTTGATTAGTTTAAGAATTGTTTTTTGTTCCTCTTTCGCCATTTGATTTGTTGACCATTAATTTGAAATCTTTGAAAGACCAATAATTAATTAGATAATGTTTGTTGATAGAGAGAGAGAGAGAATAAGTTTTAAAGATGACAAGCACCATCCAAATTATTTCATCACTAAAGAAATTGGTAAGAGAATCGATTCCCAATGGAAACATGTTACATGAGGAGTGGGTGGAAATTATGATTTGGTTTCAACAGCTAAATTGTTACGATGAGATGACAGTGATTAAGAACAAAGGTAAACACAAGGGATGAAAACCATGAGCAAGATGCATATTGATAGACAGAGATAAAGACAGAAATGATAAGTTGAATAATAAGAAGATGGATCATGTTAACTGGAATTGTTTACTTGACTGTCTTTCATTTATCGTTGTTTGAATTGGAATCCACCAGAAGATCATCACAATCAAATTGAATTTGGTATCATTAGTTGGGCTAAGAGAGAGAGAGAGAGAGAGGAAAGGGAAAAGACTGAGGATATTTGGTGATTTTCTTTCAGGGTGATGTTGGTGAATATGGTCCACCACCGGTTGGAGAGCCTGCGGCCTGGAATCTCATGTCATCCCGTGAAGCTTTGCGGCCAATCAAGAGTAATCCATAGACCGCTGCGCTTCCCAGTGAGGTGAGAAATCCCAATAAGAAAAAGAAACCGAAACAACCAAATAAACAGGGAATTATGGAAAGTGCAGCGTAAGCGGCACATTTGATCCATTGAGGTTTATCCTCGAAAAAGATACCAATTGGTTGGGCGAAACGGATGAATGTCACAAAACTAGGAGCTTCTATTGCAAGGATAACTATCGCTCCAGCTACTTGAAGGAGACCAGCGGGAATACATAAAGGTGAAAAGATGGAGATGGCAGTAATTAAACCGAAAACAATTTGAAGTAATGATAAACCAGTAACAATTTGTGATCTCCATGATTCAACCCACCACATTGGACCAGATCCTTGTTGTTGAACGGGACCATCACCAGGACTAATCATGATTACCTTTTAATGGATAATGTTAATAATATATACTAATATAAAGATTATTCTGTTCGTCCAAATTAAATCACAGGTAAACACAGAGAGAGATGATTAGAGTGATGATGATGATGATCTGAGAAGAAAAAGAAAACATAAAATTAGAATCAATTTGTTATAATGAAACACGAAAATAGATGAATTTATGTTTGGGTTGGAAAAAGAGTAAAAATCAGAGAAGGAGAGAAAAGAGGAGGCAAAGAAGAAGAAAAATCAATAAATTGTGAGAAGTTAAATCAATGATATTCTCTTGTATTTTCTCTCGTTTTTTGGGTGAAAAATTGTTCGAAATGTTGATTAATCATTAAAAGAGTAAAACACTTACCTAAGTAATTAGATGAATTCTAAAAATGGGTTAAGATGGGAGAGAGAGATTAGAAGTGTAACATTGACGGAGAGACAATTGTGAGAGTAAAAGGTTGACTTGAGAACCGAAAAAAGGGAAAAGGTGAATGAAGAAAGAGAAAAAAAGAAAGTAAGTTCAAGAATAGAAAGAAAAGAAAGAGAAATAAAAGTCAAGTCTTCTTTTCGCAAGCGCATCTAAATTAAACTCTTTTCTTGTAATAATTTGATAATTTTTCTTTTCTCTGGTTCATTATCATCACCATGATTCTGATCAATTTGGGTGAAAGTTTTTTCTCCAACATGAAAAACATTCCAATTGTTAAATGTATCTCATCAATTGGAGAGATTATTGGATTTACATTTTACTTTTTTTCCTTCCAATTTGATTCTTTTGACTCCAAGAGAATTTGATTAACTTTAACTTCCGAACCATTTAGTTGATCGATTGATTGTCCATAATGATGAATCTTAAATGTTTCAGTTTTTTTTTCTCTTCGCGTAATAAACATTTTCATCGCGACAGGAAACTCGTTAATTTTTACCACTGATTCTTTTTTCTTTATTAGGGTTTTACTATTTACGATTTAGAATAATATAAATTGACTACACAATTTGGTCGTTTTATTTGTCCAATTCTCGAATTCGAGCCTTTTTACCTCCTTTGCTTCCTTTCTGTCGGTAGACTTTTCCTCTTATTATACGTAAACGTTTCATCTCTTCAATAAAATCACGATGTTCATCTCTGTTTTTCACATGTAAACAAAAAGAATGGAAATAAATTGATTAGATTATCAACAAGAAAAGAGAATAGAAATTGGAAACAATAATCTAACCTGAATAGTCCATATTGTCTCAAGGTATGGGTGAGCTCTCGTATCTGAGGATGAGCCGGATACCAATTTGGATTCCAAGCAGAATTTAAATCATGAGGTTCTCTTGATTGTCTTTCGATAACATTTCTGCAACTAATAATTGTGTATTTAAAATCTTTTTTAACAGCAAGATCAGAGGAAGTAGCAACTTCCTTAGGCATCGGAGGTGCACGATATTCATTGAATATTTTAGACCCAAGTCGACGCATCTTTTGACTGTACAAAGATGGCCCTCGATACCAGGACATGATTAACCAAATAAACGATGAAACAATTAACAATTACAGAGAAAATCAACAGTTAAACATGATTGTTATGAGAAGAAAAAACCAAAACAATTCATTTTGCCTCAAATTGTTTCCAAAAACGAGAGAAAAAGTTTGAGCGGTTAATTCAATTCTTTGTTTTTCTTTTCGCGAATTTTTTGTTTTGAGTTGAGCGTTGAAACTTTCATGGTTTGTAAGGGCGATTGGATTAGAAAATAGTTTGGATCGATCTGATCAGTAATTTTCGAGATAATTGAGGTCAAAGTTGAAACATTAAAGATTCATCATTATGGACAATCAATCGATCAACTAAATGGTTCGGAAGTTAAAGTTAATCAAATTCTCTTGGAGTCAAAATAATCAAATTGGAAGGAAAAAAGTAAAATGTAAATCCAATAATCTCTCCAATTGATGAGATACATTTAACAATTGGAATGTTTTTCATACTGGAGAAAAAACTTTCACCCAAATTGATCAGAACCATGAAATCTTTCAATCGTCAAATTCATCGAAAACTTTTCTCATTAGTTCATTGGAAAGGGAATTCAATTCTTGTCCAATTCAATTTGTTATTCTTGAGAAATAAAAATGATAAATATGATAACTTAAACAAAGTAAACAAATGAATATATTTGATGATTTTTACAGAATGAATTTATTACAATCCAAGCCTAGTTGGTCTTCTAGGTGTTCTTGGAGTCTCAGGTCGTTTGAAGATCGCAGGTGTCGATGATCTTATTTTTAGTGTCTCTTGCTCCTCTTTTTCCGCTTTCATCCTTTTCAATCTCGTTTCCGCTTCGGCCATTTCTTCTTCCATTGCTTTTCGTGATTTTTGATCTCTTGTTTAGCTTCCGAACGAGTTTTCGATGGTAATTTGACTGAATAAAACATTGGCCCTAATTCGGCTAACCAACCACCTTCGACAGCGGTCACAGTGTGCATGTACTCCTTTGAGGTCATAAGTAGTTCGTGGTAAACAACATAATCGGGAGTGAAACCCATTCCATAAAGTGATGAGGTGGGATGAAGATGACAGGGCATTCCGGTTCTCATGTTGACGTATTCGCCGATTCCTTTTAATCGAGCTGCTTGATGGAAATAAGCCGATGCGATACATTTACGAATACAATCCCATTCATTTCCCGAAGAGACAACAGGTAATTTTAAACTCTTCATGATATCTTTCAATTGTTGTCGAACTTCTCGAACTTTTTTCATCGCTTTCATATGAATAAAATGATTTTTACACCAAGATGATTTCGATGGTTCTCTCTCCCAGAATTGATAAATATTGAGTAAAGTTAAATGATCAGATTCAGGTACATGAAATTTTTCACGAGCTAAATCAGCTTCTTCCTCTCGGCCTTTGGGACGATAAATTATCGATGGAACCGATAACATGGAAACAATTGTCATCATCTCAAGTGAACATCCCATTTCCGTGGAAATTAACAGCATTTTGGACATTGCAGGATCCAACGGGAATTCAACCATATTTCGACCTAATGATGTTAAATTGCCGACATTATCCAGCGCTCCTAAGATCCAAAGTTGGTACATAGAATTTAACATGTTTTCCTGAGGCGGTGGATCCATGAAGTGAAATTCCAGTAAATCTTGAACGCCCAAAGACTTTAACAATAAAACGACATTCGCTAAATTGGTTCGTTGAATTTCAGGGATTGAAGTTGCAAGTAACTCGTTTCTAAATTGATCTTCAGTGTATAGCCGGAAACATGTACCAGGTCCCGTTCTGCCAGCACGACCTGATCTTTGATTGGCATTCGCCTGAGAGATTGGATAAATTTGCAAGGCATCCATACCAATGCGAGGATTATAAACTTTTAATTTACAGAAACCTGAGTCGATCACATATTTGATTCCGTCAATGGTCAACGATGTTTCGGCGATGTTGGTCGCAACGACACATTTTCTCACATCGTCTTCAGATTTTTGGAATATTTTGGCTTGAAGATCAGATGGAAGTTGAGAGTAAATGGGAAGAATTGAGATCGGCGGTGGTTTCGTTGTGTCTTCCAAAGCTTTTAAACGTTCGCTAATAACTTCACAGGTCACATCGATGTCTTCTTGACCTGGCATGAAGATGAGAATATCGCCTAAAGGTAGACTGAGATGGATCTCAATCGCTTTTTTCACAGCCGAATCAACATAATCTTCAACGATGTTTTTATTATGCATCACTTCAACGGGAAAAGTTCGGCCTGGAATTTTGAAAACAGGAACATTACCAAAGAAGAGGGCAAATTTTGATGAATCCATTGTTGCTGAAGTAACAATTAACTTTAAATCAACTCGTTTAGCTACAACTTCACGAAGAATCCCGAAAAGTACATCAGTGTTTAAACTTCTCTCATGAGCTTCGTCCATGATGATGGCTGAATATCCATCAAGGTCAGGGTCGGATAAAGATTCACGAAGTAAAATACCATCGGTCATATACTTAATTAACGTTTTAGATGAAGTTTGATCTTCGAATCGAATAGCATAACCAACTTCTTCGCCAAGTTTAACACCCATTTCATCGGACACTCTTTTGGCCACCGACATGGCCGCAACTCGACGAGGTTGAGTACAACCGATCATACCATAACTTGTATAACCTTCCTCATGTAAATACTGAGTTAATTGTGTCGTTTTACCAGAACCAGTTTCACCGACAATGATGATTATATTATTCTCGCGAATAACATTCAACAGGCTGCTTCGAACTGCAAAAACTGGTAGCATTTGGCGTTGCTTGCGAATCTTTTCTCGACCGGTTAGTTTATCATCGAGATGATCAGCGAATCGATGTTCCGTTTTGTAATCAGTTCCACCCGTTGATTCCTCTTTCTCCTTCGCAACACCCATAATGTCACCAATTCGAGTACCAGCAAGTTCCCACTCCTTTTTCTGGGCTTTTTTCCGCTCTTTGATTTCTCGATGGTACTTAACAAGAGCAGAACCTTTTTTCGAGCAAACAGCCATGTTCGAAGTTCCATCTTTCACTGGAATCACAGGTTCGAATTGTTTCGTGAAAACAATCCGACCATCGAGAAAAGGTGGTACAATATTGTGAACAATTAGGTGAGTTCTCTCCTCTTCTCCAGTCTCTTCCATGTCATCATCGAGGTTACGAACAACACCTGATAAACGCATTCGATTGATTTCCCATTTTTCATTATCTTTTTGAATTTGTCTCTGTTGAGCTGATATTCTTTGAACCACTTTGCTCTTTTTTAGAGCTTCTTCTTTTCGAGCTACATACTCATCGGGAATATCATCAAACGGCTTGAAATCAACTTCTTCATCGTACCAATTACGATCTATTTCTTTCATCACCTCTGGATCTTCATCGACTTCTTCCCTTCTAATTGATGGATTTTCCCAATAACTGTAAGGTATTCGAGGTGTCCCAGCGGTCGAACCTAATCTGGACATTGACGAACCAGGTCTTGGTGTCCATGGGCCTTGAGAACGTGAACTTGGAGTTGATCCTCGAGTTGATCTTGGTGTTGTTTCCCAACTCGAAGCATAATCTTTGTCCACTTCGTCATCGTCTTCCCATTTTCTCCTCTTCGACTCGAGATCTTTTTCTTTATTTTCCATGTACATTCCTCGCAATTTTCGACGTCTTTCTCTCTCTTCTTTCTCTTTCTTTCGAGCTAAATATTCATCACTTAAAGAAGATCTATTTACATAAGGCGATGGACTTTCCATTTTAGCTTGTCGATAATTTCTCTCTTTTTCTCTTCCTCTATCTCGATGTCTATCACGATCTCTATCATATTTATCTCTTCTATCATCTCTTCTATCATCTCTCCCTCTTCTTTCATCTCTATCATCACCACGTTCTCTTTTAATTTCTCTTCTCTCATCATCTTTATAATCTCGTCTTCTTTCAACACTTTTCTCTCTTGAATATCCTCGATCTTCTCGTTTAACACCATGACCACTTTCCTCAGTTTCAGATTTTTTCTTCAAAGCCAATTGTTGAAGACCAAGTAAACTTTTCCTTTCTTCCAATTTCAATTGATCCTTATCATTAGAATCAACAGTTTTCTTCTTAACAATTAGTCCAAATTTCTGATCCGATGGAACAATTCCTTCCAATCTTTCAACGTTCGACTCATCGAAACTCATGATGATCTTCAAAGAAAATTAACTCACAATTTAAATTCCAAATCAGCTAAAAACATCGAAAAAACAAAACAAAGAATAAAAAATCACACAATTAAAATTAATTCCAATTGAAAGAAGAAGAAAAAGAAAATCAAACAAAACAAAAACAAACGAATCATATGATCGCTTTAACTACTTTTCTCTCCAAAAGGTGTCGCTCAAAAAGAGAATTTAATTTTCCGACCAACAGATGTCGCCCGAATCAGATTCGAACTCCAACTTATCAGTTGATCGGTTTAACTGGATAAGGATTTTTCTTAAGGTAAATGAGTGAACATTTTTATCTTCATCTTTAAACAGTTAACATAATTGTTATTTTATTGATTCTTTTTCGCAACTGTTTCTTTTACTAATTTACTCATTTGAGTTGGAGAAAAGAAATGGCCAACAATTAGATTAAAGTGGTTTTAATTGTGATGTTGATTAACTTGATTGGTCGGTGATCGATTACCTCTTTTTTTTGCTCTATTCTCTCAGTTTTCTTTTTCCATCATCATCATCATCATGTTATTACACAAGAAAAAGAAGCGATCATCATGTTCCCTCCATCATGTTAACCATTTGAATCGTGATAATGATGATCATCTTTACTGTTTTAATTGTTCACCTAATCAACGATTAACTGATATTCCAGTTAAAATTTGTAGAAAAGAATGTTCATCTTCCAATATTTTCCATTTTTGTTTACCTTCAAGTGATCATTTTCTGTGGACATTGGTCAAGTCATTGTCTTCTTTTTCTTCGACACTTTTTTCTTTTTCTTTTTTTTCCATCACATGGATTTTATTTCTTGTTCTTTGTACATTATTTTTCCAAACTTCATCAGCTCTACCTTCTTCTTCATCGTTATCATCATCATCTTTTCCAATATGTCGACAGGATAGATCTTTGTGTTCAAGTAAAGAGGAAAGTGAATTTTATGAATTAGGTGGACAACAATTGAATTCCCTTCTCGGTGAACCAATGAGAAAAGTTGCCAATGAGTTTGATGATTTTCATCGTAAATTTAACGGTAAGTAAACAATCAAATTAACTACAATCAATGTAATTATGTCAATCAATTGAGACTTCATATTCTAAGAGTGATCATAAATTTTACTCTCTCTTATCTTGATTCATCATATTGCTCTCGTTTTTTACCATTTTGACTTCCATCTTCCATTTTTTTCTCATATGAGATAATGAGAAAATTCAATATAAGCTCTGATTATCTCTCATTCATTTCATCATAAATACTATGATTATATCTTGAGAGTGATATTCACCTTTCTTATTGTTTAATTTTCGAGTATCATAATTTATTTAATTCAATTGTTCTTGATTGTTATTGTTTCAATTTTATTCTGATAAATTATCTCATGTCACAAGGATGATGAGACAATCACTTAAGTAAACACACAGGATAATTAAACCTCTGAAACTAATTAGAATAAAAATTAAGATGAGATTAATGATCCATTGTGAAAACAAGACTTAATTAATCTTATCAATGTTACAACAATTATTAACATCTTTCAATTTTAAGATTGACCCCTCTATTTCCCACTCTCCATACACTTTTACCTTTCACCTTTTCTGTTTACAGGGTCAGAGCCCTAATAATTTGCTTAATACATAATCTAGTTAATTGAGTAGATAAAGAAGACAGAGTTGATTACTTCTGTAAGTTAATTATAATGTGGCTTCTATTGACTCCATAGGAAAAAAAAGATGAAATGTAAAACAAAATTAAATTAAGAGTCACGATAATCTTTAAGTTTTATTTTGTTCTACAAAGAAACTAACATCATCATCATCATCATAATTATCATCATCAGATAATAACATTCTTGAGGTAGGCAAGTTCACATACGAAAGCAAAAGGTATCTTTTTCATTCATTGAGAAAGCTACTCACTCAAAAAAAAGACACGAGAAGATGAGGATGATAATGATGATAGTGTATAAGATAAATGAGAATCATCATTGTGCAAGTGGAGCCTCATCAGCGACTATAATTTACACGGACAGAATATAAGTATATTACCTGGCCGTTGATAATACTATTCTCGAGGGTGACTTACCTTTACACGTTATTCAACACGATAACAGGTAACACTAGTTTAACACCTTAGAGATTCATTGGTATTTTTTTCACTCTCTCTCTCTCTCTCTCTCGCTCGTTTTAAACCTATGGAGGTAACAATAAGAAAACCACAACAATACAACTGTAATTGTTTCGCATGCATTTAGTTTAAGGTGCATCACGATTTCATTCATTAATTTACTCTAATATCTATTTTTTTCCCTAAGCCTCCTCCTTCCTAATATATATTACACCTTAATGGAGGAAGGAGGTTGACTGGAGGTGGAAATAATAATAATTCAATAGACTAGACAATAGATTAAATGAAATTTAAAAGTTTGATGATATGAATATTTTTTTTTCTTCCACCTTAACTCTGAAAATTCAATTGAAAATTCATGATGATGATTATTATTATTAGTACGATGATATTAATGATAATTATGGTAACAATAGACAGAAATATTATAAATAATAATAGAAAGTTAATTATTATTCAAAGTGAACGATAATAACAATGAATTGAAAAGGATAAGGAAAATTCAAACTGAATCATGAATTAAATTGTAATCATTTAAGTTATGATATTTTCTTTAATTTAAAATATTAATCACAAATATCAATCAATAAAATCTATGTAATAATTTGAATTTATCTAATTTTCCCTTGTTCAGTTTATTTAAACAATTAGGTTAACTATATCATGATAATTGTTTCAGCAGATGAATATTGTCATTTATAATTTTGAAAAGATTGAATGATTTTTAGGAATCTATTTTAACAACTTAATTTAGATTAATTCGTACGAGAAAATTAATAGTTAATTGTAATTTAGGAAAAGAAAAAAGTGTATTTAATCAAGAAGAAGACGACCTGTTGTGATGAATGTAAAGTGATTAATTACTTGTGAAAAAAAGCAATTCATGTTGAGAGAGAGAGAGAGAGAGAAATGCGAACTAAAGATGGCGGAAACCTTGAGAGAATAGAACAGAGTAAACCTGTCATCCTCATCATCTCCATCCTAATCATCATAATCTTTATCCCAGTATCATCATGATCCTCTTAAAGATCAGGCTACTGCTTGACCATTATCATGTTCAGATTAAAATTGATATTAACATGAAAAACGTTCAGACGCCATAAAGTCACGTTTAGATGTAACTTTGATTTTTTTTTCCTCTTTTCTACCTGTTAAACTCACGCTACTGTAACCGAGGGTTAGATAATGATGATGGCGATGATAAAGTTACATAAGATGACATTTTCATGTTGATCCGTTATCCCTTATCACTAACATGATTATTATCGCGATGACCATTGATCTCGTCACGAAAGAGTGAAAATTGAAATTGTTCAGTAAAATATCTTCATGTTAATCTTTACTTATTCTGTCTCATATAATATAATATGTTATATTTAACAATTCAACTATTAATAAATTGTTGTGAGAGGTTAAACTTTTACATTTACAATTCAATTGTAATGATAAGTTTAATTTGACCTTCTTTTAATCAATCAATTCTTTTGATGATAATCATCATCATCAAACCATCTTCAATATTATAACAATCATACAGAAAAAGAAGAAGAAAAAAAAATCGTAACAATAACGGTAAACATTCATATGATTGTGATATAACTGTCATTTACATTTAACATCATCATCACCAACACTAATATTATTACATGATGATGAGAAAATTATGATTCAATGATGATTGTATTATTGATTATTAACCATAACCAATGATAAAAATCAAATCAATTGATATTATTACCTTAGGTGACCTGAAAGAAAAGGTTACAATTTTAAATTAGACTGATTCTTTTGGTCATCATTATTGTTAATCGAGTTACAATTACGAATTAAATTGTAATCAGTTGCGAGAAACCAATTTCCAGGTTCAGAAAGAAAGAATAGAATATGAATGAGATGGAGTGAGAGAGAGAGAGAGAGAGAAAGAATCAGGGCAACAGAATAATGCTCTTTCCTTTCATCATCATCTTCTTCTTGTTGATCTTTGCTTAAAGCATTCATTATATTCATCATGTAATAAGCCTGATGATTATGATGAAATGTATATATAGATGAAGATGATACTTATTGCAAAGTCTTAAATCTGGTCTGAACCCCATTCACCTGAACGGGATACTTGAGGTCATCATCATCTTTTTCAATGTAATATCAAACCCTTTTTTTTGCTTGATAATTTAAACATTTAATTTCTCTCTCTTCCAGATTAACTAATCATGATAATCAAAGTGAAAAAAATCATTAAAAGTTTGTTTGCTTAATGGTAACAAGATTAACCACAGATAATAATTATCATTTAAATGGTTAATTTTTTTATTGACCGATATCATGATAATAGTGATGCTCATTTTTAATTGTTACGATAATTTTTTCTCATTCTGATTGTTAGGTGATAGTAAATATCATAGCAATTGTTTACGGTAAGGAAAAGCTTTGATCATTTGATTTATATCAAATAATTATTTGATTACAATTTCCTTTCACAATTTAACGGTTCATATGATTAACCATATCATATACATATCAAAGTATTTTAAATTTACAGTTATCTGGGAGAGAGAGAGAGATAAATCATTTCATTAATTGATGCAAATTTATGACTATAATTAAGATTAGTGATTAAAGATGAATAGACAAAGTAACGGATTAGTTGATTTCTGGTTTAAGATCTACTTTGTTGGTTAATCTGGTTCTTTGTAATTGTTTCAATAAATCTAAGCATTTTCAATGAATATGTTAACACCCTCTGGATGAAGATGAAGATAAGGAAGATGGAAACATAGAGAAAGGGAGAGAGAGAGAGAGAAAGGGAGAGAGAGGAGGGAGAAGAGGAGGTAGAGAGGGAGGAGTAGATTTTTATCTTGGAACCATTAAGATATAAGATCAATGGAATCAATTAGCAGGCGTTTACAGTTAAGATTATCTTCTTTATCTTTTCAGTTATTTTTACTACCTGATCCTGAGAGAGTAAGATGAAGATGATCACCTCTCACCTTGTATCTGATATTTAGATCAGAAAAGTAAATGATGAAAGTAAATGATACACGAAATGTTATTATATTAAATTGAGCTTTAATATAATTGAATAATTGAATTGACTGGAGGGAGGTAATGCTGGAATTATGGGTTCGAAAGGAGGAAAAGAGCTGGTCAAACTTGTTTCTTTTTCTTTTCATCATCATCTTTTTTTCTTCAAAAGGAATCAAGATGATCACAGTTATCATCCTTATCCTTGTTTCTGGATTAGATTTAGTGAGAATGTACAAATACAGCGGTGCAGTTGAAAGGTAAATTTGATTAAACCCAAACAGGTAATTCATAAGACACAAGACTAAAAGATGATTCCTATCAAGTTGATTATAAGAAATGAGGAGAGATGAAACCAAATGATAAGATGAAAGTGAAAGCAAAAGTGATACAATTAACAAAATGAGTTGATTAGGATTGAGAAAAGACAATGAATATCATGACAAGTGACATTTCCATGGGAGACATTAATTAAACAGAATCATGGGTGTGTATTATCATGAAAATTCAGTGACAATTTGCAAACATCCAATGTAATCATACATTGAACTTTATCGATTGAAACAAGTTCCTCAATGATAATAAACTTATGATTCTTATCTGATTATAACTTTAATATCACTACGATCAGAATGATAGAAAAAGATATTCAGGAAGTTCTGATACTTTTTAGAATGAAAAAAATCACATTGATAAACCAGAATAAGTATAAAAAAAAGTGGATCCACTTTTATGAGTTTTTCTATTGATAAATTGAATTTATAATAACGCTGGAAATACAATTGAATTGGAAATGTTTGCATTTATCTAGATTTTCATTAGTATTTCCAGTGTTTGTTGTTACAATTATATTGATGATGAAAGAGAGATGGAGAGAGAGAGAGAGTCAGGTAATGTCTTATTGTTATAATGATGTTTCTACCTGTTGATGGGTTATTACAACAGGTAATAATTTACGAAACGGATGTAAACTATTTTCTATGCTTTTCTTTTCTTTGGAAACTATATTGTTCTGATAAAATGTAATAATCATCATAATGATTATACAACAACCAGGTAACAAGAAAATACAATCATGGTAAATAAGTAACATTATTTCAAGTTATTTCTTGTAAACAGGAGTATTTTCCTAATTCAAGGTAATGAGATATGAATGTTTACCTGTAACGATGATGATGATGGATTTAGGAGAGAAATAATTCTGCAAGTTGATTTGAATAGAATAGAATGAGAAAAAAAATTCTAATCTGAAAATTGTGAAGATTATGTAAATTTTGCTGATTCTTTTTTTGTATTGTTCTAATTCTGGTTAACAATCGAATTCTAATTCAGAATTTGAATAACATTTTCTTTCTAATTAATGATAGAGAGAGAGAGAGAGAGAGAGAGAGAGAGAGAGAGAGAAAAGTTCTACTTTAATTAATGATTCCTATTCTTTTGTGTATGAGTTATTTTCTTATTCTGATATTTTTCATTTGTTCGGTAAGAAATTAATCACAATTTACTAAATTGTTGAAATAAATTACTGGTGTTTAACTTTTACCTTGAAGAGAAACATTAACACCTTTTGGATTTATATTAATGTCCTTTTTTTGTGATCTTCCATCATCTTCATCACCTTTATCTTCATCTTCTAAATCTAAAATTAATGGAACTTATTTTCTACCTGAATTTTAAGAATCAATCATGAAATGATCACGCAAACATTTCAGGATAAATGTTAATAGAAAATAGAGATTAATGAAATGGAATTACAACTTTTCCCCTTACAAACGTAGCAATAAATTGTTGTGGTTTAAATGTTGTTCATTGTTTGATTGTTATCGTAATCGTAATCAATATGAAGATGATGATGATGATGATTTAGAGAAGTTAAAATAAGATTAAGAAACTTGATCGAAATGATAACAATGTGTAAGGTATTTGGATAAATAATATCATTAAAAATAAATTGTTCTTAATAACAATTAGTTGTGAATTGGGTTAATGTAAATAAGCAATTGATTCAGTTGAATTTATTATTAGGCTAATCACCAATACAATTTAAAAGCTTAATCATAATTGAATAGAGAGTAAAATTTCAATACTATTCACCATAATTTAATTGGTAATTTAATTTTCCATTGATTGTTATCATCAACAATGATCAATTTATTGATTAATTGTAATATATTTTTCTCAAATATTAATCATTATGATACAATAATCAAACACGAATATTTTTATATTCAGGATTCAGGAAATGGATATGATATTTTTTTCATATTATTGATTAACTAAGAAATATGATTTACCTGAATATTAACTTGATTATCATTTATAATCAGTAATCCCTTTTGGTAAGGTCACTTATGATTAGTGTTTGACAGTCACGTTGTTAATCCTTTAATATAAAATTGATGATTAAGATGAGAAGAGGATGAAGATGAAGAGTGGAACTTTTGACAGATTGACAATTAACTGCTAAAAATATTCTAACAATTTATTTAATATAATTTACTGATTCGATTTATTCATTTTCTTTACAGATGAAGTAACTAATTTACTCGAAAATTCAAAGTATGGATTCCATTCAATGTTCACCCGAACCTATGGTCAGTTGTACCATAAACACTCATCGCTGTTTACTCACCTGTTTGAAGTACTTAGAAGTTATTATGATACAAATTCTGTTAATTTGGAAACTGAATTTGGATTATTTTTCACCAATTTGTATCAGAAAATATTCCAAGAGCTTAATTTCCAGTACAGTTTTACCGATGAATATATGAAATGTCCACAGACTTATATGCATCTTCTTAATCCGTTTGGTGATGTACCGAAAAAGCTCATCATTGAATTTCAACGTTCCTTTACTGCGGCCAAAGTTTTCTCTCAGTCAATCAAATCCGCTTCCGATTTAATTAAATCCGTTAAAGAGGTGAGTCCTTTTATCATCTAATTCCCCATTAACTATCCATATTTCATCATCTTCTTCATCTTAATCCTGAGATTATTAATTAAATATCTACATCTCAAAGTCTATTCAATTGTTTTCTTCCTTACCAATTATCTCAAGTCGATCCTTCAAATCTCATTGTCTTTTCAATTAATCATCTTAATTTGCAGTTTTATCAACAAGAGAGATACTTAATTAACTATTATTTTATTTGTTTTTAATAACAATTAAACATTTACAATCAATTGACTAGACAATCATTAATAAAATCAAATTACTCAACAATTAGATCAATAAGTTATAAGTCAATTTAATTATTCACTCATTAATTATCTTAAGTGACTTTAACAATTATTATTATTAATATGTTACAATCAACCAATTACAATTACAGCTAGTTGATCATCTGATGATTTAATTGTTACAATAACTTTTTACTAATACAATTAAGTAAAACAGTTAATAGTTAAACAAATTTAATCCTCTTAAAAACAAAAACATTGCCAATGATTAACGAGAACATATTAGTAATAATTATTGATTTCTGATTGAATTGTCAAAGTGATTAAATTAACGTTGAAACAATCATACAACTGTTAGAAATTGATTAACAACACTAATAATGATGATCAAGAGTATTCATTAAAAAACAGTAAAAAAAGTGATTTTTTTTTCATCATTACGTTATTATTATTTTAACGAAAAAAAAACTTTAACTTGTCAAATATTAGCCAAACAATAACAACGATTATAATTAAATAATGTTGATGATGATGATGATAATTATGATAATTAACAATACTAATAACAAAGTAAAGGTCAACGCAAAATCGACCTGGTCTGTTACCTTTCCGGTCCACGAATCTATTATTAACAGTATATATAAACTCAAACCAACACCACCTCCTGACCTCTCCTCTTTACCTTTTCCACCCTCGGGCAATATAAGGCCTACAATTTTTTCTTCTCTCTCTCTCTCTCTCTCTCTTGGTCTCTTATTCTTCCACCTCCACCTCCTTCTCGATGTCTGATCTTTTCTTCCAAGTTGTGTGTGTCCATAACAATACATCTCATGGATCTACCTGGTTCTTGGAAGGTTTCGTTATTATAATAATGTACAAAGTCTTAAGAATTAGTGAGTATTTGTTAATAGAGAGAAGAAAAAAAAATTTTTTCTATTAGTGAAAGGGAAAGGTTGAATTTCTGGGTAGGAGCTTAATGGGTTTTCTGTAAAAAAAAGGAAGAGAAAAAGAAAGAATTGTAGAGAAAAAGTTCGAAAATGGTTTGATAAAAGAATAGAATCTATATTAGTATTATCTTATTTATTTCTGTAAAGAATCAGTTAATTGTTCGGTACATGGATCAATGCAGATTCCAGTTAATCTGTTTGATTTAATTACGAACCAATTTTATTGTAAATTGTAATTTGTTCAAGTAACAAAATAATCAAGTTGATCACAAGTCTCTCTTACCTTTTATATTGTGTTGGTCTATTGTTTATGTTCAATTGAAATGCCGGTGGTCAATTGAAATAGAGGGAGAAAGATGGAAGATGAAGAGGTCAGAGTATCACAGGAAGACAAGGTCCATTAGAGAGAGAGAGGGAGTTACTCTTGAAAAATGATGTAAAAAGTCAATGAAAATCAAGGTAGAAATAAATTGTTGATAATCTCGTAATTACAGGTTTATGGTTGGTCAAGTAAACCTTTTTTGTTACCTGAATGTTTTTTTATTGACCAGAGTGAATTCATTTATCTAACCTTTTACCTGGCTGGTTTACCTTTTACCAAGAGACACTCATATACACACTCTCTCAGGTAAAGAAGTGGCAAAAATAATAAAAAAAAATAAGATGAAGATGAAAATGAAAATGAAAATTAAGATGATAACTATCAAGAGTGAGAGATTGTAAAAGTGAGTAAAATGTTACCTGTGTGTTGTTTTTGGTACTACCTGTGTACTTTGCGCTTGATATTATTGATTTTACTCGGTTCATATACTGTGTTTAAAAGCTCCTAAGCTCAATTTAACAATTACAATTACAACAATTACCATCGATTTACAATGATTATTACAATTGAAAAACTTTTCTACCTGTGATGTTGTTGCTGTGTGTCCATAGGTTGATTATTTTCCATTGTTATTGGTTAAACTTTTCCTTTTATATTCGAATTTTTTTTTTCTCTCAGATATTTTCTTTTCTTTTTTCCTTGGTTCATTTATTGTTTATTTCTATTGTGATGATGATGGACTGAGAATATTATATACGGAAGAGAAGATTATGATTAGGATTGAGATGATGGGAGGTGGAAGAAGAAGAAGAATCATCATCATCATCATCATCTCACCTAAATATTATCAAGAGAATAAGCAAAATTTTCTCAACTCATGAGAATTTTTTTCCTTATCATCTACGAATTTATTATTCACTTGAATTGTTCAATGTTATCATGTTCATCTTCCTTCATCACCATAATATTTATCTTCGTATCTCTTAGTTTATCATCTTCATTGTTAATCGTAACTCATCATGATGCTATTACTTTCTCAAGGGATTTCAACTCTTTCGCCATGTTTTTAATTGATAAATTCAAGTTAATTCAGTTAACTCAATCATTTAAATAACAATAACATTCATGTAACTTGTTATTACCTTTTGTTATCTTGTATCTCTCTCTCTCTCTTTTTACTTAGTTGGTGACAGTAGAGAAACAATTAACTAAGTTGAAGACACAAAGTGATTAAATTAATGATGATTATGAATGACTGAGAAAAATAAATTAGTTATGATTAATTATTATCCTCAATTTAAGCACTTCAACAAGTTTCCATTTGATTATCATGTTAATCTACTGATTGTTTCCTGAACAATATTTATAAGTTTTCTTGATACATGGAAAAAATTTGGATAATTATGAACAATTGATATTTTATCAAATTGATTAGATACAGTATCTTTTTGTTGGAAACAATTAAAGGTTAACAATTACTTGAGTTAATTGTTATTGTTTCCAATTGTTATCTTTTTCTTAATTCAAGCAACGATGATCACTTTCCACTTGTTATTCACCATCATCATGACAATCCCCATCTCCAAGTATCATCAATAAATCAGTCAAGTAGTTTACTCCTTTAATCATCCTCTTTATCATCATCTTCATCATCATCATCTCATCCTCATATTAATACCCATGGTTGTAAACAATTAAAAGAGAAAGAAAATTTTAATTTCAATGTTATTAATATTTTGAATTGATTACATTGATCATGATGTTTAAATGGTTACATTAATTTAATCCGTGACTTGTAGGAGTGGGAGTGCAGTAAACTCAGGTAATGGGCGGGATTGGCGGCGAAATGGCCTCAAAATTTTGTAGTTTAAGAGGGCCAAGTACAATTACCGTTGATGGGAGAGGGAGAGGGTAAAAATAATGGGGTGGGGCGGTGGGTAAAACTGAGAGAGAGAGAGGTAAAGTGAGATGGGCAAGTTAAGTTGATTACAGAAGCTACAATAATGTATATTTATTATTATCATGATTAGTATTATTATTACAATTATCTAATAATGTTTTTATTACATTCAAAAAGGCAAATTAACTTTTTCTAATCAAACTAATCAATCTTATTCCTGTCTTGTTGATTGTTGTTGTTTCTTTTTTTTCTGGTCATCATAACACCCGAGAGTATATTATGTTTAAGTATATCTCTCTCTCTATTGATGTATTTATCATCTTCATCCGTCTTCCTATTTACTACCTTGATCATCATCATCCTTTTTCAATAACTTACCTGTCAAAGTTTCACCAATCATTTTGGGCTAATTTTAATATTTACCTTTCCATGTATTATGTTACCTTGATGTAAGAAGTTATTTCAATGATAAATGCCACAATTTTTTGTTACTTTAATAGTCTTCATCATTTTTGCTTCCTTCTCACTCTTTCCCTCTTTCTCTCTCATTCCATCTATCATCCTCATCCTCATCATTATCTTCATATTAAAGAAAATGGTTAAGCCATTTTCTGCACGATATCTTACCGTCTTTTCCTTTGGTAATTTGTTTTCTCTCTCTCTCTCTCTCTCTCTCTCTCTCTCTCTACCTGTTACTCTCATCATGAAAATTTCATTCATAAGTCATTATCTCCATCATCATTTTTACCTTGTTTTCTCTGCCAAATAATTTTTAGAATTTTGATTACTTTTTACTAATTCGAATTTTCTTTTCTTTTTCTTTTTCTAATTTCAGCAACCAGTGACACCCAATTGTCAAAAGTATTTCATTCAGATGAACTATTGTCAGAGATGCGAAAACTCATCGAATCGGATTCCATGTTATGGTTACTGTTCCTCAGTCATTTCTTTATGTACTTCAAGTAATCGACACTTAAATAAAGACTGGAATTCGCAACTTGATAAATTATTGGCGATAATGAATCGCCTTGAAAACTCATTCAGCATCGAAGCGGCTGTTGGCCCATTGGATATCAAAATTTCCGAGGCCATTATGAACTTCCAAGAAAATGGAGTCAACATTACAAAAAAGGTAAACAAAATGACCACTAGAAGATAACAATAGTCACTGCATAGTCTTTGTTATCATTGGTCAAATGTCACTAAACAAAAGCTACTCAACGATTGAATGAAAGTGAAAACAAAAAGTAAATTGAAAGATATTTGAATGTCCATCTTGAGAAAAGTAATATAATCAACTGTCCACTAGAATTGAAGTCATTTCAATCTGTAAATTTCCATAGAAAATTTTTCCTTAGGGGATGAAGAATCAGTCCGATTGTTTTTGTTTTCTTCTCTTTCTTTTTCTTTACCACTAATGATGATAAAGAAGAAAAGATGAAAAAATTGTTTCTCTCTCTCTCTCTCTTCTTTCTTTCTTTCTCCCTCCCTAACTAATAGAATTCATCTTACATCCTTTTCCTTGTCAAAATAACGATTGACCAGATTGACCTATTCAAGAAATTGAAAATTTGAAAGTCTCTCCTTATCTTCCTTTTGTCTTCTCCATCCTCATCCTCATCTTCATCTTCATCTCTCATCATTTTCATATTCCTTGTCTCTTAGTCTCATTTTTCCCCTTTCACCTTGACCTGAGAAGTTAATTCAAGATATTCTATGAGAGAGATGCTTCAAAATTTTCTCTCAATAGAAAGATGATAATCATCTTCATCATCTTCATCCCCATCATCAAATAGTGAGAAGTGGGAGCAAACTTATTACACGTTATTGTGAACTTTGTTTTCCTTACCTTCCAAGACCAAGGGCTATCTAAATGATAAACAATTTAAGTTAATGATGATAATATAAATTAACTTTAAGTTGATTTTTTTTTGCAAAATTCATTATTTATTCAACTAACACTTTAGGATGATCATCATCATGATTATAATCATTTTATCTGATTATTTATGGTAATAGATGAGCAAACAATTTCCTAATAATATGAACAATTATTTACACTTTTACCTTTATATTCACAGTCAATTGAAAAAAAAGCTATTCAACCATTTACTATGTTACTTTAATTACTCTCATAATTAATCCAATTGTTGTTATATTAGTGTAACTAAATTGATTACAATTGACGGAACAACGTTTTCACCATCCACCCTCTCCTCCGCCTCCTTTTCATCATCATCATGATACTGGTCATCTTTATGATGATCATATTGACCATCTCTCAGCATCTTGACCGTTTTTTTTACGTTAATCAAATTTAGATACAATTTAAAACCATTGATTAAGATTAGACCGCCCATGTTGATCATCCGTAGTAATAAATTCACTCTCATCATCATCATCATCATCTTTCATCTTGAAAATTTCTCTCTCTCTCCTGTGTATCTTTGACCTGTAATCTTTAACATGATGATGATTAATACTCGATACCTGAAGATGAGCCTTGTAAGGATCCACTTGATGTTTTTAAATTTATTAATTGCTTTTTGTTTCAGTTAATTACATACATTGTTACCTAATTGTAGATGATAATTACAATTGAGATAATCTGATTTTAGCTGAACTGCTAAATTACATCATTTAGGAATAAACTTATTTTAATCAGCAAAATCTTTCAACAAGGTTAATCCAATTGCTTTTTAATTTCATGGCACAATTATCTTGTGAAGTTAACAATTAACTCGTTGGCCACTTTGTTAATTCTGTAATTAAATTTAATTGTTTAGGGTCCTTTTTATAATGACTATTAACTTTGTTTTTAAATTCCGGTTGTTAACTAAATTAACTCTAATTGTGTCAAAGGGAAACAGTTTCAAGATCAAATATCACCTTGATAACAATTAACATACCTCACGATTCATTGACCTGTTGATTATCAAATAATCAGTTAATTGTTGTTATGTGTCTGTAGTTTTTGTTCATTACGATGAATCTTAATTTTTGCCCTTGGGCAATCAAAATAATCTTTAAGAAATGATTACTAATGATGATGTTTTTTTTTCTTTGTTTTTTCCAATCTTTCTCTCAATCATCGTTGAAACAATTAACTAATTAATAGATTTGGCAATATTGTGGTAAACCCAAGGTTGGTAAACGAAGAGCAATCAACCGGGAATCATATGATTCGCCTTCACCTTCATCGGGAAATTTTGGTTACTCAGGAAGCGACGGGTCACCTTTAGGTCACATGCTGAACGAATTCAAGAAAAACTTGAAAAAATTCAAAGATCTATGGATTAAATTACCTGAGACAATTTGTAATTCATCTCTTTCCACCTCGACAATTAATCATGATAAGATAAACAATCCAACTGAATCATGTTGGAATCAAAGTGATGCTACACAACAGTAAGTTTGATTATCATTTACAACATGAGGAAACATTGAAACAGAAACCAGATGATTAAAGATGATGATGAAGATGAAAAAACATGATTCAAACAACTCAGAACTGTTTTAATTACATTGGATCATTTAATCATGATCACCAATTTGTTTTCACAAGTAAATTATAAATCTCCTCAATCATCATCTTGATCATTTCAAAATCTGAATGTTGAACAAAACTTTTCTTTGTTATTATTATTATATTGACGATGATGATGATGATAATCATGATGACTTGTAATCATTATAATGATGATGATACAATTTTGATCCCAATTAGACAACGTTAATCATAATTAGCATAACAGTTTGAGAAACTGGCCTTTAACCCTCAATCTTTTACTGTTGATCATCAAAATGTTGATCGTTTTGATTGTGGGCCTCACAATCTTGTCTTAATATTTTGATTCTAATCAACTAACTATCATCACCAAAGTGTTTCAATTGATAATCATGATGATGTTGTTCAACTGAATTTTAAGAATCTCTTTTTTTTTATTATATCTTTTCCATCAGATTAATCAGCATCATCATCAATTAATTTTCATCTCTCATTTTGATTTGATTCTCAATCTGAATGGCAAACATTATTTTCTTGTTGATTTGATGAGAAAGATGAAAATTGATCAGCAAAAAAAGTTAATTCTAATCATTCCAATGATGATTCTGATTATCATCCATGTTGATGGTTGATTGCAATGATTAGAAACATTTAATCACTGATCATGTCAACAGTTAATTCAGTTTGTCTGTAGATATATTTTACTCTCAATGACTTTACTTTTTCGCTTCTTGTTATTATTTTAATTCTGTTTCCGTATTATCATAAACTAATGTGGAGATTAAGTGAAAGAAGATGAAGAAAATATAATCATCTATATTAGGATGATATAAAAATGATTCCATGATGATGATTATCATCATCGTTTTTAATTCTTACAACATTCGGTAGGCGTTGATTAAGATTTTCCAACACTTAATGTCGTCTATTGGCTTTGATTCATGTTAAGGGATTAACGATAATCCAAAATAGAGATTATGAAAAAGTTTCATTGGGGATTTAGGTTTAAATACTGTTCAAGATACAACATGAACATGAACATGATGAAGATGAAGATGATTATGTGATCATGAATGAATAGTAAAGCCACAAAAATCAGTTAAACTTAAATTCAATCGTATTAATAGTCTGAAAGTATAGATTTTATATCTGTTATTTTATGATTTACGAAGCAATTAACTGATCATTAGAAATACTAATCTAGTATTACAATCACTTAATGGTTTCTATTTTTAATCATTCTGTTTGTATTGATCAAATTGTAAGTTAATCATTTCAATCTAGTATCAACAATATTTCATTTTGATTTGATTGACTTTTTTTTTAATGACAATTAGCTGATTTTCTTAATTTCATTTTGTTTAATGTTTTCTTTTTACGTTTCATTCATTTGTATCAAATTGTTGTAACAAACAATTAGTTTAATTAATGATAGACAATAATCAATAGTAATTGGAATCACTTGTAACAATTAAGTCTCTCATTTAATAGATTCATTGATTGTCTAAACTGTTGATTGATGGGTTTCCTTTTGAAATCTAATTGCTCATCTTATCTTAATCTTATTCAAGTTAATTATTAATTGTTGGTGTTTCTTTTAATTTGTAACAGGCAACAATTAACTGACAGAGGTGAACCTGTAATTGAAAAGATTGAATTTATTAAAAGCCAAAGGATGTTAATGAGAACCGTTAATCAGAAACTGGATGCTGCTTATAAAGGATCAGAGATACAAGAAGATGGTAAGTAATTAACTTAATCATTTGCACAATTAACTCAAAAATCCAGATTATTTGAAAGTTTTACTTTAATTAAAAAGCTCCAATAAAAGTTAATTACATAAACAAGACACACAAGAGTTAAATAGTTACCAACTTAAGATTGGAATTAATTTAATTGCTAATCTTTAACTTATTATATCAATTGAAACTAAATTGTTTTCTCAATTGTCAAGCAACAATTAAAGATTTAAATTGTTTATCATTCAAGTCGTCGCAATGATGAGATTTACATTTCCGTTGGAATTGATTTTATCACAATCACTTGTTTACTTTTAACATCTAATTGTTGATTAGCGTTTCCTCCTTAATAATCATTAGATCAAACAATTAACTAATTGTTACACTGTACAAATTGATTGAATATATTTAACAATTTGATAACTTTTTGGTTTTGCCCTCAAATCAACTTGATAATACAACAGGTTGATAACTTGTTAAGTGTAAACATTAACCAATATATTTAATTGTTACTATCAAATTTAACTAAATTAACTTTTTCTCATCCTATTAATACATTCAGTCTATTGATTTAGGCCTCACTTCAATCAATTTTTTTTTCTCGTTCACAACAATTTACTAATTAATATTTGTTTGCCTTTTTAATCATAATCCATCATCAGAATTATTAACAAAAACAAACTCGTTTCTGATTAAATGGTGGTGATGGTTAAGATATTAATTAAAGTAATTAATTGATTGCGTGAAGTGAATTAAAAAAATTTTTCGTGTTACTTTCAATGATATTGATTAGCAGATTAATAAGGTTGCTGAATTAAAATTGATTGTAATCATTTAACAAGAAAAATAAAATTGATTTATATTAATTTATTATTAAATTAATATAATAATCATGATAGTTTATCAGGTTGATCAGTGGTAAATTATTAAAACGACCATTTTGATTAACTAACAATCAACTAAATCAAAGTTGCCCTCATTTTACAATTGGATTCATTTGATCAATTGTATTATTGTATAACAATTGATTCCAATCTCATTTTGATTGTTGTGATTAATTTGACATTGAACCTCAATTTAGCTTTGCAAATGATTAATGTTAAATATTTACTTTAACATGATAATAGGTTAACAATCAACTAATTGTTTGACTTTTCTTTTTCTGTTCCTTAATTTTTTACTCTCTCGCTATCAGATGAAACCAATGGTGGAAGTGGATCCGGAAGTGGTGATGGAGATTACGAAGATTATAAAGATTATGATGAGGATGATGAAAATCCTGACGATTTAATCAACAAACCATCAACATCCTCCCCCCAATCATCATCATCATCATCGTCATCATCTAATGTTGATTTATCATCCAGTGGGAGTACAACAGTTAAAATTGATGATTTACTAACTAAATCAAATTCAACGATAAAGTTTGGTGAAAAAATTGATTCAAATGAATCAAATAAAATCAATTCAACTGCCACTATTATTAACAATCAACAATCACCAAGTCAATCATCAAACAATCAATTAAAAGATTCAAGTTCATTGGCACAACAATCAAGAGGATTCATTTTTATTCTGATAATTTTGTCAATCTTTTCAGCTCAATCACTGTGATAACTTTTAGCATAATTAACAAATTGTAATACACTTTTTGATTGTAGTTTCAATCAATCACGAAACATTCAACAATCAACTAGCCAGGATTAATTAGTAAATCCTAATTATCCTCTTTTCCTTAATTGCTTGTATAAAAATCATTTTTTTATGTAAATAATTTAATTACCCAAACTATCAACTTTTAATTCAAGTTGTTAGTTAACATTAATCATCATCTAATTGGTAAACAAAACCATAAATTGTAACTATTTAATTATTTACCTGTAAATATTAAGTTCACAATTTAATAGTATGTAAATCAATAACAATCAACTTAAATTAATGAAACTTTGCTACTGAATTATTATTATAATAATCATTTAATTTCACTTGTCAAACAAATCAATGTTTTCATACAATTTTAAATTTCAATTGCAATTAAAAGTTTAAACAACAAATTATTCAACCAATTAAATTGTTCATTTGATGGATATTCAATTAATCAAAGTTATCTGATCAAGTGACACGAGTTTGAAAACAATTAACTTTAATTGTTTATCATTTTTAGACTTTCTTTTTGATCAAATTACAATTAACAGAATATTGGGTTTCAAATGATTGAAAATAATCATTAATTGTTTAAACAATTAATTTGGTGAATAACTTTTTTTGATTCTCACCTTTAACCTTAAAGTATTGAAAGTTATCATTATAAAGCAGCAATATTTTTCCTCCCACACTGGATTCAATCACAATTTAAATTAATCATTAATTGTTTTCATCTCTCCAGGTAATTTATTGATCATATAAACCATGGGAAATTGTAGGAATCAAAATTAAACAAAAGATTAACCATCAGGTTATGTAATTAACCTTAATTTCAATCAATTGGATAACAGCAACAGGGAAGGAAATTGAAATCAAATGATTCGCAATTATCGTGATCATATCAAAGTAACATTGGTTAACAGAGTTTAACAATTAGTTAATTATCGTGGGCAAACAAGATTACGTCCACCGTCAACTGATAAAGTTACACCGGTGATGAATGATGAATCTTGATTATCGGCTAAGAATCGGATCGCACGAGCGACTTCATCAACGGTTCCAGGTCGTCCAAGAGGATGAGTGGTTTTGGATTTTTCAAGAAACTAAATTAAAATACAATCAAGAGAAATTTATGATTATAATTAACAATTGGATCAATAGAATTAGAAAACAATTAATCAACTAACCGCAGCATATTCCTGATCATTCATCCCACCTCTTTTGTGGATATCAGTGACTATTACACCAGGACTAGAAAAGCAATAAGGTGGGAGAAAGTTTTTTAATTATCAATATTAATAGAGTAATTAATTGTTTCTTAATCGTTACTTACTTTACAGCATTGACTCTAACTCCATCAGCAGCAAGTTCTGGGAAAATAAAATGATAATTGTTCAGTTGATTTTCTGTTTACAGTGTTTACCGATTGAAGAAACCAAATGAATTTAGTTGGTTTTTAATTGTGATCAATTGTTTGGGACTTCGGACCCTTGAGCTTGAAAGTTTGTTTTCTTCAAGTCGGAAACACTGTAAGGTTTTCTCATTTTGATAGAGAAAAAGAAAACAAATTAAACGGGATCAATTTGTATTACTAAATCTATTCGGTAGATAACTAATTAATACTAAACAATTAAAATAAAAGACAAATATTACTTACCTAATGCAGCATTTCTGGTTAATTGATCAACGGCTGATTTACTGACACAATAAGCAGCAACTCCAGCAAACTGTTAAAACCCCAAAGAAAAATGTTAAAGGTTAATGGTTAACAATTAAGTTAATTATATCAAATTGCATTAATTATCAAGATGACAAGATGGAAATATTAATAGAATTGTAATTACAGCTCTTAATCCATTAACACTTGAGACATTGACAATGTTTCCTTTTGTTTTCTTTAAATGTGGAATCGTTAATTGCATCAAATGGAAAACTGATTTAACGTTAACATCCATAATTTTATCCCAAACATCAAGTGGGGTAACATCAACATTTCCTTTAGCAATGATACCAGCACTATTTACCTGTTAATTGATTAATTGATTAATGAGAATAAGATTAGATTAAGTCATGTATTTTATAGGAAAGTTAAACCAAATTAACCATCACAATTTGATATTATAAAACTTACCAAAATATCAATCTTACCAAAATGAGCAAGAGTTTTACTAACAAGGTTAATACGATTTGCCTCATCAATCAGATCTCCTTCAACGACAATTATTTGATCTTCTTTCACTAATCCTTTACTTGATTCGAGACATTTTAATCGGGTATCATTGAGATTATCCCGATTACGACCAGAAAGTGATAAGGAGCAACCAAGAGATGCTAAATGTAAGGCAACACCTTTACCAATACCAGAAGAAGCTCCTAATTGAAATGGAAAGAAAAACAATTAGACTGATCATATCAACGAAGCAAAAATCAATAATCACCTGTAATTAAAGCAACTTTATTAAGAAACGAAGCCATGACAGTAAAGGAAAAACAATTAACGTCGACAATTAACAAACTAGACAAGGAAACGAAATAATTTTGTAAACAACTTTAAGAATTGAATTCATTTCTTATGACCAATGGAAAAGAAGAAAAAAACGAGCGCGTAATTCAAATGGAATTTAGAATAAATTTTTTTCTAATTAACCATATTTAATGGAACAATTTAGAAGATAAGTTATCAATAAATAGTTTGATTCAAATTTTGACATGGGAACTGATTTATTGTGCTAATTTGGTACAATTTAAAGGAGTTTGGTTTGTAACTTTTTAACGCATCTTCTCATGATTTCTAAAAGTTACAATTAAAATCTTGTTAAATTGTTGTCTTCTTTTCCTTATCCATATTAATAATATCGCAAAAGAATAATAATAATCCAAATTGGAAAATAATTTAGCTGTTGGAGAGAAAACAATTTGACAATAACAATTAATGTTTTAAAAACTGTTGACAATTGAATTTAGATCAAAACAATTTGATAAATTTTTCCAAAAATTTAAAATTCAAATTAAATCTCCAGCAAGATTGATCACTAGATTTCGTGATATTTTTGTCAGATTGATGTTGTTTTTTTTAACTGAATCTGAACCATTTGTATATAAAAATTGAGTATCATTTAGAATAGTCAACAGATGATTAATGAAAGAAAATATTCCAGTTGATAAAATAAATCTCGTCGACAAGTAAACATCAGGAAAGAATGAGAAAAATATATATAAGGGGACAATCAATTCTCGAATTGGACAAAAATAACAATCATCAGTTGACCATTTCTATGTTTTAAATACACTGATTTTGTTTCTTTAATTCAAAGACCTCAAATATCGTAATCAACTTCTTTCCTCTTTGCCAAAAGCGCTTTGCCCACTTTGGATGAAGTTTCCCGGCCAAGTGCGGCACAAATGAACTCAGAGGCCTGTAAAAGTCCGTCCATATCGACACCCGTTTCGATGCCCATACCTGTTAACATATATATCACATCTTCAGTGGCAACATTACCAGTGGCACCTTTGGCAAAGGGACAGCCTCCTAAGCCAGCAACCGATGCATCCACGGTAGTAACACCTGATATACAACAATTTAAATTTATTGAAACAAATTATTAGAAACTTTCACTTGGAACAATTTACAATAACGTACCACACTCTATCGCTGAAAGTATGTTCGCCAATGCTTGACCATAAGTATCGTGACAATGAACAGCAATTGCCTCTAACGGAATCAATGCTGAAACCGTTTCAATCAAGGCTCTCATGGAAGAAGGATTTCCAACACCGATTGTATCCCCTAATGATATTTCATAACAACCTACTGAATATAAGCGATAAGCCATTTCTGCGACTCTTTCTGGCGGAATTGGTCCTTCATATGGACAACCAAGACAACAAGAAATGTACCTAATTAGATGATTGAAAAAAAGAGAAAAAAACAAACATTAATTAGTCGTTAATGAGAAATCAATGCAAATATTCAAGGAAATTACAAAATGAGTCAGTATCGTAGTAAATTTGTAATTTGTGTAATTACCATTCTGATTGTGTTGAGTTAACATTGATCTGATTTAAATACTATTTGTTTGATGTATAATCTAATTTTCTGTCTGAGAAAATGATCACACTCGTAAAGAGGTAAACAAAGATTAAATTGTTGTTGATGTTTTATTTTCACAATAGTTATACTAGTTAAAAGATTTTGAAGAATCAAATCAGATCAAAACAATCAGAAACGTCATCGCCTTTAGGTTGGAGTGTTAGGTCAAGGCTTTTAAGTATCTCACTCTCATTTATAAATGATACACTAAATTAATTACAATTTACTTCCCTTTAAACTTTGACGCGTGATTGTCGAGAGCCTAAATCAACCTTTCGTTTTCAAGCTAAGTGTCTGAATAATTTCAATCAACATTATCTGTTTTTTTCAGTAATTTAAGTCATTAGAAAGAAGGGAAAATTATCGAAACGATAGAACAAAAGTTTGACCTTAAAAAGACAAATTGAACAAAATTGAAACAAAAAAGTACTAACAGGAGAGAGAATGAGAGAGGAGAGAGAGAAAATCATCTAGATTTAGAAAGTTATTGACTTTGGATTTTAGTCTCAATGATAAACAGGTAATCAGAATCGTAGTGAGAAAAAAATGAATGATACCCATGAGACGGTTCATTTGGTTTCTTGTTACAGGGACAAATTCGAGGTTATTTTCTGGGTGGTTAACGAGGCAGAGCCAAAAACGATAATATGACGATGACGGAAGGATAAAATAACTCACCCTCGTACTTTTAATCCCTTTTTGATGGCATATTTGGCTACCTGTTCCATTCGTGTTAGATTTTGAACCAAGGTGCAGTTTGTATTTTTTCTGAAATTTCAGGTAAAGTGGGAAAATCCAATGGGAAACAAATTATCCATCGAGAGATCAAGGAAAAGAAGAAGAAGAAGAAGACAAGACAAGAATAAGAAAGAAAGGGAGAGAGAGAGAAAAAATCATTAAATGTGAATGACTAGTTAATTAGGTAGGGAAAAGGTGAGAGAGAAAGAGAGATGAAAAGGGAAAAGAATAAATTTTTAGAGGGAAAAAAGTTGCCAATAGTCGTAGGAATTATTACTTGCTAAAAAGGTCGGAAGCAGCTCCAAATACTGCGATTTCCTTGACACCAAGTTTAAGCGCATTTTCTAGTCCATGCATGTTAGGGACTAAGACGGTGTAATCGACACTTTCACATTTACGAATATTGGAATAAACTTGCATGTGATCGGCCATTTGTGGTACCCATTTTGGTGAGACAAACGATGTCACCTCAACCACTTTAACACCAGTTTCACTTAATTTGTTGATAAATTCGGTCTTGATGTGAGTGGGTATTGGTTGTTTCTCATTTTGTAGACCATCACGAGGAGAAACTTCAACGATTTTCACAAACGATGGATATCTTCTGACTTCGCTATTAACAATCTAATTGTAGAGAGAAAGAGAGAGAGAGAGAGAGAAAATCAAAGGAGGAAATAAATAAATAAAAGATTAACTCATAGGAATAAAATAGATACAAAGGCCATGGTAATAAATAGAGATATTAAAAGATTGGAAGGAAAAAGGGAGAAATGGTCAATTGAAAAAAAGGAACAAGGAAAAACTAAGGAATATTAATTGGGAAGAGAATCAAAGAATTAATGGAGATGAAAAGAAAAATAAAAGAGACGATTTACCTTCATGATTTATGGAACTAATTAAAACCAAGAACTGCAGGTAAGATGATGGCGATAACTGAATTTCAGATTTTTTGTTGTTGTGATGAAGATGAAGAATATAAACAAAGATGAAGGTTTAGTTTGTCAGAATAATCATCACGATGCCAATGGAATATAGTCTAAAGGTGATTAAACAATAGAATTTTAAATTAGAATAGAAAAAAAGGTGAATGGAGAAAACACTAAATTCTAATTATTGTGACAAATTTTCCTTTTTCAATCTCTCATTTTCTCTTTCACTTTTTTACTCTCTCTCCCTCTCTTTCTCTCTCTCTCTCCTTGTGAGTATGACTGATTACTGAATGGTTCTCACCTGATCATGATGGGTGTTATATAAGAGATGAAGAGAGAGAGAGAGTGAGGGAGGGAAAATAGAGAGAAGAGAAAAAAGAAAAGAGAATTTGAAAAAGGAAAAGAAAAGGAACAAAGTAAAAAATTAATAACAGGTTTTTACGGTTTTTCTGATTGCAATGAATGAGACAAAATTTTCCAATTTACAGGGACATCATCAGCGAAATCAATATAATATCTTCCTTGTTATATGGTGTAAAAAGTGAGAATCGATAGTTACCACCTTCAATACGAAGAAAACTACACCAACAGATTATGGTAACAACTGTAATTACGTAAAAACCATCATCAGGTAAACCGAAATGATAACATGTAGAGTTAATGTAATGGTAAATTAAACGATTACACAACCATGAATCGAACCATAATAATCATCTTAACAGATTAAACCACACACACAAATTATACAATGAAAGAATCAAGTTAAACTGTTAACAATTATCATCGCCACAAGAGAAAAGAAAATTTAAATTCTTTCATTGAGTCAATTTGATTGATCCAAAGGCCTAAGAGAAAAAAAAATTAAAATCTATTTTTAATTTTCCAATCAAAACGATCAATCAATTATCATCTTTACTTACAGAATTTATTGAATAACCATTTCTCTATCCTTAAGTTGATCATTTAAACGGAGAATCAACCAAATCAAAGTTAATTGTCACAAAGAATTAAACAATTTAATTTGGAATAAAAATTGGTCACAATTTAGAAAAGAAAATGAAAAATTGATTTAACATTAGCGCTCAAATCAATAGTCTTTCTGATTCGGCGCAATGGAAGGAAAAATTTTTCTACCAACAATTAATTCAACATGGATCTTGATCATTTGTTGGACAATTTAAATTGATATTTAATTGTTTTCACTACTTTTCATTTATTTAAATTGTCGTTACCCTTTGTCAGTTGATTAGCTTTGTACAATTAACTACATGGTGAATGTCGATCATGGACAAATTGGTTAATCTTTGTGAGCTCAGAAAGTGTGAGTAACCTTTTTTTTTTGCTTTTCTTTTCTTTTTGTTTTGATTGTTTATTGGGCTATAATTTTTTAATTGTTCTCTTTTTTTATTATATTTTCTTTTATTTATGTTCTCTATTTCGTCGGCGTTGTCTTATATGCGTTTTCTTTGGCTATGAAGGAGGATAAGATCAATTCATAACGTTCCATATTTGGAGGTGATCTCTTTCTCTTTTTTTCTCATTCTCTTTTTCTGTTGCTGCTCTTTCAAGACTCTACCATATTTGTTGTCTGTTTATGTCTTTTCTGGTTGAGGTGATTTAAAGGAGGAGGAAGAAGAACTATTATTGGCCAATATTTAATTTTATTAGATAATAGTAATTGGATAAAAACATTTTATTTAAGATGGAGGTTGATGAAGAATTACCTTCTGCAGATAATAGCCGGTGCAATAGTCGTGCAAGTAGTAGTGGAGGTCGTTTTGCTCCATCACCTTTAGGTCTTACTCGAACAGTGCAAGGAATGGTTCTTAATCGTGGTCTTGGTTTACGTTCACATACGGGAGAATTTGCTGTTCCAGCTCCACCAGGTTCATCAGCAACCCTTCCTCATCCATCTAAATTAATGCTCTCTGGTCGTCGAAGTAGTTCTGGTATTTTTCTTTCCAATATGTTTAGTTCTAGATTTCGACATTTACAAAAATTACACACCGATGCTTTCTTACTTGGTTTAAATGGAGTCGCTTATCCAGGTTTACCAAAAGGTACAATGTTTCGTTCAAGTCTACCTGCTACTCCTGTATCAACGCCAATCCTACGAGAAGGATTTCAACATTTTACTGAACAAGCACTCAAAGAAAGACTTTGTAAAACACCATCTCCAAGAAAGAATCGGGGTTTTTCACCAAGCTCATCCCACTCTAGCCATCATCAACAACAACAACAACACCATCATCATCCACATCAAAATTACCTTTCAGCTCACCATTACCACCAGTCACCTTCTTCTTCCTCTAAAGTATCAACAGAACAATTAAATTATCTAGATGATCATCATGATACTGATGATTCTTATTCTAGTGATCATCAAATGGATACAACTAGTCCAGTGCCTCCAACCTCCGTTATGGATGATCCATTGATCGAAGGTGGTTCAGATTTAAGTGAATCAGAAAGTATCTCTTTGCCATCGATTTCAAAACGAGCTACCAAACCCACCACCAAAGATCAGAATTCTTAATATTCTGTATATACAAAACATTTGAAAATGGACGATAATATGTCATAACGAAACTACCGATAACTAATCACTGATATTCTTTACAAAGTGGAGGATTAATTGATTGTTTCCCTTTCTTTTTCTAGTTTGCACTGAACTTCAATGTTACAATTTCTTTTTAAACTCTATCTTTTTCTCCTGGTCATTGATGAAACTACCGATTGGCTTCTTTTTCTTCTTCTTTTTTCTTCTATCCTGTTATATTTATTCACTTTTTCATTGAGAAATTATGGAAAAGATGAAAATGGTTAAATATTACATTCGATCATCACCAATTTATATGTTTGGTGATTATAAGTTAATTGATTAATTGACTCTGTTAAATTGGACTAACATTGAAAAGGTTACTCAAAATGGGAAACTGTCCAAATCTATTAGCTGGAAATTTTGATTCTGTGAATATTTTTTATATATGATTACATTGCATGGATTATTTAATTGATTAATCTGTTAGCCTTGCAATTTAAAGCTAATAAGTTCTTAATCATTTCAATCAACATCTTCACAGACTCAACCTTTCTCTCTGCAATCCAATATATATATTCACAAATGCAATCAATTCTATTGCTGTTTAATATAAATAATATGATTTAAATGCTCGAAGTTGATTTAATTGAACTTTGATTGTTGAATAGCTTAAATTAAAATTCAATTGATAAAAAAATATCCAATCATGTGTAAATTATTGAAATAACAATTTAATGGGTGAAAATAATGTGATTTTTATGTTACAATTAGTTTAATTTTCATATCAAATTATGGCAAATGTTTGATCTTATTGAGAAATGAGGATGAATGTAACAATTAATTCAATGATGGATAACATAGTGATTATCGAGTACGATTGGAATTACAATTAGTGGAATCTGAAAACAATTGATTATATGAAAAGTTGTTAACAATTGTGATTTAGGAAAATTTAGTTTTGGGTTCAATTGATTTTTTTTTAATTTATTGTGAACACAATTAGTTTTTTATTGATATTGTTTCTTGTTAATTTAATTAATTGTTGTTATTATTTGGAGTATTTAAATTGTTACCACGACGAGTCCCGAAATTTGGTCTCTGACGATTTCTAAATAATGGATTTCGAGCTCGTTGTCGATTGTTATTGTTAATTGTTGCAGTTGATTCGGTTGTTGATGAAGATGTTGATGGGGCTGGAGTTGTGGTTGATGATGGAGGTGAAGGTGAAGGTTGAGAGGATGATGAAGATGATGAGGATGAAGATGAAGATGGAGCTAATTCGTTAATAGGTTGATCATTTGATGAAACAATTGAACTACCTGTTGATTCATTAACAATTTCTCCTGATGAGATGATTGATTCACTTTCTTTTCCTGATGATGAGTTTATTGGTGAAGATGTTGATGATTCCGATGATGATGATGATCCTTGGGGTGATGAAGGAGGAGGTGCAGTAGAAGTTGTGGTGGTGGTGGTTGTCGATGTCGATGTTGTGGTTTCATCTTCAACTCGATTTCGTGATCGTGAGAAATTAGGACGAGTTCGAGGTCGAGTTCTAGTTGAACTAAAACTTGATCCTGGTCGACGGAGTAATGATGTTGGACGAGGTGTTGGTGATGAAGAGCCCGATGAACCAATAGGAGATGCGGTTGTTGTAGAAGTTGTTGTGGATGTTGATGTAGTTGTAGTTCTTGGTGTTGTCCTAACAATTGAATTAAATCTACCTCGAGATGAACCAAATCGACGAGGGAAAGACGAAGGTGCTGATGAACTAACAGAAACTACTGACGATTGTGTAGTTACAACGGGAGGAGAAACTGAAACTGGTGCTTCTCCCGACACAGGAACTAAAGGTTGAGATACTGGTGCCGATTGTGGGGGTTGTGGAGGATTAGAACCATTTCCGATTGATGATGATGGATCAGTTTCGGTAGACGGAGTAGTGATCTTATTAATATCATTTCGATTGGGTCGGTAAGGTCTTCGTAAAGATGAGCCAAAGTTTCGTGGACGAGGTCGAGGTGTTGTTGTGGTTGTGGTTGTGGTCGAAGTGGTTGTAGTAGATGTAGACGATGGGACTAATATTGGTGATGATCTTGGACGATTCAATGGAGTCAAACGATTCGCAGTGTTACCAAATCGACGACGAGCACCATAACCTAATTAAAGATTAATTGATTATAAGAAAACAAAGTTTAATATTAGATTTAAATCATTCATCAAATTATTGCTTCTAAATTAATCTAACGCAGTAAAAGTAATTGTTTCACTTTATTTTTAAATTGAATTTTAATAAACGTGACTCATTCAGAATCTTAATTAATAGGAAATATGATTAATTAATTTACCTGGACGAGCTCTTGGTGCTTCGGTTGTTGTTGTTGATTCTTCAATGGGTATTGATGCTGTTGTAGGAGGAGGAGGTGGAGGTGTTGTTGTTGTTGTGGTCGTAGTTGTGGTTGTGGTTGATGTTGTGCTTGGAGTTAATGTCGTTGGAGTTAAATCAGATTCTGGATAATCAGATCTAATTGGTTCTGATGGATAATCTAAATTTAAGATGAAAAAAATAAAGTTAATTACAGGAAATGAATTGATTTTGATTTTAATTTATTCATCACTTGATTAACCTTGTGTTACTTTTTGAAACAATTTTATTGTCGCTATATGATCATCAGGTTGTTATTCATTTACTCATCGATCGTGTAGTTAATTTATTTGCTTAATCAAAAAACTTATGATAATAAAATCTTGAGCTTAATTGTAATACTTTGGGTATTTCAAGCTTTACAATCACACTTTGTAATCAATATTAAATCATGATGATCATTAGTAAACTTATTACTTTACTTCAGTAATGTTTCATATGAGTGATTTGTCTTAACCATCGGCTTAAGGCTTAATTATGATTGCAAAATTATCATTCAATTAAAGTGTTAAGAGCTTCGATTGGCTTAATGACAAATATTATTAACTAAATCATGTTATCGGAGTAATTAAATACCCTTAGGATCATTTAAACCTTGAAATACTTTCTACAATTAAAAGTTTCATCTGATAATTTGATTAATTAAAGTAAAACAAAAAATTAAATAAAAAATTAAAGATGAAACTTTTTTTTATCGATTGATTTTAATCAAACTTACCGTTTGGTTGAAAATGATTTGATGGTTGATTGTCATTGTGATTGTGATTATGATTATGGTTACGGTTAGAGTTGTAATTACGATTATCATTTAGATTTTCATTATGATTAACAACTTCAGGCTCTAAATACTCATCACGAATATCAGGCGAAGAAGATGAGGACGAAGAGGACGATGAAGATGACGATGAGAAAGAAGAAGAAGAAGAAGAAGAAACCGGAAGAACTGGACTAATAGTGGACGAGAATGATGATGGGAATGGTGGACCAAATGGTAGAGAAGATGAGGGAGAGGAAGAGAAGAAGAAGAAGAAGAAGAAGAAGATGACGAGGAGGAAGAAGAAGAAGAGGGAGATGAATTAGGCCTGAATTGATTGTTCCTTGAATTTAGTCCTTGAATGTGTCCAACGCGAACTGAATCAAATGATGGTCGAGATCCAATGTTAGATCCATAACGGAATACATTTGGTATTGGGCCTTCATTATTATCGTTGAATGATGAGGAAGAAGAAGAAGAAGAGAATGAAGGTGGAGTGGGAGTGGGAGGAGGAGAAGAAGGTCGAGTAGGAGGGGGTGAGGGTGGAAGAGTAGGTGATGGAGGTGAAGGTGGAGGTTGGAATTGTGATCTTGATCGTGGTCTTGATTGGGGTACAAGTTGAGGTTGTGGCTGTGGTTGTGGTTGGGGTCGAGGTTGAGGTTGGGGTTGGAATTGTGGTTGTGGGAAACGAGAAGCAGGTTGAGTGATGAAAGGCTGAGATTCATCTGGTTGATTAAATGATGGACGAGAATTGAAATAATTATTATTGTTGTCAAATGAATTGAATGATCGAGATGGAGGTCTAATTGTTGTGGAAAATGTCGGAGTAAAGGTCGTTGTTGATGTTGTGGTCGTTGATGTAGTTGGTCGAGTTGGTGGTGGTTGTGGAAAAGATGAAGGAGATGATCTGATTGGTGGTTGATTATTATTGTTGCTAATTGGATCATAATCTTCGAGACTTGGAATTGTATCTAAATTGGAGTTTAGATTCGAGTTTGAATTTACATTTACATTTCCATTTGGATTTTAGCTACTCGAGTTTTGTTATCATCATCATCGTAATAATAATAATAGTAAATAACGACATCGTCTTTTTTACCAGTGGAATTTGTTGAGGGAGATGATGGAAGAGAAGAGGAAGATGCAGATGAAGGAGGTGGAAGAGCAGAGGGAGAAAGTGAAGGAGAATTGGGAGATGAAACTATTGGTAAATTATCTCGATGATTTGTAATGAATTTAGGATCAGTTGTCGGTTGGAATGGACCAGGAACAGGAGGAGAAGGATAAAAGGATCTTCCATCTGAGAATGATGATGATAAAATCGGAGAAGAATGAGAATGAGAGGGAGATGATAATCCTTCCAATGTCGCAATTTCGGCCGGTGATCTACCAGGAACAGCACCAGGAATCGGTGGTGATTGAGGTGGTGGAGGAGGAGATGAGACTGGAGGTTGAAGAGATTGTGGTGGTTTCCATGTGATTGATGATGAATGATGAGGATTCTGATTATTTAAAACGGAAATTACCTGAGGAGGACGAGAGTAAAAGGATGATGAAGATGATGATGGAAAGGAAGATGATGAAGAAGAAGATGAAGATAATCCTCCATCATTAGGTAAATACTGAGGAAATCTACGAATCGATGATGAAATTGGATCATTAGGATCTGGTAAAGAATAACGATTTAAATTGTCATTAAATGGATTATTATTATTATTGTTTAGATTAAATGACGACGATGAAGATGAAGATGATAAAGAAGATGAGGATGAAGGTGATGGATCAAAGCGACGATTAAATGGATTGAATGGAGATGATGATTGAGATTGAAATCGATTAAATTGTGGTAAACAATCAACAATTAATCCAATTGACAAAATACAAAACAAAACAGTTACATTAATAAACGATAAACATTTTGTATCCATTTTCAAAGATCCAAAGATTCAAATTTTAAATTAAATTAACAAAACTGGAAACAAATTAACGAGTAAAACTATTGATACAAAAAGTAATTTAAATAAAAAAATATTAATAAAAATCTTTTGATTTATTTGATTATCCAAATGTATTTTGATTGTTACGATGATCGTTGATTAAAATCATTTTGTTAATTGTGATGATTAAAATATTTTGATGAAATGAAATAAAAAATGTGATTGAATCTTATTCTTGATTAAGATTAAGAGAGTGAATATTATCATGAATCATGATGGAAATGATTCAGTGAGAAAGAAAGGGAGAGGATCAGGGAGAGGGAGAAAAGGAGAGAGAAAGAAAGAGAGAAAGAGAGAGCAGGAGGTAGTCATAACTTCATCATCATCATCTTCTTCTTCGTCTTAATCATCATCGTCATAGTGAAAGAGAAAATATTAAATGAAAGAGAGTGAGAGAGTGAGAGGGATGATGATGATTCGTTACTAATCCGATAACGAAGCCGGTTCGAAGACGATAAAAGATGAAGATGAGAAAATGAAGAAGAAGAAAAAAATATTAAGGAAGGACGAGAACATCATCATCAACACAACAACAACAACAACCAAATACAATATTTAAAGGTAATCATCATCATCTTCATCTTCATCTTCATCATCAACACAACAACAGCAATATTATCATCAACATGATGATGAGTTCGTATTGACGTGGCTTGGCCTAGTTTCTTATTATTTTCGCATTTTTTTTTCTCCATCAAAAAACTTTCATCTTTTTTGGATTATAAATGTAGGTGCAAATCTTAAAGGGCGTTCAGGGGATGATGATGATGATGATGATGAATATACGAACGTAAATAGTACATGATTACAAGTGATTCAAATTAAATTGTCCGCAAGTTTATTCAAGGTCAGTTTTATGTAGAAAAAAATTCCAAAAATAATCAACAAATTGTTACTAATTGACCAATACCAAGAATCAAAGTAACAATTTTAATCCAGTTGATTATCATGGATTAACTGTCGTTTCTTACCTTTCAATTGCTGTTTGATTATCATGATTAATTTTCAAGTGAAACAATTGATAGTTTTATTATTATCCATCTAAATCACATTCTCTTTAATCATCTAAACTAATTACAGTTAATTTGTTCAAATGAAAATGACCCTAACTAGTGAATGGAAATGAAAGTGACCTTAAATACATTAGGACAACAAATTGACCTTAATTTGATTGTTGGTTTTTTCTGCTGTCGATTTAGATGATTACAATTTAAATTGTCAATTATATTGGATATTTATTACTACGCTAAAGTTTATTGTAAATAATTTGTCTTTTAATCACAATTATCATTCTTAATTATCGGATGAACTACTTTCCATGCAGTGTCATCATCATTAACTATTAGTTAAATTGTTTCACTGATTGTCAAAGGAAAATCAACTTTTCCATCAAAAAAAACATCAACTTTAATTGTTATTGGTTGATAACAATTTACCGTTATTATTATTTAATTTGATTAGTTTTGTTGACCAATTGGAGTTAATTGTTTATCAAATTGTATATCAACAATTGGTTTTGCATTTTTGATTAACATTTACCGTTGTTATTATTGATTGTTGATTCTGATTGCTGATAATTTAACAAATGAATTAAAATTATTTAGATCAATGGATTGAACAATAAAAATCACAATTAAATTAAAAACTACTATTGTTAATTGTTGTTGAATAATCAAAGGTTTGACCCTAACATTGAATACAAGGTTTTTAAGATTAGTTAAGTTAATTTAATACAAGAAAAGATAATTATAATTGTGAGTGGACAATCAACAACAATTTAAACTCAATTAACAAACCACCATAACTTGATAACAATGATAATTGAATCAACAACAACAACAACAATCAAGCAGCATCTTTATTTAATTGCCGTAAGCATAAATTGTACCCACAGTTAATTGTTACACTCGGAAACAATTTAAAAACAACAGTTAACCTTTAATCATTTCAATGATTAATTGGATTAACAAAGATTGTTGTTATGATTTGTTTTAATCTTTCAATTTGATTGATATATATTTATATTAAATTTTTGATAAGATGGTTAATCATTCAAGTTAATCATGATTATCATGTTGATCAACATCAACAACAACAACAACAATCAACAATTTATAAAAGTGAAACAAAATTGAAAAGTTGATTAATATTTGAATTCACAGTTATCATTACAATTTAAATTATTGAAATTTTAACTTTTTCTTAATTGTGAACAAAATGAACTGAATTAATTACTCTCATTATCAACAGAAAGCGCGATTAACATCATTTTCATCTTGTTAATCAAAATGCTCTTCCTCATAATCAACAATCAGATCATCAATAATTAACCAACAATCCTGAATACAAATACAGGTCATTTGACCATTTACTAGATTGTTGATGATTTAGTTGATTAATTTAGGCCATTAAAAAGTAACTTTAACAATTAAGAATGATACAATTTGATAATTTAAATCAATTTCACTTGCTGTTGATGATTTACCAGCAATCAACTTGTTATCGTTGATTAAGATTAGTTTTTATTACTCCAGACAAAATTTTTAATCATTAACCACTAATTAACTTTCTGATATTGTTGATAATTAACTTTACAAATATTAATAAAATGATGATAATTTAACTAAGTAACAATTAACTTTGATTAAACATGATTTAGTTAATTTGGTTTGTGTTATTTTTTTCCCATTCTCAAGGGTGTTTGGTTAATTATTACAATTAAAACTTTTAATCAAATGTTTACTTTCAATCAAAAGAAACCAACAATTAAAGATTATAATCTCAATTCTGGTTATTAATTTGTTAATTGTTGATAACTTGAGGTAATAATTAGTTTAATTGTAAAGATTATCCTTATATGTATTAATTGACTAATTTTCACCTTAATTGTTTTGATTGTAATCGAAAAGTTTAATTTAATTTAGTTTTCTCAATTGAATCATTTAAAGATCTAACCTTGTATTCAATGTTAGGGTCAAACTTTTTTATTGTAACAATTACAATTAATATGAACAATCAATTGTTATGTCATAACAATCAACATCATCATCATCATCATCATAATTAAGTCAAGTTTAAATTAATTATAATAAACGTTAGTTGATTAAAACCATATTAGGTTAACAATCAAGAAAATATTGACTTGGAAGCGAAAAAAAAATTCACAATTAATATTCAAATGATTAACTTAAATTGGATTCTCTTGATTAACATAAACTAATTAAGCCAGATAATTGAAAATGATAGTTAACAATTAAAGATTAGATCATCATATTAATTGTCTACATCAAAATTACTGTTAACAATCAATTCTTACATGCTAATTGTAACTATAGCAACAATTTAATCAACTACAGGAACCAAACAATTAATTATATTAATACATTTATATTTGTATTACAATTCAACTGTGTTTGTCTGCTGATTGTGATTATGATTGATTAATTACAATCAACCATATTAAGTGTATACAAACTTAGTTATATGAATAACCCTGACCCTTGACTTTTACAACAATCAAATTAAATGATAATTTACTTGATTGTGATTAACTAACAACCCTAAATCTATTTCAAGTTAAATGTTTTATTTTAGTTCATCAGTAATTGTTATTAAATCGTGAATAAAATAACAATTAATCGTGACATTATATTGACCTCAAATTAAACGTTTACTTTTTAATTTCTTACAATTTATTTGATTAAATTTAATCACAATCAAAAAAAGTTTCTCAAAATGTATTGGATATTTTGACCGACGATAATTGTTGATTGATTGTTGTAATCATTGGACAATATATTTATTGTTAATACCCAGACATCAGACAATTAACTGATTGTAAAAGTTTAACAAAAACTAATTAACTATTTTTTTTATGTAAATCCACACATAATCTGATTTGATTGCAAGATTTTTAATTCTTCAAACAGTTGATTAAATTGTTGTAAATCATTATTACTATTCAACTATCAGCATTTCAATATTTTTGAGTGAGTGTGTTGATTAACATGATCAAAAAAGGTTCATTTAAAGGTGATGCTGTTAATTTAATTGTTGTTGCTCTCACTTTTTAGTGGGCAATTTGTTAATTGTTGTGAGTTATAATCATTGTTTGGTTAATTGCACCTACCTTCAAATTTGATGGAGCAACAATTTAACATGAAAAAGTAAAAGGAAAGTTAAAGATGAAAGTTTTTTGATGGAGAAAAAAAAATGCGAAAATAATAAGAAACTAGGCCAAGCCACGTCAATACGAACTCATCATCATGTTGATGATAATATTGCTGTTGTTGTGTTGATGATGAAGATGAAGATGAAGATGATGATGATTACCTTTAAATATTGTATTTGGTTGTTGTTGTTGTTGTTGTTGTGTTGATGATGATGTTCTCGTCCTTCCTTAATATTTTTTTCTTCTTCTTCTTCATTTTCTCATCTTCATCTTTTATCGTCTTCGAACCGGCTTCGTTATCGGATTAGTAACGAATCATCATCATCCCTCTCACTCTCTCACTCTCTTTCATTTAATATTTTCTCTTTCACTATGACGATGATGATTAAGACGAAGAAGAAGATGATGATGATGATGAAGTTATGACTACCTCCTGCTCTCTCTTTCTTTCTCTCTCCTTTTCTCCCTCTCCCTGATCCTCTCCCTTTCTTTCTCACTGAATCATTTCCATCATGATTCATGATAATATTCACTCTCTTAATCTTAATCAAGAATAAGATTCAATCACATTTTTTATTTCATTTCATCAAAATATTTTAATCATCACAATCAACAAAATGATTTTAATCAACGATCATCGTAACAATCAAAATACATTTGGATAATCAAATAAATCAAAAGATTTTTATTAATATTTTTTATTTAAATTACTTTTTGTATCAATAGTTTTACTCATTAATTTGTTTCCAGTTTTGTTAATTTAATTTAAAATTTGAATCTTTGGATCTTTGAAAATGGATACAAAATGTTTATCGTTTATTAATGTAACTGTTTTGTTTTGTATTTTGTCAATTGGATTAATTGTTGATTGTTTACCACAATTTAATCGATTTCAATCTCCATCATCATCTCCATTCAATCCATTTAATCGTCGCTTTGATCCATCACCTTCATCCTCATCTTCTTTATCATCTTCATCTTCATCGTCGTCATTTAATCTAAACAATAATAATAATAATCCATTTAATGACAATTTAAATCGTTATTCTTTACCAGATCCTAATGATCCAATTTCATCATCGATTCGTAGATTTCCTCAGTATTTACCTAATGATGGAGGATTATCTTCATCTTCTTCTTCATCATCTTCCTTTCCATCATCATCTTCATCATCCTTTTACTCTCGTCCTCCTCAGGTAATTTCCGTTTTAAATAATCAGAATCCTCATCATTCATCATCAATCACATGGAAACCACCACAATCTCTTCAACCTCCAGTCTCATCTCCTCCTCCACCACCTCAATCACCACCGATTCCTGGTGCTGTTCCTGGTAGATCACCGGCCGAAATTGCGACATTGGAAGGATTATCATCTCCCTCTCATTCTCATTCTCATTCTCACTCTTCTCCGATTTTATCATCATCATTCTCAGATGGAAGATCCTTTTATCCTTCTCCTCCTGTTCCTGGTCCATTCCAACCGACAACTGATCCTAAATTCATTACAAATCATCGAGATAATTTACCAATAGTTTCATCTCCCAATTCTCCTTCACTTTCTCCTTCTGCTCTTCCACCTCCTTCATCTGCATCTTCCTCTTCTCTTCCATCATCTCCCTCAACAAATTCCACTGGTAAAAAAGACGATGTCGTTATTTACTATTATTATTATTACGATGATGATGATAACAAAACTCGAGTAGCTAAAATCCAAATGGAAATGTAAATGTAAATTCAAACTCGAATCTAAACTCCAATTTAGATACAATTCCAAGTCTCGAAGATTATGATCCAATTAACAATAATAATCAACCACCAATCAGATCATCTCCTTCATCTTTTCCACAACCACCACCAACTCGACCAACCATCAACGACCACAACATCAACAACGACCTTTACTCCGACATTTTCCACAACAATTAGACCTCCATCTCGATCATTCAATTCATTTGACAACAATAATAATTATTTCAATTCTCGTCCATCATTTAATCAACCAGATGAATCTCAGCCTTTCATCACTCAACCTGCTTCTCGTTTCCCACAACCACAATTCCAACCCCAACCCCAACCACAACCACAGCCACAACCTCAACTTGTACCCCAATCAAGACCACGATCAAGATCACAATTCCAACCTCCACCTTCACCTCCATCACCTACTCTTCCACCCTCACCCCCTCCTACTCGACCCTCTTCTCCTTCCACTCCCACTCCCACTCCACCTTCATTCTCTTCTTCTTCTTCTTCCTCATCATTCAACGATAATAATGAAGGCCCAATACCAAACGTATTCCGTTATGGATCTAACATTGGATCTCGACCATCATTTGATTCAGTTCGCGTTGGACACATTCAAGGACTAAATTCAAGGAACAATCAATTCAGGCCTAATTCATCTCCCTCTTCTTCTTCTTCCTCCTCGTCATCTTCTTCTTCTTCTTCTTCTTCTTCTGTTTCTCCCTCATCTTCTCTACCATTTGGTCCACCATTCCCATCATCATTCTCGTCCACTATTAGTCCAGTTCTTCCGGTTTCTTCTTCTTCTTCTTCTTTCTCATCATCATCTTCATCGTCCTCTTCGTCCTCATCTTCTTCGCCTGATATTCGTGATGAGTATTTAGAGCCTGAAGTTGTTAATCATAATGAAAATCTAAATGATAATCGTAATTACAACTCTAACCGTAACCATAATCATAATCACAATCACAATGACAATCAACCATCAAATCATTTTCAACCAAACGGTAAGTTTGATTAAAATCAATCGATAAAAAAAAGTTTCATCTTTAATTTTTTATTTAATTTTTTGTTTTACTTTAATTAATCAAATTATCAGATGAAACTTTTAATTGTAGAAAGTATTTCAAGGTTTAAATGATCTTAAGGGTATTTAATTACTCCGATAACATGATTTAGTTAATAATATTTGTTATTAAGCCAATCGAAGCTCTTAACACTTTAATTGAATGATAATTTTGCAATCATAATTAAGCCTTAAGCCGATGGTTAAGACAAATCACTCATATGAAACATTTGCACTAATTAACGATTAAGTTTACTAATGATCATAATGATTGTATATTTAATAAAATGTCGGAAAATCCCACTCTTAAACCAAACAGAAATCAAATCAATCAACTGATAATCTAACAATCAAAATCTTGGCCAACAAATTAGTCCAACAAACTGAGTTTAGGATAACAACTAAAATAATCCCTAATCTATATTAAGATTAGGAAACAATTAAATTTTTCAAGTTGTGAATCAAAATCAACTTTCAATTGTTTAACTTACTTCCTGTAATTAAGATTAACTTTAATTTTTTCATCTTAAATTTAGATTATCCATCAGAACCAATTAGATCTGATTATCCAGAATCTGATTTAACTCCAAGCACAACATCAACCACAACCACAACTACGACCACAACAACAACACCACCTCCACCACCTCCTCCTCCTACAACAGCATCAATACCCATTGAAGAATCAACAACAACAACAACCGAAGCACCAAGAGCTCGTCCAGGTAAATTAATTAATCATATTTCCTATTAATTAAGATTCTGAATGAGTCACGTTTATTAAAATTCAATTTAAAAATAAAGTGAAACAATTACTTTTACTGCGTTGGATTAATTTAGAAGCAATAATTTGATGAATGATTTAAATCTAATATTAAACTTTGTTTTCTTATAATCAATTAATCTTTAATTAGGTTATGGTGCTCGTCGTCGATTTGGTAACACTGCGAATCGTTTGACTCCATTGAATCGTCCAAGATCATCACCGATATTAGTCCCATCGTCTACATCTACTACAACCACTTCGACCACAACCACAACCACAACAACACCTCGACCTCGTCCACGAAACTTTGGCTCATCTTTACGAAGACCTTACCGACCCAATCGAAATGATATTAATAAGATCACTACTCCGTCTACCGAAACTGATCCATCATCATCAATCGGAAATGGTTCTAATCCTCCACAACCCCCACAACCCCCACAATCGGCACCAGTATCTCAACCTTTAGTTCCTGTGTCGGGAGAAGCACCAGTTTCAGTTTCTCCTCCCGTTGTAACTACACAATCGCCAGTAGTTTCTGTTAGTTCATCAGCACCTTCGTCTTTCCCTCGTCGATTTGGTTCATCTCGAGGTAGATTTAATTCAATTGTTAGGACAACACCAAGAACTACAACTACATCAACATCCACAACAACTTCTACAACAACTGCATCTCCTATTGGTTCATCGGGCTCTTCATCACCAACACCTCGTCCAACATCATTACTCCGTCGACCAGGATCAAGTTTTAGTTCAACTAGAACTCGACCTCGAACTCGTCCTAATTTCTCACGATCACGAAATCGAGTTGAAGATGAAACCACAACATCGACATCGACAACCACCACCACCACAACTTCTACTGCACCTCCTCCATCATCACCCCAAGGATCATCATCATCATCATCATCATCGGAATCATCAACATCTTCACCAATAAACTCATCATCAGGAAAAGAAAGTGAATCAATCATCTCATCAGGAGAAATTGTTAATGAATCAACAGGTAGTTCAATTGTTTCATCAAATGATCAACCTATTAACGAATTAGCTCCATCTTCATCCTCATCCTCATCATCTTCTTCATCTTCATCTTCATCTTCTTCCTCTTCATCATCCTCTCAACCTTCACCTCCATCATCAACCACAACTCCAGCCCCATCAACATCTTCATCAACAACCGAATCAACTGCAACAATTAACAATAACAATCGACAACGAGCTCGAAATCCATTATTTAGAAATCGTCAGAGACCAAATTTCGGGACTCGTCGTGGTAACAATTTAAATACTCCAAATAATAACAACAATTAATTAAATTAACAAGAAACAATATCAATAAAAAACTAATTGTGTTCACAATAAATTAAAAAAAAATCAATTGAACCCAAAACTAAATTTTCCTAAATCACAATTGTTAACAACTTTTCATATAATCAATTGTTTTCAGATTCCACTAATTGTTGTAATTTCTACCCAATTAATTATTCAAAAACAGCCAAATTTTGTCAAAATAAACTTGAATGATTAAATTTTCTAAAACTTGAATCAAACCAATTAATTGAAACAACCAACAATCATCACCATCTTAAATTATTCAAATACAATTTAATCCTCAATATCAACAATCAGTTTTAGTGAAAAATAAAACAAACAAAAAATTAAATCCAATCAGATTAAAATCAGTTAAATGATGAAAAATTGATCTTAATCAAGTTGCTTAATTAGGTTACACCTAAGAAATCAACGGATTGATTAGCTAAATTTTTATAAAAAATTAACCTGATCAACATAAATAAAAACAAACTAAACAATATAATTGACATTTTGATAACATGAAGTAACCAACTGATTGAGGATTAATAACATTTGATAATCTGATTTTGATGTTAAATTGTTTTGACACTTTGATTAGCAGGAATTGGATTAAGCTGTTGACCATTAATATCCAACATTTCCGCAATTAATTGAGATGTGTAACCTAAATGTCTTCTGGCAACATCTTGGATCTTTTGTTTAGCATTGAACATTATCAGGAAGTCTTCGAGATTACAGATCAGATTCTTAATTTCATAATTAGATTCGTTAATTGTGAAGCCACGAAGTTGTAAATACTTTTGTACCAAGTGAATGGTTAAAATATATTCCTTCCTAAATAGTTAATCAATTAGAAAAGGTAACAATCAATTAATAGAATCAATCATTTCCCCAATTGATTAGAGATATTAAATCAATTCGATTGACCATTAAATTACCTTACAGCAAAGTTTGACCGTAGATTGGTGGTAATGTTTGGATTTAGAAGACAAATTAACAGAATTAGTAGATTAATTATCGGATCTGTACGAAGAATTGGATTAATTGATCTTGTTAATTTGATAAATTGTTCGCTATTCATCATATGACATCTTTCCATGCTGATTTGTTGTCCATTATTCTGATATATAAAATAGAAATTTAAATGAAAGATTTTATCAGTTTGTTGAGAGTTACGATTGTTAATTGTTTACCTTAATTGTTCTAGTCTCTGGTTCGATGAAAATTAAACTCTTGATTATACACAAATCAATGAATCGTGATTTAAGTAGCGATATTTGATCATCTAAACAAAGGTTGGAAAACGATGTAATCTTCTTGACGACTTTGATCAATTTTTCGGTGTGTTTATGGACAATAGCGATTTGAAATCTAGCTGTTGGTTCTTGTTGATTGTCAATTAATTGATTACGATTATCATGTAATAGATCAACAACTCGAGCCAGTTCATGGTATTTATTCAATTCTAATTGTCGCAGGCCACTTTCCACCGCCAAGGCTTCGTCTTGTAGACTTATTTTGATGAAATTATCTTCAAGTAAACGATTGAAAACTGAAGATTCAAATAATTGTAACAATTCAATGTCTCGATTTGATTGATTGTCTTTCATGATGATCGGTTGATGATCATCATTAGAGGTCGATGGTGATAAACACGTTGTTGATTGTGATAAATTCAGTGAATGAGATAATGTTGATGGTGATAACATGGATGACGGTGATTGATCATGTGAATTAGGTGACGATGACATCGAGGAATCGTAATTAGTTGATAAATTGTAACAATCAAATTCATTTTGATCAAATTAACATCCGTCCAACAAGGTACCAAAAGTTGATCACTTTCATTAGATTTAATTGTTGCCTCTCCATCGGATATTAATTGTTGATCCATTGGTATTGTACATTTAAATTCATAGCCAGGAACAGGAAAATCATAATACAACTGGAAAAAAAATAATTAAAGACAATTAGTTAATTGTAAACAAACATGGAAAGATAATCATTAACTTACCTCAGAGACTATTGAGCTCATTGGATCATCTAAATCCATGATTGTTGATTGTTAGATTTTATTAATTTAATTTATGTTTTAATTATTTGTTAATATTTTGGATTAAAATTTGTTTAAATCAAAAGTAATTGTGTTTGTTTGCATTGAGAGTTAATTGTGAAAACAATTAATTAGGTGTAACGTTTATATAAAACGAGACGATAATCTGATTTGATTAATTGCATGAGGCTAAACAACAATCAGTTGATTGTTGTTAATTCAAGTTGACATGCGTATCGATTATGGTTAATTATACAATTCTGTTCAGCTGATTAGCTTAATTGTTCCGATGGTAATTTGAAACAATTGTTTTCTCTCTTTGAGGTATTAGAGTTGATAGAATTGTTAATTATTACATTGGAACAATTAAAAAACATTTGACTGTTGAATAATTTTTCCAATGAATTTTGTTATCGATGATAACAATCAATGATAATAATTAAGTTAATCTATTGACAATAATTGTGATTATGTATCAAAATTAATTGTTTTTATAATCATTAACTTTTTATCATTTTTTTGATAATCTGATCATCTTAATTATCACCGAAGTTGTTTGATTGGATATTAATTGATAAGTTATCTTAACGCAACTAAGAATTAACTTGAGTCTGTTGATAGGCTTTTGGCAAACAATCAAATAAATCATCGTTTTCTCGTTATAACATTTGATTGATTGGATGATGAGCGAATGGCAGATTAATTGTAAGAACAGATTTTGTTGTTCATCAGACCGTTTCCATGATATCATCGTAATCAAACGAATACGATTAAATTTCTTTCGATTATTTTGACTATTTATTAGACTTTTAGTTTCTCCATGTGTATTTATGGTTAACTTGATTCCAAAGAATAAGAGAAGAAAAAATCAACTCAAATGTTGTGATTTCATAATTTCCATACATGATGTGTTTCTTTTTTTTCTCATATTCATAAAAAACAAAGAAAAAATCATCTCATGAAGTTAACTGTCATGATTCAGATATACACATAGTTTTATCCTTCAGATGATTATGAAGAAAAAGTTGCAAATACACGAACACACTAAATATCAGGGTATCAAAATAGCTGTAATTTGGTGTTGTTGTGTGTGTGTGTAAATTTTGGCGATGATGTTACGAAATTTGATTGGCATTGACAGCTCCAGGAACAGCGAGTGAATCACCATCCATTAGAGTCAAAAATTGTAGACTGATTTCTTCAGCCACTTTAATTTGAGCCTCTTTGGTGCTTGCCCCAAGATGAGGAGTGCAAATGACTTTTGGATGTTGTAAAAGTTCAGTAAATTTACAGGGTTCCTCTTCAAAGACATCCAAACCTGCACCACCAGCTTGCCCTGAGTTAAGAGCCTCAACAAGAGCTGTTTCACTAACTGTACCTCCTCGGCAGCAATTAATTATCATGACTCCTTTTTTACACTTTGACAAGGTGATTGGGTTAATCAAATTACGGGTTGACTCGATAAGGGGGACATGTAAAGTGATATAATCAGCGAGAGGCCAAATTTTTTCCAATTCCATGAATTCGACACCAAAAGAACGAGCAACATCAGGGGTAACAAAAGGATCATATCCAATGGTTCGCATGTTGAAAGCTTGCATTCGACGAGCGACTTCTCGACCAATTCGTCCAAGCCCAATGATCGCCAAAGTTTTACCCATAACTTCACTTCCCTTGAACGATTCCTTGTCCCAAGCACCAGTTTTCAGTTTGGTACAAGCAGCAACCAAAGGTCGAGCCAATGACAAAATCATGATACATGTTAGCTCTGCAGCAGCAATAGTATTACCTCCGGGTGCACTAAATTAAACAAGAAATAAAATGAGTTAAAAAAAAGTTACATTATAAACTATTCCAAAGAAATAGCTGAAAAAGTAAAACGCATCACTTAATTTCTAGTACAAAATAAATAGATAGACTGGATTTAGAAGATTACAAAAAAAACAGTAAATATGTAACTAGTTATATCTAGTGTATTAATTAACAAAAATAAACAATTAAAATTACTAACTTGATTACAAGAACACGATTTTGAGTAGCAGCCTCAACATCAATATTGTCAACGCCAACTCCAGCTCGACCAATTACTTTCAATTTTTTACCAGCATCAATTACTTCCTTGGTAACTCTAGTTGCTGATCTAACAATTAAGGCATCATAATTCTAGAAACGAAATGAATAACAAAAAAAATGAAAAAGAAATCTAAATTACAAACATTGGTAAATATAAAATTAGTAAATTGAGGAAATTGAGCTTGTAATTATGAACACTGGTTAGTCAACAAAGGAAGAGGAAAATGTTATAAATAGATGAATCTAATGGTAAATTAGAGTGAAAAAAAGCACATTAAACTTACCCCGATGATTTGGATGAGCTCTGAAGGGGTTAATTTAGTTTTAACATCAACTTCAATATTCCTTTTGAGCAGCACATCAACTGCTGCCTTATCAACAGCATCGGAAATCAAAACTTTACTAATGTTCATGATTAGATTGATTTGGAAGCAGCAAGATTGTAAACAGAATAGAAGAAAAAATTCCAACGACAGAAAATTAGTTATTCAACTAGAGGATCAACAAGAAAAAAAGGAAATTGTAGTCCAAGTGAAGAGAGAGAGCAAAGTTTGATGATTAGACTGAGCAAATTTCCACAGAGAGTAAATACAAGATGGTGATCGATTAATTTGAAACAATCGATTCAATTAATCGAAAGGAAAACCAAAAAAAACATCTAGAGAGAAAAAGAGAGAGACGGTAAATGGTTAAAAGAAATTCTCTATGAGTCTATGCCATAGACTCTATGGAAACAACCAGATGATTTATTGAGGTAATAATTTAACTTTTCTCTGTTCAAAGTTACAACTCTAAATATCCTCAATAGCAACAGGTAATTTTGAAGGTTATCTTAGATTAACAATTTGTGATAATCGTTAGTAATCTTTGATCGACAATAAAAAGATTGATATCTTACATTATCTCATCTCATCATGAAATCATGAAAGAAAAACAAGATTATTTAGGATTAAAGTCTTCATGTTAACCATTGACGTTGATCGATACCAACACACTGGTAAGATAAATTAAATGAACAAATGAATGAACAAAATTCCAATTCAATTGATGGATTAACCAACAAATTTACATGTCTAAATGATTACAGGTGATGAATTGGCGTAACACAAACGTAACAAATCGTAATTGTGATTAAAATCTACATTAAAGTAAACACAATTAACACTAATTAACCATAAAATCAATTAACCAAATTAAATGTTATTTTTAGTCAAAAGTAAAAAACGATTTAAATCAATTGAAAAGAAAGTTGTATCAAATTATCAACAAAACTTACCAAGAAAAACAAAATGGTTGAAGTTATTAAGACGCAATAATAGCTCAGTTTTAAGAGTAACAAAGACAACTAAAGTAACTGTTGAACTATCATAATTTTGTTATCAACTTGATCCTTGTGATGAAATGAACAATAATAACATAAAATTTAATTTTAAATTCACAGGTAAAGTTAATTAAATTAAAAATTATTAGGAGCGAAAAAAGTTAATCTTTCTCAAAAAGAATTCTTCAAATTCGGTTAGCAAATAAATCGATAGATGTCACTAATTTTAAGAAAATCTGGTTCTATGAATAGTTCAAGTTGAATTTTTCTCTTGAGTTGAAAATTCAGATTCTCTTTGTTTTAATTGTTAATTAGATTTCGTAATTAATCCGTTTATTTATTTTTCTCCATTGTTTTATATCAACATTCGATTACAATTAGAGGGTTTCCATTCGAGGCAACCAGTGTCTCTATTTGTTCATCGTCAGCAGTTAATTCATTTTTCTGATGTTACTGATTTTTTAGTGAGTATTGGTGATGTTTTTATTTAATTTTTTTCTATTTGCTTAATTGTTTGGACTATTTCCTTGATTATTAAGAATCAATTATGGTTTTGAGTAGAGAGTCAATCAGTTTATATCTTTCTAAATGACTGGTACTTGATTTATTCCTGGTTATGGTCAATTAATGTTTTCTCTTTACCTTTGATGTCTTCTTATTGTTTAAGAACATGAAATCTCATTTCATCATTATCTTGATTTGATTGTTTCATTGTTCTTCAGCATAATTATGTGTTACAATTAACTGGGCAAGATTTTCCATTGTCTTCATCTGATTCTCTTACTTTTTATTCCATGACAATCGATAATCTCTCTTTTATGATTAGCTTTTTTTCATTCTCTTTGTTTTAGTCTCCATTTTTCCATAACTTTAAATCAATAATGTAATTTGAATGATTCATTACGACTCAGTTTTTTTTCTGATGACGAGTTACTCTAATATTTATCTTTGTTAATGATCAGTCATTTCAAGAAATAATTAGTAGAATAGTGAATCAGCTCTTTCTCTTTTCTGATCCCTTCAATTCTGTTCTTATTTTCTCTTAAAATCCAGAAGATTCAGGAATTGAAACTCATCCTTTACTCTTCTTATCTTCTTTCCTTTTCCATTTCCCTCAGGGCATTAATCTAACCATGTAAGCAGAAAATTTCTCACCTCTTGTCTTTCTCTTTCTCATAGCTAATAAAATCTTTCACTTGTTGAGCTTATGACCTTTTCTTTGTTCAATCTCAACGATCATTCAATATTTTCATGTTTATCTAATTTGTTTTCTTCTTTATTTGTTTTCTCTTTTTAGAATTTAAATTTATTTCTTCCATCTTGTAAAACACCAAATTAAAGACCAAAAAACAACTACTATGGGTGCTAAAGTCTCTCGTGATAACTATGAATGGGTTGGAAGTGATGAACCTCATGCTACTCGGCGAAAGCTTATCCTTGCTAAATATCCGCAAATTAAAAATCTAATGAAAGTTGATCCCAATTTTAAATGGATCGTTTTGTCACTTGTGATGATACAAATAATTACTGTGATACTTTTACGTAATGTTACCTCTTGGCTAATTTTATTTCCATTATGTTATTTTATCACTGGAACAATTAATCATGCACTTATGCTTGCCGTTCATGAGATTGCTCATTCCCAAGCATTTGGACCTAATCGTGTACTGGCCAACAGGATTTTCGGAATGATTGCCAACCTACCACTTGGTGTTCCAATGTCAGTTTCCTTTAAAAAGTATCACCTTGAACACCATAGATACCAGGGAGATGATATTCTTGACACCGATATACCCTCTAAATTTGAGGCTCGTTTCTTTACAACAACCTTTCTAAAGGTCATCTGGGTCATGTTACAACCCTTTTTCTACACAATGAGACCTCTTTTCGTCCATCCAAAGCAGCCAACATCTCACGAATTCATTAATCTTGCCTTTCAACTTACCTTTGATATAATTATCGGATTAACTTGTGGTTGGCATCTTGTTTTCTACCTTATTCTGGCCAATATAATTTCAATGGGTTTACATCCGGTTGCTGGTCACTTTATCTCTGAACATTATATCATGTTTGACCGGGAGAAAGTTAAAATGGATGAAACATCTTCTGTCACTCAAAATGGTGGAAAATTTTTCATACCTGAAACATGCTCTTATTATGGTATACTTAATTATCTTACCTTTAATGTTGGATATCATGTTGAACATCATGATTTCCCTTCAATACCTGGTTCTAAATTACCTTTGGTACGTCAAATTGCACCAGAATTTTATAATCATCTACATCATCATACCTCTTGGGTTAAAGTTATCTATCAATATATTATTGATCCATCGGTTGGACCTTTTGCCAGAGTTAAAAGGCCACACAAATTTGGTACCACACAAGTTGAAACAAATGACGATGCACAAATAATTAAAAATGGTTCAATTACCAAAAATCATCATGATAATAATCCAATTGACAAGAAACACTCTTGATTTGTGTATATGATCACAATCAATTAGGAATTACAATAATTATCATCATCATCATCATCATCATAAATTCCCATAATCATCTTCATCATCACTAGTCTTTATTAAGCATATTATCCAATTTCAATCAAATTAACCAGAAAAGAAAATTAACTTTGGAAAATTTTGGCATAATAATTATATTTTGTATAATATTAATTGCGAATCAACAAACATACAAATTGGCAGAATTTATTTTCTATTTTCGATTGTTAACCAACAGATGGAGCCAGTGAATTTCGACTTTTCCTTAATTTGATTTTTTGTTTCTAAGGTGAAAGTGAATAAACTTGTTTTACTTGTTCTCCTCTTTCTTTTCATTTTCTTAACCACAATTAACTTAAATTGTTTAGAATTTTACTTTTCCAATGTTAACTAAATGACCACAACTAGTTAACATATTCGGAGGTCATCATCTTTTTTCGTGTAAAAAGAAAAAGTAAATGAAAGAGTAACTTTCTTTTCCATTAAATCTAATTGTTATTCTCTCGTCGAAATAGAAAAGTTAATCAACCTTTGTGTCTATTTTTCCTCCTCTCAATTACTGTGATTAAAATCTAATCTAATTGTTAGCTGATTGTTACCAGAGACTTGGACATAACTGGTAACTTCTTAAACTAAAATCAATCAGAGAGAGAAATTTAAATTTTCAAAATTCATTAATTTAGAGCCAATCAGTTAATCACAATCAGTTGATTTGGTTATTCACCTTAACTCTTGAAAATATGTAAGCTTAATTGTTGTGTTTACATTACAATCTAAGGGTAAAAATGTGTAATCTTTAATTGCGATTAAGTTGATTGTTGAAGAGGCAAATTAATTAAGTTTTTCTCTTATATAACCAACTAAGGAGATTCCAAAGTAAATTAAGTTAATTAAATAGTCAATTTGGCTTTTGTATTAAAGACAAAAATTGATTTTCAACAATTAAACAGTAAATTAGGTAAGTTTCCAATTGTCTCTGTTTTTAATTAACCTTTAAATTGTTTTTCGATATCTAATTAATGTTACATTTCAATCAACAGAGAGAAATCAATTTGACAATGGAAATCAACTCATCTATGATTAAAGTAATTGTTACGACGGTTACAATTGGATTAGTTGGAACATCAATCGTTTACATAATTAGTAAATTACGTTCAAAGAAATTAACTAAACCATTTATTCCTGTTGGTGTTGTTAAAAAACTTTTAATTTACCCAATTAAATCATTAAAACCAATTGAATGTGATCAAGTAATTGTCAAACCTAACGAAGGACTTTATTGTAATCAATTAAGAGACAGGTTTGTAACAATCAACCAATTAATCAACTATATATTTCTAATAACAATTAAATCTTATTACAGATCATTTCTCCTTGTTAATTGTAAAAATATTTTCATCACTCAAAGAGCTCAACCTAAATTAGTCCTTTTGGATTTACAATTAATTGACAACAATGAAACAATTAAGGTAACCTCACCTGATGGAGATTCAATAACAATACCATTAACAATTGACAAGAACACAATTAATAATTTAGAAATTGTCGAAACCAAGTAAGCAATTTAAACAACGATCTTTCCTCAATTACCTTAACTCTAATTGTTTCTTAATTGTTAAAGAGTTTGGGATGATAAAGTTGAAGGAATTGATTGTGGACCAGAAATTAGTAAATTTTTCTCTAATTATCTTGGTAAACTAAATGTCCGATTATTGAGATTTGATAAAGATCTAATTGACCATCGTCCAGCTCAAGTCTATTCCAATTATAAGATAACTAAAGATCCAACAATTAAAGTAAGTGTAACAATCAACAAGATGAAACCCGATGTTAATTGTTTACAATTGAATAGATTATGTATCAAGATCAAGCTCCGGTTTTAATCATCAACGATAAATCAGTTGAAACTTTAAATCAACTTCTAACTGAGGGATCAATTAGTTATCTTAATTTCCGACCCAATATATTGATTGAAGCTCAATCATTTGATGAAGATAATTGGGAAAAGTTAATCATTGGAAAAACTAAATGGCAACAATTAAAAAAATGTACTCGATGTGTGATGACAACAATTAATATCGATGATGGTACTTTCATGAAGGAACCAATGATTACATTGAAAAAGTAAGTTTCCAGTTAATTGTTTAATTAAATGGTTAACCATTTCCAATAATGAACTAATTGTTAATTGTTAATTGTTTCCATGTAGATACCGTAACCCAATGGGTGAAGATTCTGGTTATCATTCACCATTAATGGGAATCCATGTAAACCCAGAAAAAAATGGAACAATTAAAATTGGTGATTCTGTTTTGGCTTCTCATAAATTGTAACAATCAACTGATCATTTCTCAATGTTACCATAGATTTTTTTAACTGTTAACAATTTAGAGAAGCAATTGATTGTATCCTTGGCAATTAATCAAGATTTAAGAGATGATATCACAATTTAAATGTGTTCACTTTACCAAAGATTTGTATCAATTACTAATACCCTTTTCTTAATTGTAAACATTGATAATTAAATCAGATTTGATTTTTATACTTCATCACAATTGTAACTTCAATACAGTAAACAATTAACCTTAAAACTCGTGATCAAAATTAAAAGTGGTAATAATATGAATTCTAATGAGTATTTAATCAAATCAGTGATTCTATCGGGATTTGGTTTAATTGGTGTGACAATTATTGTTAATCAATTGATGAAAAAAGATTGAAACAATTTAAAAAGGTTGGTATTGTTAAGAAATTGTTTATTTATCCAATTAAATCATTAAAACCAATTCAATTGGACTCATTGGATTATAATGATCAACAAATTTATTGGAAATCATTATTGGATAGGTAAGTTTAATTGTCTCTTACACTTTTACAATTAACTTTTAATATTAATTGTATTCTAATGAATTAATCTCCATGTTATCATTCAGAGCTTTCATGTTAGTGAATCGGAAAAATGTTATGATTACTCAAAGACAAGAACCAAGTTTAGTTAAGTTAATTGTTGAATTAGATTATCCATATTTAATTGTTACAAGACCCGATGGATCTGATTCAATAAGAATCTCAATTCTTGAAGATGATTATCAAAATAATGAAGAGATAATTGAAACAAAGTAAGTACATCTTTTAATTATCTTAATTGTTTTGATTGTCTTGATTACTATTTATAATTAATTTAGTGTTTGGGGTGATGATGTTTGTGGAGTTAATTGTGGACCAGAATTTTCTCAATTTTTCTCTAATTATTTGGATAAACCAGAAATTAAATTAATAAGATTTACTAATAAACAACAACATCGACCATCAGAAATATATCGAGATGGACAATTGGGTAAAGATGAAAACACAAAGGTAATTCATAACTGATTGTTGATCGTAACAATTGAATTTTGATTCTATTGGCTGTATAATTAACTAGATAATGTATCAAGATGCGGCAACTTGTTTGATAATTAACAGTAAATCAGTTGATACACTGAATGAATGGATTACGAATGTCGAGGAAAAAGTGACCTTCATGAACTTCAGGCCGAATATTCTGATTGAATCTGATCCTTTCGATGAAGAAAACTGGGAAAAAATCAAAATCGGCTCGGAACAATCAGCTGAATGGCAACAATTACTTAAGTGTGTTCGATGTCGAGTGACCACTGTTAACATTGAGAAAGGTCAATTCATGAAAGAGCCACTATCAACTCTAAAGAGGTAAACAATCAACTAATTGTTGTTATTCAAACTTCAACTAATTCGCTTTTCGATTGATTCTTCATCCAAAGTGTCCACGGGCCACTTTCAAAGCGCGATATTGGCTATGCAAATGGAACTGATTCCAACGGGGTGAGTGGTCAAAACTCAATTGTTAATCGTAATTTAAATAATCTAATTTTTCTGTTAATTGTCTTAATCATTAACAGAGGAAAACAGCACCTCTAATGGGAGTGTTTTTCAAGCCCGAATCATCGGGAACAATTAAAATCGATCAAGAAATTTGGGCTTCTCACAAACATGGACTATTTTGGTTTCTTTAATTATAAACAATTAAACTTTTTCAAAATCTTCATCAAGTGATTGATAAGTGAATTAAGATTCTGTTTAATTTATTCTAGTTAAACAATCAACTGAATCTTGTGTACAATTAACATTTAATTTCATTTAGAATATTTTTATATTCATTACACAATCTTAATTGTTATGATTATGATAGTTGAAAATAACTGAATTAACTGTATGGAAATTATCTCATAATAAATTGCTTGATAAAAACCTCTTCAAGACTTATAATTAACGACACAATTAGATTGCAATCAACATCAAATGTTTTCATCAAGTAACAACGTTTAATTAATCATTTCCTTAGACTAATTTAATAATACAATTTAATAATTTAAACTTGGTTATGTTTTTAATTAATATTTATATCAACTGAATATGAATCCCAATGAGAATGTAATTAAATCAGTGATTCTATCGGGATTTGGTTTAATTGGTGTGACAATTATTGTTAATCAATTGATGAAAAAAAGATTGAAACAATTTAAAAAGGTTGGTATTGTTAAGAAATTGTTTATTTATCCAATTAAATCATTAAAACCAATTCAATTGGACTCATTGGATTATAATGATCAACAAATTTATTGGAAATCATTATTGGATAGGTAAGTTTAATTGTCTCTTACACTTTTACAATTAACTTTTAATATTAATTGTATTCTAATGAATTAATCTCCATGTTATCATCCAGAGCTTTCATGTTAGTGAATCGGAAAAATGTTATGATTACTCAAAGACAAGAACCAAGTTTAGTCAAGTTAATTGTTGAATTAGATTATCCATATTTAATTGTTACAAGACCCGATGGATCTGATTCAATAAGAATCTCAATTCTTGAAGATGATTATCAAAATAATGAAGAGATAATTGAAACAAAGTAAGTACATCTTTTAATTATCTTAATTATCTTAATTGTTTTGATTGTCTTGATTACTATTTATAATTAATTTAGCGTTTGGGGTGATGATGTTTGTGGAGTTAATTGTGGATCAGAATTTTCTCAATTTTTCTCTAATTATTTGGATAAACCAGAAATTAGATTAATAAGATTTACTAATAAACAAAAACATCGACCATCTCAGTTGTATCGAGATGGACAGTTGGATAAAGATGCAAAGATAAAGGTGAACAATTTACCTTCTTAAATTGTTACATTTTATTAATTTCTGATTGGTTGTATTTAGATTATGTATCAAGATACAGCAACTTGTCATATAATTAACACTAAATCAGTTGACACTTTGAATGAATGGATTGAAAATGCCGATGAAAAAGTGACCTATGTGAACTTCAGGCCAAATATTGTAGTCGAATCTGATTCTTTCGATGAGGATAATTGGGAAAAAATTAAAATGGGATCAGAACAATCAGCTGAATGGCAGCAATTACTTAAATGTATTCGTTGTAGAATCACAACAATTAATCCAGATAAAGGTACTTTCATGAAGGAACCGTTGATATCATTGAAAAAGTAAGAACTTCGAAACAATCAATTAATTATTCCAAGTCAATGTAACAATTAACTTTCCACCAACATAAAGATATCGATCACCGGCCAAGGAAGACATTGGTTATATGGATGCTCCTGGAGTCCATGGTGTAAGTAATTAAGTCCCTTGATTAAGTAAATTGAATGAATTCTCTTAATTGTTTAACTTAATTGTCAACAGAAATTTATTGCACCATTAATGGGAGTATTTTTCAAGCCCGAATCATCGGGAACAATTAAAATCGACCAAGAAATCTGGGCTTCTCATAAACATGGATCATTTTGGTTTCTTTAATTATAAACAATTAAAAGTTTTACTTTTCCACTGATCAAATGAACCATAATTGTGTCAAAAATGAAGGTAACAATTAACCAAATCAGCAACGATCCATGAACCACACCAATGAAGTTAAAGGTTAATCAATTGATGATCACCATCAACAATCAATTAATTACCGGTGATGATTCAACCAAATTTAATGATATAAATGAATGATAATTAACAATTTACTTTGATTGTGATAAAGTTGAATAAATTATCAACCATTAAAAATATAATAACGATAAAACCAAAAGTCCATTCAACTGTATTACCATTAATTCATAATCAACTAATTACAATTAAACTTTCAAACAACAACAACAACAACACTAATAATAAAATGGTCACAATTAAATAAATTTTCAAATCAATAACAAATCAATTGATGAAAATTAGATGTTAATTTTTTATTATCAATTAAATAATTTGAACAACAAGGGAAAAAAAGTTTAGACAATCGAGTTAAATTGTTCACCATTTAATTGGGTTCTTATTTTAAATGTTAATTCTGATGATTAAGGTTTTTTTGGACGAAAAAAAAGTTTAATTTTTAATAGACAACAATTTAATCATCAACATCATTCACTTTTAGAAGCCAATAGTTAATATCATATGTATGTCAGGTCCTTTTTTGAATGCGCTTTTAGGGGTCAGTCTTAAAAATGGAAACTGGTCCGAGTGAAATTAGGTTAACACGAAAGTTGATTAGTGTATTATTATTATCAACTTTCACGAATCATTATCATCTTAATCATCATCTTAATCATCTTGGTGGTTCATTGATTATTATTAAACAATTTAACTACTAAATCAAGTGAACAATTTAAAGTAAAAGTTTTTCAAACGCTTTTCAAATTACCATAACAGTGAAAATTGAAAGTTTGTTTTCAACAGTTATTAAATTAGATTTTATTTTATAACAATTAACTGATTATGTTAATCAATAACTTGGTGTTTGAAATTTGTTTTCTCAGTTTAAAACAATTGGAAAGTTAATTGTTTCAATGGTTTTTGATTCGATTCGATTCGTAATCATAAAGTTTGGACATTTGATTTTTGTTTTTCCACACAATTAGTTGATTGTTAGTTAATTTTCTGATCCCTTTTGATTGTTTTTTTTTGATAGGAAAACAAAATTATTAGTTTGATATGATTAATTGATTTATAAATTGGTAACGAACAAAAAAAAATGGCTGATCAATTGATCGTAATGATTTAAATTCATCTAGTAAAATTATTCCTTAAATGTGAAATTAACTCTCCCTTTTGATTAGAGTTAATTGTTGATGATTTAGTCTCAGGTAAATTTAATGATGGACTTGATGAGGATAATTTTGATGACCAAACATTTGATGATGATGATTGAGACAATCGTTTAATTACATCATTAAATCTGATCAACATATCATTCAATTTAGATTCATTCAAATCAGTTGATTGTAACAATGATGATAAAGGTTGTGTCAATGATGAAGATGATGATCTAGGAGATGAAGGTGATAATACAGATGATAATGACATTCGTCTCTTATTAGGAACCCGGAAGAAGTTAATTAGTGGCATTAAAACAAATCCCAATGGTAATGACCAATAGGCGATTTCCAATGAATGTAAAATAGTGACCAAAAGTGAAGGGTCAGCAAGGAAATCTAATTGTCGAGGTGATGCTTTAGGTTGATTAACACTGTAAGTACGAAGTAATTGTAACAATTTACTTTCACTGTTGAATAATAAACTTTTCCGATTGTTGTTGTTGTTAAATTTATTATCACCGGACGATGAACAATTGTAACCATTGATTAGATTGATGATAACAATTGTAATCGTGATTAACAATATAAAGTAACCTTTCATTTTCCGTTATTTGTTATTATTTAACAAATTTAATTCTTTGTCCGGTTAACTGTTTATCCAGAAATAAGATTAAACTTTTAGACGAAACAATTAAGAGATGGACCGTAATCAAGATAATGATAATAATAACATTCACTTGTAACACAAAATTGTAAAGGTAAATCACAATTAGGAACAATTTAACTGTTGATTGTTTGAAATGACAAAAAAAGTGATCACAAATTTGGAAATTTTTTTCTTTACTACTAACAAATTGGTTGTTTTTATTACTAAACTTGATTGTGAAAGTAATAGGATAATGATCATGATAATGAGGATGAAAATGAAGATGCGGAGGAAGATGAGGATGAGGATGAGGATGAGGAGGGTGGAAGATGTTTATTCGTGGTAAGTGAGAGGAGGAGTGAAGATGATGAGGAAAAGTTTGGACTTTCTGTTCATAAATAGTAACATTTGACGTGATCACTTTTTGAGATTTACTCAATTACGTTGAGTTAATTTGAATGGTCTTTTGGTTGATTGTTTAGTTGATTATGAGTTATTAACATTTATTACAATTTCTTTGTGTTGCTTTTGTTGCTTCTTCTCTTGTTTTTTTGTTTTGTTTTATAACAATTAACAATGATGGAGATTATTACAATTACAATTGATTATTTTTCTTGCGATGGTGGTTATGTTGATTATCCTTGATGATTGTTTATAAAACAATCAATAAGTTTTCAAATTCAATTTGAGGCTTAAATCAATCAATCGATTATTATTATGTATCGCAATTAAGGCTGCTGTTGGTTGGTCTTGATCTTGGACAGTGTTGACAATCAGTTGATATTTGATTCGATGATGATTAAATGTTGCAAAAATAGTCAACTAATTGTCAATTTATATATATATATGTATATCAAAAATATGATATCAAATTGTGTATATAATAATTATATAATTATGCACTCGCAATTTAAAAATCTTAGTGATTTGTCCCTGAGATCCTTGGGTTGTGGTTCCTCGAGAAAAACAAAACTAGTGTGTTGATTTAATCCAATTCATTTGAAAATAATTTCCAATCCAAATTACTATTAATCGGAATCTTGTTTTTTTTTGGTTCACAATCAATCATAGCCTCTAATTGTGTTAGTGTTTTCCAGTGAGCCTCGTGAACGGGTTCTATTGAGCAATGCACGACGATCAGCTGTGTGAAAATTCATGGGAAGAATGAGAAAAAGACAAGATTAGTTAATGATATTGACAATAATTTAAAAGAAATTTTTTCTTTCACTCTTGTAATTTCATCGACAATTTAACTAAATCCATTGATTGTATCAATCTCACGGGTATACATATCTAACTATCCTCTCACAGAAATAAAAAATCAACCAACAATCAAGTTTATTATATTATTGCTCGGGAGAGAGATGAACATGAAAAACTGTAACAATTGTAAAGGTTAATCATGTAAGGGAAGATAAAGTTAACAATCCTTTTCTTATTATAGTTTATTGAGATGATTAGATTATAAAAATTGCTCAATTAAGGATAGGAACGTGAAGATATTGTAACTAATCATGTTTCTCTTCAACACTGAACAACAATCAACAATCACAATTAGGGTTTTATAATAAATCAAAAGGTGTTAAAATTATCAAAATATTAATCTAATAAAATTGTTAGATGAAGATGTTGGTATGAATGAGATAGTAAATCTTTTAAATTGATGGTTTCAAGTGTAAATGTAAAAAAAAATCACAGCAACAACAAAGAAATTAATTGAAGTTGTGAGGATGAGAATCTGATTAGTTTGAGCAAGAGTTGTAATAAAATGATTAACAAGTTAATTAGTTGATGATAATTAAAGTGTATGTTTACCTATCGTTCCAGGTCTTTGTTGTCGTCTTCTTGTTTTTTGAGCAAAAGCAGATCCAGTTTCCAGCGTTTTTATCAGACTATCCATGAAACCTTCCTGATCTTTGTCGATATCAACAAGTGGTTTCTTTTTGGCCAATCTTTCGGCTTTTTCTTTCTCCGCACGACTTTTCGCTTCTTTGGCACGCCTTTTCTTTTCCTCTTCTTCCCTTAAACGTACATTCTCCTTGTAACAGGCGATAAATTCATCTTTAAATGTCTTTAAATCGCCGAAAAATTCATCTAAAGTGTATGTTTTAGGTTCGAAGGTGTAAAATTGTCCCAAATCGGTATACAATCGATCCATTTTATTGAACATTGATTGTAACAGTTCAAAGGCCTTTTTAGCGTCTGTTACAAAATCGGTCATCTTAGAGCCAAATTTATCCTCTTCGCTGTGAGGTTTAAATGTCCTTAGGTCAACTTCCACATCGTGGATACTTTTCTTCATAGAGTTGAGATTTTTTTGTATCTGATCGGCAGAGACTCGAGCCGCTCGGTCAACATGGTGTAAATCTTCATAGAAATATAAACAGTCGGCATGTTTTTTCTCGACAATTTCAACTAGATAATGTAATAAGGTGGTCTTATTGTCCAGTGCTTTGGTCGATGAAAGTTTGGGAAGGAAACTAATCTCAAAGCCGAAAGCTTCACCATTGCGGGAACCCGAGTTCATGTAATTACCCACCAGAAGAATTAATTTCAATATGGTGGCAAATCTTTTTGATTTTCTCACTTCCTCACAAGCAGCAGTAGCGGCGACAATGTCAGGCTTAATATCTTGAACAAGTTCGTTAAATTTAATCTTAAAACAGGTTGATTTTAGACGAGCTTCCAATCTCTTTATTGATCCAAGTGTTAAGGCAAATTGTTCAGCTTCGTGAAGATTATTATAATCATTTCTAAATTCTTCTAGTCGGGTTAATTGTTGTGGTGTGGGCATGTATTTGATTAATTGTTGAATAATGGCATCGGTTAAATATTCTTCTCTCATGTTTAAAATGTGACCAGTGATCTCTTCGGCTGTCATCTTAATAGAACCAAATAAAATCATCAAATTTTGAGCTGCTTTTGAGTCTAAAACTTTCAGCTCTTTGGTTTTACGAATTGTACCATATTTTTCAATCGCCTCATCATTTTTTATCTTCTTCGAGTAAACTGTAGGATTAGCCGAGAATCTGGAAGTTAACCCGTCAAATATATCCTCAGAGGCAAGTAAATCTTCATCAGCTGACACCCAGAATGATTTCTCTGATATCTTGGTTGGGGTTATTTTCCTCCAGTTAGCTCGTTTAATAGGAACTTCGTGTTTATATACTTTTTTGGGCTTTAAACCTGCAGGTAATACTGGACCGGTTGGTCTGAAAGCACCGAAAGGAGGTGGTGGGGGAGGAGGTGGACCTCCGCCAAATCCTGGCATAGGTGGAGGTGGTGGTGGACCTGAGCCAGGCATTGGTGGTGGTGGAGGAATACCTCCTTTAAAACCCCCTGGCGGAGGTGGAGGAGGCGGTGGTGGTGGTGGGATTCCTGATCCTGGTGGCGGTGGCGGAGGAGGAGGTGGTGGCGGTGGTCCATTCGTAGTACCTTTAGAATGTAGAAAAAAATCAACAAAAATAAGGTTAATGTGAATAAAATGATATCAACCATTCATCATTAGGTAACGAAAGAGAGAGAGAGAGAGAGAGAGAGAAGTAGAAAAGGTAAACTCAACGTTTATACCTCAAGAAAAATAATGACTCATGATAATTTATCTCTCCTTTTTCTGTCTGAATCTGAAAGTTCAGCGAGATAATAGTTTGAAACAAGCACTTTTAATTCATAATGAAAATGAGTACAAAACTAAGAATCAATGAGCGTAATTAAAAGTAGATTAAATATCATAGGAAAGGAAACCATAATTGTATTTAAGAAGAAGAAGATCGACTCTCAATTTAATTGATCAGAATAAAGACTTTACATTAATAGAAAGAGTAGAATTAGTATCATAATCATGTTTGATTATCAATCGATTGAAAATTTTAGAGAAAAATTAAAACAATAAGGGGTGGAAATATTAATAGATTCTATCCTAATTAAGTGAATTGCTCCAGTTAAATTACTCTCCTTTTCCCTTTAATTTCTCAAAGAATTAGTCATTCTCTGTTTCTCTCTCAAAGGTAACTAATAACAACAAATGAATAAATGATTGAACGAATGAATTTATTTCTCTCGACATTAATTTTCCACTATAATCTAACATATTATTCAATTGTTATAATTCTAAAATCAGATAAATCATATCAACTCGAAAAGAAAATATTCTTTCCAATTGAGTAGCTCTCATGAAAGTGTAGAAATTTTTTCTTCTACTCTAGATTAATTTTCATCTCTATGATACGAGAAAAAAAGAAGGAAAAAATTGATGAAAATTCATTGTTGAGATGTTCTAACACAATTATCAGAACATGATAATTAGGTGAAATTAGTTGATCAACTTTTTTGTTTCCAAAACGGAACAGGAAATCCTCAATGTTTAATTTGGTGACTATTTGATTTTTAAATGAGTGTGTAAACTAAATTGCCTCTTTAACTGAATCTTTTAATCGGAAATAAAAGTCTAATTTAAATAATAGATTGAGAGGAGAAACGATCAATTTTGATTGCGCTTGATTAATTAAATGTCATGTTGATACTGCTGTTAAATTTGATTTCTAACTAACTAAATCAATAGAAGAAGAGAAAAAATAAGAACGAGAGATAATTTTTCATGAGAAAATGGGGATAAAGTTCTTACCCGAATTATATGGAATGTTATCCGTTCTATCGCCGTTACTGACCAGGTTATTATTGTTATTCGCTTGATTTTGAATTCGAGCTTTAAAGTCTTTGATCTGATGTTCGTAATCTTGTACTTTGGTCTCCAATTGTAATACTTTCGCTTCAGATTCTTGTTTAGCTGTTAACGATTCTTCCAACTTTTGGCACAGCTCATTATTATTTTTTTCCTCCTCGGCTCTTGATCTTTCAACAATATGTTCAATCACGTAATCAACATCAATGTTAATCTTTTTACCATATCTAAAATCCGGATCACAGCCACTTTTATGTAAAACAATTTGTGAGACACATTCTTCAATTAAACGGTAATAAGCGGGTCGTGCATAAGGATCATCACGAATAAGAAGTAAATGTTGTAACATTGAGAGTAAATATGGTTCCGAGGGTGTTTGCTTAATCGAATTATGAATTAATTGGAAACATTCACCAATATCTTCTAAATCGAAACGTATAGCTTCAAAACGGGAGGTTAATTCGTCAAAATCTTCATCCTTGTGTTCATTGAAAACCTTAATTTGTATATTTAATTCAGATGAAAGTGGTGATCTATCGGATGATGTTGTCAGGGTTTCCAATAAATCACATAGGCCACTTCTCATCATCTCATTTCGCAAATGTAATCTAAAATCGGTGTCATCTATATTACTGAGTATGGCGTTAATTAATTGTAAACAAGAAGCTCGAAGTGGATCATTGGTACTTATTCGTAGACCATCAATTAATGGTTTAAATCTTCCTTCTGAATCACCAAATTGTAATTCAGCAGCTCGAGTAATTGCTTCTAAAACTTTTTCACAACCTATGGGAGGGATAAGGCAAACAGCGGCTAATAATTTAACGGTGTCCATGATTATATTGGGTAATGAAGGATCAATTGATCTCGCTAAGAGGGTAAAGGCATCTTTATCGTTGAAAGCTTGCTTAAGGCCAGCGGTGTTGTTCATAAAGGCTTTGAGACATTTGATACATTCGTGTTGAAGTTTATGACGGAGTCTGTCGTTGGTTGAATAACATTTGTTTAAAATCATAACAATAACACTTAAACCATTATTATCACCGAAATCTTGGACCCATGAAACAGGATTATTGGTTAATTCGACTCTTAATGATTCCATTCGATGGCACAATTTGGAGAAATCATTTGAATTGATGATATAGTTGATATAATCCAAGGGCTGGACAAATTTTGAACGATCTTTATTTATCTGGTCTGAACGAGATTTCCAATAATTTTCTAACATATTCTTCTTATTTTCCAGGGACATTATTCGTATGGGCTTCTTTTTCTCTTCGGTGAGATTCATCTCATTCAACATTTCTTCAAATTTAGACGAAATTTCTTCTTTTGACATTGACTCGGTGAGTCTCTGAACTTGGATCATATTTCTTGTTTCCATTTTCGCTTGGTTATCCCTCAGATGAATAACTAATGGAACTATGCGAATATTTATATATAAATATAGACAAGATAAAAAAGATTGTAAAAAGTGAAAGAGAAAAAGAAGAAGAAAAAAAAACAGAAAAAAAGGAGAGAAAGAAAAAAAAACAAAAACTATTATGTAAAATTATTAGAAGCCAAAGGAAACCACATAGGCAACAGGTGAAGGCGGTGCTGTTGATCCTTTAACGATGGGACAGAGACTAACGGGTTAAACAGGTAGTTGTGAACAAAGGTAAATCACACAAGTCAAATTAATTAAAACATAACAATTTATTTTAATTGTAATCATAATAAAAACCAAACAAAAGGTTAACAAAAAATAAACGTTAATGAAACATTTCGGATCAGATATTTGGATCTTTTTACCAAAACGAGTCCAGAAAAATTCGAAATCAGCGCCATCTATTGGGTAACAATGAAAGAATATCCAACAATTAATTTTCTTCACCACCAAATTGTAATTAAGATTAAATTGCTACAATCAATTGTTTATAAAAGAAACTAAAAGTAGAAGTTCAATTCAATTGAACGCGGGATGTAAATTACTGTTGTTCTGTGATAATAATCAAATTGAATCAAATGAATTGTTGTATTTTTGTTTAGATTTTTCTTAAAGTTAATTAAGTTAATTGTTTGATTGGATGAGTTAAAATTAATGAAAATGAGTGAAATTTAAATGAATAAGGAATCAGAATACCAATCGGTTAGTTGTAAACTGTAGATTTGATTGTAATGGTTGATTGTTTTTCACTTCTATAATTAGTGATTACTAGATTTTCCTTTTTTAGCCTGAGGGGATTTTTACCCAACCCATTTAATTGTTGGGAAAGGTTAAAATGTAATCGTGATGATTAAATTGGTCTATTATTGTGGATGAGAAACTTTTTTGAAAAAAAGGTGTGTGTCCATCATTTAGACACAGTTAACGGACACTGGTCATTATTAGAATGGTTTAATTAGAGTAACAAATCAATGAGATCATTTTTTTTCATTGGAAACAAATATTAATACAAATTTTGTGTTTCTAATTGAACAAAAATTGAACACACTTCTGATTAATTGGTTTAATCAGTAGCACAATGATGGTGTGTCTTCAATTGGTTGTTTTCCTTGATTGTTTGTCAAGTTTTGGCTGTGTCAGAAAATCATTGGAGTAGGAAAATTAATGTCAATGAATTAAAGTTAATTAGGTAAAAAAAGATACGGAAAACGAGAGAGAGAGAGAGAGAAAATTTAAATGTGGAAAATGTAACAATTAATGGTAATAATAATGGAAAGGTATATGAGAGATCATCGGTCAAAATATATACTCTATATGGCGATAAGATTGTGATCTTTGTTTACTTTGTTGCTTTTTTTTGATTGTGTTGAGCATTGAAATCAAATGTTGAATTGATTGATTTTCTTGGTGTTTTTTTTTTGGTTGATCGGAGAGCATGTTAATCAAAAACACCAATCGATTGGTTTAAATGGTTCCTGAGTCTTTTGTTCATAAGTGTGATGCCAAAGTTCCCGATATGTTTCTTGAAGCGTATTACTATCAACCACCACCGATTGACAGTCCAGTTTTTTTGTTGGGTGTGGTCGGAAGTAGGCGATTTGTGAGGCATAGCCAACATTTGGATACTCTTTGGTGGGAATACCAACTCCCGTTATCTCATAATAATAATCTGGATAATTAGTGATCACCTTTTCACACCAATCATGAAATTGACTTCGAGTCCATTCAAATTTATGATCATAGTGACGGAATCTTGGCTCCTTATTACCAAAGATAACATTAAATTCAATATTTGGCGTTGTAATTGCGACCAATTTAGGTTTATAGATACCAAAATACAATCAACCAGCTCATCAACTTTATCCTCTTCCATGTGCTCAATAACTTCAACACAAGAAATTGCATCGATACCAATTAAACGAGGATCAGGTTTACAAATGTCACCTTGGTAAATATAAACATCTAATTGTACCTGACGACCCATAATATAATCAGCAACAATTGGTTCAATTTTCCTATTAGCATAGGCAAGTGAAAAATCATCCAAATCAACAGCAATTATTTTCTCTAAATGTCCAATTGGTTTAAAGTATTTCAATAAATTACCTTCCGAACAGCCCAAGTCAGCGACACTTTTAATTGTCTCCTTATTGTTGATCACTGCACCGATAACGGCATCATAACGTTGTAAATATAAAGGTGGATTGAATATTCGACGAGTGTTTTCAAACAATTTCTCACGTTGGGCTTCAGTTTCCTCCATTTCGGTACACATTTTAATCAAAAACAATCAACAATTAACAACAACAACAAGAAAAAAACTAAATCGAAAAAAGAATTTGTATCGATATTTGATCCGATATTTTCATTTTCTCCAAGTATCTGATCCATAGTCACTTCTTTTCTAAACTAAATTGTTATCATTAAATTTCTCGATTGTTTTCACTTAATTAAATCAACATTTTAATTTCTTTCATCGATTTGGGCAATTAATTGAACAACAATATCAACTTTACAGTTAAGAGTCTTTCATTAGAGTGAAATTATTGATTGTGTTTAGATTGACCGATTGACTCAATTGATTGTTGTTTCCAAATCATTTAGCTGGTGATTCTAATTGATTAATTAGTTGGAACACTTGTAATTGTGTTAATCTTATAATCTTAATTAAATGAGAAGTTTAATATTTCCATTTGTTTGATTGTTTTATCTCATTGAGTTTGATTGTTTATCTTGCCGATCTTATAATTGTTTTCTCTTGTGATCTTTCAGTGTTTCGTTTTTGTGTCAACAATTTGATTCTCTATCAGTGATCAATTTAGAGAATCAAATTAAAATGTCTTCTAGTTTAAACATTCAAATACTTGGATGTATCTATTTACTTCAATTCTCTATGGTGAGTTACATTTTCTATTCTATTCTATTTTATTAATTTTGTTCTATTCTTTTTCTCTGTCTCTCTAGGGCCTTGTGTTTGAAGTAGTTAGTCCAACAATTGATGAATTACAAGCAATCACCAATTCGAGTTCAGATAAAATATCAATCATTTTCTCATTAAGATCAACAGGTTATGTATTAGGATCGATTGCAGGTAAAGCTGATGTTTCTATTATCCATTTCCCTCTCGATTGTTTATTTTATCCATTCATCAATAACAATCAGCTGATGGAAAAGTCAATCACATATTGAAAAGTTAATCAACAAAACGGATCCTCTTGTTATCACAAATTAGTGTCAAGGATTAAATTAATCACTCTATCCATAAATTAACCGACTTAACACTCAGTTAAAACAAGAAGCAATTAAATCCTGAATATGTTTGCTGATTAATAACATGATTGATAAAATTATCACGATTACAATTTTGTATCTTCACTTCAAGTATAGATAATTTTTTTTACAATTCTCACAATCATTTCATTTAGAAAATGAAGTCCTTGTTAATTATATAATTAATCATCACTGAATGTAACATTATATTGATTATTTTCCACTTTCTATCATCTCTTTTCTTTCCAGGCGGTGGAATATTTCATTTCTTTGTACCTTTGGCTTCTATCATGTGCCGTCTTGATTAGCACAATTACGATTTCCTCGATTGGTTTTATTCGTAATTTGGAATTACTTTATGCGATTTTTACGATCAATGGATTGGCCACTGGAATTATCGATGTTGGCACCAACGTTTGGATCCTTCGACTTTTCTCCGCTAAAAGTGGACCTTACATTATGGCTCTTTTTACCTCTTTCTCTGTCGGCACTATTTTAGCTCCACTTTATACTGGACCTTTTTTACAAGAACTTCCCTCGCCCCAAGCATCCTCGCAACTTTATGTTCCTTATCTGGTGACTGGATTTTTCGTTTTTCTCTCATTAATTGGATTGTTGGTGTTATTTTGTCAACAGTTACGTTTAAGATACTCGGAGAGAAACTTTTTCGCTCGTCGAGCTCAGAAACAAGATGACCAAACTGTTTCTCCCGAAACAATTGGTGATCGAAAATATCGACGAACAGTTAGTTCAAGTGAGAAAAGTTTGGTCATCATCGGTGTTCTAATGATAATGTTTTACTCGGGAATGGAAATTATTTTCTCCGAGTATATGGTTCCCATGTTAACTCGAAGTAAACTTGGAATTACTCGAAAAGTGGCCACACATATACGATCTTCGTCCAATTCTGCTCACACCATTGGTAAAGTTATTTTCATTGGAATATCGGCTTTCATTCAACCTTATCGACTAATACTTTTGGACTCTTTGTTGATAATCTTTTCGAGTATCATGTTAATCATTTTCTTTAATACCTCATTACCGGTATTATGGATTTTCTCAGTCACTTTTGGCCTTGGATCTTCCAGTTTATATCCGTCAATTTATCCTTTCATTGAGTCTTTTGTAACAATCGACTATTTCAAAGGTTCGTTTTTCATATGTGCCAGTGGATTGACCGCAATCATTTATCCAATTTTCGTTGGAAGTTATTTAACATCAATACCCACCTTATTACTTTATCTTCATTTATCCACAATGATAATTACAATCTTTTTTGCCACCGTAATTAACATCATGGGAAATAGATTACTTTTAATCCAATCCAATTATCCAGCAATTAGTAATTTTGCTGATGAAGATAATGAAAACAATTGAAACATTCAAGTGTCTAATCACATATGGAAACAAACATATGAAATTTTTAATCTTAATCATTATCTTTGGAAACAATTGTAATTACATGATTAACTTTAAACTAATCATCTTCATATTAATTGTAAATCTCAATCAAAACCAAAACTAATCAGACTCGTAGCTATTGAATTTTGAGTATTTACTCTGATTTTTTTTAATTGTTAACTGTTTTTGTTACAATAGTTTTAACATAATCCAATCAATCATCTAATCAAGTCAAATTTATCGCAATCAAAGTTAATTTATAAAAGAAAATTTTTTTTCAACAAAATCGATTTTGTTTTTCCCGCTCTCAAATTTTCTCTCGCCGACCAACAGATGCCATTGGTCTCGATTCTTTTAAACGTGTTGGTTTTCATTCATCAACATTTGGTTTCTTTTGTTTATTAAATTGTAACAATTTATTTTCTATTTATTTTAATTATTTTGACCAATTATTTTTAATTTTTTGTTTGATTGTTTTTCTTTGTTCCGAAAATGCCTTCGGAAAGTAAAGTGATCACTTCTTGGGCAGATGAAGGTGGTGACGATGATGATTATGGTTCTTTTGATGAGGAAACTTTACCACCTCCTTCATTGAAGATTGAAGGAAATACCAAGATTGTTACTTCTTATAAATATGAAGATGGTAAAAAATACAAGGTAATCAGTCATTACAAGATTGAACGAATCAAAGTGTCGAAAGCAGTTTCAACCAGAAAACAATGGAAAAAGTATGGAAAAGCTATTGATGATCCACCAGGTCCCAACTCTTCAAATACTATTTGTTGTGAGGATGTTTACATGCAGTTTATTTCCAGCAAAGATGATGAGAATATGGATAAAGATGATCCTCTACAAAATCTTGGTAATAAGAATGTTGTCAAGTGTCGATACTGTGAGATGGATCATTGGACTCTCAAATGTCCTTATAAGGATAAGTTTGAAAATAAAGAAAAAGAAAGTGGTGCTGGTCCATCTTCAATCAATCTCGATTCACTTCGTGGTGCTGGTGATGATAAGAAAGGAGGCCTTGGTGGTAAATATCTTCCACCCAGTCTTCGAGAGGGTGGAAATAAACGAGGTGATTTCTTGGTAAACAGCAAATCAAAGGACGAAGCCAATACAATTCGTGTCACCAATTTACCAGAAGAGATTCAAGATGGTGACATTAAAGATCTTTTCCATCAATTTGGTAAAATTGTTCGAATCTTTTTGGCGAAAGATAAATACACTGGACAATCTAAAGGATTTGCTTTTGTTAGTTTTGATCGCAAGGAAGATGCTGCAAAGGCAATTAAACACGTTAATGGATTTGGTTATGCTAATCTTATTCTCAATGTAGAATGGGCTAAACCATCTAACAACAATTAAGAAATTATAAATATTAGTTTGAAATAATCAATTTGTTCATATAAAAAAAACATCAAAATTGGACGCAATCATTGATCAAGATAAAATTGAATAAATTTTCTTAATTGATAACAATTACTTTGATCTCATTCGTTATCTTAATTGTTGTCGAACCTTTTGATGATGAATTGTTGTAATCAGGATTATTATTATTCAAAATGCTATTGTTTAAAATTGATTGTGGTTTTACGGAAGATAAAGATGAAGATGTGGATAAGGTTGATGAGGTTGGTTTAATTGTGGTGGACAATTGTTGGAATCGGGAAGCTAAATCTTTGACTGAAGGTGAACATGATGATTGAGAAGTTGCTAATCTCTCACTGGTCAATCGTCCAAGAGATTCACTGGACATTTCATTTCGTTTTTCTCGTAACTCTTGAAGGAAACTTTCTGGTGGCGGTGGAAGCTCATCATTAGGCTCAATTCCAGTCGAAGGTGATCCTGGTTTAATTAGACAACAATCAACTTCATCTACGGGAGGAGGTGGAGGTAAAGGTGAAGGCGATGGTGGGGTTGGAACTGTTGTAATCAATTTCGTAAGATCAGATCTTTAATTGAATAAACAGATAAAGTTTTATTTGATTGGTTTTAACTGGTCGATTCCTCATTAGATCATTGAGGTAAAACTTCTTCATTCTTGATGTCTTTCGTTTAATTTCAACTTTCATCAATGATGATAATTATTGTTTGGTCATGGTTTTCTGGAAATTTAGGCATTGATGAGGATAATTGTTGTTGCTTATTTGCTATTGGATTGTTGGTTGATTAATTCTTTACAGGATTTCTTTGAGAATTATAATTGAATCATCTTCTTTACAGAATTACCTGAGATCATTATTACTTGATCATGAACTATTAGATAAATAGCATCATTAACTATTGCTGTTAAATTACTTTGATTGTTTGTATTAGGAATCGTGATACTGATTATTACTATTATTAAGTGCTGTTTAGGAGTAATGATTTTGAGTATTTTCCTTATTTTCTCGTTTAATCTCGGTTGAACCATCTCTTGAATTTTGTCGACTATGACGACTGTGAATCTGCTTCCTTGACAGAAGCCTGAAGTTTCCCGCCAATTGATTCCATTTTAACTCGACGTTTTCCTCTGCTTCTTTCTCTTTGATTCTTTTATGAAGATTAGCCGATCTCATGACACAAATACTGTGCTTCATTTGGCGAAACAAGCATTTGAGGATTACTGTAAGGTGCCGCCATTGCGAATCGGGCCTTGTGAGCAGCCGAATCACTTAAAGCGGCTGCAGTTATAAGATCACCTTCTCTCTCCTTTTCAACGGATTTCATCATGAGAACATCAGATTGACTACAAAGTTGATCACAATCTTGAAGTGCTGATCCTCCATTAGCCATGAGACCCATGAGTTGAACATCTTCTGGAATTTGGGTTAATCGTGAGTTTCCTGAAAAGTAACCAGCTGATTGTTTGGTTGGTGTTGTTTGTCCCATCGACGGATAAGAATCACTAGACGACAGGGAAAATGAATCATAACCTTGATCAATTGTTGAGGTGGTTGATTTTTTAGAGAATCGAGAATGATCACCCGATGAGGATGAAGTTGATGATGTTGAAGATGAAGATGATTGTGAAGGTGGGACAGGTTGAAGGAAACGTCCATTAGATGATGAAGATGATGAGATTTTCGATGAGAATGATGTTGAAGAAATGATGATCGGGTCAACGGTGAATTTGGACATCATCGGAAGCTGATCTTACATTGATTGGAGTAGATCGTCATTGAACCAGGTCTAGCGGTGATAATTATGCTGATTAGTGTTTTAGGTAATCCATGGTTCCATAAATATTTGAACTCAAGAGCCCGTTGATGTTGATACGAATTGAGGAAGATGATGAACCACTGAACGGAAAGTGATTGTTGTTGCTGTTGAGGGTAATGATTTGGCAAAGGAGCAAGGACAACAGGATTAGGCCTCGATGGAGGTGGTGGCATAATATTGGTTATTGGAACCATTTGAAACTGTTCCATGCAAGATAAGTTGTCGATGATTGTATTATTATATTGTGTTGATGATAGAGAGAAGGTATCATATTGATCGTCTTGTTGAGCTGATATTTGACCTGATCTTAGATGATGGATGAAGAAGATGAATGAAACCATTTAACGGTTAATCAATGATTTTGATGAGAATGATGATCGACCATAATGATTGAGCAAGTAAGGATTTTCCTCTTGAGGTTATCAATGAAATGATTAGCGGATATACGATCTTGGAACCATTCGATGAATTACCGAATCTCGTCGTTTAAGAATATGTTTCGATGTGAGTATAAATTTATCTTTCATATGAGCGTTTAGGTAAATTAAGTTCAGCCAATAGGAATCAATTGACCACAGAATGATGGGTGAGATAAAGAAACCAGCTATACTGATTGTTTGTTGATGTTTTTGTCCTTGGACCATAAGAATCACTAGACGATAGGGAAATGAATAATAACCTTTACAAATTATTGTATAAATTGTATCGATCGTAATTAAAATTCAACAAGTGCTAATCTCGCAACACTACAATAGATTTTGTATTTGCCGCTTGTAAAAAAACAAAAACTTTAACTTAACAATCCTTTGGATCATAACGGTTAATTTATTGTTTTTTTGGTTATCTAATTGTTTTTAATGTTTGTCGTTATTTAGTTTGTTTGATTCCCGTTGTTCTAAAATGGCATTTATAAATAAAGTGATCACTTCTTGGGCAGATTAAGGTGGTGACGATGATGATTATGGTTCTTTTGATGAGGAAACTTTACCACCTCCTTCATTGGAGATTGAAGGTAATACCAAGATTGTTACTTCTTATAAATACGAAGATGGTAAAAAGTACAAGGTAATCAGTCATTACAAGATTGAACGAATCGAAATGTCAAAAGCAGCTTCGACCAGAAGACAATGGAAAAAGTATGGAAAGTCGATTGATGATCCACCAGGTCCCAACTCCTTGAATACTATTTGTTGTGAGGATGTTTACATGCAGTTTATTTCCTGCGAAGATGATGAGAATATGGATAAAGATGACCCTCGAAAAACTCTTAGTAATATGAGTGAAGGTAAATGTCGTAATTGCGGGATGGATCATTGGACAATTGAATGTCCTTATAAGGATAAGTTTGAAAATAAAGAAAAAGAAAATGGTGCTGATCCATCTTCAATCAATCTCGATTCACTTCGTGGTGCTGGTGATGATAAGAAAGGAGGTCTTGGTAAATCTCTTCCACCCAGTCTATTAGATGGTGGAAATAATCGAGGTGATTTCTTGGTCTCTAAAGACGAAGCCAAGAAAATTTGTGTTACCAATTTACCAGAAGAGATTCAAGATGGTGACATCAAAGATCTTTTCCATCAATTCGGTAAAATTGTGCGAATCTTTTTGGCGAAAGATAAATACACTGGACAATCTAAAGGATTTGCTTTTGTTAGTTTTGATCGCAAGGAAGATGCTGCCAATGCAATTAAACACGTTAATGGATATGGTTATGAGCATCTTATTCTCAATGTAGAATGGGCTTTCGATGCTAATCGAAAATCTGAAGACAATGAATCAATTCCATTGAAAAATTATTCTCAATACCATACTTATACTCGAGATTATACTCAATTTGATGTTGAACTATTATCACAATTATATTGTTTTCTCAAAAAAGTTTCCACGAAAAAGATCGTGAAAGATAAGTCAAAACGGCATCGTTCATATTATTCATGGAAGAATGGGGAATGGAGAATTCGATTTTTTTGGAGAAATTTTTTTAAAAATACTTATCTCATGCATTGATTATCATGGTAACATTTTAAGAGTCAATATCCACTGATTTAACTGACACCCATCATTTAAGTTACTATTTGATAGAATGAAATAAAAGACAACAATTGTAATTAAATATTATTTTATTTACATTATTTACATATTTGTATGTTGATAAATTAAGATGGATTGATAATGTTAAGAATAGTGGTGATTGTTAAGTAAAGATTTAATGTACACTTGAATTTGTGGATTAGATTTGAAATAAACAATTAAATTGTTTTGGGAAGAGGGTATTGATTGAATAAAAAAATAAGGTAATCTTTCACTGGTCAATCGTTCAAGAAGAGATTCACTGGACATTTCATTTCGTTTTTCTCGTAACTCTTGAAGGAAACTTTCTGGTGGCGGTGGAAGCTCATCACTTGGCTCAATTCCAGTTGAAGGTGATCCTGGTTTAATTAGACAACAATCAACTTCATCTACGGGAGGAGGTGGAGGTAAAGGTGAAGGCGATGATGGGATTGGAACTGTTTTAATCAACACCGGTCGTAGTGGTGAAGGCTTGGTAATTGGGCAATTAGTGTTACTAGAAGGTTTAATTGTTGTCAAACCCATTGATGACATTTCCTCTGAGCATTTAGGGCGAGATGGAGTTGGTGGTCGGGGTATCAAATGTTTTTGAATCTGATTAATATTTGATGTTAATTGATTTCCTCCGGTTGACACTTTCTGCTGATTACCTATTGGTGATTTAATTTGATTGTTTGCTTGTTCTAATTTAGATGTTTCCAATAACGGTGGTTTAACTTTCAATAATGATGGACATTGATTGTTAATTGTACAAGAATCATCACCAGTGTTGAGCGTTGAATTTTTGGTTGAATCAATTTCGGAAGGTCGATCAGAAGAATCAGATTTAGGTTTTCCTTAGATCGAAGACTTGATTCTTTCGTTTCATAAAACTGCCGATTAAAAGTTTCCTTCGGATTTTATGTTTCTTATTGTTTGATGATTCGGAAGTTAAATCACCGATACTTGTTTCAGAATAGATATCAGTGTCAACTGATTTAATTGAAGTTGAAGATGAAAATAATGATGATGATACTGTTGGTGATTCAGTTGTTGTTGTGGTGGTTGATGTTGATCATAATAGATTGCTAAATAGTGATTGGTATCGGTCATCATTTTATTGTAAATCATGAATCTCTTTGATTGAACCATCTCTTGAATTTTGTCAACTATGACGACTGTGTAGAGAATCTCGGCTTCCTTGATGAGAATGACCTGAAGTTTCCCCGCCAATTGATTCCATTTTAACTCGACGTTTTTCCTCTGCTTCTTTCTCTTTGATTCTTTTATGAAGATTAGCTGATATAATCTTGAATTGCTGATCGTTCATTAGACATGAAGCTCATGAGTTGAACATCTTCTGGAATTTGAGTTAATCGTGAGTTTCCTGAAAAGTAACCAGCTGATTGTTTGGTTGGTGTTGTTTGTCCCATTGATGGATAAGAATAGCTAAACGACAGGGAAATAGAATCATACCTCGATCAATTATTCTCTAAATTGTATCACTCGTAATTAAAATTCAACAAGTGAAAATCTCGTAACAATACAATAGATTTTTTGTATTTGCCGCTCCAACTTTAAAAAAAGCAAAACTTTAACTGAACAATCCTTTGGATCATAACGGTTAATTGGAAATTAATTTTTTGTTTGTCTCAATTATCTTGACCGATTGTTTCTAATTGTTGATTCGCTTTAATTGTTTTTCTTTGTTCCGAAATGCCCAGGAAAAGTAAAGTCTCTGGGGTATATCAAGGTGGTAAAATGTTGGTTATGGTTCTCTCGATAAGAAAACTTTACCACTTCCCTCATTGAAGATTGAAGGAGATATCAAGATTGTTACTTCTTATAAATACGAAGATGGTAAAAAGTACAAGGTAATCAGTCATTACAAGATTGAACGAATCGAAATGTCAAAAGCAGCTTCGACCAGAAGACAATGGAAAAAGTATGGAAATTCGATCGATGATCCACCAGGTCCCAACTCCTTTAATACTATTTGTTGTGAGGATGTTTACATGCAGTTTGTTTCCTGCGAAGACGATGAGAATATGGATAAAGATGATCCTCTACAAAATCTTAGTAATAAGTGCCTAGTTAAATGTCAATACTGTGAGATGGACCATTGGACACTTAAATGTCCTCATAAGGACAAGTTCGAGCTCAAGCGAATACATCAGGACAAGTCGACAGCTAAAAAGGCAAATCATAAGAATAAATGTAGAAAAAAATGTCTCTGTAAAGATGATAATCAATATTTTCCTCTCAATGTTCGGCAGGGTGTAAACAATCGAGGTGATCTCTTGGTCTCTAAAGACGAAGCCAAGACAATTCGTGTTACCAATTTACCAGAAGAGATTAGAAAGTGTAATATCAAAGATCTTTTCCATCAATTCGGTAAAATTGTCCGTATCTCTTTGCCAAAAGATAGATACACTGGACAATCTAAAGGATTTGCTTTCGTACGTTTCGATCGCAGCGAAGATGCAACCAAAGCAATTAAACAAGTTAATGGATTTGGTTATGCTAATCTTATTCTAAATGTTGAATGGGCTTCCGATGCTAATCGAAAATCTAAAGTCAATGAATTAATTCAATTGAAAAATTATTCTCAATTCTATGGTCAACGATATACTCGAAGCAGCGTTGAAGTTTTACTTCGATCACAAGACCTTCTAAAGAAAATGGCTCAAAAAATGAGAACGAGAGACAAGAAAAGATTGAAAGATCCTTCACTTAAGAGCTTCGAAGGCTCGAAAAAACATTTCTCGAACTTATATTTTTTTTGAAAATCGTCGCGTGGACCTTTTAGTATCTCCTTCAATTTTGTTTCTATGAATTTACCATTTGATAGAATGAAATTAAATTAAAGACAACAATTGTAATTGAATATTGTTTTTATTTGTGTTGATAAATTAAGATGAATTGATTGTGATGATATAATTGTAATGATTGTATGTACACTTGGATTAAATATGAAATAAACAATTAAATTGTTTTGGAAAAAGATATTGATTGAATAAAAAAATATTCGATAGGCACTGGAATTAACTTTTTACAGAAAATCACAATTTTTATGTCAACAATTGGGCTAAATTGTTAACTTTATTTTACGAACGGAAAATATCCGTTAATTGGCTTAATTAAAATCAGATTCTATTTATGAGGAAATGAGTGATGCTTATGCAGGGCTCGGCTGTGCCATTGCTTTTCCACCGCCATTGCCTCCCAAGACCCTTTGGAGAAGTGGGTTCGGCAGGTAATCTTCATCATCGTCTTCAGCGGGAGCCACGAGAACGACTTGATCTGAAAAAGAGACACTCTTTTTGGGCGTTGAACTATTATTGTCCTTCCGTCGGTTCGCAATCTCGTCAACCTTAATTGGACTAATGACTTGTTGTTGTTGATTATTAGATTGATTCTCGATTGAATTGTTAATTGAGGGGCAAGGAGAAGGAGCTGAGATTGATTTTTGTTGATTATCTAATGATGTTAAAAGTGATTTCCGTCCGTTGGGACAAACGGAAGTCATTGGTACTAAAGAGATTGGAGTTGGTCGTATCAGCGGTGGATTATTTTTACTAGAGGATTGACTAAGAGTTGTGACTGGCGAGGGTGAGATTTGATGATCAACTGTTGAATTGTTACAATTAACTGTTGATGGTGAAGGTGAAGATGTAAGTCTTTTTAAATCTTTCATTAATGAGAGACGTTTAATTGCTGTTTGATAATCTGGTGGTCTATTGGGTCTACCTGGTCCATTAATATCAGTTGTTGAATTAATTGTTGGAGTTGGAGATGAACATTTTATTTGACCATTAACGATTAAATTGTCTTTATTATTTCCAAGATTAATGGTTGATTGCGATGTTGATGGTGCTTCTAAATTGTTCCGTATCGTTGATCCCAATAAAGTTACTACACGAAGACCTTGTCTAAGTGATGATGGGCTAGTTGAATTATTATTAGAAGCACAATTAACATTACCATTGTTAATTGAATTTACCGTTGTTGGTGATGGGTTAACTGTTGATGGTGAAATGGTTGACTGATTAGCCTGAGACTGAGTTAATGAACAGGAAGATTTATCTCCATTGATATTAACTACTTTGTAAAATTTAGATGATGATGTTGATAAGATTGAAGAAGATGCTGATCGTTGATGTGATGAATTGTTGTAATCAGGATTATTATTATTCAAAATGCTATTGTTTAAAATTGATTGTGGTTTTACGGAAGATAAAGATGAAGATGTGGATAAGGTTGATGAGGTTGGTTTAATTGTGGTGGACAATTGTTGGAATCGGGAAGCTAAATCTTTGACTGAAGGTGAACATGATGATTGAGAAGCGGAAGATGATAATGATGATGATTTAAGATTGGTATCACTTTGAGCGTTGGTATTGTTGGTGTTGTTGGTCAATGATAATGGACAAGATTTAATAGAAGCTGAATCAATACAATCACCATAATCTGATCGTGTTGTTGGTACTCTGATTGGAGATAAAGTTTCACATGAATATGAAACAATCGAGTCCCTTGACGATGGTGAAGTTGCTAATCTCTCACTGGTCAATCGTCCAAGAAGAGATTCACTGGACATTTCATTTCGTTTTTCTCGTAACTCTTGAAGGAAACTTTCTGGTGGCGGTGGAAGCTCATCATTAGGCTCAATTCCAGTTGAAGGTGATCCTGGTTTAATTAGACAACAATCAACTTCATCTACGGGAGGAGGTGGAGGTAAAGGTGAGGTTGATGATGGGATTGGAACTGTTTTGATCAACACCGGTCGTAGTGGTGAAGGCTTGGTAATTGGGCAATTAGTGTTATTAGAAGGTTTAATTGTTGTCAAGCCCATTGATGACATTTCCTCTGAGCATTTAGGGCGAGGTGGAGTTGGTGGTCTGGGTATCAAATGTTTTTGAATCTGATTAATATTTGATGTTAATTGATTTCCTCCGGTTGACACTTTCTGCTGATTACCTATTGGTGATTTAATTTGATTGTTTGCTACTTCTAATTTAGATGTTTCCAATAATGGTGGTTTAACTTTCAATAATGATGGACGTTGATAGATTCCCATTCCTTGGTGGAAACCTTTCTTGCTAATTTTGGCAACCATTGGTGGAGGTGGTTGATTGTTGTTAATTGTACAAGAATCATCACCAGTGTTGAGCGTTGAATTTTTGGTTGAATCAATTTCGGAAGGTCGATCAGAAGAATCAGATTTAGGGTTTTCCCTTAGATCGGGAAGACTTCGATTCTTTCGTTTCATAAAACTACCGATTAAAAGTTTCCTTCGGATTTTATGTTTCTTATTGTTTGATGATTCGGAAGTTAAATCACCGATACTTGTTTCAGAATAGATATCAGTGTCAACTGATTTAATTGAAGCTGAAGATGAAAATAATGATGATGATACTGTTGGTGATTTAGTTGGTGTTGATTGGGTTGTTGTTGTGGTGGTTGATGTTGATCCTGATAGACTACGTTTCAATGGTTCCTTATTTCCGTTGGTACTTTTAACTGCTTCCCATTCACTATAATAATTATCACTAAGATCAGAATCTTTAATTGAATAAACAGATAAAGTTTTATTTGTATTGGTTTTAACTCGAGGTCGAGTTATCCTCATTATCGAACCGATTGAGGTTAGGCCACTTCCACATTCGGCATCACTCTTGATGTCACTCGGTGGTGGTTTATGTTCAGATCTTTTCATCAATGATAGATAATTATTGGTATTGGTCATTGGTTTTTCTGGCAAATTTGGAGGCACATTAGTCGAGGATAATTGTTGATTTGATGATTGTTGTTGCTCACTATCAATTGCTATTGGATTGTTGGTTAAAGTTAATTTCTTTTTACAGGATTTCTTTGGTAAAGTGGCATATAATTGAATCGTCTTCCTATTACCTGGGAAATTACCTGTAGATACATTATTACTTGCGATCACTGAACTATTGGCATAAATAGCACCATCGTTGTAACTATTGGCACCATTGATTAAATTACTTTGATTGTTTTTATTGGGAATCGTGATGGTGTTACTTTGATTATTGTTACAATTAGAAGTGCTGTTTAGGAGTAATGATTTTCTAGTATTTTCCTTATTTTCTCGTTTAATCTCCTTGATTGAACCATCTCTTGAATTTTGTCGACTATGACGACTGTGTAAAGAATCTCGGCTTCCTTGACGAGAATGACCTGAAGTTTCCCCGCCAATTGATTCCATTTTAACTCGACGTTTTTCCTCTGCTTCTTTCTCTTTGATTCTTTTATGAAGATTAGCCGATCTCATGACACAAATACTGTGCTTCATTTTGGCGGAAACAAGCATTTGAGGATTACTGTAAGGTGCCGCCATTGCGAATCGGGCCTTGTGAGCAGCCGAATCACTTAGAGCGGCTGCAGTTATAAGATCACCTTCTCTCTCCTTTTCAACGGATTTCATCATGAGAACATCAGATTGACTACAAAGTTGATCACAATCTTGAAGTGCTGATCCTCCATTAGCCATGAGACCCATGAGTTGAACATCTTCTGGAATTTGGGTTAATCGTGAGTTTCCTGAAAAGTAACCAGCTGATTGTTTGGTTGGTGTTGTTTGTCCCATTGATGGATAAGAATCACTAGACGACAGGGAAAATGAATCATAACCTTGATCAATTGTTGAGGTGGTTGATTTTTTAGAGAATCGAGAATGATCACCCGATGAGGATGAAGTTGATGATGTTGAAGATGAAGATGATTGTGAAGGTGGGACAGGTTGAAGGAAACGTCCATTAGATGATGAAGATGATGAGATTTTCGATGAGAATGATGATCGACCATAATGATTGAGCAAGTAAGGATTTTCCTCTCTTGAGGTTATCGATGAGATGGATGAAGCGGACATACGATCTCCCGAACCATTCGATGAGTTACCCGAATCTCGTCGTTGAAGTGAACATGCTTTCGCTGTGAGCATAAATTTATCTTCATATGAGCGTTTAGGTAAATTAAGTTCAGTCGAATAGGAATCAATTGAACTAACAGAGTTACGCTGTTGACCTTTACAAGAAGTATAAAGTTGATCAATAACAGGTTGTTGTTGATTTTGGGCTGATTGTTTATGCTGCATGGATAATATATTTTCAACTGTTTTCCTTGAGATGTAACCGGAATCAGTATCACCAGCATCGGAAAAGTAGGTTGAAGAAACTGATGATCGGGTCAACGGTGAATCTGGTACATCATCGGAAGCTGATCCATATTGATTGAGTAGATCGTCCATTGAACCAGGTCTAGCGGTGATTTGATGCTGATTAGTGTTTACAGTTCGTTTTGGCGGTAATCTCATGGTTCCATAAATATTTGACCCTCCAAGAGCCCGTTGATGTTGATACGAATTGAGGGAAGATGATGAACCACTCGAACGGAGTGACTGTTGTTGCTGTTGAGGATAATGATTTGGCAGCGAAAGCAAGGACAACGGCCGATTAGGCCTCGATGGAGGTGGTGGCATATTATTGGTACTATTGGAACCATTTGAAACCGTCGCCGATGCAAGATAAGTTGTCGATGGATTTGTATTATTGTTACTGTAAGTTGATGATAGAGAAGGTATCATATTGATCAGTCTTTGTTGAGCCGATATTTGACCTGATCTTAGATGATGCGGATGAAGAAGATGAGAATGGAAACCATTTACACGGTTAATCAATGATTTTCTATCACTTGAACCATTAGGATGATTGGAGACTCTAATTATCGATTGTGGTGCAGTTGAAGCATTAATTGCAGTACCCGTAGGGTTAGCATAGAGAAGGAGTAAAGGTTGAAAGTGACCTTTAATACATTTATCAACAACCTGATCCCAATGAGGTCCAATCTCACGGACTGCGGCATCGTCAAAATATATCCAACAGGAAAGGCTGGTGTGATAGAAAAATGTTGAATAATGTTTACCATAATAAGTTACAAGTCCAACCAGTTCCAGAACCGATGATGAGGATGATATTGTTGCCGGTGAAGATGCTACTTGTTGTAAACAACCACCATTAAGACCGGTTGATGATACTGACGATCTAGACTTGTTAATTGGCCCGAAGCCATCAAAAACCTATTGATTAGGAAAAGAAGAAGAAAAAAATCCAAATAATTAAGTGAAGGGTCAAAGGAAAACAAAACAAAAAGAAAAACATAAAAAAAAGAACCAAGAAAACATTAGGAAAGAAATAAGGAAGAAATTAAATCACTTGAGTAACAATTAAAATTCTTGACAATCCTTAGCTTGTTTTCAATAGAAAATCAAAGAAAAAAAGTCTAGCAATTAAGAAAAAGAAATTAAATTAACGATCAAAGATGAGAAGAGTAAATATTTTCACCGATATTCTGATAAACAATTAGAATTTTTCTCCAATCAACTTAACCGCCAAAAAGATTTTGACAATAAAATATTAGTCATTTTCTTTATGTTTTCATTTCATTTCCTTTTGTTTCTTATTCTTAATTGTTATTCTTTTGTTTTTTTGTTTCTGTTTAATTGATTTAATCGTGAAGTTAAATCAGATTGTAGATAATCGTGTTAATCATGAGGAAATTGTGTACGAAGGTAACTGTAAGTGTTTATCTATTTGAAAGTTTATTCAAATAAATTCATTTCTTTTAATTCTTCCTTGTTTTCTTTTTTTGTTTTTCTATTCTTATTAAGTTTATTGTTGTTGATTATTTTTGCTTTTTTTAGTTTTGTGCTTGGTTAAGTATCTTCATCAACATATCTTTCTAATGATGATCATTCTCACTCTTCTATTACTGTAATTGTAATGTTAAGGTGGTTTACTGAACTTACATCTTCCAGATTAAGTTGAGTCTCGATGATTGAGAAAATTTGAGTTATCTGATTAAGGGAAGGTCTCTCAGAATCCCAAGCCAATCCTATGGAAACAATATCTGGTTGATTAACTAATGTTCTTCTTATTTGAATTTTAGATCCACAGCCACTGGGACAGTCACGGACATTTCCATAAGCCTCACCCGATCTTAATAATGAGCCAAAAGATGCGGCTCTTGGGTTAATTGGAGGCGGACAAGAGGCCAGTTTCTTTGCTTGAACACAAAGAGCAGGACTTGAAACATAATTAACCAATTGGGTGAATGGATGAGGTTCACTAGTATAACCACAAGATGAACAGGATAACTGTTCAATCAGGTTCATGGCAAACTTTTCATGAGATATACAGTGTGGCGCTTTACAACTATCTTCCGGTTCATCGTGAGCAATATGATCATGAATTCTGAGTAATATATTCTCAAAACATTCAGCTGCATCATCCATGAAGCCCAATTGGAAACGTCGCTGGTCAGAGAAAGTTTCAGCCAATGCTTTTCGCAGGGAATCGGGTGGAAGTGCAGATTCTTGACTATATTGGAATTGAGTGAATAGCTCTTTTAAGGCACAAAATATACACGATTCAGAGCCCATGCAAGCATGACCTGATAATTCACGGAAAGAGCGACGGAAAATATCCAAATGCCAAAGAACCTGAGAAAAAAAAAACAATAGAAAACAAATCAAGCAAAAGAAAAACAAAGAAATGATTAGACTTGGAGAATAAAAAAATCAAGGTAACAATTGTCATAGTGAAAAAGGTCAATGGACTTGGATTATGTTTAATGTCCAGTTAATTATTGTCTTCGTTAATTAATTTTTTTCTCTCTTTTTTCCCTCTCAGATAGTTAATCAAGTCATAATTATATCAAAGTCATCATCTAAAAAAGATGCTGGAGATTAATGAAAAAAGTAAAGAAAATTAGCTAATTTTGTTTATGTTAATTTTCAAGCCTGTTGAATGATAACCAAGTTAATTTATCCAAAATCAACTAGGATTGTCTGTTGAATAAATTATCGTCTAGAGTCAAATCACGTGTAACTACGTGGTGTGCGTGTTCATATGTTTTTCTGCCTCTGGTAATTAGCTGAATGAGTCATCGTCATCTAGATTTTTATTATATCCGTTGTATTTATCATCATCTCTCTGTGATTTGTAACCAGAGTGAGAGAGTAGGAAAAAGAGAAAGGTGAAAGTAAACATTTATATTCTCCATCTTGTTTTTTTCTTCTCTCAACTAATTTGTTTTTTCTTCTCTTATTTTTATCTTTACATAGGATTAATGATGATGATGATGATGATGATGATGACTGTCAAGGTAGAAAGGAAAAGGACTCAAATCAACAAACGAATAGTAAAAAATTTGGTTGACTCTTGGAGCGAGATGGTTATCATTTATTGCAGACCAGTTTGTTTCTCTCAACTGCATTTGGATAATATTATCATGATGAGCAAATAAGATGAGAAGAAGAGAGAAAGAGAGACAAAAAAGAGATTGGCACGAGTCTCATGGATCTTGAATTCTGCCCGAGGGTAAAATTCATCTGGTTTGGGCCAAGTTTTGAGACTATTAATGGTTAACTAATACCTTGTTGAACAAGTATTTTTAATTCAACATGCACATTGGATCAAAGTCAAAGATCAATGGAACTGTGAAAAAAGTCAAACAATTCAATATTCAATCCTCAACACAATCAAGTAACTAACTTTTAAATTGGATAATGATTATTGAATTGATAGTCTTTTTATTTACTTATTTTCTTTTATATCATTCTACATGGCAATCAATTGGTAAACTCTTTCGATTAAATTTGAAATTGGAACTTAATTAGAAATGGAATCAACAACAAGCAGAATAAAAAAGGAAAAGCCAATATGTGATAATTAACAGTTCGCTTCGTTAAACCAACTAATGTTTTCTTTAAGAAAAGAGGTTAGAGTTCGAGATGATAATAACTCTAATCATAATGATGATAACAACAACAACAACAATATAATAACAGTGATGAGAAGTAATAACGATCAAGACGAAAAATCAAGGAAAAAAAAGAACCTTGTTGCCTTCGAAGACCTTTTGTCCCAGATATGACCTCTGACCGAAAAAAAGCCAAGGATCAAGAAAAAGAAACAACAAGATGGTAGAGAAGAGAAGGTAAATCAACAGGTAAAAGGTAAAAGATGCAAAGTCACCCTTGGAGAGAGAGAGAGAGAAGGTGAAAATCCACTACAAAGGAAACCCAACGAAATTTTGACCTGGACCATCGGCCATTTTTAAACCTCTATAAATCAATTGCTTTCAAAAAGAAGGTTTCTCTCCATCTTCACTTTACTCTCTCTCTCTCTCCTCGCTCCCTTTTCTTTCTTGAACCCCTCTCTGTGTGTTTCTTTTTCCTTCTCTCTCTCTCTTTCCCCTTCTCTTCTTGATCCTCCTCCTCTTATACCTGAGGTTTTTGTTACCTGGCGATTGTAACCAAGCACAAAACTGTTCTAACCTAAGGCAACCTGAAAGCGGGCAAACGGCCTGACTTAGCAACGCGGGAAAAACTGGTTTTACTCTGTTCAGTTGTGTATTTTAAATTTGATCATTTTTCACTCTTCTTTGGCCCTCTTTCTTTTCTCTCTTTCTTTTTTTCTCATCATCATCCTCTCTCCCTCTTTAACTACCTTGTACTTTTTTTTTCTTCTCCATCATTATCATCATCTTATTCAACTTATTCTTTCTCTCTTTCTCTTCTCCACTGTTATCATCATCTTCTTAAAGAAGATGAAGATGAAGTCCAAGGTCGGGAAGGTGAAAGGGACATAGGAGCGGAGAGAGAGAAGAAAAGGTAAAAATGTAAGAGAGAAAGAAAGGTAACCTCAACTTTCTTTCTTTTTTTGGCAACTTGTTTGCTGTTGAAGTTTAGATCTCCTCTTACCTTGCACACTCTTTTCTACTCTCTCTCTCTCTCTCTCTCTCTCTCTCTCCATCTTCATCTTCATCTTTATCCTCATCCTCTTGATCCCTCTTCTTAACCTTCATCTTAATGCAACTTAGTTTTTTTTATATCAAGTTGATATTTGGTTGACACGCCTAAATCCAAGGTTACCTGTATACTAACCATAGTATGTATACAATTTAACAGTATAATACAAACTTTATAATAATGATTATATCATCTTAGATGAAGATGATGATAAAAAGAAGAATGGAAAAAGAGAGCAAAAAAGAAAGAGTAAGAGTAAGAAGATCTATTGAAATATGAAAGTGGATAAATGAATGAACATTTTTTATTAATCATCTAAAATACTCAACGAATGAAAATTATCCTAACAAATTTTATTTCTCTTTTTTTTCTCTCTCTCTCTCAGTATCATCATTCCCGGTGAAATAATTAACAATAACAACAACCACAACTTCATCAAATTGAAACTCTTTCATTGAGAAAACCAGAAAACGTTTTAATGATGATACAAGTCTATTAACATTAACATCATTAATTTCCCGGTAGACATTTAAAAGATAAACATTAATCCAACGAGGTAATAGTGTCGTTGGGATGAGAGAGAGCAAGAGAGCTAAACCTCAAAATGGCGCTAAAATGATTATATAATTTAATCGCGATCAGAAGCTCAGGATGATTAACGGAAAAAAAGTGTTTGAAAAAGAGGCAAAAATATTTCAACATGATGATGATGTTTGAAGAATGAAGAAGATGATAAAATTAATAGAGGTAAAATAATGATGGAGTTGATGATAGAAAAAAGTTTCTCCCTCCTTTAAGCATCTTCTCAATCAACTTGATCCTCATCTTGATCATTGTTATTTTTTAATGGAGCATTGAAATCAACATCTAAAGCCCCTGACCTGGTCTGTTTTACCCTCTCTCACTCACTCTCTTGAAGGGATAACTTTTGATTTGAAAAAAAAGGTAACCTTTTTATTATACAATCAAGTTGAAAATCAAGTTACACTGTGGTCCACTCTATCAACTCACCTTTCTCCCTCACGCTCTTTAGATACTCTTCTCTCTCTCTCTATCAATCTACAAAGTCTTGGTATTTTATTCATAATAATGATAATATCCAAAGACTTTTGAAAAGACTTGACTTGAGGGTATTCAAAGCAGCAGAAAAATGTATCAACAATGTTGACGATAATAATGAAATGATTATAATGGTGATGATGAAGATAAGAGATGGAGATAAAGATGAAGATGAAGATGCTGAGGTAACTTTTTTACTCTTCAAGTTAATTTTTGAAATATGTACAGAAAGGGCGGGAATGTTATCATTGATTCATTGTTGTTATTTGGCCTGAAGAGTAAATCAAATTGTTAGTTAATCCATTAAACTATTATTTTACTTCATCTCTCTCTCTCTCTTTACAAGCGACATCATCATCTCAATTATCATCATGATCCTCATCTTTTTTACCTCCATTATTATGATCATCATTTGTTGATTCAATTTTTTTACTTGCGGCGTAATCATCATAATAATTTAAGTAAGATGTATCCATGTTGATGGTGATGACCATTGTGTCTAGATGATAATTTATTGCTCATCCCTCCAACATTGAGTATAATCATAAATTATAATGCAAGTTAATTGTTGATATCACAATCTGATCAAAATTGTTTGTATCTAATTTGTTTTTTTTTGTAAACTAATGTTAATTTGCTGTATTTCAGGATTCATTTCATACTTTTGGTATGAATTTTAATGACGATTAAGGATAATTACACTACCTGGACATTATTATTTACATTTATAACAATTAACTGCTACTGACCAATAGTCAAATTAAATATTCATGGACATACTTGTTGGTTGATCAATGGATTAAAAAGTAACAATTAACCAACTTTACAAGCAAGGCTACTGATTATATAGTGGAGGAGGTAAAACAAAAGGATAACAATTAATTAATGAAATTAAATCTAATATGAAGACATCATGATGCATTTAAATTCATGTGTATGATTGCAAGACTTTCATTAAGAATCAAATTGATGTTTAAAATTAGTTGTTGGCGTGTAAATTACGGTTAACCTTTTGCTGTTATCTCACTAATTTGATTGTCCAAGAATCGCCCGAGTGGACGGAAGTTAATTTAATTGATAATTAACCTTACCTGGAGCAAAAAAACTGGACAATTCATTATGCATTCTAATGTCGTTTGAATTAAATATCATTAATACCGTTTCTTTTTGCAAGTTTGCAAAAAAATAGAGGGAAATCAACATCTAGATGACCACGATGACCATCATCTTGCAAACAAGTTGTTTGGAGCAAAAAAACGGACACAACATCTAAATCAACAATATCTCAACAGGACATAGTTACCAACAATCAAGAAGATGAAATTAACAACAATAAACAAACAAGTGACTTGACATGCGAAAACACAACAAGACAACAAACCCTGGAAAGTAAACTGATTTACCTGGGGAAAGATGATTCAAGATGAGGATGAGCAAGGTGAAGATTACCAGGGCTAATCAAGGAATTGGTCAAGGAAAAGATAAAAAAAAACTAAGCTCATATCTCATAAAGATGAAAAGTAAAGTCAAGATGAAGATGGAAAGATAAACACAACAAGACACATGAACAGGTAAGTACATTTATTGGATATTCAAGGTAAATGATTTACCTGAGAAACAGAAGCAACTCAATAAATTAACCCCTGGTAATTGGTTATGTAAAGATTAAAATCAATGGTAATCAACATTTTAACGGATTAAAAACTGCGATTAACTAAAAAAAAATAATAATCTCAACAATCAAAAGCATATTAATTTAATGTTATTATGATTATCATGGGATGAGAAGGTTTAAAAAAACAAAGGAACCAATGAAACTCTGAAATTTGGTGATACCTTCAAATGCAACATTATGATTGTTGATTGTCTATGATTTACTAATCACTATTAGTTAATCTTGTTCACATGGTGAGAATTAATCATTAACATATTACTACTTTTTTTTCACTAATCATCTTGATCCTTTTAAAGTTTTAACTTTTTTTTTTACTTTCTTTTTTTTCTGATCCTAGAATTAAACTTTTCTCAGAGGATTTAACATGAGATCACCTGAGATCTTCAACGACCACGCCTTTTACTCAGGTAGATGCAAAAAGGATGCGGAGGAGAAGATGATGATGATGAAGTTACGACTAATCATCAAGTTAATCATCTCCAACGCAAAGTAATCATTTAAACTAATTTAGTCTGTCTTAACCATTATCATTATCATCTCCCTCTCCTGTTAACGATGCAACTGGACAATTAATTTGATTGTTAATTGTTGTTAAGATTTAACAACATCAAAAAGTCTAGTTTAACATTGTCACAATTTACCTGCAACTGTTGAACCTTTGCAATTAATTGTTATCATTAGGATTTAAAATCTGATCTTTATTTTAAGATTTACGTTGATTGTGTGCAGTTTTTTTTTCAGTTATCAAGTTAATTTAGTTAATTGTAATAATCCAACTTTGATTGTTGTACTTTCACTGTTGTTTTCCGGTTACCTAAGTTGAAGTCTCTTGGCTTTTGTTTTCCACCAATTAAGTTATTTAATTAACAAAAAAACACTCTGATACTTAATTAACTATGACAATGTTGATGATAAAATTACAATTAACTTTAGGTAACAATTAATAACTACTTTGAATTTGATCATCACCAACAATTAAGTCTTATTTTTGATTAATCTTTGATTAGCTTGGACTGACAATCTTAATTGCTTTTGATTATTAATCTTGAAAGACTTTCAAATGCTGGTTGATTAGCTTAAAATGAAAGTTAATTGTTTCATATATCTGATGGTTATAATATTAAACGGAAACTAATTTATTAACTATATGAAGTTGCAATGTTAATACAATTAGTTTCACTGATTTAAAGTGTAAGTGAAACTAATTTAAATTACAATTTAAAGGAAATCGCAATTCTAATCATGTTGATTATAATTGCAAACTAAATTGAACTATTTCCCAATACAACAAGTTTAATTGATTGTGATTTAGAAACATTCAAAAAAAACATCATCATTAACCTTAAATTGTAATTGTAACTTTAAACTTGAAAAAAGTAATTAAAAAAAAATTCACCTGATCAAACGGAAGTGACCGTTGATTACAATCAACAATTTACTATAATGATAATGATACAATTTAGGTAATGAGACAGTTAATTGTTGGTAATCAGGAATCAGAAAAACAGTTACCAATCAAAGGGATTTACTAATCAAATCCTAAATTATCCTTGATTAAACTCACGAATTGTAATCAAATAAAACACACAATTTACGTAACATTGATCAACAAGAATTATAATAAATCATAAACAATTAAAGTTAATTGTTAAACTCTTGTCCAAATGATGAAACTTAAAAATCAACACAAACAAACAACGACAACAATTAATTACTAACCTGATTGCTTGACCTTAATTAACGATAATAATACAATTGCTACTTTCACTTTTTACCTTTCACATTGTCAATGTTTTTTTTGTCCACTAATGATGATTAACTTTCATTTTCTTAACAATTAATTGTCAACAAAATGTTCATACACTTTTCCCACCAGCATCACCAAAAATGCTGCAATGATGATGAAAAGAAATGATTTTGTGAGAAAATGAATTTCACTCATCATCATTATCTTCATCATCTTCAGGTAGCATCAATTTTGTCCATCATCAAAAGGAAACCAATGGTCAGTATCCCAGAGATAAAAAAGATGAGAGAGAGAGAGAGAGAGAGAGAGATAAAGTCCCATGGATGATCAATGGTGAGAAATTCCCGCTAAGAGAAATTAACACAATGAACTAAATTAAACTTCGTTGATATTTAATCATTATGATAGTTAATTTAATTCTCACATGTAATCATGTTGTTATTGTAACAATCAAAGTTAATTGTCACAAAAAGTTGTTATTTTCTTGTATGTGTTCACCTTGATTAGTGTTACAATCATTTCATTTTGTTACCTTTAATTTATGAGAGTCAAAAACATGATTAACTTAATTGTGATTAACGTTTTTGCTTCATTTGCTTGTCAATTGTTATTTACACTTAATATTTTTTACTATTGTAATAATAATAATTTATTATTGATTCACGATTATGATTATTTTGATTACAATTATTTGATCATTTGAAATGATTATTATCATAACAAAACCACAACAATTTAATGCTTTTAAATGGCAACAAATTGTTACCAACAATTTAAACTTCAATATTGTTATTGGTTAACACACCCAAATGATTTATATTGAATTTTTGTTAAATTGTTGTTATTTAATTATCATATATTATCATCAATGGTTAATATGATTGGATATTAATTAAATGGTTCCAATTGTTTAACAATTAACTATTAATCAAATGGGTTCATGTGGATTGTGAATAATCAAATTTGATTGATATTTCGTGTTGACAGTGATTTTAATTGTTGTGCATTTAATTATTTATCTGATCATGAGTATGTGTGTGTATTTAACTAATTAATTGTTGAGTTAATTGTTATAATATATTTTGATTGAGTTGATTCTGTTATTGATAATGAATCATTTCAATCTTATAAATGTATATCATATTAGTTGGATAAGGAAACTAATCAAGGTGAATTGCAATTAGTTTTGATTGTAATATCAAATGATTATCAGGAAACATGATTAAAATCAGGTTATCGTTTATTATCATGATTATATAGCTTAATTGTTTGATACAATTAACCTAATTTACTTGGATTTTATTTGTTTCAATCAAAATCAGACCAAACTGATTGGACAAGGACACACACTGGACCTTGTTTGGTCATTTAATTGTAGTTATCTTTAGATTCAATCAATACAACAATCAACTAATCACTAACAGTTACACATAATCATAACAATCAGTTTTTAACTCTACAATAATCACTATTGTAACAATTTAGCTATACAATTAGAAACCATTATCATTTATATTTAATTTTTGTCCATCAAAAATGTATTGACAATTAACTTGATGATTAATTTGATCTCAATCAACAATTATATTTAAATCTGGTTTCAATTAAATGTCGTGATTATAATTATAATACAATTTGACAATCAATTGATTATAAAATATATATTTATTTATCAGTTGATTAACCTGGATATAGTTAATTGTCGGAAACAATCAATGATTTTATATATAAGACTAATTGTAATATAAACTTTAATTATCTTGTTGGCTACTTAATTGTTACTAGTGTGATTAAGTTAATTATACTGACCAATGGTTAGATAGTTAGAGTCATCAAGTAAATTATAATCAAAGCACGTGTTGTAACAATTTAATGTCAATTAAAGTTAATCAACAAAAATCCTGAAACATTCAAGACAATTTAACTTTTAGGGTTCATTTTTAATTCAAAGAAAACTAGATGATGATAATTAAATTTAATTGTAATGATAGTATTGGCTAAAACAATTAATAGTTATAATAATAATCAACTAATAGTAGTAGATAATAATAATTATTATTAATTACAATTAAATTGCTGAGGTAAATTTTTCCGTGAATCAAATCCTGATAGTTAATTGTTGTTAAAGGAAACATGATTAGAGTTAACTATTTAGTTTTTACACAATTAACTATACTACTGATTGTTTTCATTATTAATGATCATCAATATAAATATTTCTGTTTTTACGGTATCACAACAATTAACTAAATAGTTATCATTTAACTACACATCATTAGTTGATTAGCAACAATTTATTTTTATGATTAACAAAAATCAAAATCAAAGTCAATCATCATAAATTGGCAAAAGTTTTCAATGTTAACTTAATAATATCAAGTTAATTGTGTTGAAAATTTTTAAGCGGTTTGGGTTAATTGTCATCGCCGTTTATTTTTGATTGACTTGTTATAACCTTAATTGTGATTAAGTGAAGATGAAAACAATCAAAAAAAAATATATAATAGTAATAAACAACTTACAATCGTGGTTAACAGGTTAAAATACAACAACAAAGTTTAATCAACAATCAAATCAATTGTGTATTGGTTTGTTAAAGCCTCGTGATTAAATTGTTGACGGATTAAAGTTTTGGAAATGAGTTAAATTGTTGCTGCCGTTGATTATGATTAAGATACCAATGGTAGCTTTAATCAGAGTACCATGTTAATAATAATCTGAGTGATTAGCCTTTGATTAAAATAGAAAATCAGATTTAATTCACTTTCTTGACAAGCCCAAAAGCAACAACAACAACAATCAAAATCTTATATTTATAATCATCATCAAGTCTCACCTTTAATTTTATTCATCATCATCATGATAATCAACAATTTAACATTGTTTAAGATATTAATCAGCTGATGATTATGATATGAAATCTAAAATGATGATGAGTTGAAGATTAAGGCGTTGGTCAAGGCAATAATTCATAGTTGAACTGACCAGTTTAAGAAAACCTCTGAATGAATAAGACAAGGAACTGGGAGGATGAGAGGGATTCTGATGATGATGATGATGAGGATGATGGTGGTGGTGATGGAGGTGGAGGTTGAAATTAACAAGATTTTCATAAAAAATTTCAAAAGATTAAAGATAATAAAACATAAAGCACAACAATTAACTATTATCATTAACATTATTCAGTATTCATGATATTATAACAATTTAAAGGAATTTAAAGAAACCACTAAATACCTTGTATATTAATAGTAACAATTATAACAATATAATGATAATAATCATCTTAATCATAATAGTTAATAATAAAATCCCTAGATTGTTAATCTATTCATCGTTATGGTTATTGCCCTAAGGGTCAATCTATTCATCCAATATAATGGTTCATTTAATCAACACTGGACACTTTGAGTATCAACTTTTAACCCCAGGAATTTTTTTGTGACACCCTGGAGAGAGAAAGAGAGAGATCAAGATGATAAAATGTGACCTGGGGTCGATTCCAGGTCATTCTACTTGGTCACACAAAGGTAACAGTTATTTGAAGTTTATCCAGGTATCGGAGATGATAATAAGCTATTGGAAAGGTTAATCTTTTAAGAAGATAACTTTGTCTTCCTTGATCATCTTCTTCTTAAAAATTTATCATCATCATCATCATCTTGTACTCATGTACTGGTGATGGTCAAGGTATTGGTCAAATTTTTGTGGTTAGATTTGGTTTGAAATGATAATCAAGATTAACAATCAACCAACAAACCACCAAAGTAATTTGTGTATGATTTTGGTTGCGCTAAAAAAAACTTTAATTTGTTGATTGTGTTGATTAGATTGGTGTTGGTGATTTGAAGGTAATTTAGATTTCATCATCTAATTCAGTTTGTTGCTTTTAATCAACAACCATCTCATTTCAGAATCGGTTTTTTTCAACCATTCACAATTATGGTGATGATGATGATGATGAAAATAACAATGATACATCATCTTGTTGATCATTATTAAAATAATACATCATCTTAATCATTATAATCAACAATGATAACAATATAGTAATCACATTGGGTAACAATTTAAATCACGATTAACGGAAAAGGGCAGAAAAATAATCAACTTGAATTGAAAATATTTACCATATATGTTAACATGATTGTTCAATATGGGATTTTAATGATGATGGTGATGATGATGATCAACATGTGATTAGTTAAATATTAAATCAAGGTTACATCAGAATAGTGTCCAGATCATGTTGAGGGAAAACAATTTAATTGTTTGCATTAAATTAAAGAATCAGTTTCATCAGATTATTCATTTTTTTATAACTCATCATCTTCTTGTAAAACTTGATGTTGATGATGAGCATCATTAGCATCATCATCACCCATCAACAAGATCAAATAAACAACAACAATACAAACATTTCAACAACTTTTTCAGCTTTCTGGTTAACTGATTATTACACCTCGCCCTAAGGTATTAACTAGAGGTTGTTAATCAATTGCCAGGGCAATGACTTAATAGCTGGAATGTGTTGAGCTCAAGGAACCAGATCAACAATTTAATCATCATCATCATCATGATATCATGAGGATAATCATGTAAAAGTTTCTTGGATTAGGTCAGAAAGTAACAATCAAGGTGTGAACAGAGACACTTTCCTTTTATATTAATCTTCCAATAATCTGATAGTTCAGGAAAAGAATAGAAGAAATTAACTAATAGTGAACAATTTAATCATCTAATTGTCACCATGATGAAGATTATAATCAATTCTGTGGTTTAAACATTATATTTACATTTGAATTTGAGTTTGCAAAAGTTCATCAACTGTTTCAAGATTAACTCACATGGAAACCTCAATAATAATTGTCATCATTAACTTGACTACTTCATGATAATTATAATAATCATAATGTTATTAATGGTTAATAATCAAGAGAAAGTGAGAGTGATAGTCAAAAAATTAACTTAATTGTTGTGTCTCTAAGGCGCTGATCCGTAAAAATAATGTTAAATTGTCAACACGTTTTTTGAAACAATCAAGGTAATCACTTTGAAATGATAACAATGTATTACTTTTGATTGTCAACAATTTAAATCAGTCAAATATACACAAATATATCATAAATTGAACTACTATACATAAATTGGCTAATAATAATCAATGTATTAATATTATTATATAATAATATTCACTGTCAAAAGTTAATCATTAAGCAAATTAAATAAATTGTAAACTTATCATCTTTGCTAGTTGATTTGATTAATGATCTTAATTTCATGTGGTTAATCATTTACTTGATTCTAATATTTATTATTAATATTACGTTTGGGTGGGTTAATTGTTGGACAGTTGATTATGTAGATTATGTTTGATTTAAATTAACTGTGATAACCCATGAACTTGTGGGCTGAATTGATAACACATTTGATTACTAATTCTGTTGATGATAATTGTAATTATGATTGTTGATTGTTCTTGTAGGCTGATTGTTGATGATATTCACTCACTCTCTCTTGGTGCCAATGAGAAAACCAGTGAATTTAATTTAATTTCAATGGTTAAATTGTCATTAGTATTTAGTGTTCATTTCATTAAGATTTTCATTATTACCTGTTTCTCATTTCATGTAGGAAGCAATTACTCACACTCAGGTAATCAGATTTAATTGTGTTGGTGTATATTATTTAACTTCAATCATGTAGTAAATTAACTATATATTTAGTTGATTAGATGAATGATTTATTTCAATCATAATAATAATAATCGTGCTACTAATTGTTGGAAATTTGGAGAGAGAAATCAAATTGATAATATTTACGTTTATTGAGTTGATAATTTTGATCACAATCAAAATTAAAGATTACCTTTCACTTTCATGGTTTAATGATGACAATTTACTAAATCAATTAAATTGTCTGTCAGTTAATCAACCTACTCACAGGTAAGAAGACAAATCAACATTGATTAATTTAGTAAATAATGTCAACTAGAAAAAGATAAAAAAAATTAATTAATTACCCAAAGGTTGATTTCAATTCATTGAACTTTTCAAAATAAACATGAAAAGTTAATTTAAAACATATTAAGATGAGTTAATTTTCATGAA